GCAAAGTAGGCTTCTATAATCTCTCTTGATTCCATGCATCTTCTGATCAGAGTGATCACAAGAGCTTGCAAGTTCGTATCCGAGTCAGGGAACTTCTTGATAGACTGGATAAGAGGCTTGATCACCTTGGACTTGCTAATCAACATTCCGTTTTCGTCAGAATCACAATAGAGAATCAGTATCTTGGCAACGGCAAGGGCTGTCTCAATGTTATCAATCTTCTCAATGTTCAAAACAGCCTGGAAAACCTTCTCCACAACCTGAGGCTCGACTGCGTAAACAGAGGAAAAGTTGAAAGAAGAACTTGTGGCAAAGTCATGTTCTAGAGGTTCCACATCTGGTGCCATCGGTATTCTGCATGAGCAGAAGATCTTTTCAAAAACGAGCAGTGCGCTAGGGAACCAAATGGTGTTCGCCGCTTCTGGCTGAATCTGGTTACCAATGGTGGACAAGATTTCTTCCATAACCCCCGAGTACGAAGAAATCCATTGCTCGTCCAGAAGCAATGCCAGAAGATTTAGCATGCTTGCAAGTCTTTCATACGAAGAATCATCACCGTCCGTGAAACCAAATGAGCACACACTCATAAACACCGGATACAAGATCTCGGAGTACGACATAGTCTCCCCATATGATGACTTTGAAACCACTGTACTCAGCAAGTCGCCGACTCGGTAGACGGCTTTTGGAAAGAGCTGGGCAATTTGAAGCCAATAATCGATGAAGTTAGGCTCATTAGCACCTCTGGAAAAATTCAGATCATCTAAGGTGCACACGTGAAGATACTGAGGACCGACCGGTGATGGGTCAGGAGCCGAGTATTTATGGCGATTGGCGCGGTCAACCACCTCTGCCCAGTCCACTGGCTCACTATCTGGAGTTTTGACAGGGGAATCTGGAGATTCAAATTGCGCGAAAAGATCCTCAGGATCCTCAGTATACAAAACTTCAATGTTGTTGCGATAGAACAAAAGGAAATCCAAAGCTCGGGACTCCGGCACCCCAAGACTTTTCAAGTACTCGATCTTGCTGGTAGATGGAGCAACCTGTTCATAGGTCAGAGGATACAGCCTTCCTTCAAATGCTGGTGACTGAGAAGTGGAAACTGAGCAGTAAAAATTCTTGTTGATTGCGATCAGTTTTTCAACCAAGCTCAGAGGAATGTTTTCAGGCTTCTTATCAAGAATTCCGCAATTCTCCTCGTTCAAAAGTTCATTCAGCAACCCAAAACTTGCGAGAGAAGTTTGAATAAGAACTGAATTGTTCAACTCCCGGTAATACGGATAACTGTTTCTAAAGAGATCAGGGTATAGTTTTTCTTGGGAAGGAATAGGAGCAATCATCGTTTTCGTGGCGATGGAAGTGAAGATGCTCAGGATCTGGTTCAAAAGCTTGATCGTGGTAGAACATGGATTTATGTCAATGTATTCCAACTGGTCGAACTTCTCAACCTCTAACTTGTCAAATTTCTGGAGATATTCAAAGTACCTGACCGCCAGTTCACGAAGAGTAATTATACCTTCATTTTGAAGAAGGCAAATAACCATCATCGTGTTCACCTGCTCCGTGCTCCGACTGCGCATATACAAACTGGAATAGATCAAATTCACCATAACAAGATAATAGCCGGTTCTGATCTCCATATTTTCCGTCCCTATATTGCGAATCAGGCTAACTATCATGTTGGAAAATTCAACCACCATACGAGTGGCATTTTTTGGAACCATTCCAAAACGGCTATCTTGCCTCTTATCGGTGCTGATACGGCATAAAGAATTGAAGATGTAACGTAGCCAGGACTGACAACGAGAAAAGTGGAAGCACAGAATGGATAGGTTTTTAAATTTGGCGCTGGTACCATCCCAGTCTCCGTTTTTCTCATTTGGTTTTCCGATTTTGATCTGAAGCGGTGAAAAATCGTTACTGACGGCAGAAACCTCTTTGCATGCCTCAGCCGGAGTTCTCGAGTGGATTAAAACCTCTTCTAACGTAATTCTTCTGTAGAAATTTGATAGTTGTCGCATTAGTATCACACCCTTCTCCGACCCAAAATATGCGGAAAGCTGTTGCATGCTATTTGCCGTCAGTTTGTTTGCCGATCCATAATGGTCACTGAAGACGTATAAGAGACAATCCAGTATACCAAGCCTCGAGAAGAACTCACCACCCCTGATTGCAGCAGCCTCATCATTCTGATCAAATTGGTCAAAAAATGAATTTTCGTCGCTATTGTACGTAGTGAATTCCTGCAGCTCTTGCAAAGCAGAATAAATTGCGTTCATTAGCTCTTCCAGAGCAAAAGAAGGTCGTTCGTGATCGACAAACTTGATGATTGATGTCAATGAAAACAGAGCGTTTGAGAATACATAGTCAAATGTAACGTTAGGGATGCACACGTATCTCAAACAATCTTTCATAGTAATGAGAGTCGCAACCTGTTTCCAATGGGAGCTGTTCTCCAACAACGATCCGAGGAAGATTAGTGAGCATTCCAGCAAATCGCCCTGATTGCTGGACTCCCATATATCGAGCTCGGTACCGTTTTCTTCAAATTTGCAGAGCTCTTCATCCTTCGAATAATACAGAGACCCCTTGGGTGATTGGTAAAACTTCAAAGGCTCAAAGTTGACCAAATCCGGAATGTGCTTGAATATGTGTAGTATGTTGTCCTTGATGATAGGTTCGAGTTCAGGATGGTGTCTGGCAAGCTCATCGAACATGAAACCTAGTGGAGAAGCATTCTCCTCACGAAGAAGCTCTTTGCAGAGAGCTGCGTCTGTGAAAATGTTGAAGTATTTTCCCACGAGGTCCTCGGATTTCACTCTCTGTAATCCTTCTTTATTCAAGGAAATCGCTCCAATGGCGTCTGGGATAGACAATAACAATTCGGCTGATTTTCCGAGGAGACCATTGAAATTGATCATAAAAGCATCTATGACGCCGGCCTCATTTAGAATAGCGTATGCAGTAGGTTCGTTGTTAATAATGCCCGTTATGATGTTAATTGTATCGGTGAGAAGTTCGTAGCCAAAAACTGTTGGGTTTTCCACAATTTTGATAAGGCTTCTGAGAATCGGAGAGTCGTATAAGTTCCTCATACGATCGCCTTGATGATTGACGATCAAATGAAAGAATAACTTGAGAAGCGAGTTGATGGTCTTGACTTGGCGAACGCTAATACTATGAGAAACAATAGCATCCTTCGGGGCGCCACCATCGTAATCTGGATTTTCCAATGCAAAATCCACTTCGTATGCCAACAAGTCAATCATGATTTGGAAACCATTGCTGGCGATAAAACTATCCAAACTATCGGGGAGAGATTTAAGGAATAAGTCAATCAGTTGCAATGGCCCAGACCTTGTCATCCTGAACGAATTTTTCAATGGCAAGAACTCAAGGAGAATGTTCATCAGGCCAGCCGTTCTAAGATGAGCGACCAAGTGCTTGTTATCTATCAAGTTGGCGATCAAATTGAAAAAGTAATTTAAATAAGAATGATCCATATCTGTGCGATCCTCCTTAGCTGCCTTGAGAACAGACCGTAGTATATGAAATAGAAGACCATGATTGACATTTCCTCCAAGAGCCCTCATTAAATCGCTTCCACCACTTTTTTTGGCAGAAATACTAACAAATGCCCGCAGAGCTGCGTAAGATGGTTCAAATGGAACCACATTATCAGGATTGATGAGGTCTGCCATGTAGCTCAGTAAGTAGGGCTCCTCGTCAAACACAGAGCTGGCCATCACCGAGTAGAAACAACAACAGGAGGCAGCTGCAACGGCGAGGCATTTTAAGGTCACCAGGTTCTGCCTGAGCTGGACACTTTCGTAGGACTTGTTGTTGAATGCTTTTGCGATATACACGGAAAGCACAAAGTCAAACTGATTTTCCTTCGGTATTATGTTGGCAGCCTTATCATATATCTGCTGGAAAGACAGTTTCCGAACGTTATCCTCATTTAGAACGAAATGGTGAAGGCCTTCCTGCTCAACAGATGCAGTCGAGATTTCGCTCTTAGATTTCTTTGTCTGTGTGTTGAATATTTGCTTTGATTTCTTCTTCGAAGGATTTTCTTGACTGGGTGCTGTCTGTGAAAAAGACTGCACTCCACGTTTTCTTCTGGTGTCTGCAGTTGCATTATAGTATTTGAAATCCAGAATTTTCCACTTTGATGGTAGTTGACTTTCTGTGTTGATGCAATCCAGTAAACTAATGTGAACCAGAGCCTGTGTCTGTTCCCTGTCCTTCTTGTGTTTCTTCCGGTTTTGTGTGTCAATAGGAACTGGTGACGTATAAACAGGGGCGACCTGCGGAGGAAAAAATGTGGCAAGCTTCAGCAGTGTGTTTCTCACCTGTGCTGGCGGAGAAAACTTGCTGTTCTGAACAATGGCAAATCTCTCACAAAGTAGACACGTGAGCCTCAAAGCACATAGCCTCACAGCCATTGAGCACGAGCTGATCAGCTGGAACACATGGGAAGCCGAATTGTATATCTCCTTGTTCGAACAATGTTCTAGCAATGTGTATGTGTAGTTGAGAACCGCACACACGACTCTCTCGTCTGCTTCGTCCACCATAAGTAGTTTCGGATATTCTTTGTCCAGATCATACTTCTTGACATGTGTCTCCAAAAGCTCGTCCATCCGGTTTAAAATGGGAATGTAGTGAAAGAGATCGATTCTCAAGCCATTCCATAACTCTTTTGATTTGGCCTCCAAGATGAGCACAAACTCTTCAAGGGGACATACAGCCAGCTTCTCAATAAACTGCTTTACAGGCTCTGCCAACTCCTGCTTTTCTAGATACGATTTTCTGGAGACGATCATGGGTACCAAGTATCTTGTTTTCCCATAATTTTTGCTTTTGCCAATTTTTTGGCATTTGGTCCTGGTGCAGAGGTGTGGTAGATTCGCGGCTCTCTTTTATCAAAAGGCAAAGTAAATCAGGATTATATTTTTTTCGTGTTTTGTGGGAACAGCCAATGTCCAGAGAGGGTTTGCTGTATGAGATTTTGTTTTAAGCAGTTAAGTGTGCGACATATAAACAGAATGGTTTCTTTTCTGGACGACACTGCCCGGGCTGTGCTTGAGGCCGAGTCTCAAACTAGATCCCCGAAAATATTGTCAGCAGACTTCAACTATTCTTTCAGCCAGGACGCAGAAGATGAAGGGGTGGTTTCGATAGAGGAGTTCCAAGCGAATCAGCGGCCTGCAAGTACACCCGCTGAGGAGACATCTTCGTCGGTTGCTGATTCGTCTCCGGTAGACCACCGAACCCGCGTCCTCTATCCAGAGTTCAAGCGCAGACAGCGAGACTCACCTCACTGGACTCAGGGGACACATGCGGGCGTGACTCTGGATCACGTGCGTGACTATCTGACGTGGTTTGGCACGCTCTCTCCATCAAACAAGCATATTGCAGACACCGCTGTGAACAAAATACAGAGATATTTTGAGAAGAAGAACCAGGAAATGTCGGGGCAGGAGAGTATGCAGCTAGCTCCACACAGCCCTACGCCAGATAATTTGCATAACGGCATTGAGTCGATCATGGAGACCCCTGTCAAACGCAATACTGTGAATGACACGGCTGCTAAAGCTGAAAAGGCGAATACTCTTCCTTTGAAAGAAAACAAGGTCCTTTTGAACAAACCTTTGGACGGAAGACGTATGATGAGCACTTCTTCCGCTGCATACGCCAAGCTAGAGCTCTTAACGCAGAAAGAAAGCCTGTTTGCCGACGTGAAGCGGAAGAACGACGCCAACGAAGCGAAACAGCCTGAAGGAAAACGGGTCCAGGCAATCACGCTGAGCGAGGAGCAAAATCAGGTGATTGAACTTGCAAGGCAGGGCCACAACTTGTTTTATACTGGTTCTGCAGGTACCGGTAAGTCTCTTTTGCTTAGGTCATTGATCAAGTCACTGAAAAAACAACATCCGCTGGGAAGCGTTGGTGTCACGGCCTCCACAGGGCTCGCTGCTTGTAATATAGGAGGCCAGACACTGCATTCTTTTACTGGCATTGGATTAGGTGATGCGCCTGCCGATAAACTAGTAAAGAAAATTAAGCGGAACTCTAAAATGAAGGACAGATGGAGAGATCTGGAAGTGTTGATCATAGATGAGGTTTCTATGATTGATGCAGCTTTATTTGATAAGCTGGATATGATTGCTCGCGAAATGAGAAAACGGCGAGATGTTCCATTTGGAGGACTTCAGTTGGTTATTTGTGGAGACTTTTATCAACTACCCCCAGTGACTAAGAATGGCGAACCGGTTTTTGCATTTGAGTCACAAGCGTGGAAACAAGCCATCAAGTACACAATCGTCCTCAAGAAAGTTTTCAGGCAACAATCGGATCGCGACTTTATCAACATGTTGAACGAGGTGCGTAATGGAAATGTCTCCGAAGCCACTGCAAGAAAGTTTAAGGCTCTTTCACGTCCTTTGGCTTCCAAAGAAGGTGTGATTCCTGCGAAATTGTTTCCCACGCGACGGGAGGTTGATAGAGCCAATAGCACGATGTTGAAACAGCTTCCGGGTGCGGAAGTTGTCTTCAGGGCTTTTGATGGAGGGTCACTAACCGATGAAGATCAGCGGCAGCGACTGTTGTCAAGTTTTCTCGCTCCTGAACGAATTGCCCTGAAGAAGGACGCTCAAGTGATGCTGATCAAAAATATGGACGAAACTCTAGTTAACGGCTCCTTAGGCAAGATTGTGGACTTTATCGACCCCGATACTTATTCCCATTATCGATCAATCAAGAGTGATAAGATCGACATCAAGACATTAGAGGAAAAGGCTGCCAACTCGTTGAATAAGGGCCCTTCAAAGCGAGACGAAAAACATCTGATTGAGGATTCTACCGTTTTAGAAAGCCAGCTGGATGAGAATGTTTTTTCGTTTTTGAAAGAGCTCAAGGAAGAACAGCCCGAGGACCTTCCTGAGTCTGCGCAGAAGAACATAGAGCGCAAGATAGAGTTATTGAACCAGCTTTACAGCAGCTCTAAAAACAGACGAATGCCTCTGGTTCGTTTCATTCAGGCCGATGGAACTACTCGTGAGGTGCTGATTGAGCCGGAAACGTTTAGTCTCGAGGATGAGTTTGAAAGGCCAATCGTGTCCCGTACCCAAATCCCGCTAATTCTCGCCTGGTCATTAAGTATACACAAGTCGCAGGGACAAACTCTTCCCTTGGTCCAAATTGACTTGCGGAATATTTTCGAGCGCGGCCAGGCCTACGTTGCACTCTCGAGAGCTACACACAGGAGAGGATTACAGGTGAGGAATTTTAATCCTTCAAGGATTCTCACACACGAGAAAGTGGTTGCCTTTTACAATAGTCTGATGACCGTGGACGAAATCAAGGACCGCGAGGAGAGCAAGCGCAAGACTAAAGGTTTTGTTTCGGGTACGCAGCTAAACCGATTGGAGAATTTGGCTGAAAATGTTGCGGATGCGGGCGATTTTGTGAATGAGAAGGATAATGTAATAGATGAGTTCGACTCCGTATGGAGCGGACAGTAATGATATATATTGAAACGCTTTGATAAGAGTTATTGGGCTCCAACTATCCAGCCAATGATATTTTTACCTAGGTCATTCGATTTCTCGATCTTGGTCTGTCCTGATGGGGGAGTCTCCGATACCACTTGGTCAAGGATACTATTAAGTAGCTGCCATTGCTCGAGAACATTGGTGTTGAATTCGGTAGGCACTATCAGCATCAGGCGCTGCAACAGGTGGAGTTTCTGTGTTATCTGTTCGTGTTCTTGTGGCTCGACATAGTCGTTCTTGACGAGCTGGAATATGGAGAACCATCTTTCCTGGATCAGACCAAATAGCTTGGGATCTTTTTGCTTGGCATCGACGGCCATGTCAATCAGAGTCAAAGCCAATTGCAATGAGTGGCCAAAGTCTTGAGCAATAGCAAAATCAAGGCAGAGGAGGCGAAGCTTGACGGTGGCCATCTCATCCTGGCTATGTCTATCCAGCCCGGTGCTCAAGTGTAAAAGCAACGATTCTAACAGTTCGGTTTCTTTGTACGCTCTGTCGTTCAGTTCCAGAATTCTGGACACAATCTTCAAGGGGTCTTTTGCTTCCAAGATGTCCAGAGGCTTTATTGGAACACCCGGCTTGAAATACAGTTTCCAATGCAGCAGTTCTTGGTTCGCTGTGATGAGCTGGTCGAGTTGCAATGTGCCAGAGCTAGCCATCTGCAAGCAGTTTCGGGCGCTCTTAAGGTATCCCATCGACGGGTCGCAATTGGTTGCTTTGCGGTAGAAGTCCCATGCTGCATTTACAATAATTTTATCTATCTGGCCAGTCTCCAGGGTACAGTATTTGGGCAAAAAGACAGAGGTGGTCAGGACAAACATGTTTTTGGACAGCAGTTTGCTTAAAACAAGCTCATCGACTGGCGCCAGCTTGACTTTGTTAAAGACATGTGTGTTGTTGAGGAGAAAGTAGATCGAACTGAGCAAGCTCTCCCATTGCTTAGTCGTTGTCAGATACTCAGATTCTGTCAGGATGAACTTCTCAAGCTGGTTGTACTGATCTTGTGAGTCTAGATTAGGCAGCTCAGCCACCTGAGCTAATGACATATTGTTGGAGAACAGTCTTTCTCCCGTCTCGACGTATTGCGTCAGAATATTGATGATTTCCGGACAGGGTGCGATAGAGTTTGCCATCTCTTGTAGTGTAGCTTTCCGCGTAAGCGTTTGGTCTGTGTTAGGAGCCAGAAACTCAGCATCGACGAGTTTGAGACAAACAAGAATTTCCTTCATCTTCATGTAAAGAGATAGAGACACCTCGGGACAGAGGTAGATAATTGCCAGAACTATGCTGACAAACTTTTGTAAGGCACCGCTGGCTTGTAAGTAGGCCAAGAGATCGCTGGACTTGACAAGCGCTGTGAGAGTTTCGAATTTGGCCTCGATCTGGTCGCTCGATTTGGTGACAATGGCGTTTCCTAACGAGAGGATGTAGTCATTGATAGTTGAGCCATTGTCGTTGAGATAAGTGTGGTATTTGCAGAGCCAATGGACGATCCGGTCATGGTTCGAGGTGTCGAGTAGTCCGATAAACAGTTCGGTTTGTTCCGTTGGCGAGTACGTATCAACAAAGTCGAGCAACAGAGGCAGGTCTCCGTACTTAGCCAAATTGGCGAGTGGCACATAGAACAGACTCCACCAGTCTGTCAATTGCTTGGAAGTGAACTCTGAGGCTACGACGAGGTCCTCGATCTCCTCTGGAGCCGGCAAGACGCCCAAATAGTAGTTTGTTTTGAAGATCCTGGCCTGGACAAACTGAAAATATAGATCCCCATTGCTGTCAAAATGCCATCTGCACACCTCTTCCTCCAGCAAACTGTCAGCCTCCGCCACCAGTTTCGCAACAACAGCTTCTGGAAGAGCGAATGCGTCGGGCAAGGGAAGAGACTCTGTGGCGTCGGAGCCTTTGAGCGCCGATTGCGCAGCCTCAAAACAGAGTCGCAGAGAGGCGGTTTCGGGCAGATCGACAAGCAAGATCTGCAGCGTTTTGACAGGTGTGAGCAGCGACGCAATTGAGCCGAGGCCGTCTGGAAGCTCGCCGCGCACACATGAGTCTCTGAGAGCCAAATATGTGGAGTCTGATGCGGACATGTAATTTACAGATTTTAAAAATATTTCGCGAGCCAACCAACTTAGGCAAGTCAAGCACAGATCAGCCGGAAGGAAGTAATCGAATAATTCAAGAGGGAGTATTGAATTATCGGACCAAGAACTGGCCGGAACAAGAGTAGAGGCGCTGCATATTAAGAATAGAGAATGGGCGAGGGCTTATGTTGGAGAGATACGAGACTCTCGGGGACGACTACTCAAACAGGAAACCACCCAGAGCACGTTTAGTGCATTGAACAAAAAGTTGCCAAGTTGTGCATCAGCTCTACAATAGCTTTGGGCTACATCACAAAATTTGCAGTATGCCTTGCCAGAGGCTCGTGATACGTGCTTGAAGATGAGCAGAGTGCTCAAAAAAAAGTTTTTATTTGGAGATCGCACAGATGAATGCAGAACGGAAATATTTCCTCACCAAGCCCAGAAGCGTTTTTTTTTTAGCGGCGCTGGGTGCGGGACGGGTTTGGCATGAACGCAAAATGCCCACCGGCAAGCCGGCATTGGCAGCGGAGGATGCTGCGCAGACAGGTTCGGCAAGGCAAAAATGAGACGCTCGGAGTCGTTGGCATTGTGCTGGCCTGGTGCACTTTTCAGATTGTGCGTCTCGCGTACATTTATTTATTCGCTGTTACTGGGAGGAGACTGTGCAGAGTCGGATACAGGCCAAGCCTCGGCTAGCCGACCAGCACTCGCGCAAATCTACCGCCGTTACTGGGATGTGAAAATCATGCTATCGGCCATTGCACGGTAATGCCTATTTACTTTTTTGGGAAGTGTCCCTGGGCGAAAGGGGGGAGGGGGGCTGTGCCGTCACCGGTCATCATGTAGTCCTGGCCAGAGGGATGATTATGGTGCAACGTGGGTGATGGGAAGGTGGATCTTCTGGAGTAGGGAGACTGTATGTGGGCGAAGCCAACCGGGGGCGGAGGTGCAAGACTTGTCGGGTAGGGCATTATTCGTCCGTCGGAATGCGAGTGTCCCATGGGGGGCGCAAAAACGCCCGGATATGGAGGATACTGTATCTGTGTCTGGGAGGCAGCTGGCGTGTGGCCCATATCTTGTGAATACACTCTGTGAAGCTGGGGCATCGGCATTGCAGGAGTTGCGTTGAGTTGTAGCAATTGGTTGTGCAATTGGTTGGAGTACTCTTTGAGCATATCGCAATTGGCCGCTAGCGCATTGTTCTGGTACTGCAACTCCTCGATGTACTCAGTAGCTTTTTTTAGCACCTGCGCTTTGGAGTCTGTCTGCGGTTTAACGAGCGGGATGATGTTGCGTAGTTTCTGGAATCCATCGATGATCTTGCTACGACGTCGCTGCTCGGACTTGATGTGGAGGTGTTTCCGTAAGTCTTGGGAGATGGATTCTTGCCGAAGAGAGGAACCCTGCTCGGGTTCTGTAGGTTTGGTATTCTCCGTCTCTTCAGATCCGTTTATTAAAGAGGGGAGTTCCATTGATCAGCGTGAGCTAAGGTACCATGGATTACGCTACTCTTGGACAAGAATTAAACATTCGCCGTGGTGGAAAATTTAAACTTTATATATCCACACATGGTGAAATCGCTGTAGCGAAGAAAACAGTTCCCTAGTATCAATGACCGGTCCACTGCAGTATGCATGAGCACCAACGCGAACAATGTCCAATCGCAGATCCCTCGGTGCCTGGAAAAACGAAAATGTTCGGCATGAAAGAGAGGACCGGAACATGCGGCTGTATAATGGTGTTCACAGGACAAGCTGGATTTCAGAGCCATAATTTCGCATGCATTGTATTTAACGATTCCGGCAGCCTATGCATGCGTTGCACCCAGGACATCGCACTTTCGAGAAGCGCAAAGATACAATAGCTGCGTAATATTAGGTATCTTTTCTGCATTAACAATCGCGCAGGCTGCACCTGCAGCTCTTGTTAGTGCTATTCAGAAAATATAAAACAAACTACAAACCTCGGGTTTCTAGCAACTCAATGGTTTCTATCTCAGCTTCCAGACGCATCATGTCTGCAGCGTTTCTTCTTAAGCATTCACCAGAGAACTTTGTTAGCGCGTCATTAGTTGTCATTAGTTGTCAATACCCCGTACAAACACATTCTTGGAGCACGACACGTGCCGCATCAGTTATTGTCCGATCGCCAGAACCCTTGGTGGTCCTGTAGAATTTCAGCCTCGAGTTCTGCCACGGGGCCGACCACCCGGATCGGCTTTTGCCCCGCCTTAATCACTTCTCGGCAACTGAGCGACATGGTCATGTTGTCCTTTGCAGCTCCCGTTTCTTCCAGCAGCCGGGTTTCTGCTACGCCGTATACGATCTGTCCGATATTGGCCCAATACGCGGATCCTGCGCACATACAGCACGGCTCGAAAGTCGTGTAGAGAGTACAGTTCCACAGAAACTCCGGCCCGAATCTACGGTACGCCTCTCTGCACAGCGTCGACTCCGCGTGGTTAAAGGTGTCGATGTTGCCTTGCTCCAAAAGCACCTCCTTGTGCGGGCCTACCAGAATGCATCCAAACGGATGCCGACCTTCTGCTTTGGCCCTCTGAGCAACTGTAATGCAGCGGCGCAGGTTCGCGACAACCTCGTCTCTGCCGTGTTGTGTTGGAGTGAGCATGCTGAAAAAATCAATTTGCAATTTTGCTGGTGCATGGATGCAGTATTTTTATTTTCACATTACGCGTCTGTCCAATGTCGCGCTACAACGTCCTATGGCGCAAGCAGACGCAGCGCAAGAACAAGACCTGGGACGGCGACGGCGTGCTGGCCGTGGTCAACGACGAGGGCATTGTGCGCGACGACTCGGGCAATTTTCTTGCGAGAGTCAAGAACTGCTCAAAAGTGATCCACAACGGGGTGTTTAGAGGCGGCAGCTACGAGTTCGAGCTGGACGGCGACGAGCCCATCGACGAGCCGTCTGCCGCGGTGCCGGCAACCCGCGCGGTCTCGGCCCCGCTTCGGAAGGCGCCGCCAATGCGCAGCGTAGGCCTGCTCAAACGGCCCAAGTTAGCTACCAAAAGCGTCTCGGAGCTCTTGTCGACGCCGGCGCGAACATCCGTCCCGCCTCGTCGAAACACACAGTCTTTGCACGATGCGGCGGCGCCAGGTGCTCTGGTGATGCCACCCCCACCCAACGCAGACAGCAGCGCCGTCAGGAACGTCGTAGTGGACCCCGTGCTCGCTGAAAATTTACGGCCCCACCAGAAGGAAGGTGTCAAATTCATGTACGAGTGTGTGATGGGATTTCGCGACTACGATGGGCACGGCGTGCTGCTGGCAGACAGCATGGGGCTGGGCAAGACGTTGCAGACAATCACGCTCGTGTGGACGCTGCTGAAACAGAGCCCTGTAGCAGGAGACCCTCCCGTGGCACGCAAAGTGTTGATCTGCTGTCCCGTGACTCTTGTGATGAACTGGAAAAAGGAGTTTCGCAAGTGGCTCGGCCCGAACCGTGTGAGCATCCTGGCACTGAACGGCTCCTCGAATAACGACAAGCAGAACATCCAGGGTTTTGCAAATACCAACGTCTACCACGTGATGATTATCGGGTACGAAAAAATGCTCACCGTTGCAGACGACGTTGGGGGCATCAAGTTCGACTTGGTCGTGTGCGACGAGGGCCACCGGCTCAAGAGCGGGAGCAACAAGGCACTCAAGGTACTGGAGTCGCTTGATATCAAGCGCCGGGTGCTTCTTTCGGGCACGCCGATCCAGAATGATCTGACAGAGTTCTACAACGTGGCGAACTTTGTGAACCCCGGCGTGCTGGGCGACTTCAAGAGCTTCCAGCGCAGATACATGCGGCCGATCCTGCGTGCTCGCGAGGCAAACTGCACAAACGGGGCGGTGTTGGAGCAGGGCGAGGCTGCCTCGCGCGAGCTCATCGAAGTGACCAAAAAATTCACGCTGCGGCGAACGATCGAGGAGATCACCAAGTTCTTGCCGCGTCGCTCCGACTACGTGCTGTTTGCGCCGCCCACAAAGCTGCAGATCAGGCTGTTCGAATCGCTACAGAAAACCGCACAGTTTAGCAAGATTCTCAACGCGGCCCCGGCGAACGACTCGCTGCAGCTCATCACGACGTTCCGCAAGATATGCAACTCGCCGGCGCTTTTGACCGAGGACGCCATGTTTGCCGGGTTGTGTGGCGTGGACGAGTTGCGCGAAGAGCTCGGCAGCAAAGTGCGCAGCGCAAAAATCATTCTTCTGGTGAAGCTCCTCAAAGGCATTTATAAACTCAAGCAGGAGAAGGTTGTTGTTGTGTCAAACTTCACCCAGACACTGGACGTGCTGGAGAAACTGATGAACGTGTTGGAGCTGCCGTTCACGCGGCTCGACGGAGCGACGCCAGCCAACCTGCGTGACAAAATTGTCTCTGACTTTAATAAGGCCTCCTGGGACATGAGTTTTGTGTTTCTTCTCAGTGCCAAGTCCGGTGGCATGGGTTTGAATCTCGTTGGAGCATCCCGATTGGTCTTGTTCGATAACGACTGGAACCCGGCTGTGGATCTGCAGGCCATGGCCAGAATCCACCGTGACGGCCAGACAAGACCGGTGCACGTGTACCGGCTACTGACGGCAGGTTGCATCGACGAGAAAATCTTCCAACGCCAGTTGATCAAGACAAGTCTTAGCGACAAGTTCCTGGACGACTCCACAGACTCGAACGAGAACTTCTTCGATACAACAGACCTCAAAGATCTGTTTAGTGTGTCGCAGGTGAACTCGAACACGCACATGTTGCTGGACTGCCAGTGTCCAGGAGACGGCAGAGAGCTCGAATACGCAGAGCCTGCCAAAATTAAGCGGGAGCTCAGCTTTATATCTGCTCTTAATTATCAGGACCCGAATATAGACGGGGAGAAGAGAAAACAGCAGATCAAACGGTGTCTGATGGACTACCGCCATTACGACCCGGCCACCGGCGCACGCACAGGCGACCCGGTCATCGATAGCATTATAGACTCCCAGGAGCCCGGAAAACCGGCCATCTCGTACATATTCATGAAAAATTAATTGCTTCGCTATTTACCCAACTTGCCCAGACGTGCCTCAGCAGCACGAGCGCGCTGTTCGCGCAAAACGCGCATTCTCTGCTCGGGCGTCAGTGAGTTGAGGTTCTGCTGCTCGGTGATGCCGAGCGGCCTTCCACGGCCAAATTTCCTGCTACGCTCCTCCTCTGCTTGCTGCTTGACCTTCTCGAGCTCCTCGTCTATTAGCCTTTGGGACTCTTGGTCACTCTGTCTTTTCTCCTCACTAAGAATTCTTTCCACCTCCTCCTTCGTCATTGGCTCTTTCACTCTCGCCGCTTCCCAGTCGCAGTAGTCTTCTCCCAAAATGTTTCTGGCCACCTGGAAGGAGTATCTTGCATGCTGCGAAGCAAGTTCGTAGGCTGTGCGGCCGTGGCGGTTCTTGATGGCTGGGTCGGCTTTCAGGTTCACCAGGAGGACCTGACACATGTGGCTGAGCTTGTTGGCAGCCGCGTAATGCAACATGGTCGGCGTGTTGGCGTATTCTGTCTCCGGTTGCAACTCCATGTTGACGTCAATTTTATTTTTCTTCACAAACGAAATCAAAGCCGGAGCTTTTGACCGTCTGAGCAGACTGACCAGCTCCTTGGAAATCTCTATTTCTGGTGCCTCCTGTTTGGCAGGCGTCGACTGCTTCTGAATCCGGCTTCGGGCTAGAGCTTCCTGCTGACGCTGTGCGCGCTCCACCTCGTCTTTCCGTGCCTTAGGCAGGTCCAGTATCTTCAAATAGCAGAGTTCAATCCAGGCCCGTTTGAGCTCAGATGATGTTGGTCTCTTCGTGGTGAAAGGGAAATGTCTGACTCGCGGGTCGTCGCTCTGAATCGGAGAGTTTGGATAGCCAACGATGATTTTGTGCGACGCTGATCCGCTCGCCTTGATGAATATGTACTCGCATTCATCCAGCTCCTTCTTCCACTCGGCTAACAAATTACGAATATCCTGCTGCAATGCCTGTTCGTTGTATCTTCTCAGAGTTGAACCGGCACTTTTGGCCTTTCCCTTAGCATTGTCACTAGCGTTCTGCGCGCCTCCTTGCTTCCGTCTCGTTGTGTATCTGTGGAACGTCTTGTGGTGTAAAATGCGCACGCTCTGCATTCTGAGCTCCTCTGGCGACCCGCTGTTTCCTTTCGTATTGATTCTTTGGTGAGACATAATGGCACCTGCAAAATGACCTCCTCCCAGCATGAATAGGGCGCTCTTGCCAGAGCCCAGTGTTGCAAGTTTATTGAGGCTTTCAAGCGGCTCCTCGTTCTGTGCATTTAGCACTGTCTTGTAGGCACCAAAACAAAGTCCAGCATCGAGCAACGAGCTCTGAAATAGGACGAACGGCGACTGTGTGTTGAGGTAGCTGACAGAAGACTCCTCGTCCTCAGACTCACTTTCCGACCCAGAGATACTCAGCTGGTCCATCATTTCCTCAAATTGGGCCTCGCTCACTGTAGCGAGTCCGGCAGACGATCTCTTGCGGTTGAATCGCTCAAAGTCGTCTTCTTCGTCCCTGGGCTTGGGCCTCGAAATGTAGCCAATATTGGATGCCGCTTCCCGTTCCTTGGGCTTCGCCTCCAGCGTATGCGAGTCAAAGTACATGAGCTCCAAAGAGCCGAGCACGGACTTGCTCAGGCTGAATATATACAAGTCTGAGAGCTCAAAAGAATGTGTCATAGAAATTTAAATAAAAGGTTTTTAAATAATCATTTAATTGTAATTTCTTGTCTTCAATTCTTATATTTAATTCTTATCGATGAGACTAGGGATATTTTTCTCTTTGATTTCATCCGTGGTCTCGCTGCCATTTTTGGATGGCTGGCCCCAATTGAATTTGCCTAGTGCACTCCATGGCCCAATTGCAAAAGCGGACGCCTTGGGGCTTTACCCTCTGCACAAGAGACTGGTGAGAATAGAAAGTCTCAGTTTCCAAGAACAAGATGCTTCTCAATACATTGCTGAGTATCTCCAGAGCTTAGGACTGACGGTGGAAACAATCGACTCCCAAGGACGCAACAACATTTACGCTTATCTGGGAAGTACAAGAGATACTAAAGTGCTGCTCACCTCCCACATAGACACCGTGCCCCCATACATTGAATACTACGACGATGGAGACAGAATCTATGGCCGTGGCTCGTGTGATGCGAAGGGCTCGGTGGCTGCCCAAATCACGGCGTTTACCGAACTTTACGAAGAGAATAAAGTGCACGAGGGCGACATTGCGCTGCTTTTTGTTGTTGGAGAAGAAACAGGCGGAGATGGCATGTTGACAGTGGATAAGGAAATACACGCTAATTGGGACATGGTGGTCTTTGGTGAGCCGACAGAAAACAAGCTCGCAGTTGGCCATAAAGGTGTCTACTATTTCAAAATCCAAGTTCACGGGCTCTCTTCGCACTCGGGATATCCAGAGCTGGGGAAAGACGCAAACAACGAGCTCATCAGAATAATGTACGAGATCTCCACTACCGAGTGGCCTTCTGACGAGGTTTTGGGTGCGACGACGGTAAATATCGGGCTCATCAACGCAGGAACAGCAGCAAACGTGGTTTCTCCGATCGCCGAGTGCGAAGTCCTTATGAGAGTGAGCGTGAAAGCAGATGAGATTCAGAAGATTGTCGACAACATTCTGGAGAAATACCAAGACGTTGAGGTAACTGTTGTCCAGAAGGCAGACCCTACTTACCTTGACTACGACGTGCCTGGCTTCGACACCATGCTGGCCGCCTACTTCACGGACGTGCCTAATCTAACACAACGTGGGTTCAAAAGGTATTTGTATGGCCCAGGCTCGATCCTAGTCGCCCACGGAGACCATGAGTACGTTTCTCACGAAAGCTTGGAGGACGCTGTCGAGGGATACAAAAAACTAGTCGCGTACGGACTTAAATGATGTATTCCATTTCTATATCCATGAAAAGTCGATATGCTCTTCACGGACTCAAACCAGGAACTTTATATAGCGAGGTCAATCCCATATTTGTAGAGTGTGAGGATATCTCTCGCATAATGAAGTAAAATGTAAAAATAAAATTTTATATTTTTTTCACTGTGCATCGTGCCGCTGGGAGACTTACGTAACTAGCGATTCCTCTCACAAGATTGTGGCCTGCACTTCAATGCTACCAGCAGCAGGGCAAAACCGGGTGTAGGCATGTAGAAAACAAACAACAGATACTAAGTTTACATTAGACGGTTCGTTTAACTGAGTCCGAATACTCGAAGCCGAGTGGCTAGCTACCAAACTATTCAGAAAAGCTCACCTGAGGAATTAAAATATTTAGCGTGTGGATCCTCTCTGGAGAGAAGCACTGGTCTGCATGTACTCTGCATGGTTAATAGACTTTCACCAATTGATACTATTACGCATGAACAGGGTCCAGCCGCCTCTCGAATGATTATCGACTCGTTCACTCTATCGCTTTTAGAGCTGCCTAGGATGGAACCACAGATGATGTTACTTTGCTGATATCCAAATTAACCGGACATACTGAGCATTTGTAACGTTTTTTATATCAAGGATCCTGATAATCACTCAGTCCGAACTAGGATGATTTGTGCAGTATTGAAAAATAGGGATTTTTTTTTATTTTTTTTTCAGATCGATATACTCACATGTCTGAGCCAGCTTGGAAACGTCTTGGTCTGAAAATCAAAGAAACAGTGGAAAATGATCCACTGGGGATTACGAAGGTAAACATCATCAAGAAACGAAAGGCCGATCCTGGGCAAAACACAGAGAAGAAGCCTCCCAAGAGAAAGAAGTTACCTAGAAACGAGCGTCCGCCGCCGCCAGAAAAGGATCAGCTCAAGTATCTTCGACAATACCATGAAGATCGGTCAAACTGGAAATTTTCCAAGGCCAAACAGACCTGGATTCTCAAGAATCTCAAGAATATTCCTCAAGAGTATGACGAAGCTCTGAAATCGTATATTGCCAGTGTGCAAGGTGGGTCGAGAGATCGAGTGAAAGACGAGATGATGGCCGTAGTGGATAAATGGAACAAAGCTGCTCGCAGGGCTCTTGAGGAGATGCAGAAGGGTTCAGAGAGTGCTGAGGAGAGAGAAGAAAAGGACGACAACAAGAACGAGGAGCATACAAACAGAGAGGCGGAAGATGACGCCAAAGAGAAAGAGGCAGACAAGGATGCTGCCAAGGAGGACGTTCCAGATTATGATTTTGTTATGCGGGCCAAGGCGCTGGTGGAGGCTATTACTAAGGAGCAGGTGTTGGTGGAGGGCATGGCGGGAGACAGTCTTGAAGAAGGCGACAAACAGCACTTGGACGGGAGAGGAGAGGTTGAAGCGGTGAACCCGATGATAGTGGAGGAAGTGGACGTCCAGGAATACGTTGGGGACGAGGACGAGCAGCTGGAGGTGAAACCAAATGGCGAGGACACGGAGGTTGTCCAAGAAGTCGAGGAAAAGCATAAGGAGAAGACCACGAAGGCCAAGAAGACGAAGAAAGATAAGAGCGCCAAGAAGGAGAAGAAAGACAGGATCAAGGAAAAAGCACAATAACGGTAGCATGTAGCAGTCTGTATAGTAGTCGATCGACGCGAGTAAAAAAAGTAATGCGCTTTTTTATCGAAGACCTCTTCACCCAAACCAGAGATACAGACCCAGATCTGCGGTTTATGGCCCTCAATGACCTCGAGAAGGAAATCCTGAGCAATCCAGATTCGTTTTCGAGTGAGGCGCGGATCCAGTACGCCAAGATTCTTCTTCACTGTCTGGACGACGAGTTCCCCGAGGTTCGCACACAGGCATTGAAATGCTTTGAGACTCTGACTCCACGTCTTGGCGGCTACGTGGTGTCTGTAGTGGCCGCTTTGAGCAAGAAGAAGCCCGAGAAAGTCTCCATCACCTCCACTATCTATACAATGGCGATCCACAATGTTTTGAAGAATTTCGTTGCCAACGAGTCTGTGGCGCGCGACGTGGCGAACTACGTGCTGGGTGAGGTGTTTGAGGTGGGAAATACCGCTTTTTACACCACCATAGACTATATTGAGATCGTGACCGACCTCATTGAATATCTGGGCAAATACCTGACTACTTCGCAATTAAACAACATAGCCGAGCTGCTGGCCAACGCCTGCTACGCAGCAGACATAGTGATTGCAAAAAAATCTGTTTTGGCCCTTGGACTGGTGGCTAGAAACTTCACCTCTGTCGAACAGCTGCAAAAACTCATTTCCCTAATCAGCAAAACCGCTACTCACAAACAACAGGAGACGACACTCAAGGTGCTGAGCAATCTTGTGCGCTCGAACGCTAAGTTGATGGCGCAGATTGTCCCGCAGGTCCACCCCACTGTGCTCAATGGACTATATTTGGATACACTTGACGAGCCCGACGACGACTTCGACGCTCAGCAGGAGACCGAGGAGACCCGTGCCGAGGCTCTTGGGTGTCTTGTTGCCATGTTTGAGTGTCTTCCCATGGAAGAGCATGTTTCTGGGTCGTTGGAACTGGCTGCACGCTTTATTGGCTACAATCCGTACAAAGATGACGCAGAGGAGGAGCTGGAGGAGGAGGACGAGTACGAGCTTTCTGATCTTGATGACGATGATGATGACGATGGATCCGGACTTTCGTGGAAGCTGCGGCGCGAGTCTGCAAGACTGGTCAGTGTTATCCTTGAGAAACATCCGTTGGCTCTCACGACGGTTTTCCAGTATGTCTTTGAGCCGCTTTTGGGCCAGCTGCAAGACGACAATGGAACGGTTGTGTCGGAGGTTTTACGAACCCTCACGAAAATATTCCGCTTCAGTGTCCAGGACGGTCCGTACTACACATTGAAATTCTTCAACTCTTTAAATGACTACGCCAGCGGGCGTCGGGGATCGGATGTCAGCATGCAGAGCGACGATGACCCGTCTATTTATCTGGGCAACAAGAGCGCAGACATTTGCGAGGCGTTCGGCAAACTGCTTGTGACAAAGAACTCGTCAAAACTATCGTTGCTGTACGACTTTTTCGTGGAGTTTTCCAACGCGACAGATGGCTGCGAAGCGCAATGGACGCCGGCATTGATGAACAAGCTATTGGACTTGAGAGAATCCAGCATCACTTCTGAGGTTATCAAGTTCTACGCGGCAGTTTTAAAGAAGTATTCCTTGACAGACCTTGGAAGCAGCTCCCGGAGAATAGTTGCCGACATTGTTGGCTGCGTAGCATCCTCGTCCAATCATGAGCTCGTGCTGGAGACTCTGGGCCTGCTCACCGACATGCTCGAGCACGAGCCAGGTGCCCAGCTTCCGAGCGTCGAAAAACCTCTCATAGAAAAAGCCTCCAACAAAAACTACTCGACAGAGATCCGTCAAAAGGCGCTCCTTTGTCTATGCTCGCTGGTCACCAAGTCGGAGGTTTTGGACTTGCAAACTGCGTTGAAAGTGTTTGTGGACACCATAACGGTCGAGTTTCTGGTGGCTGTGGACCTGCATTGTATTGAGACTATAGTGTCTCGTATTCCACAGAACCTGTCTAGCGACTGGTATCATCCGATAGTTTTGCAGTTGGTCGAATATCTGACAATTTCCGAGCTCCAGGCCCAGAGTTTGAATACACTGGCTAGCCTGGCACCCTACCTGGACGAAAAGGACGGTCTCCTGGCATTTGAGCGCATTGTTGTGGCCAGCGAGGCGGGTAAAATCGCTTCGGAAAATGCAGTTTGCGTTTGCATGATCTTGAGCGTGTTGATTACCAAGGTGACTGTTCCGGACGTCGATCGACTCATTGGTTTGCTAGTTCAGTTCTCAAAAGCCCCTGGCTTTGACCAGAACACGCTGGCTGACCTAACCAATGCCATACTGGGCCAAAAACCGGCCAAGCAGTTTATTGATGTTGTGCTGCAACATGGCACGCATAGCGACCCAAACGTGTCCAAGATTCTGGGTCTGGTAAGCGTGAGCGACAAAAACTTTGCCTCCATTGAGGAGACACTACAGAATTTGAATAACAACGAAAACGTGCTGTTTTCCATTACGTTTCTGGACCAGGTGTCCAAATCCATGGATCTGGATGTTGGACTGGCACCATTTGTGCGTCATCTCGGCGACGACGAAGAGATTAAAAACGCTGCTATCTCTGCGATCGCCACTATCGTGTCTCGCAACCCGGAAAAATATCTCAACGAGTTGAAAACAAAACAGATCGAAATGGGGGCCACAGTTCCCATCCTGCATGCTCTAAAGACCGCTTTGCAAAATATCAATCTTGACACGACATCCTCCAAGCATCTATTCAATCTGCTACTCAAAGCCGAGCTTGAAAAATCGGACGCTGTGGAGGCAACAGCTGCAATAATTGCTTTTCTTGCAATCCACGACTCGTTGCTGCCGGAAATGTGCTCTATTTTGTCCTCCAGCCCGTCTCGGACACAGAAACTGGTGCTAGGTTCTACCACAAAGCAGGTGCTTGTTGACCCGTCGTTGGAGTCGGACTTGATCTTACTGTCCAGATACCTTGAGCTAACATCTGCGGAAGAGTACATCTTTAGTGGCGATCTGGAACTCAAACAGCTTGGAGTTTCGAATCTCATCTTTGCTTTGCACAAAAAACCCCTGGTTGCTCTTCCGCTGGTGTCCAAGATCATGCCGCGCCTGCTTGAAACCGAGCTGGAGCAGAAGAAGGAATATGTCGAGGTCGTTAGGATTGGTCCTTTCAAACACAAGCTGGACAAGGGTCTGAACTACCGAAAAGGGCTCTACGAGATGGTGTATTCGCTGCTGACCACACTCGAGACCAATCCGCAGTTTTTGGTGATCAGCCAGATCGACTGGGGCCAGGTGTTTGAGAAATTTGTGGCCAGAGCGTTCAAGGACGACCCAACCGTCATTTTCATCTGTCTGTTGACGCTCATCAAAATCATCAGCCTCAAACCGACGATTTTCGCCGGAAACCAGACTCTTGAAAATTTCATCGCAGCATGTTCCAAAGTGCTGGATAAAAAACTCAAGGACGACGCTCCGAAGCAGGAGCTCGAGAAACGCAACGACACTGTGCGGGCCGTCCTGAGATGCTGCAAAAAAATTAACACCATGGTGGAAGCCGGTCAGCTCAAACTGGACAGCTACTCGAGCTGGTCGAAGTTTGTCGGCACACTGAAAACCAAGTATCCTATTTTCGATATTGAGGAATGACCATACATACGTTTAGTAGCCAAAACACTCCAGACCTTTATCAAATCCCTGCTCCCATTCCCAAATAAAATTGCTACTTCCCCGGGAGGCAACGTGCTGCTGCCGTCTGAGCGCCTTCCATGCTGCTCTGCGGCCGATCCGCGAGTTATCAAATCTCGCAAATTCCACGCTGTCGCTCCAGGCCGTCTCGAAACCTTCTTTGTACCGCCAATGCTCATACTTCTCGTTTGGATTCTGCCGGTTCCAGTAGTCCTCGTGTGCTTTGAGATTCTCGCCGAGCAGCCTGTTTTTGTCCTCTCCAGACGGAATCTGCGGCTCTGAGCTCCGCGACGGAATGCATCCGGACTCCACCATCGGCTTGAACCCCCACTCGCCGCCGTCCCCGTGCTCAAACTTGAATGTCCAGAAGTAGGACCCAAAACCGGCACGTTCTTTGAACAGTCGCGCCTGCTCATTGCCAAAGCGACGCACACACGCCTGACGGTCGAAGCTTCCCTTGCACCACGACGAATTGTCCAGAACACACGAATACTCGCCGATCATAAAGTCTGCCGGGCCAGACAGGTTGGTGAGCACCGATCCGGACAGATCCTGGATGATCTGGTCTACCCCCTTATTTTTGTCCTCGTCGCTGAAACATCTGTACACGTGGTGGTCGATAACGATCCCCGGATCTGTGCCGCTCTTAGTGTGGCCGTTTACAAACTTCACCCACTGGTCCGGCCACCAGCCATCGCTGATGACCACGGGGATGTCTGGGTTAACCGACCGGATGGCTCTGACAGCCTCGAAATAGTACTTTTTCTGCCCCATGGCCTCGTCAAAATCCGACTCGTTCACAACCTGTAGACCACACACGTTCTCAAACGAGGCAAGGTCGGAAGCTATGAACTTGACAATCGCCACAGCCTTATCCACGGCCTTGGAGCTCTTCCAGAACCCGGCCTTGTCAAAACGCTCTCCCGAATGGCCTCCTGTGTTGGCTCCCTTGGGCAGAGCATGCAGATCAACAACGACAGAAATATTGTAGTTGGCGGCCTTCTGGATGTACTGTTTGTAAATTGTCCACGCGTTCTGATATACTGCACCCACAGACTCGAAAGATGTGCCGCTGTTGAATTGGCGAGGGTCGACCGCCCAGTAACCGATTGGTAGCCGGACTGACTGCACGCCCTTGGACTTGAGCCAGTTCCAGTCGTCATCCGTGCAGTAGCCTGTCCAATGAGCCTCAAAGAGCTTTCTGGTCTCGTCGATGCCCTTCTTCTGCACGTTCATCTTGACGGCGTCGAGCTCGTACTCGGTGTTGCCAAAGAGACTGTCGAACATGTACTTCTCTAGCACAAACACGGAGCCGAAGTTCACGCCAAAGTTTTGACGGTAGAGATAGAGCGTTCTGCGGTCAATTTGCGACGGGGCGGCAACCGCGGGAAAGTCGGACGAAAGCTTGTCCTTGAGCTTGTCAAACATATTATGGCAAATTCTGTATTATTTATTGCTATATATCTTTATCGGCCTGAAACTTTCCCACGTGACCGATCGTCACGTGGTCGACCTCTTCGTCGGAGCGGCGCGACGTCTGCGCGGAAAGCAGCAAGGGCCGTTCCGGCGGCTGGCGTCCCGTGACCACGCGGAAGATCTTGACGGCGACGTCGCGGCTCTCCCAGAGCGGGTAGAATATGATGAAGCACGCCGCAAGCAACAGCCAGATCATGATTATCACGATCCACGCACGGAAAAATTTCTTGCTGTAGATATACTTCTGGCCGTACATTGGCATTGGAATCAGGAAGATGACAATGAAGAAGAATGCCCACGACATCATCTGTGCGATGGTCGAGTATCTCTTCAGCTCCTTGGCGGAGTCCTTCTCTGCCACCTCCATTGCCTTTGCTTCCTGCACGGTAGCATCGTCCCCGGCAACGAAGTTTGAATCCAGCGTGCCAAAATCGTAGTCCTCTTTGAGCGGTCGGATGTAGGAGATGGCCACAATGAATATCAGCGAGCTGAAGAGCCCAACAAAGTTACCGACAGCGCAAGAGTACTGTTCACCAAGCGTGTCTTTGTTGACCGCTCCGTAGAGCGACTTGGCAGAGGAGCACCAGCCGATGATGGCAATGACGGTAGCAAGTGGCGGACCAATTATGACGCTCAGCGGCGTCATTTTTTTCCAGAACAGGGTGAGCACAAACGCAAACACGCCGGGACCCAGGGCGATCCCGATAAACGTGATGATCCACGAGATGGTGATCCCGATATAGTTGAACACCACGGTGAGGGCGCCCATGGCAATGGCAAAGACGGTGACGCACAGGTGTGACACTCTGATGAGCTGTTTTCCGGAAGCGGCCGGGTTGATGTACGCTCTGTAGATGTCGTAGGTGACGACGGACGAGAAGCCGATTAGCTCGGCACTGGTTGCAGACGTGGCTGCGAGCCACACCATCAGCATGCCGGCAGCGGCTCCGGAGCGGCCCAGAATCTGGTACATTCCGTACAGCATGGGGATGCCCTCGTTGACGAGCTCAGCCGGGATCGGGCCAGGGTAAGTTGGCGAGGACTTGTCGTGCATCAACGCCAGCGCCGACAGGGCTGTGCACGAGGAGAGCGCAAGCGGGATGATCAGCCAGCACAGGCCGCCGAAAAAATACCCCCACATGCTGCTCCGGGGGGACGCAGCAAGCGCTTTCTGACTGTAGCTGGGGTCGGTGAAGACGGTGGAAAAGCCGCCCACCACGATGTTCCAGCCGTTGAACAGTGCCGTTTTGTTCGTCCATGTCAGATAGCTGCCTTTGTACCCTGCGGAAGGGTTGGTTTTGGCCGTTTCCTGGAGTAGCTCGTACATCTTGTCGATGGAGCCGATCTTGCTACTCTGGGTGTACGTGGTGAACAGTGCCACCGCGATGACCACATAGATGATCACCGTGTGTATCCAGTCCGACAAGAAGGTCGATTTCAGTCCGCCTGTCACGGTGTACGCCCAGACCCCAAGCGGGAGCAGCATGGCGGCTGCAACCACGTGCATGCCGGTGATCACGCTGATGGCCTGGCATCCGCCAAGCAACAGCATGGCGGAGATAATGACGTTGGTGCCCATGCCGTAGAACAGACACACCCAGTGCGCCGCGCGTCCAAAACGCGCCCGCACAATTTCCAGCACCGTGTGTGCTCCCGGGGCCTTGCGCTTAATTTCCAGGGCCACCACGGAAAAAAAAGTTATTTGGATGGTGAACGCAAACGCATACCACGCACCAGGGATCCCGTACTGATAGGTCATTCCAGAACTAGTAAGTACGGTGCCTCGGCCAGGTCCAGGACGATACGACGGCCGAGGCAACAAGGCCAGTCTTGACGTTCCTGGACGCGGTGGTGAAGTGCTCTGAGTCCTGCACCTCGCCGGCGTATTTTTCCAGTGCCTTCGTGATGCCAATCATCAGCGCGGCGAAAACGGCTCCCAGAGCCAGAATGTAGCAGTAGCCGTAAGCTTGTTCGAGAATTGCTTGAACCATTGTAGTTTAGTAGCACAAAGAGCGTCCCTGATGGAACTCTTAAATAGCATTTTTGAAGCAATTGGTGGTGGCAGATAACAAGCTCAATCTCGTGCTCGCTTATTTTTTCCTCCGTTATCTCTCGTGCCTGCTAACTAATCAATTCCGATCTTTCGCGAGCTCGTGCGCTGAGCGGGTTTGTTTGTAGTTTTTATTATTGTTTGGCCTTATCGATTTCCGCTTGCGGAAATTATTTCGTATCAGGCGGAGCACGATTGCTCCTGCATTGTGTGCTCTGCAGCATGAAGACGGCGACACAAGCGGCGACATAAACGGCGACATAAACGGCGAGTCTGTGCGCCGTCTCACGCCGTGATCGTCCTTGCGTATCGGAGTAGTCGCTTGCTGCCAGAAATAAATACTATCTCTGCTACACTGCTCAGGCATGGGTACTAAGTACGGCAACCTGGTGGAGACGCTTGTCACCATCGACCTGGAACGACCAGCGTGGGAGCAGGAGGGCCTGCACAACAGATGGCATCCCGAGATCCCCTGCTACAAAAAGATGAAACAGAACAAAGCGTACAAAATCGAGTGCTACGACTGGACGGGAGGCCAGGTCGGGAACAACGACTCTGCCGATGACATCAAGTATTGCGACCTTACAAAAATCCATTATTTGTCTGGGCCTTTTGAGGTGGAAGGCGCTGAGAAGGGCGACGTTCTGGTGGTGGAGATCCAGGACGTCCAACCTCTCGAAAGACAGCCTTGGGGATACTGCGGGATCTTCGCCAAGGAGAACGGGGGTGGGTTTCTGGACAAACACTATCCAAAGGCTGCCAAGGCCGTGTTCGACTTCGAGGGCATCCACTGCTCCTCCAGACACATCCCGGGCGTCCGTTTTGCTGGCCTTGTCCATCCAGGAATTATTGGAACCGCTCCCAGCCACGAAATCCTGGCAGAGTGGACCAGAAGAGAGACAGAGCTCGTGGAGTCTAACCCAGACGCAGACTTCGTGATGGCCAACCTGCCAACGGAACAGAACGCCTACGCGGGTGCTTGCGGCTTGGAACTGCAGTCCAAACTGGCACAAGGAGGAAGAACCATACCGGGCCGTCCTGAAAACGGTGGCAACTGCGACATCAAGAACCTGTCGCGCGGGTCCAAGGTGTACTTGCCGGTCAACGTGGACGGAGCCAAGCTGAGTGTCGGGGACCTGCATTTTTCCCAAGGAGATGGCGAGATCTCGTTTTGCGGAGCAATTGAGATGTCCGGGTCCATCACGCTGAAATGCTCTGTTCTTAAAAAAGGCATGTTCAAGCTCAACATGAAAAGTCCCATGTATTTGCCTGGACCAGTAGAAAACCACTACGGCCCAGGCAGATACCTCACGTTCGAGGGCTTTTCTGTCGACGAAGACGGCAAACAACTGTGTTTGGACACGACGGTCGCATACAGACAGACATGTCTCAGGGTCATTGAGTATCTCAGAAGATACGGCTACAATGACTACCAGATCTATCTGCTGCTGTCCTGTGCGCCAATCCAGGGCCACATCGCGGGAATCGTTGACGTGCCAAATTCGTGCACCACCATTGGCTTGCCGATGGATATTTTTGAGTTTGATATTTCTCCAGAAAAAGATGTCGTCAAGCGCGATCTTGGAAACTGTGCTTTCGCCAACGATGATCTCGAAAAAGGTTTTCCGTTGCATGGCGAACTTCCAAATTTTCTTTTGGACAATATCACTAAATAACATCTTATCGATCAAACGTCAGGTACCAGTAAGATTCTGCCCAGTAGCTGTTGTCCCGTTGGACGACCGCCTTTTTTGCAACCATCCAGTCTAGAACAAGCTTCAGCTCGAACGGCTCGTACAAAGGACTAAACCGCAGACAAAGCAGACGGAACGTCACACCGGGGCGGAAAACTATGCATCGCAAAAGCGAGCACACCGTCTTGAACCAAATCTCCACATTGAGGTCCCCATTGAGGTCGATCCAGAGACGCGAGCACGGCGACCCGCTTGGAGGAGCCACTGGCTTCAAATCTATCGCCGTGTGCATGTCGTGCAAAATAAAATCGCTCTCGAGCTTCGTCTTGTCCTGGCTCTTGGTGGAGTAGTTGTCGATCAGTAGTGGCGGGCTCTGGTCGATTCGCGTAACCTTGATTTCGCCCTGGGCCATCATATTTATCAGGGGAGCAAAACAACTATCTGGCGACAAGGGAGACAAAATGATTCCCTTGTTGTTCAAAGTTGCTGTTTCCATCATCTCCACGAAACCAGCACACTGGTCAAAAAACGTCCGTGTGAACTTCCAGTCGATCAGAGACATGATTTTCTCGGTCAGAGTGAACTTGATTGGCGAGTCTTCGCCCAAATAGGCAATCACCTTGTCGTCCTCCAACTCTGCCAGAGCCTTTGCATAGACATCCTTTTCGGTCGAAGAAAACACCTTTTTGGCTTCTGCAGACGAAAACTTGTCTGGTCCCGTTGCAAACAGGGCCTTCAGCTTGGTCTTTGCTTCTTGGACGCCCGTAGGCTCCAGGCTCGGCTCCTCAGAAACCAGCGGATACGTAAACATCGCCCGCGCACACTGCTCCTCGCGCTCAATAATAGAAGTGCCTTCTCTGAACACATCCAGTCCACGCAGGTCAGTATCGGACCGCCACCGGTGCTCCTTGAAATTCTCAGAGTAGTTGCGGTAAAGAACAACATCGTGAGTATTTTCAAACGAATCTGCATCCACAGACCTCCACAGAGAAATCATCCCATTCAAGTCGTAATCCAGCAGCTCCTCCTCGCCAATATCACCATTCGTGATGGCTGACATCAAAATTCTCTCCCACGTCTTCCTGGACAGCTGTAAAGCCCTGATTCCAATTGCACGTTTGTGGCGAGGCCATTGTCGTCTCAAAACTTCAGAAGTGTACTTGTCCTGGAAAAGAGCAGACACCTTGGCCCAATCGATGGTGTTGGCCGGCGACAGTGATTGCGAGATGGTGATTGCACGGACTAGGACCATGACGTCCTTGCTGCTCAGACGTGTGTTATTCCGTGCGCGTTTCGTTGGAGCTGTTGAGGCCGCTGGTGTTTTTTGACGTGTGGAGACTTTCTTTCTCTTTCTTGATTCCATCAGCGGAGCAAGCAGGTCCTCGTCGTTGGAGTTACGGGGCCGTTTTTTCTTGGACTCGGCGGGTTTTTCTGCTGCTCGAAGACGAACCTCCACTCTTTTTGCGGTGTCGAGACCTTTTCTCTGGTTTGACTTGCGAAGCTGGGATAAACGCTGAGACGGCATCTCGAAAAAGTGCGAATCGTTGGCCTTGAAAACGGGGCGCGTGGGAGCCGAGCTCAGTCGTGGGTTGACAGACCCAGTTTTGGAGCTGACAGAATGGGCAATGGCGTCGATATCGTCCTGTGACGGCTTATTTGTCACTGAACAGAGGACAGTGTGTGTGAACGAGCGAATCGAGCTTGGCACCTCTTTCACCGTGATCAGATTCTGTCTTTGCAGCACTGCCGCATCTTTCTTGACAGTCCGGCGGTCAACCAGATAGTTCACATTCAGAGCATCCGACACCTTCTTCGTCAGGTCCATATTGAGAGCAATGCATTTGCTTTCGTCAATAATATGAAGCAGCACAGAGCGACGTTTGTCAGGGCCGAAATCAATATCAGCATCCGGAAGAGGCTGCGGTACGTACGTCTCTGCCTTTGGCACAAACTTGGCGGGACTCTCGATACGTCCCTTGTGCTCGTCAAAGTGTCTTCCTATAATCGGTTTTGGCTGGCCAATCCGCTGTATTTTCTTGGATATAGCGATCTTCAGCGTGTCGTCGATAACCAGCTGCTTTATCTTGTTCTGCTTGGAAACGAGGCTCTTCAAAACAGGCCCCGAGTAGCCAAACCAGCAAAATTTGAATGTTTCGCTGCTGAAGAAAACTAGTGACACGCGCTTTGGAAATGGGTCAATATAGTGGCTAGCACTGATCTCTGCTATTGTCTGTGTATTCTCTTCTGTTTTTGCAAACTCTAGCCGTGGTTGCTCGACTTGTTGGCCTTGTCTTTTTAGGTATTCAGACTGGATCATGTGACAATAATAACGGGCCTTCCCGTCCTGATGCAAATAGCGTATCACGGCATTGGGTTCCGCAACAGGGGTGTCAAAAACGTACGAGCCAATGTAGTTGCCGAACGACTTCACAGAGAGGTTTCCGGTGATACAGGTGTTGAGTTTTTTGGTGGAGATTCCGGGACTGGCTTTAACAGTGTCAAAAATCTGGTTTTGGAGAGGAAAGAACGGATTGTATGTTGGAACCTCGTCCGTGTTGCTCTCGAAAACCGAGCCAAAAAGCTCGTCCTGATCATCCTCGCGGTCCTGGCTCAGCGAAGCCAGCTCAGATTTCAGTTCCTGGCGTGCATCCAGTGTTTTGGGAAGCTCCTTGAGGAACTGCAGCCCCACAAACTTGCGTCCGGACGACTCGTGTTCGACGTTTATTTTGCACGCGTAGCCCAGCATCACGAGGTTGCGGATGGCCTTGGCCAGCATTCTGCGTTCTTTCTTCGAGGTCAGACGCAGCTCGCGTGCCAGGTCGGACGGAACACGAACCCCATTTGGGGCATCCTGCAGCGACTTCATCACAACGCCCATGAGCTCAAAACTAGTTCGCAGATTTGCAAATGAGAACTGCTTTTCGTACTTTGTGCTCACAATGACATACGAGTTGGCAGAGTCAATAACTGCCGGGAACTTTTTCACCACACCAAGGTCTTCCAGAGTCTGCAATCGGGACGTCAGACTGCGACGGTCCTGACCAGACTGTCTGATCAGTTCCATTGACGTGATTCCAGCTTCTTTAGCTTTTGTAATATATCGCAATAATTCGTAAGGAAAATAACCCAGGTTATTATTTTCTTTCTTGACCCCCAGCAGAAACAAAGACTGTCGATCATCAGTAACGCCCACACAAAGTTTATCCTCGCCATACTTTTCCACAAGGTCCACCAGACTCATCTTCTTGTCGACTGTCTCTGTTTTGTAGGTTGTTTTGCCGCTTTTCTCCTTCGTGGCGGAGATAATAATATACACCAGGAGATCGTCCTCCTGCACGAGCCAGCTCCAGACAAGAGTCTTCTCAAACGCTCCAAACCGTGGAAACTTGCTCCTGACCTCCTCCCAGACCTCCGAAACGCTCAATCCCGTCTCCTCAACACAGAGACGGTCTAAAACGTCGTCCACAACCTTATCTGGGGAAGTGACAGACATGTAAATAAAAAAAAACTATTTTGTACATTTTTTATCAATTACTGTTATCGAGAAAAACAATGGTCATTAATTGTGCCGGTTAATATATCAGACAAAATGCACTCTGTCTGGTGCATCATCTATTAAAAGCTGCCAGATTTGTTCAACCAGTATTCTCGTCTAGCTGTCTTGTCCAGCTTCGAAGTGCTGGGCTTTTCTTGCTCGCTGTCGCTCGCAGCACCACTCGAGGAAACATCGCTTTCCCGATCATTCAGCCCCATCAGTTCGTCAATGTTCTTGTTGCTCTCGGGCTTCTTGCTCTGCGACTTTTCGTACAGTTGTTCCAGATGCTTCTCGTATTCAGACTCCGAGTCGGAGTCTGATATTATAGTGTACTGCTCGCTCGGGAGCGGCGGCAGCGAAGTCGCGCGACTGGATTCTCCGCTCACAAACGCAAGTGCCTCGTTCTGCACAAGGTCACGAGCATCCTCGAAATCTCGTTGTTTTCCTTTGTATTTGATAATGTCTCCCAAAACAGACTGTCCCAGTCTTTCTTTGTAGGTGGCCTGGTTCATCTCATAGCACTTGTTCACCAGAAGCTCAAAAGCTCCACCGAACGATCGCTTAATATCTCGCAGATTGAATGTGCCTCGGGAGATGTTGTTTGCCGGATCGTGGGGGTCTTGGATAGCCAATGTGAACGGGTTTCTGTTCTGAAATGCTGGATTTGAGTCCTTTGGAACATAGTATGGCTCTCCATCCTCATCAAACGCAATCGCTGTGTTGTCATATCCGAAATTGTAGCCGTACAGCTCGAAAAACTCGATAAGAAGCACACCCAAGTTTTCCAAAGGATCTATCGATTTGGTGGCCACTCTCGGATGGAGTTTCAAAAAAGACCTCACCAGACAAATCGTCGCAAAACCACCAAGACCGCCAGTGTGCACAATGTTGAGTTTCCGCACAGACAAAAACTGTTTCACTATCAGCACAAGCTCGCGGAGACCCGGAGTGTCTTTGAGCCATGAAATAATGAGCTCTGCCGCCTTGATACCGTTGGTCCTCTCAAAGGAGATATCAATGTGAATCTTGGTGGTAGGGTCCACGAACTTGATGATGGGCACTTTGGCCTTGGCAATGGCCTCCACATTAATTCCCAGTCTGTGGTTTCTTATATAAGATGAGAGCTGGTACAAAGACGATCGATTGTCGTATTTGTTGTTGCGGGCCTTGGAAACTACCACCATATCGATATCGGATCCAGGGAGATACAGGTCAGTAGCAAACGATCCAAAACAATGCACCTCCGCATCGGGCCACATCCCCGTGATGCACTCGCGAAGTTTTCCCACAGTGTCATTACGGGCCTTGATTTCTTCCGCGGACGGAGAAATATACTTGATGAAATCCTTGATCTCCATCGTCAGCCAGTCGCTGATCTCTATCTGTCGCGAGTGGTCATTATTGCGGATCCATGGATATTTGGGGTTAAAATTCCCGGTCTTGTAGTCGGCAGACTTTGTATGGTACACGGTTTCGTCGTTACTCAGATATTCGTTCTCGCTATCGGAGATCTTGGGCGATCCCTGTTGGTCGAACTCTTCGTTCTCGTCTCCGGATGAGGTTTCAAACCCGATAAAGTCCTGGTTCTCGAGCACGGCATCTCCAGGAATAGAATCTGCTGAGTCTTCTTGTTTTAGCGGTTTTTGTTTTTTGGCCGGAGGCTCTTCATTTTCGCTGTCGCTGGACGACGACACCATTACCACCTCGTCGCCAGCATCCTCCAGCTTCTCGTAGGAGTTTTCGGCCCGCACAAACCGAGCTTTCGAAGGCCCCAGTTTTCGCTTGGACATATATATATTTAAATTTTTTTTTGAGAAAAAATATGGGGGCTACAGGTTCCTAGAGGAGGGACGGCACGCAAGGACCCATGTGCCCAGGAGTCCCTTGCCCTGTCATTGGACAGTGTAACTAGGCTCATTGAAGAGAGAATTCTGCATTTTCATCACCAAAAGTCGTCAGCTTACCTTGCCCCTACCCATTCGGCACTGCTAGAAAATAATTATTAGGTATTTTTCATAAATTATTTTTTATTTGAGTGGCAAACATGGCGGACAGATACTCGTTTTCGTTGACCACTTTTTCGCCAAGGTAAGTTGCACCGGCCGGCACGACTAACATGTCAGCGGAAAGCTAAAGCAAATTGAGCACGCATTGGCGGCAGTCAAGCAGGGAGTCACGTCTCTGGGCATCAAGGCCACGAACGGCATTGTGCTGGCCACAGAGCGCAAATCGACGTCTGTGCTGGTCCAGGCGGACTTTGTCGATAAGATTGTGCACGTTACACCGGATATTGGCATGACGTACGCGGGAATGGGTCCCGACTTCAGAGTTCTCACAGACAAGTCCAGAAAAGTGTCGCACACAAACTACAAGAGAGTATATAACGAATACCCACCAACCAAGATCCTTGTGTCTGAGGTGGCAAAGGTGATGCAGGATGCGACCCAGAGCGCAGGTGTGCGTCCGTACGGCGTGTCGCTGTTGTTGGGAGGCTACGACGAGAACAGCGGATTCATGTTGTACCAGGTGGATCCTTCAGGGTCGTACTTCCCATGGAAGGCCACGGCCATTGGCAAAGGCTCGAACGCAGCCAAGACATTTCTGGAGAAACGGTGGAACGAGGAGCTGGAGCTCGAAGATGCCATCCACATTGCGCTGCTGACACTGAAGGAGAGCATCGATGGCGAGATGAACGGCGACACCGTCGAGATCGCCGTGATTGGCGCGGAGAACGAGGACCAGCTGGGTTTCCGTGGAGCCGCTGGCGTGCACGGCCCCAGATTCAGAAAGCTGTCGCCAAAAGAAATCAACGATAGATTGGAAACTTTGTAGGGAATAATAGTATATTGGCACAGTAATTTTACTCTTTTATTTTCTTTGCAATGTCCAATTACGCACAAGGTTTTATAGATTTCGTCAACGCCTCGCCTACTCCATACCACGTGGTGGATACTGTGAAGAAGCAGCTTCAACAGGCTGGCTTTGAGGAGCTGTCTGAGCGCAACAATTGGGACGGGTTCATCAAGAGGGGATCCAAGTACTATGTGACCAGAAACGGCTCCTCAATTATTGCATTCACGATAGGTGGCTCGTACCAGCCGGGAAACGGTGTTTCAATTGTAGGAGGCCACACGGATTCGCCAGTTCTGCGCATCAAGCCGATTTCTGACCAAAGAAAAGAGGGCTATATTCAAGTCGGTGTTGAGACGTACGGCGGGGGAATCTGGCACACCTGGTTCGACAGAGACCTGAGCGTTGCAGGTCGCGTCTTTGTGAACGAGAGCGGCAAGTACGTGTCGAAACTTGTCAAGATACAGAAGCCGATCTTGAGAATTCCCACCCTAGCTATCCATCTCACCAAAGAGAGATACACCAAGTTTGAGTTCAACAAAGAGACACAATTCAAGCCAATTGCCGGGCAGTACCAGGAGCGTTCCAAGGATGCGGCTGGCTGTTGTGGAGGCGAGCAGCTCAGCGAAGACGAATACCAATCGCTGAAAAGCGTCGTCCAAAGACACAGCAAGGAGCTGCTGGATCTGATTGCGGCAGACCTGTCTGTGGACGTGGCGCAGATCGAGGACTTTGAGCTGATACTCTACGACACGCAGCAGTCGACGATAGGTGGCCTCAGCAACGAGTTCATCTTCAGCCCGCGTCTCGATAACCAGGTCACGTGCTACTGTGCTACTCAGGGGCTCATCAACTCTGTCCAGAGTCTGGACAGACAGGAGGGAATTCAGATGATCTCGCTGTTCGACCACGAGGAGATCGGCTCGTTGTCGGCCCAAGGAGCGGACTCGTCGTTTTTGCCCAACATCTTGGAGAGGCTGACCAGGCCGACCAGCCTAACTATCGACGGGAACGAATACGGCCCGAACAACGTTGCGTCCTCGTATTTCCTAGAGACGATGGCGAAGTCGTTTATTTTATCGTCGGACATGGCTCACGGCGTGCACCCAAATTACACAGAGAACTACGAGAGCCTCAACAAGCCTCGGCTCAACAGTGGCCCGGTGATCAAGGTCAACGCGAACCAGCGGTATGTGACGAACTCACCGGGAATCGTGCTATTGAAGAAGGTTGCCGATCTTGCAAAGGTGCCATTGCAGCTGTTTGTCGTGAGAAACGACTCTCCGTGCGGGTCGACCATCGGCCCCATGGTGAGCGCCAAGCTTGGAGTGCGGACGCTAGACCTCGGCAACCCGCAGCTCAGTATGCATTCTATCCGTGAGACGTGCGGCTCGCACGACGTTGAGAAGCTCGTGGCGCTGTTTGAGAACTTTTTTGAGCGCTTTTATGATCTCGAGCAGAGAATAGAGGTGAATTAAATCAAGAGAGAAAAAAATATTTTAAATATTATGAGGACCAGTGTAGTTATCGTTCAGCTGGTTTGGGCGGCGCTGTGTTTGGCGAAAAACACGTTTCCCGCGCTCATCGCGTCCAGCAAGCTGATCCCGGGGCTCAGGCCTGCGCTGCCTCACAGCGAGCAGCTGCCGTTCGATCTGGGCGAGGCCACGTCTACCATCTACCGCGTGCTGGAGCAGTGCACTTCGGACGCGTACATACTGATCAACATGCCTGGGCTGCGCGTGGACGATTTCCACCACTTTGAGCGGTTCAGACACCTGCGGGAACAGCTGTCGCGGGCGAGCACGGTCGTCGCCTTCCCCAACGTTCTTGTGGACGACGATAAACTGGCAATGGACGATTTTGTGCGGTTTTTGCGCATCCATTGCAACACCTTGACCTATGACGTGGTGCAGGAAGACGCTGCCGAGGTACCGAAGTATCTGGACACCCGGGCGAGAACCATCAACGTCCAGCTGGGCGGTCTGTCCGACGAGATGAGCCAGGCAGAACGCCTGGAGAAGCTGGACCAGTACAACGAGCTGCTGCGCGAGATCATGCGTAAGCTGCCCACGCCGCGCTACACTCTTCTTCTTTCCACTAACACAACGACTCCGTATGAGGAAAAAGAGTACAAGCTGATCCATCCTGAAGACGTTCCCGAGGACCCCAAGGACCTGACTGTGAGGGACAGACGTCTCGCAAAAACGGCCCTCAACATGATTTTCCCTGACATCACCGTGTTCGACAAGACGCGGTACTTGGAGATCGAGCGCAACAACCATGGCGAACGCGACGATTACAGCTCGCATCCGGACGGTCTTTGGGCTAAAGACCTTTTGGAGGAGGATGACACGTGGCTGGCCAAGAAGACCAAGACGATTAAGAAAGAGAAGTCGCTGTACCGCTTCAGCGAGGACCAGAGCGAGTCGCCTGCCGTGTTCGACCGCGAGTTTCTGATCGACAACGGGCCGGTGATCGTGGGGGGGCTATTTGTGGTCTTGACGCTGTTTGCGCTCGACATCTTGCGCGGTATCGTGCGGCAGGTGGCAGGGCTTATCCGGGGGAAGAAACTAAAGAGCGAGTGACACAAGGAGATGCGTAGCAGGAAATTAAATGGGCAGGAAAAATTAAATATTCACGATAAATAAAAAAAAAAAATAATAAATAGTTGATGTTTTTCCCACAGATCCGCAGGTACTCGGTGCAGGTCGCCGCGGAGATCGTCAATTGCTTGCGTGAGGGCGGCCCCGTGGTGGCTCTGGAGAGCACAATCATCTCGCACGGTTTGCCGTATCCTGCGAACCTTGAGATGGCCCTGAGCGTGGAACAGCTCGTCCGAGCCCACGGCGCTGTTCCGGCAACAATCGGGTTTGTGAACGGCAGGGCGAAGGTGGGGCTTTCGCAGGGCGATCTCGAGGCCCTGGCCCGGCCAGGAGAAAAGTATAAGGTGTCCCGCAGAGACATTCCGTACGTGATGGCTCGGCAGCTTACTGGCGGAACGACGATCGCTGCGACGATGATTCTTGCCCATCGCGCGGGAATCGACGTGTTTGCCACAGGAGGACTCGGCGGCGTGTCGCGGCCGTTCGAGTTGATGGACGTGAGCGCCGATCTGGATGAGCTTTCCAAGACCCCCGTTGCTGTGGTCTGTTCCGGGCCCAAATCCATTCTGGACGTTGCACGCACGATGGAGTATCTGGAGACCAAGGGCGTGCCCGTGGCCACTCTGGCAGATGGTCCGAAGACGCTGAACGTGCCAGGATTCTACACTAGAGACTCCGGCGTGGCTTCTCCGTTTGTTCTGGAGAACACGCTCGAGGCGGCACGGCTGGTGCACAGCGGCAAGGACGGGATGCGGCTGGAGAACGGCTACGTCTTTTGCGTGCCGCCGCCGGCAGACATCGCGCTTCCGGCAGAATACATCAACCGGGTCATTGCGCAGACGCAGCAGGAGGCAGAACAACTTGGTGTTTCGGGCAAGCAGCTGACGCCTTTTATGCTCGGCCGCATCAACGAGAAGACGGACGGGCTGAGCGTGAAATGCAACATTGAGTTTGTGCGCAACAACGCAGTGGTGGGGTCGAAAATCGCCGCCGAGCTTGCGCAGCTGCGCAGCTCGTTGCAACCAGTACACCAGCCGTCCAAGAATCCGGCCCCAAAACCGGCCCAGGAAACGACTCGAAAGCCCGCCAGAGCCGTTGTCGTCGGGTCTGTGGCGCTGGACTCCACCAGCACGGTCAGCACCGTCCGATTCCAGGACTCGTGTCCCGGCAAAACAGAGTACTCTGTTGGCGGGGTCGGCTTCAACGTGGCTCTTGCGGCCGCGGCCGTGGGCGGCCCTCAACACGTGGCGCTGGTCTCTGGCCTGAACCAAGCAGACTTTGCCGGTAAAACGGTCATGGCTGCTTTTGCCGAACGCGGACTCAGAACAGACGGGCTCATTCACCTTGCCGGCCGCACCGCGCAGTACACCTCAGTCCACGACCACCGCGGAGATCTCGTCATCGCGTGTGCCGACATGGCGATTGTGGAGCAGCTTGCTCCGCAGCATGTTGTCGCCAAGCTTGAGCAGCTGGACCCGAATTACGTGCTCATGGACACCAACGTGTCGGAGGCGGTGATGGATGCGGTTTTCGATAGCTGCAACGGCGCGACGCGGCTGCTGGTCGAGCCTACGAGCGGAACAAAGGCTCGGAAACTTGCACAAACCACAAGGCTGGGCTGTTTCCCTGAAAATAGAGTCCATCTGATCACCCCAACGGTTTTGGAGCTAGAATCGCTCTACAACGCTTTCTACGCTGCCGGCCGGTTCGAAGCGGTCTCGTCCTGGTTCAACGTTCTGGACTCGCTCAACATCAACTCTGCGCTGCGGAACAGGCTTGAAAAACAACCGATGGCCAGACAGTACCTCGAGAAAGGCGTGCTCCAGCAGGCGTTCCAGCTGCTACCCTACTTCCCTGCTATTTTGGTGAAGGACGGGCGCAACGGCGTGGTGCTGGTGGAAATCGTGGGATCTGAGACGGCAGAGGACGCGCAGAGTGCCGCGTTCAGCGTGCTCCACCGCGGGCGCAACGGTCTCGGCCTGCTTGTGAGCCACTACCCTGCGCAAAAAATAGAGGAACACTCGATAAAAAGCGTCACCGGCGCGGGCGACAGCCTGGCGGGATATTTGCTCGCCAGACTCGCGCAAACACGCGCGCTGCCTTTTGCAGCGGAGCGTGGCGCTCTTGTGCACGGCGCTCAGCGCGCCGCCGTCGCAAGCTTGCAGACCACCCAGGCTGTGAACTACGGAGCTCTGGCGAGGGAGATTACGTAAGCACACGAGTCACGAAATACAGTAAATATTTGGTATTTTCGCTAGCAGAAAACCACAGCCAAATGAGCATTCCCGAAGGCCGTGCAGAGACGTTGACGAGCGAGCAGGCGCAGGTTCTGAAGCTCATCTGGAAGCACTATCTCCAGGCGAACGGGTACACGGTGGGGGACGAGACGGCCAAGAGCAGCAGGCACAACACGCTGAGCTCTGTGAAGTCGAGCGAGAGCATCAAGAAGAACCGGAAAAAGGGTCTTTTTGGACGGTTTCGCCGCGGCCATAGCAGCAAGAAGGCCGAGGAGGAGCTCAGCACACACCTTAGCCACGATCTGGGTGGCCGGGTGCATGAGGCGTTCCGGCCGCTGGACGCAGAGACGCGCAACGCTTTCTGGGACTTTCTACGCCACGACACGCCGGACAACCTGTTGCTGCGGTTTGTGCGTGCGCGGAAGTGGGACGTGGACAAGTCCTTGGCGATGATAGCCAACACGATGGACTGGCGCAGGAACCAGTTCGACGTGGAGCGGGTTTTCCGCGAGGGCGAGCTGGGGATGCTGGAGGCGGGCAAGAAGGGCGTGATCAAGCAGTTTGCGACGGGCAAGTGTGTGATCCGGGGCGAGGACAAATCTGGCCGGCCGATTGTGATCATTCGGCCCCGCTACCACTTCCCGAGCGACCAGACCGAGGAGGAGATCGAGCTGTTCACGATTTTGGTGATTGAGTACGCGCGGCTGCTGATAAACGAGCCCATCGACTCGTGCTCGCTGATCTTTGACCTGACCGGGTTCAGCATGAGCAACATGGACTACACCTCAGTCAAGTTCATTATCAAGGCTTTCGAGGCACATTATCCAGAGTCGTTAGGCGTGCTGTTCATCCACAGTGCTCCGTGGATTTTTGGAGGCATCTGGAACATTGTCAAGAACTGGTTGGACCCGGTGGTTGCGTCAAAAATCCAATTCACGAAAAAAACGGAGGACTTGCTTGCGGTTATCGACAAGGCGCACGTTCCAAAGGATTTGGGAGGCGACGATGACTACGAGTGGAAGTATTTGGAGCCCACGAAAGAGGCCAATGGCAAGCTGCACACGGACGCAGAAGAGAAAGAGAAGCTAGAGCACGAAAGACACAAGCTGGTGGAACAGTTTATACATAAAACCCTCGAGTGGATCGAGTGCACCGACAAAGACAGAGACCACCATCTCATGGCAGATAGACTGGCGTTGGGCAGACAGTTGTCGGAAAATTACAAGAAACTGGACGGGTACATCCGCAACCGCGGAATATACGACCGTCTGGGCTACATAAAGTTTGAATGATGGATATAGATTTTGCTAAGGCAGAGTTACCAATGGACAGAGCCGTCGCCGGCGCCCTTGGTCCATTGGCCGGCCAGGCCGACGGTTTCGGAAGACGAAGATGGCGCCGGTTTTTCCTTGTAGCTGAGTATTCTTCTTCCCCAGCTGCCGGCAGCAGCGTTGCCGGTCTCGTCTCTGCACTGCTTGAGGAACGGTAGCAGGGCGGTGCCTCCGGTTCCGCGAATGTCCTTTTTGGGCGTCTTGGCCTTTGCAAGGCCGGCACGCAGCGTACTGGTGGTCTGGGAGCCCATGCTGCGCGCTTTTTGCGACTGGATCACGATGTAGCGGGTCACGATCTGGATATGCTTGTCTCTGAAACATTTGAGCATTGCGACGCACGCATCGTATGACAGAACAAGCTCAGAGTTCTCGTGGGCGTGCTTGGCCACGTAGTCACTCAAAATGTTGATCTTGCCCAGATGGGCCAAGAAGTCGGCGTGCTTGCCCGGCATGTATCGTCTCATGTCTGCCATGAATGCATTTTCGCCTGCAGAAGGAGCCTGCTCGCCCGTCGACCGGTGCTCAACGTTCAGCAGCAGGTCGAGCGCCTGAATGAGCGATGATTGCGCGTTCGAGCCGCCGCTGTACTCGCGCGGAACGGCCTCGTTGCCGTAGTAGACGCCGTTTTCGAGTCCGGCATCCTTCATGTTTTTCCAGCCCGCCAGATACGGACGCAGACGGAAGTAGAATACGTGTGGATCGCACATTTCTTCCATACGCATCAGCACAGAGCCCAGATAGTCGATTTGTTCAGCGAGCCGCTGCAGACACTGCACGACGCGGTCTGCCGAGCCTTCTCTGGCGTGTTTGATCGCTTCCAGCCCTGTCGTCAAACAGGAGGCGCCCTTGTACTCGAAATACACACTCACCAAATAAAACCAGCTCTCGTCAAAGGACCCGGTAAACGTGGAGATAGTCTGTATGTTGTCGAGGAAATCGGCGTCGGATTCGGGCAGAAGATAGCGGAAGTTCCACAAACACAGGTCTGCGTAGGTGGCAATGGGCGGCAGACGCAGATGCTCGGAAACAGCGATCCACGGCTTGGCCAGTTGTTCAGGAAGACGGTTTGTCGGCTCGGCCACTCCCCAGATGTATGCATGGGCAAGAAAGCCCAGCACCGAGTGCGCTCTCCGGAACTCGGCCTCAGTGTGTAGCTGCACCGTCGACAGCAGCGGCAGGGCGTCCACAACAGCGCGAATGCGCTTTGTCAACAGCAGGCCCGGCAAGGCCCGCACAAGTCGTTCCCACGGCTCGTAGTAGGGACCCAACGACTCCAGCGGTAGCTCCTCCGGCAGGAAGCCGGTCTTCTCAGAAACGTCGTACTGGGCCAGGTCCGGCAGTGGATAAGTGTAGGACATAGAAGGGGCAGAGGAAAGGAATAAATGTTTTTTTCCCTATTTTTTTCCACCTCCAGTTTCCTTATGGAGGTGTCAGCCGATTTCTGCATTGTGCGGAACATCCACTAAAATGCGAGTGTGGCGCGCAATGGATGTGTTTGGCGACTGGGATCACCAAGACCTCGCGTCCACGGCCTCACAATAGCCAGATGCCACTATCCCCCTTTTCGGCCCACTTTCCCTCGACCCCGCCACCGGTTTCTCCGCTTATGTCAGCCTGCACGGAATTGTTTTTTTATTTATTAATCATGACCTCCGACTCAGAAACAGCGGCGGCCGACCCGGCAGAGGCCCTCTGGCTGATCCCACCGGAACCGACAGCAGACGAGCAGTTCAGTCTCGCGCAGGTGGTGGCCGGGTGTAAGGTGTACGCGATCAAGGACGACGAGTGGCGGCTGGCAGAGATTCTCGCCCTCCAGCGCAAGAAGGGCAAGCCCGTGTACTACGTGCACTATGTGGAGTTCAACAAGCGGCTAGATGAGTGGATCGACGAGACGAAAATTGACACGCACCGGCCGATGTACCCTCCGAAGCCGCAGAAGGACAAGAAGGACAAGAAACAGACTCGCAAGAAGGTCGTCAAGAAGACGGCGCCCAAGTCCGAGACTCCGGAGCCGCAGCGCGCAACGAGCGAGCCCAACGAGGACGAAATGGACCTGGACAACTTGAATGTGCAAGGACTGGTGAAGGAAGGCGAGGAACTGAGCCGCGAGGATGAGATCGAGAGACTAAGGACGAGCGGGTCGATGGCACAGACGTCGACGAGCGAGCTGGCGAAAATCAGAAATTTCAGCAAGGTCATCATTGGCAACCACGAGGTCGAGCCGTGGTACTTTTCGCCGTATCCGGTCGAGCTCACCGAGGAAGAGTGTCTATATATATGTGACTTTTCGCTGTGCTACTTTGGGTCGCGCAAACAATTCGAGCGGTTCCGTGCCAAGTGCACACTGAGCCATCCGCCGGGAAACGAGATATACCGCGATGATTACGTGTCGTTTTTTGAGATCGACGGCCGCAAACAGCGCACCTGGTGCAGAAATCTGTGTTTGTTGTCGAAACTGTTTCTGGACCACAAGACGCTCTACTACGACGTCGACCCGTTTCTGTTCTACTGCATGACCAGAAGAGATGAAAAGGGCCATCATCTGGTGGGATACTTCTCCAAGGAGAAGGAGAGCGCTGATAATTACAACGTTGCTTGCATTCTCACACTGCCGCAATATCAAAGACATGGCTACGGAAAATTGCTTATCCAGTTCTCGTACGAGCTCTCGAAAATTGAGGGCAAGGTTGGCTCGCCCGAGAAACCGCTCTCTGACCTTGGCCTGTTATCGTACCGAGCGTACTGGGCAGAAACCATCTGTGCTCTGCTGGTGGAAAACGGAACCACCGACATCAGCATCGACGAGATCTCTCAGCTTACATCCATGACAACGACAGACATTTTGCACACGCTCCAGACGCTCAACATGCTGCGGTACTACAAGGGCCAGCATATCATCGTGCTCACCAACCAAATTCTTGAGAACTATGAGAAATTGCAGCGCAAAAAAAGACACAAGCTGGACCCATCCAAGCTGGTGTGGAAACCGCCCGTGTTCACGGCGTCGCAGCTGCGGTTTGGCTGGTGATCAGTCCCAGGGAACCGTGTGTTTTGACAGGGCGCTCGCGGCCGCCGCGCTCGGAATCTTGATTCCGCAGCAGTCGCCCCACGTCGAGTGGTCGTGGCCGGCATGCTCGTCGTCGTCGTCGTCGTCTGCATGCTCCGAAATGCCGTCGGGACATTTCAAAATGCTGCCAAAAAGGAAATGCTGCACCACGGGCAGTTTGCCTAGCACCTCCGCCTTGTACATCTTTATCATACCCTCCTCGATCTTCGCCCACGACCTTACACCACTGATGTCGTCCAGCATTGGCGAGTGCCATCTAAGCGATTCTGCACCAGTTTTCACTTGGTTTATAAATGCAATGCACCCAAAGTATAGGTATTTGTCCTTGAACTCTTCGACGTAGTCTTTCTGGTGGATCGTAAGCGGCCGAGGACGCGAGAAAGGCGCCAGCTGCGCGGCGCCAAACAGGAACGGCAGGAAATGGTAGTCATCCAGTCCCCAAACGCCGTGTGACCCTGCTGGTTCGAGCCAGTAAAGCAATTGCAAACGGCGCATCAGTTTGAGGTACCTGTTGAAGATGCGAAGAACGAGCCATTTGAAGTCTGCGGGCTGGAAAAATCCCAGCTTGTATAAACAGAGGAGAAAACATGCAAAGTTGAGCTCGTGTCCAGACCCGTAGTCGATCCGCGTGCGGTCACCAAACGAGTTTAAGAGATAACAACCAAGCTCCTCTGCGTGCTCCTCACCAACACAGTCTTGAACGAGGCCGGTGACTTTGGTGGCCAGCTCGTCGTAAAAATCGCGGAACTCAGGCTTGCCAAACCGGCTGCTAGTGTCCTTCACGACGGGGTGATTGTCAACAATGCCGTTGATTTTCTCCAGAAGCTGTAGAACCTTGCAAACCTTATCGCTCAGAGAATCGTCCGTGTACCCCAGTTCCAGGCCGTGCACAGACTTGGCCAGGTCCACCACAAATTGCACCATGTCATTGTATACGGAGCTGTGTTGGAACTTGGCCAGATCGTCGGGCGTTCTTAATCGTTTTGCGGGAACAACCATGTTTATTGGCAAATTTAATTATTTCTCCTTCTCGGGCTGTGCTGATTCGCAATTATCTGCTGACGTAGGTACCTGAGCGACCGGATCTGGTTTTTGGTGAGCACTATTTTCAGAAGTGTTTTTGTGCTGGCACGAAGCCAGCCGTTTGTGCTGTGCGCATTTTGTAGCTCGCTGATTTGCAGCTGTAGTCTTTGGATCTGCTCGTTGCTGGCGCGGAGCTTGAGCCCAAGCTCCTGCTGAAGCCTGCCAACGCTGAACTCCAGCGACCGGTCCTGCAGTGCGCGGTTGTGCTGTCTGCGCATCAGCCCCAGCTTTAGGTTGTTGATCTCGGCCTCCATGTCCTCTAACCGGAGCTCCATCGCAGACGATGCCTCCTGACGCCCCATCTCGGACGGGTCCACATTGACGGCCCAGACCACGGCGAAGGGCAGCAAAAAATATAGGAACCGCGTCTCGTTGCACACCAGCGCACTCAACACCAGAATGAGCATAATTATGTGCACAATGCTCAGCTTAGCGGCGCCTAAGACACGGCCGATCCGGGCGAAAACAAGCCCGATTTTCTGGCCAAACCGCTGCGGGTCCAGCGGGAGGCTGCTATAATACAAGTAAGCCAGACTGCCAATAGCGCACAAAACAAGGAGATTGACGCTGAAGGGGCTGCTCAGAGAGACCCGTAGATGGCTCTTGAGAGCAAACGAAATCAGAACCGAGGTCAGCAGTAGCAGAAGATTCACCGCGGTGCGGTCCTGCCGTCGTGGGGCGCGTTCGCGCTTGGAAAGTTCGTCCACACTGCTGCTGAGCGACATAGGACAGACTTTAGGGGACGTGCCCAAAAAATAAAGGGGGATCGGGTCACGTGACCTATCTAGCGGGCTGGCATGCCCTCGTCCTATAATGAAAAATTTTGTAGGCAAATTTATTATTATTTCAAGATGGTTTTAGTTCAGGACCTGCTGCACCCAAGTGCTGCCTCCGAGGCCAAGAAGCACAAGCTCAAGACCCTGGTGCAAGAGCCAAGATCATTTTTCATGGACGTCAAGTGTCCCGGATGTTTGCAAATCACCACCGTGTTCTCCCACGCCCAAACTGCCGTGACCTGTGATTCGTGCACCACTGTTCTGTGTACGCCAACTGGAGGTAAGGCTAAGCTCTCTGAGGGATGTGCATTCAGAAGAAAGTAAGCAGAGCATGATAATCAGGGGGAGAAGCGGATGTTCATAACTTGAAGCAATGAAATACGATTAAGAATATGTTAGCCGCGATGCGCTGGCGAGATGCGCCCAGCGACAGAGCGAGCATGCGGTAGTGCCTAGTGGCAGTGTAGTCGAGGTGTAGCTGTCCTACCTGGGCTTACGTAAGCCGTCCAAGTGTGAGATCGAGACGGGTCTTGCAGTTGATGAGGGTTTGTAGACAAGATGGGGCAGTGTGGGAGTCCGCTGCTTGAGGCGAGAAATTGCACATTCTGCTGGACATTTATTACATGCGCCAGCTGTAAAGCTGGTCTTCCTCCCGCCACGCTAGACGATGATGTGAATTTTCCTCCCGCGAAATTGATCAAATTATGTCTCACAAATTTGTCGTTCTTGACAATCCTTCTCACCTTACCCCCGTGGCGACACCAGGCGTGCTCACCGTGGCTGGGTCCGACCCTAGCGGAGGCGCAGGTATCGAGGCCGATCTCAAGACGATAACCAGTTATGGTTGTTATGGCCTAACATGCATAGACGTGCTCACGGTGCAGAACACTTTTGGAGTTTCGGGTAAACTGGAGACTGCAGCGACAGTTGTGCAAGGCATTCTGGAAGCTGATTTTGCCCACGGTGGAATTAATTGCGTCAAAATTGGAGTTATAACCAGACCGGTGCTCACCGCCCTAGTGCCCTTTCTGGAGACCTTCCGGCCGCAATTGGTGGTCGACACAGTTATAAGCTCAACCTCCGGCTTCACTCTGGCCAAGCAGGCGCTGGTGAGGGACTGTATAACGCAGCTCTACCGCTATGCCACGGTCATTACGCCGAATTGGGATGAAGCAAGAATAATCTACAGCCTGCTGTTCCCGGACAGCAATGTGGGGGAACCCTCGATAGCCGGATGCGAGGATCTAGCACGCGAGCTCGCAAACGCCATCGGATGTCGCGCCGTGCTAGTAAAAGGAGGGCATGTTCCTGCGCAGCGTGCCATCACAGACGTATTGTACGACCGTGCGCGCGACGAGGTGGTGCACTACAAACATCCTAAAATTGTCAATGCAAAAAATACACACGGGACCGGTTGCACCCTGAGTTCGGCTATTGCGAGCGGGCTCGCATGTGGCTTGGACCTGCACACGTCAGTGGAAAAGGCCATCGTATATGTCCACAACGCGATCAGGCTCGCCGACTCGACGATCGGCGCGGGAAACGGTCCGCTGAATCATGTCTATAGAATGCCATCATGCTAATTATGTCTTTTTGGAAGTCTGTTGAGCGTATTTTTCAGAATCTCCTTGGTTTTGAACAGGTTGGTGATACGGATTCGCTCGTTGTTAAGATGCGCATTGTCGCTGGCCTGTCCCGTGGGCAGATGCACGGCCTCGCAGCCAAAAGTTTTTTCCAAAAACCTGATCGACGGGATCGAGCCACCCTCTCTGATAAGCAGTGGCTCGACCCCCCACTCCTGCTCGATGTTCTTGAGCAGGATCTTGTTGGCCGCGTTGTTGACGTCTGCAAGCCATGGCTCGGCCTCGTGGATCACACGCACGGTGAGATGGTTTTCCGTGTGCAAGAGCGCAAACTTCTCCTCCAAATAACTGATCAACGAGCTCTTGATCCGTTGCAGATCTTGGTCTGGCACTATGCGGATAGAGAGCGACGCAGACGCCGTTTGCGGGATCACGGTCGAGTTGTTGGGCCCAGACACACTCACATTGTGGATCGTGAGCGACGGCAACCGCCACTTGGCCATGAGCTCGTCGCTGCGCAGCTTGCTAATCTTGCTGGTGATTTTCTCATATGACTCAAGTTCGTGCTTGGTCACCTTTCTGACAGGTGTGTAGAAGTCTGGCAGGTTCACCTTGCCGTCGTCGGCGTTGAGTTTGGAGAGCAGGTTGATCAGGTCGATGGTCGGCTCGCGCGAAATGCCCCCGTCCACACCAGAGTGTCTGTCTGGCTTGTCGGAACGCACCTCCACGGTGGCAGAAATGACCCCACGTAACCCATAGTTGAGACAGGGCACCGTGTCGTCGAGCCAGTACGAGTTGCTCAGAAACACCCAATCAATCTCGCCAAACAGCGACCTGTTCTCCTGTACCACCTCCTGGAACCCAAATGAGCCGGACTCCTCCTCTCCCTCCAGTAATATCAAAACGTCTGCTTCCAGCTCCTCTTTCTGGAATAGTTCTGCCACAGCGTACATCGCGGCAAGCAGCGGGCCCTTATTGTCGCTGACGCCCCTCGCGTACAGGTAGCCATTTTGCGCAGTTAGGTGAAACGGCTCTGTGCTCCATGAGTCGGTGCTGCTCACGTCAATCACGTCATAATGGCCGTACCACAGAATTCGAACGGGCTTTTTGGTCGGACGGTTGGCCTTGAAAAGCGCATACACCACCGGATTGGCGTTTGGCACTGGCAAAAGCAACACTTGAGATGCTCCAAGGTTGCGCAGCAGCGTACGTAGAAAATTTGCACACCGCCGCGACTGGTCGATGTACAGCGCCGGCAGCTTCGACACGGTTCTGTACTCCACGAGCTTTGCCAGCACCTCAAGCATGCGGTCTGTTGATGTAAGATCAACAGGACGCTGCTCGGTCTCGGCCTTGTCGAGCACAGAAATGTCCCACAGTGCCACTGAGTGGTCTGTGCCTGCTGTAATGAGATACGGGTAGTTTTTCAGCTTCACCACTTTGACCGCGTGGCAGCAGCCGTTGTGGTCGATCCAGCTCGAGCGAATCTCGCCGCGCGACTTCCACTTGGTCACCCCCGAATTAGTGCCTTTGAAAAGACAGTCTCCGTACACCGCCAGCGACACAATGTCCCCCTCCTCACTCTCGTAAGATTTGATCTGTTGCAACGTGGACAAATCCCACACGTTGACGCGGCCCTGCGCGAGTCCGCAGTACAAATAGGTGCTGCCCTTGTTGCGCGCAAACGAGAGCACCGACTCCTCGTTTTCCAGCGACCACAACAACTCAATTCTCGATTTCAGCCCCCAGATGTTCACCACACCGTCACCGCCGCCAGTGATGAGAAATTCCGTGTAGTCGCCATGCTCCGCAATTCCGTCCTGAAGCGTGAACATCTCCATGCAGTATATGTAGCCGTTGTGGGCGTAGGGGATGATGTTCTGCGACGGCACCTCGATCAGCGTGCCCAGCTCCTGCTGGTTTGTGGCGTCATCCTCTGCAGACATTGAGCAGCCGGCCGAGTCAAAAAACTTGTCGTATCGCCGGAACGGCATCTGGTGCGGATTTTGTACGTGCGACTCCAAACCTATCTGGACATACGACAGGGAGGCGTTTTGTGCGCCAAACATGATTGTTTTGCGGGACTCAGACCACGCAATGGAGAAGATGTCCCCCACATCAATTAGCGAGTATACCGTGTATGTCCCTTTGAGCTCTCCGTTCGGACTTATGTCCCAAATACGCACAAGCGAGTCTGTTCCGCCGCTAAATAGTCTTGTTTCGCAGTCGCTCACTAAAAGACAAAGCACAGAGCCCCAGTGCGCCTTGTACTCCCTCACGCGCTGGAATGTGCGTAGATCGTACACGAGGATGCGCGAGTCCTGAGTTCCGCAGAAAAGCAGGTGGTTTTTCGGCGAACAGGCGACACAGACAATGGAGCTGTCGTTGCTCCATTTGTGCACAAGCGTCGGGTCGCCCGTGCCGGAGGACTCCTCGTACACAGAGACCGAGTCCGGGGTCTGCGATCCGGATCGCCAAGTGTTGCTCTGCGAGAGCAACGGCAGCGATCTGTCGTGCGGTGGGAACATCCAATTAATAAAACAAATTAAAAAAAATCTTTATATTATTATTACATTAGATCGGGGCAAAAAAATAATGCCCCCACTCAGATTTGAACTGAGGATCTCCACATTACTAGTGTGGCGCCTTACCAACTTGGCCATAAGGGCTTGAGTTGGGTGGATTCTGTGGATAGGCAACTTACGGTGCATGCACAAAGCCTCAACCCACTAATAGGCAGGTGCTCGGGGCCGCTCGCGGCTACCCACCTCTACGTCATCTGTTAGGCACTATCACTCTCAACCTCCTTGGCTCTGTCCTCGGCATGGATCCACATCTTCATGAACCAGGTCAGGAAGCCCGCACACAGCACCTGCTCGCTCTGGTACAGCACCAACGGCACCAGCAGCTGTCCCAGGTACTCGTTCTTGTCGCCGTATTGTGCCGACACCAGCGACACCCCCAATGCGGCCGTTTTCGCCGCTCCGCACAGCATCACGGCCACCGTGTCTGGGCGGTCGTAGTAAAACGGAGCCACAGTTTTGTGGAACCAAGCGTACGCACCACGCTGTTCCGCAGGCTCGGGCAATTTTTTCAGGAAAATCGGCCGCGATACAGCAAAGCAGATCACCGTGTACAGCATGTAGATCCCGACGTTGAAAAAACACACCAGGATGATCGACGCGTGGCTTACTGCCGTGAACGCGTGCTGGTAGAATGCCGTCGAAAACGACGAAAACATCACTAGCAAGAGCATGAACGAGCCCACCTTGTTGAACCGGAACGTGGTGAGAAACCATTTGGTCTGCTTCGGGAACAGGTTCTGCACCACCTGCCCAACAAACGTCGGCACAAAGACGCTACACCCGATCTGCTGCATCACGTCTCTGTAGACCCGTGTGATCGACGAGCCGTTTGCCGGGTTGCCGAATTCCCATGCTCCCCTGAAGAACATCTGGCACAGCGCGGGAGTAATAAAGGCTCCCAGCATATTGCCAATGAACACCTCGCTCAGCGTCAAAAGCTCGTTTCCGTCGGCCTGCCGCGTCATCACCACGTTCGACGCCACCGTCGTCGGACAGCACGCCGTCACAATTAGCCCCACAAGCAGCCAGTCATCGATCTGGGGATTATGAGCCGCTCTGATTGCACAGCAGAATCCATACATTATCGCCGGAGTGATAAGAAATTGCAGCACCAAGACGACCGTGTGCGCGCGCCAGTTCGCCATGTTGGCCATAAGCTGCTTTGTGCCCATGGACAGGCCGGACCCCAGGAAAATGAGCGCCACAGCACCGTACCCAATGGTGTACTCTGCGCGAATAAGCCCTCCGTGGCGGGCGAAATTCGGTGCAAACCGCGCGATCACCACGAAAATCGCCAGCCCAATGTAGAACCAGTACGTCTTCGCAAACCATAGCGCAGCCTTTTTGGCTTTCTCAACGAAAGCCATGGTAGACAATGAGAAAAATAAAAAAATAAAAAATGCCCAAAAAAGAAATTAGATACTAATTCCGCTGGTCCTGGATTATGTATCTCTGTGAATAAATGACTCAATCATGCCGATCTCAGACTCGGCGTATTCCTCCACGTCGACGTCATCCCCGCGTAACACAGTGTTGCCCTGCACCAGCTGCTTCCTTGGTAGCTTCTTGGCAACCACAACGTCTCTGAACTTGAGCAATTCCGGGTCCGGGGTGGTGTGCTCGACGAAGAATTTCGTCCCGTTCACAGCGTCGCCAGAACACTTGTAAATGTGCAGTTTCTTGAGAAACTCATCGATCGCACGTTGCCCAACCGTCTCGATCTTGGTTCTATCCACCTTGATGACCAGGTCGTCGTAGTCTGGCCGTGTGTACTCCAGTGAGACCAGCCCTTCGCCGGCGTCCAAGTACGTCTTGAGGATCGCAAACCGGGCCTGACAGTGCGGCTGGCCCCATTTCTGGTTTTCTGGGTCGTAATACTCCAACGCCAGCAGTCCCGCACGACACATCGTCAGATAAGAAACAAATAGCACATCGTCCTGCTCCTTTGGCTCTTTGAAACCAAACACCGACAACAACGTTCTGTTAGTGAAGAGACTCATGGCCACCGACTCTGCACGGCACTCCTCAAACGCGCCCGACACAGACCCGAACAGCGACCCCCACGTCTCGCCCTTTTTGTAGTAGGTGGACACAGGTTTACCGTCAAGCCCTAGCGGCGGATTTTTCACGTCAAAGTTGAACTCGCCGTCGTCGGTCTCCATCAGCAGCTTCCCCGTGCCGTGGCCCAGCAGCTCGTGGATTCCCACTTGCACCTCAAACGCCTCCGCACGATATTTCTCGTACAATTGCTGTGTCTGCTCATCGACAAATGTGACAGGCTCCTTGCCAGACTTGGCACTTAGAACGTTGCCCAACGACACGTTCTTGAACCCGAGATTGATCCGAACCTTGTCGTAGTTGGGCAGGTTGATGCCTGCGGGCACGCCGCTCGTCGTCATTGACAGGACCTCGAGCGACGTGAAGTCAGGCGGCGTGAACACGTCCTTTTCGTAATCTTTGCTCCACGGCAGCTCCGCTATGAAGTCACGTGCCTTGCGCACAAGCTCGCCAAACTTGGCCGTCCTGTCCTTGTTGACCATCGCCACCAAACACTCCCACTCACCGCGGACGTTGGCCGGCTCTCTGTACGTCTCGATGAAGCCGATGTTGGTCTCTACAGCAGGACCCATATCCTTGACCCAATGCACCTGTGACTGGTAATGGGCGTTCATAGAGCCTGTCTGGAAAGACTCGATGTAGTTTTCGAGCATTTTAAGTTGTGTCTCGTTCGCGACGTACTTCTTGGCCTGAACAAGGTTCTCGACGATCTTGGCGAACTCAGCCGAGTGGTCGCCAAATGCAAACTCCAGGGAAGCTTGTTTGCCGTCTATGTCGAACTTGATTGTGTCGGGATAGTAGCCCGTCGAGTTGGAGATGTTGGCCGACGCGACGTGCACGCGAAACAGCGTGTCGTCCACCTTCTCGAGTCTCGTGTTTTCCGGCATGATTCCGTGTGCGGCAAGCGCAGAGTTGATAGCCTCGACTTGGGCCTTCGTCAAAGTGTTCAGGTAGTAGCCGGTCACGTGACCTTCAGCGGGCCAACCCAACAGCACCCGTTTCGAGTCCAGGGCGTACATGTCGTCCTTGACCTGCTCAAACAGCTGCAGACACACCTCGTCGTTGACGAGCTCGACCAGCGTCTCGAAGTCGCCCTTGGACAGCCGCGGGATGAACTTCACGTCGCCAAACGACTTGTAGTTGCCCAAGTTGCCCAAAAACTGGGAGGCGTACTCCAAGTACCATTTGACGATGTCCTTGCCCAGATGCTTTTCCAGATGGGAATAGTCTGCCTTGACAGCAGCGTGGGTGGCCAGGATCAGGTCGTAGATCCGCTCCGACTCGGGCGAAACAGAGCGCAAGATGACTCTTGTTCCCCAATGGCCCGCCTTGGCCATGTAGTGGGCATACAGCTTCTCGTTACGGCTCAGCTGTTGGAAGTAGGTCTTGGCCGAGAGCCGGGCAATTGGGGCACCGGTGTCGGCGTAGTACGCGGAAGGACTCAGGGTTGACATTTTAGGGGTGGCAAAAATCGGGAGTGATTTTGCTTTGAAGAAATATCTGAGCATAAAATATAGAGTACGCGAAATAAAATAAAAAAAAAACACCATGGCCGACAAGATGGAGAACCCTGAGGAAAAGATCCAGGAGGGGCTTTTCGACCGCATTATCAACAACCTGGTAAGTAGGCACAGGAAAGAGCTAACTCCAGACACAGCTGAACGTGAACGTGGGCAAGATCAACGCGCAGCTCGTAGAGATCGAGAAACAGAACGAGAAGACCGTGCTTGTGAGCGAGCTGTGGGAGAACTATCGCAAAAACGCGGAATTTCATCTGGCCAAGACGGGGGAGCTCGAAGGGCCAATAGAATAGCAGACCATGGGCCATAGACCCCGCCCTCGCTTACCTGTTGCTATAGCTGGACTATAATAATATTTTCAACGTGTTGTTTTCGATCGACACTATACCAACGTACTGTTATCCCTATATCGCTCCCTCCACGCCTACTCCTTCTGGGTAGGCAACATATTAAATCTCTTCTTCAACGTCACTCTCTGTCTGCTGTATTTGTCGTCTGGCGAGAATCTGGCCGGGTGGGCCGACTTTGTGATCTCGCCCGTTTCCGTCTCCTTCTTCAACGTGTAGATTCTCTTGCCGTCCGGGCCCAAAGTGTACATCAAGTGCATGGCGAAGGTGGTGGAAAATAAAATAAAATAAATGAAAAATTTGTTCTGCACAGCCTTTACCTCTTTACCTTATGTCCAAAGACGTGTTTGCGGACTTGCTGAAAAATTCCGCCAAATCCAGGCCTGCCGCCAACAGGACGCCCCTGGCCCAGCAGAAGCCGCCACCTGCGCCGGCCCAGACCGCCCTCGACGTGGACCTGCTCGACCAGCTGTCCTCCCGCGCAAGCCCCAGCAGCACGCCCCAGCAGCAGTCTTCTGACGACTTTGAGAAGCTGTTTGACGTCTTCAAGGCGCCGGCAAGCGATCCACACCCGCCCGCTGCCGACCCGTCCCCCCCAGCACCCGAACCTAGCGGCACTCCTCCTGAATCGCGCCCCCCGCCTCCGACAACCTACGCCCAGCTCGTCGATATGGGCTTTTCCGAGCAGCAGGCCGCAGACGCCGTCCGCAACACAGACACTTTCGACGCCGCGATTGCGTATCTTCTCGATGCCGCGCACCAGCACAGCCAGCCGGCCCGACACAACACGGCAGCGCCAGAGGACCTGGGCACCCTGGTCAACGATCTGTCCGCAGAGCTCATGTCCAAGGCCTCGTTCTTGCTTGACACGGGCAGAAGGAAGTTGAAACAGGGCATTGAGATGTACCGGCAGCACGACCGCAGAAACGGGCCGGCGTGGATGCGCAACCAAGCCAAGTATAAAAGCGACGGCTTCTCAGAGGAGGAGGAGATCGAGAGGGTGAAAAAACTAGAGGAGGAGTGGAGGCGGCGCGGCCGCAAGGGAGAAAATCGTGAGGAGAGCCAGCCGTCAAGCAAACAGCCAAGCAAGGAGACGACACCGTCCTCGGATGGCTCTCCGGCAGCGCCTCCGGCTCCGCTACTCGATTTCGGCGACGCGCCGGCTGCCACCTCTGGCAGCCCACCCGTGCCGGCCGACTTCCAGACGCTCAGACAGCAGGGCAGCGACTACTTCGCCAAGGGTGACTTTACAAGCGCGCTCGAGACGTACCAGCGGGCGCTGGCACAGCTGCCCGAAAACCATCTCTGCCGCATCATAGCATACTCGAACCTGGCGATCGTGTACTCGCGCCTGGGCGACGCGAAGAAACAGCTGGAGTCGGCGGAGAATGGCATGGCACAGGCCGCTGGCGCCGCGAGCGACACAAAAATAGATGACAAGCCGGTGAAAAGCTATTGGATTAAACTGGTGGCTAAAAAGGCAGAGGCCTTGGAGCATCTTGAGCGGTTCAAAGAGGCGCTCGAGGCCTACAACCTGCTGATTGAGAACGGCGGATTCTCGAAAGCGGTCATGGACGGCAAACGAAGGTGTTTGAACGTGCTGCAACCACAGAAACCTGCCAAAAAACCGGCCCAAAGCCCGCCATCGGCAACAACACCCTCTGCGACGGTTTCGCGCGTCAAGGAACACCACCGCAAACAGGAGTCGCTCGAGGATGAGAAGTTCGCGCTCCACGACAAGGTCGAAGAGCAGCTGCAGAGCTGGAAGGCCGGCAAGGAGGACAACCTGCGCGCGCTGCTTGCATCCTTGCACCAGATCCTGTGGCCGGAGCTGGGCTGGAAAACCGTCGGGCTGACAGACCTCGTGCTAGATAAAAAGGTCAAGCTGGTGTATATGAAGGCCGTTGCCAAGACGCATCCCGACAAGATTGCTAGCGAGACGTCGACGGAGCGCAAGCTCATCGCGAACGGCGTTTTCATCACCCTTAACCAGGCCTGGGACAGGTTTAAAGAGCAGAATAAATAGAGTATTCATCCAACAATGGCCGCCTCGTAGCTTGCGAGCGCCTGGGCGAGCGACGCGCTTAGCGGGTCCATCAGCAGCTTGCCCAGGTCCTTGTCGGCGCCCTCAAGTTGCGTCAGACTCGACTGGACGCGTTCGACGCATTTGGTGATGCTGGTGTAGAGTTTTTTCAGCTGGAGCAGCTCAGCGCGGAAGTTTGGGTTTGTGGACGGCGACGAGGTGCTGATCGAGTTGAAGTGCAGCCAGAAGTGGCGCAGGAACTCGACGCTAGTGGAGTGCGTGAGCCGCAGCGCCTCGAGCCTGTCGCGCGGCAGGTCTACGTCGACGTCCTGCTTCTCGATGCTCGTGTCCAGCTTGATAGTCCAAGCTTGGCTCTTGGCGTTCTTCTTGATGATGTTGAGAATCTCTTTGTATGTGTCGAGCAGCGGCTTCTTGTTGGCGTAGACCGCAGACAGATCCACTTCCTGGAGCTGTTTTTTGTACGTTTTCATGTACTCGTCGTAGACTGACGAGGTCGGGTTCAGCTGTGACTGCGAGTTGAACTTTTCGAGCACGTCTACCGGCAGGATGTTGGACGACAGGTTCGAGCGCTGCGTGTACTCCAGCTGGTTGTACTCCACAGTGTTCGGGTCATCTAGGTCTCTCAACTCCAGCTCTTCCTCGAACTCCTTGTCCATGTCGGAGTCGTCATTGATATTCTGCATCATGCGTCTGCTGAGTCGGTTCATCGACCGCATCACGCTGACTAGCTCGTCGTTCTGGTCCTCTTTCATCGTGATATCCGGCCCGTTACCTAATGTCTCGGGATTGTCCTCCTTGTTGGCCTTGATGTCGATGAACTTCGACACCTGCTTGCCGTCCTGCGTGAATAGCTTGATTTTTTTCTTGGCCGCTGTTAGCTGCTCCGAGTTGCGTCGCTTCCGGCTGCCATCCTCCTCCTTCTTCTCCTCCAGCAGCTTGTCGATGTCTGTGTCCTCTTCCTCGCCGTCGTAGTCCGGATCGTAGAACAGATACTTGTCGAGAGTGATGTCTCCACGGTCATACAAGTTGACTTTCTCGCCGCGCAGCTTGCGGAACAGTTTGGACGAGAAAAACCGCGACCAGAACTCGCCCTCGCTCATCTTCGGCACGTTGTCGTCGTACGCCTTGCGCACAATCGGGTACTGCTGGAAAATTTCGTGTATTTTCTCCCGCGTGACAGAAACGTTCACCTGGTTCTCGCTCGAAGCCACCGGCTTGATGGTGCTCAAAACGTTGTAGGGGCCACGTTTCTGGTTGTTTTGGATCGCAAAAGAGCGCAGAAGATGCACTCGTGTCGACCAGAACTCCTCCGGGTCCAGTCCGGACTTGATCACCGCCTCTGCAAACGTCTTCATCAGAGCCGGGTTTTCTCTGAGCAGTTTCTGTTGGAGCGTGAGGTTTTTCAGCAGTTTTTTCGAATCCAGCATGTCTGCGAGCACCTCATCCGGTCTGCCATCCATGGGAGCGGGAGACCCCGCTGCCGACGGCGTCGAACGCCCAGAAGATGCCGACGCCGCGAGACTGGCGTCTGCTGCCGCGGCCGACTTGCGACGGGCAATCGTCTGCTGTAGCACGGTCTTGACGTTGTCCATGAAAATGCGGCTGTTAAACGCAAACACCACCTCGGACTTCACCTCTGTGCCGGACCCGATGCCTATCTTCAATAGCATCTTGGGAGACGTCTTCTTTGAGGCCTGTAGAGAAACCACGGTGTCCAGCCGAATTTCCACAGGCGGCACCACGCCAGCATCAATGCATTTCCAGATGAGACGCGGCGGCGTCTCTTCCTCCAGGACGGTGATCATTCCGGCCTTTTTCTTGTAAATGGCCGAACCTGTGATGGGAGACATGACAAGAGAAAAAAAAATGCTTAATTTTATTTAATTTAGTCTGATTTATCATGTTGAGACTTTTCTCTAGGCCGTTAGTTAGCCATAAATCGGGCATCCGGTACACTGCGGTCCGTCTGACGCAGACGAAGACGCCCGTTTTCGAAAGCAAACACTTCCCTCCCCCGGTTGTGGAGGAAGAGACACCGAAGCAAAACAGACCAATGACCGTCAACGACGAGCTGCCCGACCCGTTTGCCACAAAAAGACGCAACAGAAGGGTGTTTATAGGGTTCTGGATCGTGATGGGCGTGTCGCTCTTTGGAATATTCAATTACGAAAAGGTTTCGTCGCCGGTGATGAGCGCCACAATGTACTTCCTCAGGAGATCGGAGAATGCGCGCTCGAAGCTGGGCAAATCGATCACCTTTGAGGGCATTTTCCCGTGGATCAGAGGTGAGCTCAACACCATGAAGGGCAACATCGACGTCGAGGTCCGTGTGGCCGGCGACAAGGCCGGGGCGCTGATGAAGTTGAAGGCTGCGAGAGCCTCGCGCGGCGACAGCTTCCAGATCGAGGAATGGCGGCTTATTTTCGACGACGGCACAACGATGGACCTGCTGCAAGATACGAGTGTTAATCTGGAGTTTTAGAAATAAAGCCGGAAATCCATAATAGCATCTTGCAATCGCTCGGCCCCCCACCTAAGTCAATACTTTACATTATGCTTGTATATATGCGTATTATATCCTCCGTATTATGCCGTGTAGTACCTATATCTCATTGTGTTCACACCAACGAACTGGTCAGATTGGCGTCCCTCACAGTTTCCTCTCTAAACCGCGACTCTCCATGAAGCTGTTTCACGTATGTAGACCCTTCCAGCACTGGCACGGAGTCCAAATAATCGCCGTCGTCCTTCTCCTGTCTCGGCACAAATTCCTCCTCCGGCACCTCTGCTGCGATCTTGTCCTCCTTCTTCTCTCTCATGTGCTGTCTGATAAGTAGGGCAGAGACAAAGATAATAACCAGCCCGGCTGGAATGCCCACCGCGCAGCCAACAGCAGCAGAAGTAGATACCATGGCTTTGACGCAATGCTAACAATAAGAATTATTTGGAGTAAAAAGTCCGTCGCGACGATTATTTTGTTGAAGCCATGAAGCCACTGCGTTTTTGTCGGCAATTGTCCGGACTGTGTGCGCGCGATAGGCTTGTGGAGCCCCGTGCGCTCATAAACGGCCAGTTCAAGGAGTTTCCGGGCTTTGACGTGGTCAACCCGGCCAATCAGCAGGTGCTTGCCCAGGTTAGCGACACGCCTCTGGAAGAGGTCGAATTTGCAATTTGTGTTGCTGCGCGGGCGTTCGATGACTACCGCACGGTGCCTGTCCATGCACGCGCCCGGATTCTCTCCAACTGGCACCATCTGATGTTAGAGCACGAACAAGACCTTGCGCGGCTAGTCACGCTCGAAAACGGCAAACCCCTGGCAGACAGTCTTGGCGAAGTACGCTACGCTGCCAGTTTTTTCAAGTGGTTTGCCGAGGAGGCCGTGCGTTGCTATGGAGACACAATCCCTTCGGCAACACCTTCGAACCGCATGTACACACAATGGCGGCCGGTCGGTCCTGTGGGGATCATCACACCGTGGAACTTCCCGCTTGCCATGATCACACGCAAGCTGGGCGCCGCCCTGGCGGCTGGCTGCACCTCGGTGATCAAGCCTGCAGCAGAGACACCGATGTCTGCAATGGCAATGGCTGTGCTTGGTGTCGAAGCCGGTGTGCCTGACGGTGTGGTGAATTTTGTTCCTGTTGCGCATAGCAAGACTGCCAAGGTGGGGGAACTTTTCTGTAAGTCGCCGGATTTGAAGAAAGTATCTTTCACGGGCTCTACCCGCGTGGGCAAACTGCTAATGGAGCAGAGTTCCAGCACGCTCAAGCGGCTGTCGATGGAGCTCGGTGGAAACGCGCCATTTGTGGTTTTTGAAGATGCGGATCTGGAAAAGGCGGCTGCCGGTTTGATGAGCTGCAAGTTCCGCTCTTCGGGCCAGACGTGTGTGTGTGCGAACCGCATTTTTGTTCATGATAAGGTTTATGCTGAGTTTGTTGACATGGTGGCAGATCTAATCGATAAGAACACTCGCATGGGTCCTGGAATCGATCCTTCTGTCACGCATGGCCCGCTGATTCACGAAAACGCCCTTGCGAAAGTGGAGGCACTGGTGGAGGATGCTGTGAAAAATGGGGCCAAGGTTGTCCGCGGTGGCCGCAGACGGCCTGATCTTGGGGCTCTGTTTTACGATCTCACGCTACTCAGCGACGTGACGCCGAACATGGATATTTTCCACACCGAGGCGTTTGGTCCTGTAGCACCAGTTATACGGTTTTCCTCCGAGGAGGAGGTTTTGCAGCAGGCCAATAACACAGAGGTCGGCCTGGCGGCCTATTTTTACACGGAAAACAACAGCAAGGCCTGGAGAGTGGCCGAGAAGCTTCAGGCTGGAATGGTGGGGGTCAACACAGGTCTGATCTCAGAAGCCGCGCTGCCATTTGGGGGTGTGGGCGAAAGTGGGTTTGGCAGAGAGGGCAGCAAGTACGGACTTGCTGAGTACTCCGAGCTCCAGACGGTTGTGGTGGGTATATAAAGGATTTTATGCGTTATTTCATTTTACTTAGTCTATCGTCTAGTTGATAGATGAGGGCCCCCACAGACGCCGTGAGCATGCCCATATAACCCAGTGAGCCCAAGTTATGGTTGAAAAACACCAACGATATAACAAACGAGGCAAATCTGCGCAGAAGTAGCACAACACCGAGCGTCAGCGGGTCGGTTTTCTGGGCCAGCATGTTGACTCCCGTGACACACACGAGCTGTGTGCCGGTGTTGAGCACTGCAAACCGCCAAAAGTCAGAGGAACGTCCATACAGTTGTAGTTCGGCAAATATGCCGTTGCTAATTAAAAGTAGAGATGGCAGGCCGTAGAAGTGGGTGTAGAAGAGCGTCTGAACCCAATTGAGTTTCTGTGTGAGCATGATTTTGTTATTCCAAAACGAGGTGACAACGCCCAGAAGCGTGGATGCGAGCACGAGAAGCAGGCCTGCTAGGGTGACTGAATGTCCGGAGTCAGCTTTTTCTTCGGAGAGTGTGGTTATAGTTATACCAGCGGACAAAATGATAGCACCGGCGATCTGATATATAGAGTAGCGTCTGCCAAAAAATTGCGACCCAATGATCACAGTCAACGGTGTCGATGCCGACCGCATCACGATGTGCACAGGAACAGAAATGCCGTACTTGAAGGCCAGGTTGTTGGCAATAGCACAGAGGAAAAAGAGCGAGGTGGTCAAAAAATATTGGAACGGAGGACGTCTGTGGTTATTTCGAGGCAGAAAAGGAGCCACGGCCAGCGAGATGAACAGGTATTGAAACGCAGTTATAAGGTTCGATGGCACCGGTTTCAGCTGAGAAATCAGCTCCATGGAGATCACATTGGTGCAGCACCCAGAAAAGGTGAGTAGCCCCGGAAAAAGCATAACTTTGAAAATAAATTAGCTTATTTTTATGTCGGACGACACATTACCGTCTCTCGAGGAGTTCAAACTGCACAATCTCCTGAAAGCTGTACCCGAGGCGCAGCGGGATTTGACACAGGCAATATTGCGAGTAAGCAGGTGCTACACAAAGGACCTGGACACGCAATGTGAGCAAATTATTAGCATAGAGAAGGAAGAGGTGATGGATAGGCTGGACCGTGTGCAACGCAGTTATGAGAGCATTAAAGCTGTCGATAGGACGAGATACATGGACCAGATAAGATGGCTGGAATCTGAGATGGCTGATGTTGCGCAGCACTTTGCCTCCTCAAAAGAGCGAACTGACCGTCTCGTGACAAAAATCAAGCGAATAGAAAAAATGATGCAGCTGAAAGACCGGTTATTCGACGCAAAAACGTTCCATTATGATCATTACAAAGAGCTGTACCAGTATGGCATGCGCAAGGACGCAAGGGAAACGAGCCCGCTGAAAGAGCAGCAGTTTTTAAGTCTCGAGCAGGAGATAGGGGAACTACGCAGACAGCGGTCCACCAGCATAACGCGAATCCATAACCCGACCCACTTGCTGGTCCACGAGGAGCCCGTCACACAAATTTCGCAAACTGTCGCTACCGCGACGTCGCCGCAATTAGACCACGATGTGTCCACCACGTTGCGTGGGTACGTTAAGTAGCTTTTATCCATCCCAACTGTTGCGCCATGTTCTCGAATATGTCGCTCAGTGTACTTTCGCCGTACAAGGTCATTAGGTCCCCACGCTCTTTCCACTCGTTTTGTCTCTCTATTAGCTCGTTGAATGTGGGATCAATCGGAACGCTCCCCAAAAACGGCAGATCCAAACTCTTCGCCAACGCCTCGCCCCCACCCGAGCTGAAAATATTGGTGCACTCCGCACAATGCGGACATACAAACCCTGACATGTTCTCCACCAGCCCCAGCACCTTGAAATTCACTTTTTGGCAGAAATTCAGCTCCTTCCTCACGTCGTTAATCGACACCAGCTGCGGCGTCGTCACAACAACCGCACCATCCACGTTGTCGCAGTATCTCAACTCCTCCGCAATGGCAATGTGCTCATCAGAGGTGCCCGGAGGCGTGTCCACAAGCAGATAGTCTAGGTGCTCCCATTGAACATCCTTGATAAACTGGCGGATCATGCCTGTTTTCTTGGGTCCCCTCCACACAACGCTGTTGCCCCTGTCACCCAGCAAAAACCCAAGCGACATCACAGCCAGCTTCTTGGACTCGTCGTAGTAAACGGGGACCCAGCCCTTGGACGACTGGTGGATTTTGCCTTCCTCTATGCCAAACATCCGGGGCATTGACGGGCCTGTGAGGTCGATATCCAACACGCCGACCTTGTAGCCCTGGCGGACGAGCGTGAGCGCCAGCTGCGTGGTTACTGATGACTTCCCCACGCCACCTTTGCCCGACAGCACCAGCACGATGTGGTCGACGTTGTCCAGCATAAAGGAATAAGATAATTAATAATTAATTTATTACACAGCCTTGCGCTGGTCAATTTTCCCATATACGCTTATAATAGTTAAGCCAATTGAGACCCAGCACCTTGCGCATTCTCTCGGCCGTCCAGCCGCGTTTGGCCATGGCGACCGCCAGTTCCTCGCGGTCGGCTAGATTGCCCAACGGCTTGACGACCGGTGCGCTGCCCCACTCGGTCATCTTGCGCGCGTAGCCCTTGTCCCGGTTGCACCACTCCAGGAATGGCGACGGCCGGGCGTGGCCCTCCGACGCGTCGGACCCGATCCCAACAAGATCTTCCCCCACAAGGTCAATGAGATATTCCAACACCTCCACGTAATCGTCGATTTTACTGTCGTTGCCCATCTTCATGTGGGGGCCGAAATTGGAAGCCGCAACCATCCCGCCCTTGGCCCCCAGCGCGCGGATCTCCTCATCGCTCTTGTTGCGACCAGACTCTTTCATCCCGGAAGGCAACACATGCGAGAAGCACGGCGGCTTGCGCGCGTACTCGATCGTGTCTTTCGTCGTCTGTGGCCCGACGTGCGATAAATCGCACACGATCCCCAGATCTGCCATGTGGTCCACCACTTCTCTGCCAAAACCGGTCAACCCGGAGTCGTGCAACTCGGTGTATCCCGCACCGGAGTAATTCTGCGTGTTGTAAGTGAGCTGCATCTGGCGGACATTGAGATCGCGGAACACACGCAGGTAGTCCAGTTGGTCCTCAATGCCGGAGGTGTTTTGGAAATTTAGGATGACACCTGTCTTGTTGAGCTTTTTGGCAGTGTAGACGTCTTCAATACTGGCGATCTCCATGATTAGGTCACTGTACTCCTCGTACCATTTTTTCCACTGAACTATATTGGCAATGGTGCCTTTGAAGTCCTCCCAAAGGCCACAGGTGCACGAGACGGTGGTGATGCCACCCTTGCGCCAAGCCTGGAAAATCTCTGGTCCCCAATTGCAAATGTTAAGTGAGTCGATGTGGATGGACTCGCTGTAAAGTTGGCGGGCTTCTTCTTCGGAAAGCATGTCTGGGGAAAGAGAAGAAGCTGTCTCGTGCTTTTTTTATGGGCGGAGTTTTGCTGCAGGAAAACTCCGTTGTGGAATGTGGCTTCGATAATGGCTGATTGGGTCCAACTAGATAGCTTATGCCCAAGATGCCCCAGGAGAAGTTCAGAGACACCGTGAAATGTGCTTCACTCCTCCCTAGAGTTGCTGGCTTGCCCGCGCGCGGGTGATTTTACCCATTTTGCATCTCCTGATCGTCCTTTCAAATTTGTATCAGAATTGAGGCTTCCTGCATGTCCAATTGTTCGAAATTTGCGTGGATGGTAGCCACTTGAAAAAAGTTCCTATATAACAACACCCATATCCTTTCTCCAGCCCTCCACCATGTCTGTTTCTGCGTCTTGGCATCGCCACAAGGGTAAGCTATGGGATACCCTCGACAAACCTCCCAAGGAGAGATACATGTACTTCAAGATCGACTTCTGGATCCTGACGTACGCTTGCGTGGGGTATTTCCTAAAAACTTTAGATCAGACCAACCTCTCCAACGCATATGCCTCAGGCATGAAGGAGGACTACCATTTCCATGGTAACCAGTATAACATGGCCAGCAGCACGTTGTTCAACATTGGCTACATAGTGGGCCAGATCCCCAGCCAAATGGTTCTCACCAAAGTCCGCCCGTCAATCTGGGTGCCTACGATGGAGCTTCTGTGGGGGATCTGCTGCATGTGTCTTGCTGCAACAAGCAAATCTCAGGCAGGTGTCAAGCAGGTTTACGCATTGAGGTTTCTGATTGGTCTTTTTGAAAGTACAAGTTATTGTGGTCTTATTGGACTTCTTGGCCAATGGTACACTCCGTCTCAGTTGGGAAAGCGTGCGGGAATTTTCCAAATCTCGTCCTCGCTCTCTAACATGTTCTCTGGTTATCTTCAGAGTGGACTGCACAGCGGCATGAACGGCGTGCACGGCCTCGCCTCGTACCAGTGGCTGTTTATTTTTGACGGAATTATCACAATCCCGGTGGCCATCTACGGCTACTTTGCAATTCCTGAGGCACCACACGATTCCAAGTCATGGTGGCTGAGAAAAGACGAGAAAGAGCTGGTCATTGCAAATTTGGATGCTGTCAAGCGGCAGCCACGCAAAAAGCTCACGCTCAACTCCATGAAGGCTCTATTTTTCACTTGGCCCGTGTGGCTGTTTTCCACGGCGTTCATTTTCCACGTCGTGGCCATCAAGCTGTACAGCTACATGAACCTATGGCTCAAGTCGGAACAATACTCGGTCTCGCACATCAACACTTACCCGACAGCCGGTTATGCGGTGCAGATTGTGTGCACCATCATCATGACCTGGACGTCCGATATCATGGGCAAGAGATGGCCGATGATTGTGGCTTTCTGCACGGTTTCGGTTATCGGGTGCATAATCCTCACTATCTGGCCTACGCATAACCACGTTGCCATGTTTGTCGGCTGGTACCTGCTGTTTGCAGAGACAGGTTGCGGCGTTCTGTACATGTCGTGGATTAACGAGACCATGGGCCACTCGGCCGAACAGCGTTTCGTGTGCATCGGCGTCGTCGAGGCGCTCGCATTCACGTTCCAAGCCTGGCTGCCGCTTATTATCTACAACACCACCAATGCACCGTACTTTGGAAGCGGCTACCCGACCGCGCTCGCCTTTTTCGCCGGCGAGGCAGTTATGGGGTGCGCTATTGCCTACTTGCTCTACAAAGAGGCTCAAGGTTTCTCGTGGCTGCTCGAGCGCAGGGACAACGACTTCCGTCGGATCACGAAAACACCGCTCGCCAAGGAAAATAGCGACTCTGAAATCGTGCAGACGTACGAGCATGCAGATGACAAGTCCTCGTCTATGTAGCCTGATTCAAAACTCCGACACCTTACACCTAGCCGGAAAAATTAATTTAAAGATCGGACCACACCCCTGTATTTGTAATGAAACTTTGTATCATCGGAGCAGGGCCAGCGGGCGTGGCCATGGCCAAGGCTGCTGCCTTGGAGCCTTGCAGTGACTTGGATATCCACGTCTACGAGAGAAACGCCTCGGCAGGAGGACTGTGGAATTACACAGGCAAGGACAAAGAGAAAGTTTCATGCACCGTGCCCGCCACAGATCAGCGAAAAGCACGGGAAAACAGCGTCCCAGGCATTCCGTACGTGTCTGCAATGTATGAGCACCTGGAAACCAACATTGTCAAGGATATGATGCGGTACAAAGACCTTGAATTTCCACCAGAGTGCGAAACGTTCCCCACTAGACAGGAAGTCGCCGAGTACGTCCGCAAATACGCCGCTACCATTCCCGATAGCGTGCAGTTCCACTACAACAGCACCGTCATCGCGCTCGAGAAACAAGACTCGTGGCAATTAACGTACAAAAACACTGTTTCCAATGCGATCTCGACTGAATCGTTCGATTACGTAATCCTCGCCCAAGGACATTTCGACCTGCCCTACATCCCAGAAGTGCGCGGGCTCGAGGAGTGGAACGCTGCAGATCCCACCAGTATCATCCATGCAAAGTACTATAACGACGTGGACCGGTTTGAGAACAAGACCGTCTTGGTGGTTGGAAACTCTGCCTCCGGCATCGACATTGCCACGCAGCTGACCACGTACGCGGGCAATGTGATCATCTCGGCCGCGTCGCCGTCGCCCGTCGCCGATATTCTCATCGACAACGTTGCGCAGATCGGCAAAGTCGAGGAGTACCGTGTCGCTGACAGGTCGGTTGTCACCGTCGACGGCGAGACGGTCTCCGGAGTGGATTATGTAATCTTCTGCACAGGGTACCTGTACAGCATTCCATATCTCAAGTCGTACACTGAGGGGGAGCAGGCAATATTGACGACTGGCGAGCATGTGCGCTATGTGTACAAGCAGATGTTCTATATTCCCGATCCGACGCTGATCAACGCTGGGCTGCCGAAGAACATCATTCCGTTCCCGTTTGCAGAGTGTCAGGCGCAGTATGTGGCGCGGGTGATTAGCGGCCGCGAGCGGCTGCCCTCGCAGGAGGAGATGATGCGGGACTATGCAGACGAAGTGGCTATGAAGGGGGACGGCAAGGGATTCCACGATTTGAAGTTCCCGGCGGACGCGGAATATTGCAACCACATGTTTGAGCTGATTGAGAACTCCAGGTCTGGCGGGTTTGTGGCTGAGTACTGGGACGAACAGCGCAAGGACCTGCGTTCGCGCACGGGCCAGATCAAGGCCAAGCGTCTGGAGCTGATTGTGGCGCATGCGCTGCAGCTGCGACAGAAGCATGAGAAGTTCCGGCTGCTGCGTGGCTAGGGTCGAGCAGTAGGCGGCGCAAACGTGCCTTGTTGCGCTCAAAATCCAGGTAGCACAGACCGTGCAGCAGCGAGTCGGCCACGTCGTCGCCCTTTCTGCGCGACTCTGCCGCGTCGATTTTGTAGACAGAGTTGACAGAGTTGAGATACAGCATCTGATCGTAGAGGTGCCGCGACGGAGACCGCGCGGCCGGCAGTTTTGGCGGCGAATGTAGTGCGTAGCACTCTCCAAGTGCGAACGGGACCTCGTGCAAGCCCTGTCCCGCCAGCAACACGTCCATCCAGCGCGCGACTTTGACCATTCGCTCGGTCTTCGAATCTTTGCTGCCTGTCCAGTACGATGCCATTTTCTGCGGTGACTGGCTCTCCACATGGCAGCTGCCCTTGGCCAGTATCGTGGCTACCAGAATGCTTTCAAGAATGTTGCTCTTCAAAATGTGCTCAAACACATTCTTGTTTCCCATTGTGCGGAACCGCTGTCGCTCCACCACCACCACGTCGGGCACGTCGCTGGCGTACACGAGATCGCGCACCACGTGACCCATGATCTGGCTGTAATTGACGGGCGTGAACTCCTCGTTTTCGATGCCGGTGTACTGGTGTAGGTCCATTTTGTACCACTGGACGAGCAACGGCCTGCCGCGCTCTTCCAGCGTCTCTAGCCTAAACCGGCTGAACGAGAAGTTGCGCAGGCCCACGTCGATCGCGAGCACGTGAAAAGGTTCCTTCAGCAAAGACGGTTGCTCGAGAGCACGGCCCAGCGACTCTGCAAGCTCGCCTTTCGTACCGGACATTGCAATCCCGCAATTTTGTGCTGTCCGTCTCAGCCATTCGCCCTTAATATTATTCCTGGTTATATATCTGGTCAGCAGAGCTCTCAGATCATGGGACATGTAAATAAACAAAAAAAATAATTATTTTTTATTCCCTCTTGTTCCCTGGATGGATCCGGTTCTGCGAGAAAGACAAATTTACATCTGATACACTTTCCCGCTTCCAAAATGGCCTATCTCACGCTGCCGCCGGAGTTTGTTCCGGAAGCGAAAACCGTCATCAATTGGGTCATGTCGTTCACGCCGCTGGTGTCGTACGGAACGACCTTGCTCAGCATCCGCCGCAAAAAGTCCTCCAAGGGGTTTTCTATAGACATCTGTGCGACGATGCTCATTGCATCTACACTTCGGATCTTCTACTACATTAACGAGCCGTTCGAGATCAGTCTTCTTAGACAGTGCTTTGTCATGATCTTCATACACGTCCTCTTGCTGAGGGTGGCCATCAAATACAGAGACCCTGGCGAGACGGCGTATTTGCGGTACGACGAGTCTTGGCCGGAGTTTTTCAGGTCGGCGTGGAATGCCACGGACGAGGGCTCTGTTTATGGCGACGCTTTAGAAAAAGCCTCGAACGCGGCTGTGCAATATGCCAGACGGGTATCTGACTTTTGCGGCCGGCTTTTGCTACGGTTACTGTTTCTGTACGACGCCCGCTACATCAGGCCGTTCAGGTTCTGGCAGTGGGACGAGTATTCGCAGTACATGCAGTTCCTCGGGGGGTTAGTGCTGAGCTTGACTGCTGTCCAGCTCGTATTTGGCAGGACCGAGTGGCTGGGGCTGGTGTTTGGATCCTGCTCGTTTCTGATAGAGAGTACGTTGCCGCTGCCGCAGATCCTGCTGTTCCAGCGGTCGAGGACCGTGGAAAACTTCAAAACCATACTTCTGCTCAGTTGGCTGGGTGGAGACCTCACGAAAATCAGCTACCTGGTGTACGGCACAGATAACGTGGGTTTTATCTTTGTGGCTGCTGCTGTATTCCAGATGAGTCTGAACTTGGTCATCACATACCAATTCTTCTACTTCAAACACATGGACACCGTTAATTTGCAGCAGGTGCTTCCGCTGAACCAGGTCAAAGAGGAGATCCCGATGGACGAGTTCCGTGTTCCAGCCACATTTTCTGCCCCTTCGAGCCGCGACCTGTTTTCTCCGATTTCATCGTCGCAGTTCCCGTCTCCGGCCACCACGCCGATCCTGAACCCTAAAATCGACCATTCGCGTTCCAGATCAAGCACGTTCGCCGAGCATGAAGCGAAAATCAACAAGAGTCTGCGCAAGGCGAGCCTGAGCAGCAGCGTCAACCTGGAGACGATGAAGAAACAGAGCAGCAAACTAAATCATTAACATACAAACAATGAAGGTATACCTGTCATCACTCAGACATTATTCATTTTTTCCGTTTCTAGTCTCTCTTCGTTGATCTTCCACCAGAACTCGAACGTCCCCGTCTCGTCGTTAAAAGTGTCCCTGCTCACCTCCCAGGGCTTGGGGGTGATGATGTAGTGGATATTTTTGATTTCGTCGATGTCCCAAACATCCGCGTGGCATTTTTTTAGGGTTTTCAGACAGTTGTACTTGTACGACAGTCCCAGCCAACGATTGCAAAACACGTCCGAGAGCAGCTCCTGGTCTGGAAAGTCGTACGACGCCGTTTTTTCCGGCTGCGATAGCGTTTTCAGTATTTCGTTATAATTGTCCATGTCGGGTTTCACAATCAGCAGGCCCCCGTTGCAGGCCTTAAGTCCATACCGTGCGTCCGGACCTTTGATGTGGCGGAATTCGTCGTCTTTGCGGACGGATTCCTCGATATTCGCGTGGTAATTGGTGTACGCGCAATTTTTCGGGATCCAGTTTCTCGGATAGTGCTCCAATTTCAAAGGGTTGCACACACACGCTGGGCTGGCGGCAAAGGCAATGTGGTCGTCAAGGTGCAAGTCCATCAGCTCGTCTATGTTGCGGATCACAACCATATCAGAGTCCAATTGGATGACTCTTTGAAACTGCGTGAGCTTGAACGGCTGTAACTTGGACCAGGTATCGTAGAACCTGGAGTCGTGGCCAAACTCCTTCGACTTGGTGGGGATCAGTGGATCGACCTGCATGATAGCGATTCCTCGCCGGCAGATCTCCAAAACCGACTTGGGGTCCAGCTGCGACGTGTACAAGGCAATTAGGGGATATTTGGATTGCGCCCTTTTCAGTGAGAAGTCCAGAGTCAGCAGACCCTCGAGGTACTTCCTGTTTGTGATCAAGGTCGACCACACCTTGGAGTGCATTGACACGTCAGTGTCGGCCGGATAGATATCGTCGGCGGTCATCTAAGCAGCACTCCTGGAAGCCGAAAAACGAACGAATTTTATCAATAGATAATGCGCCACGTATGGATGAAGTAATGGGTGTGGCTTTATCTGCCGTTTTCTGTTCCGGGCACTCAAATGTGGCCCTCGAACAAAAAAAAAGATTCTTAAAGAAAACAACCAGTTTTTTCCACTCGTCCAAAAGCAGACCTCAGCCGAAAAGGATCAAACCTCCCAGCTTCTATCGGCAACAAGTGCTTTGTTTTTGCAGGCACTAAGGTTTCCTCCGTCAGGCTGACATACATACCCTTTGGAGACTGCTCAACCGCTATCTACTCACCCCACTATGGTGTTGATCAACGGCGTCAAATACGCCTGTGAGCGGTGTATTAGGGGCCACAGAGTCACTACGTGCACCCACGTCGACCAGCCGATGATGATGATCAAACCCAAGGGCCGGCCCTCCACGCAGTGTGCGCACTGCCGACAACAACGCAAGCTGAAGAACGCACACATAACGTGCACTTGCAACTCGAAGACCAAAGAGCACGACGTGAGCTGTGCGTGCCACGTCGACGGCGAGTGCACGTGTTCGAAGCAGAAGAAGTCCAGCTCGAAAAAGAAGGACGAAGACGCGAAAGATCAAAAATCGAAAATCATGCCTCCTGAGTCACAGTCGCTTAATGTCGACAAGGATAACGTCAACAGTATCATTCGATCGTGGGATATGGCGTCGCCGCCCCTGGGGTCTGAGCTCCTCCAGAACGACAGTCTGCTGTCACTGAACTCTGCAAGCTCAGACAAGCCGTCGCAGGGATTCCATTACCAGGATATTACCAAACGACAGGTGGGAATGGACCCGCTCCAGAACTTCCGGTCATCGACGCCGCAAAGCCAGCAAAAGAAGGCCGGGGAAATCCACGTTCCAGTGGACGAGTACGTTGCGCCCCTGAACACGATGAACAACAACTTCTCCACTCTCATGAGCAGTATTTCGACCTCAGAGCCGGTGGTGCCTCCAGCCACTGCGAACGGACGGTCCAAGTCAAACTCCATGACCAGCGAACCGTTCCAGGGCATCAACACTCCCGGGTCTGGTCTCTTGGACAGCTTTGACGACAACAACTCGTCCAAAATGTACCACAACCGCAACAGAAACGTTTCGAGCGGCTCGGTAATCTCGAGTCCAAGAGAGTCGATCAACCCTGACTCCTTGTTTCCGCTCTTTCCCCTGATCGGCCCGTCGCACTCGCACTCGTCTCACTCGTCTCTTCCCTCCACGCCATCCCACCAGAGTTTAAGCGATCTGATATTAACGCAGCCTGGGGGACACAAACTGTCGCATACCAACCTGAACTCCCATAATAGCAAAACCCACCATAATTATCCGCAGATGCTCAAGAAAAACCTCACAGGCTCGTCCACCCACTCCAGCGGATCGCTGAGCCACTCGCACCACCATGGAGTTCACGGCCACTCTCACCAGTCGCACTACTCGCCGTATCCTCAGAACATGATGGGCCAGCAGCCCCGCCGATCCAACTCGTTTTTGTCCGTTTCGTCGTCCAACACGGTTAACTCGTCGCTGGGATCGCCGGGCTCGATTCTGACGAATGAAAGACCGCCATTGGTGAGCGCCAACTCCACAGACTCGCTGAACGGGTTCCAGCTGACAAACGCGAAGACAAACACCACGCTGATGGACGATCTGTACCAGACTAGAACCTACACGGAATCGGGAATGAAGCCGTTCTCCATGGTCCCGGAGGAGGAAGATTCTGGCTCCACCCCTGCGTCGGATGTGTCGCAGCTACGCACTGTTCAGCACAAAGTTAATCCGGTTTTCGACCCAAGCGCGATAGGCACGATTCCGCTGACCACCTCCTCTGCCCTGCCGAACGCCACGGACCAGCGAACAGAGGCCACTGATGCTCAGACAGACTACTCGAGCTATTTGGGCAACATAGACTATCTTGACAGTCTTCTGGACCAGTCTGCCGACCAAGCGGACCTGTCCAGCTTCATCGACCTGCAAGGCACCCAGACACAGGAGCAGGCCTAAGTAGAGACGTGTGTACAATTAATGGTTTTTTTACGGCCGGTTGTGAGTGAGTGTTGCCGTAAATACTTAATATATATTTTCCGAATAATTGATGCAATCATCCCAGAAGCTTGCTTCCAAGCTCGACACCTTGGCGAAAATGTCTGACAGGGTGTCTAAAAGCTGGCCTTTATCGAAGCCGTCTTGGTGCTGTTTGCTGCGGACGTACTCCTCGAAGTACTCATTGAGCACCTGCTCGCCGCGTTTGCAGGCCTCCAAGTACCATGGAGCCACGTAGTCGCTGAGCCAGTCGCGGTACATTTTTTGTGTTGGGGAACCGGGGTCTGCCTGGTACGACAGCCTGCCGTTCTCCGCGTCTTGCTGCAATTTGCGTGCCGCCATGAGGGCCTTAGCGTTGTTTTCAGGATCTGCTTCCAAAAACTTAGCGCCATTATTCAACGCGTTGGCAGCAGCATGGTTGTAGCCAATCAAACAGGGCATCAACGCGGTCTTGCACATCAGCCAGTTGTGTGTTTTCTCGTACAACTCGACCAAATAGTTGACATAGTTCTGCGTCGCACGTCCAGCGACAATTTTCTCTAGGTCTAGGTCCGGCCATCTGCTTTTCAGCTTTGTTTTGTGTCTCTCCATCTCGGTCTCTATATTGCCCAAAATCTCGTCCACATACCCCTGCAGCTCCTCCGACTCGGTGATGCTGCGCAGGTTCACGTGCACGCGGTGGTAGGCCTGCAGGTATAGGTAGTCCTGTTTAAGAAAATAGTTGAATTTTTCCACCGGCAAAGTGTCCTCCATTGCCTGCCGCACAAACTGGTGATGAGTGTACTTTTGCCAGTGTGGGACGACTTTTTCGTGGTTCATCAGAAATGACAGCAAGCCGGCATTCTTGGACGTCTCGTGCGGCCGTTTGATTGCCCATGTGTGGTTCAACGGCCCGTTGGGCTTCACCTCTGCGTGTCGAATGGCTTCATTGACAAACCCTATAGCGTTTTCGACCGCGGTGGCCAGAGATGTGCCGCGGGCAAGGTTGCACGCCACCGCCGAGCTCAATGTGCAGCCTGTTCCGTGCAAATTAGGCGAGTCGATGTGGTTTGACCGGAAAACGGTGAGCTTTTCGGATCTGTGCTCATACAGCACGTTCAGAATATACACCGGATTTTCAGGGTCAACAACCAGGTTCTTGTTCACCGGGACAAGCCCGCCCTTGAACAGCACGTCGACCTTGAACTTCGACCCCAGAAGGCGCGCAGCCGTATAAAAATCGTCTGCCGTGCTTATGGTGATTTCCTCCACGCCAGGGTCCGAGCTGCGCAGCACAGCCAGCAAAACCTCCACCTCGCGCGAATTCGGGGTAATGAGGGCCGCATGTTGAAACAGCTCTACCGCCTTTTTCAGCGCCGCCACAGAGCTCAGCCGGTCGCCATTCTTCGCCACGAAAACCGGGTCTAGCACAATAGGCGTTCTAGCGGCACGGGCGGCCAGAAACGGCGTAATCACCGACAGTGTCTCGTCAGGCAGCATTCCGAGCTTGATGGCGTCGAGCGCAATCTGGTCGTCGGCAATGGCCACCAGTACCTTCTCCACAACTTCAGCGGGCGTTGTGGTGACGTTGTGCACGCCGAGCGAGTTCTGGGCCGTGAGGGCCGTGATACAAGTCACGGCATAGCACTTGTACGCGGTGATGGTCTTCACGTCCGCCTCAATGCCCGCGCCGCCCGACGAGTCGGAGCCGGCAACGGCCAGAACCCGAGGAACGCGCACAGGAGCCAACTCGCCGCTCAATTGGTCGCACAGATCAACAACTCGTACCATTACCTCGTAAAACAAGAAAAAATCAAAGGCCTCCATTTTTTATACACAATGCACTGCCCGGTTTTTAGATTCCACATCTACAAGTTGGAGCCTATTTTGCTGTACGCCTCGGCAAAACCGTCGACCAGCGCAGCAAGCCCGATGGCGCCGGGATCCGGCAGCCCGCCCTCGGCCTCAAACGGCTTGAACTCCTCCTCGCTGACGTAGGACGCGCGGCCAAACTTAGCCTTGAGCTTTCGCGTTGACTCTGCTCCCTCGTGGCAAGCCTTGTTAGCCTGGTTGAGGTCACCCTTGCTGGCCGCAAACTGCTCCACAAACGGCGCAAGCGCGTCGATCAGAGTCCGGTCGCCAGCACGGGCCCGTGTGTATCTGTACAGCGACTCCAGGGCGTCCTTGAGCGATGCAGCCAGGATCTGCGGCGTCACCTCGTATCCGCCCTGCTGGAGCTCTCTGTCCTTCAACGACTTGGCGAGTGCAGAGATAAAGATCGAGTAAAGCCCGCCAGAGGTACCTCCCATAGCCGTTTCGACGACGTCAGTGATCTGCGTCAGACTCCGGACACCGTCGGTGATCTCCAGCTTGTCGGCAGCCAGCAGGTCCAGGATCGCGTGCGCGCCGTTGGCCAGCGTCTCGCCGCAGTCGCCGTCGCCCGCAACCGTGTCGTACAGCGTGATCTTTGGCTCCTTGGTCAGCAACTTCTTGCATCCGCTCTCCAACACAGCCTTGACTGTGCTGCTTGAGAACCGCACTTTCGAGGTCGCCGACGCGTCGCTCACTGGCGGAGCGTCGATGACGAACGACTCGGATTTCGCCGCCCATTCTGCCGTTGTGTACGACGAGTTCCACCCAGGAACCTTGGTTGGGTAGTCCAGACAATCGAAAACCTCCTTGCCCCCCGCCCGAGTCACGTTCAGCAACGTGATGGAAAAACCAGGACCGTCTAGCGACGTGGTGTACGCGCCCGTGTACACTCTTGCGGGCTTGATCTTGTAGTCGGTAGCCAGCTGCTCAACAACAGTGTTCTGGATAGCGTACAGCTCGAGGTTCGACGTGCCGCCCAAATTGTTGATCATCAGCACAATCTCGTCCGACGAGTCGAAGTCCACATAGTGTCTCTCCTCGTCGCTCTTGTCGAGCAAGTACTTGAGCAGGTCTGCCACAAGCGTGTCGATGGTTGGGATTGGCGAAACGCGCTTGATGCCCGACTCGTTGTGGATCCCCATACCCACCTCGATCTCGTCCTCCTTGAGCAGATGTTTCTGCTCGTCCTCGTCGTCGGACTCGGACTCGTGGTGTCTGTTACCCGGAATTGTGCAGTGGTCGAGCGACGCGCCGATGGTCACCAGATTGGCCACCACGGCCTCGCCCAGCTGGTACACCTCGCTCAACGAGGCTTTGTTCGAGTCCTTGGCGGCCTTGGCACCGACAATCTTGTGCACCAGACTCGTACCGGCCAAACCGCGTCTGCCCACCATTCCGTTCTTGGTTCTGCCCACAGAAACGTCGTCCTGGACAATTAGCAGCTCCACGGGGACGCCCTCGGCCTTGGCCCGCTCTGCAGCAAGCCCAAAGTGCAGAATGTCGCCGGTGTAATTTTTCACCACAATTAGCGTACCTTTGTCTGAGGGCTTTGCCTTCAAACCTGAAACAATCTGCTTTGTAGAGGGCGAGGCGAAAACAAAACCAGCCACTCCAACGTCCAAACAGCCTTCACCAACAAAGCCAGCGTGCAATGGCTCGTGGCCAGACCCTCCACCAGACAGGATCATCACCTTGTCGGGCTTGGAGTGCTTGTTGATCACCACACGCTCGGATTCGATGAATTGGAGGTCTGGATTGGCATGACACAGGCCTTTGAGGTGCGCATGGACCAGGTCTTGCTTGTAATTCCAGTGTTTGCTCGACATGCTAAAGAAAAGAAGGTTAGGAAATGCCGGGTCGAGCTGTTTATTTTATTGGATCCCGGACTGCCAAGGTCGGCTAAGTTCCTAATAGCGGGGAAAATAGCCCCATAGTCTATGGAAAAAGATACCCGGGAAATAACCGTATAGGGAAGAACGAGGTGCGCAACCCAGTTTTTCCCCCACCACGCCGCCACCGCTTTTTTCTATTTCCTGCCTCTCACGTGACCGCCCCCCCTGGTGCGCCCCCGATAAAAATCAAAAACAGTCAGCTTCCTTGCATGGCCCTCCGCAGTATATCGTTCAACCAGGACTACACGTGTCTCGCGGCCGGCTTTGACGCGGCCTACAAGGTGTACAACTGCGACCCGTTCGGCGAGTGTTTCCAGAAGGCCGACGATGGCGGCGCAAACTTGGTAGAGATGCTGTTTTCGACGTCTCTGATCGCCGTTGTTGGAATCGGCGACAAGCCCGCCAACACGATGCGCAAGCTGAAAATCATCAACACGAAGCGCAAAGCGGTGATCTGCGAGCTCACATTTCCGACGGCGATTTTGTATGTCAAGATGAACCGCAAGCGGCTGGTCGTGGTGCTCGTGGACCAGATCTTTGTGTACGACGTGTCATGTATGAAGCTGTTGCACAGCATTGAGGCCAGCGCTGGCTTGGATGACCGGATTATTTGCGACCTTTGTGCGGACGACGAAAGCGTGCTTGTGTTCCAGCAGTCGGGGAGTTCCGACGAGCTGGCCGCCAATGCCGGCACAGTGGTGGTGTTTGACGCGCTGCAGATTCAGCCAATTAATGTGATTGAGTGCCACAGGTCGCCGCTGCAGCGGATCGCCGTTTCGAAGGACGGTCGGCTGTTGGCGACGGCGAGCGTCAAGGGCACCATTGTGCGCGTGTTTCGGGTGGCCGACGGCAGGAAGGTGCACGAGTTCCGGCGCGGGAGCTACACGGCGCAGATTTCGTGTCTGAGCTTCAACGTGGACGCGACGGTGCTGTGCTGCTCGTCCAACACCGGCACCGTCCATTTCTTCCGACTTGACGACGTCGACCGACGCCGGTCGACGGGGTCGATCGACGCAAACATTGACGGCTCCGAAACACTGCCGCGCGAAAGCAGCATCACCGAGGAGGAGTCGAGCGAGATCAACCGGCTGATCAACAGCCAGCTCGGCGGCCACAATGGGTTTGCCAAGAAGAAGAGCGCCGAGTCGCTCAAGAACTTTATCTGGTCGAAGTCCAAAACGTACCTGCCGTCACAGATCAACTCCATTTTGGAGCCCAAAAGAGACTACGCCTTCATCAAGCTGACCACCGAGGTGGAGAGCGTGGTGGGGCTTGTCGACAACAATTGCTACGTGGCGACGCGAGCGGGCGATTTTTTCGTCTACTCGGTGCAGCCCGGCCAGTGCGTGCTCCTCAAGCACTATAAAATAGAATAAGACATTTTTGAAACATCACCATTTTTTCTCATGGCCACTGCTCAGAACAGGTCCATCCGGCCCACGCCGTACATGTGTCTCAAGTCGCGCTGGGTGCTTGCTGTTTGGAACGAGTGGACGCTTTTTGGGGGGCTGGTGGTGGCCATCGTGCTGCTAGACTGCTGCTCCGCGTCGTCAAGTTCCAAGTCGTCCAGCTCGTCGCTGAACACGTCTCTTTCGATTGCCTCCAACACAGACTCCCACAACGTCCAGTCGGTGTTTCTGGACGACTTAAAGACCGTGGTGGCCTGCGATCTGACGGCTGAAGCTGCGTACCTCAACTCCACTTTAAACGACACAATCACGACAGCATACACGGCGATCGCCTCCATCGACCTGCGCCCAATTTTGCAGCAGCTCGCCGACTCCATCAACCACACCGTCACATCGTCGCTTGCATCCCAAAATAGTGCGCTTCAGTCGCTCAAGTCGACTCTGAATTCCCAGGCCGTGTATGTTGGTTCCGCAGTGAATTTGGACAAAATGGATATAAATTATACCTGGATCGGCAGCTATCTGGCAAGCGAAATACAGAACCGTACGGTAACCAATGCGTACGAGAAATACTTTGAGAAGCTCCCCGATTACTTTGCTTTCTTCGACGCTCTCACAACAGAGACGCTCCAGAACGTTTCTGCTGCATTTGACCTGGTGGATTTGTACGGCCCCGAAATTTATCACTATTCCGTCTCGAACGGGTCCGCACTGCACCTGGCATACATGAGCTCTACGGCTTCTAGAAGATCCAAGGCCGTGTATGTTCTTGTTGCATTGATGGTTTTTTTCGTGGTAGCACAGATGCTGCTTGACTGGCTGCGCTTCGCACATGAACAGAAACAGGCAACGTGTTTTCCGCTCGAAGCCTCCGAAAAGACAGACTTCTTGGAGTACACGTTCCGAACGGTCGATTTCGAAGCCTTTCAGCTCGCAGAGGTGCTTGCTGCGTTTTTGGGGGACAGCACCAGACTGAATTTTCTTGCATCCTTCTGGCTCGGGGTGCGGTCCAATGCAAAGAATCTGGGAAAGTATATTGTTTTTTCGCTGATTCTATATTCTTCTTGGCCGCAGAACACCTCGTCTTCAGTGGACGTGTCTCTGAGCGGAAACACGCGTCTGCACAATACGTCGCACACGCTGAAGACGGATTTTGGGCTTGGCTCAGAATCGCTTCTTGCCGATATCCGAGAGATTTACGACGATTTCCGGGTCCAAGTGCGACAGTTTCTTGTCGACGAAAGCCTGGAGCCGTTTGTGTCGTATGACGGGGCAAACTCCTCGTTTTTGGCCGACCTTAGCTGGCCCGACGAAATGGCAACACAGCTGACCGTCGCCGTAAACAGCACGGTTTCGCATGCCAAACTCCACCTTGTCCAATCAGCAGCCGGCACAGATGCTCGCCCTCTGCTGTACTACGCCTTTGCCCTCTGCGTGGGGGCCACGTTCACAATGGTGGCCATCAGCGTGTACACGCTCCGCTAGCGAGGGGGGGTTACCCGCACGTAGTTTTCGTTAAATTTTTTTGAAAATTTAATTCAAGTGCATTGATCCTAAGAAGCACCTACTAGCCGACATCGCTGCTGAATTCAAGACACAACGGGCGTTGTAGTTTTTGGTACCTTGAGATGTCGCATAGGAAGTTACAACAGTAAGTGTGGACGAAAGCCGGGTCTGGGCGATGCTGGGGCCTGTAAAAAGGGAAAAGGGGCCAGGGGTCGTTTGGAACCCGGGACTCGACACGGTTTACTAACGGGCCAGGGAAATTGACCGCGTGTTCAAGAAGATTGGCGAGGGGCTGGAGATATTCAACACTCTGTACGAGCGCCATGAGAATGCCTCGAACGGCTCGCAGAAGGAGAAACTGGAGAACGACCTCAAGAAGGAGATTAAGAAGCTGCAGCGGTTTCGAGAACAGGTGAAGAATTGGCAGGCCACCAATGAGGTCAAGGACAAGGAGCGGCTCAACGAGTACCGTCGGCTGGTCGAACAGGCGATGGAGAAGTACAAGGTGGTAGAGAAAGGGTCGAAGACGAAAGCGTTTTCTGACGAGTCGCTGGCCAGTTTTGACGACCCGCAGGAGGACAACGAGGCGATCGAGTTTGTGCGGGAGACGCTGGACGAGATCCAGCGTCAGGAAGAGGCGCTGGAGAGCGAGCTGGACAAGCTGGGCGCCAAGAAAGGCAAGAAGACCAGTGCCGTTGACGAGCGCAAGTCCGAGATTGAAGACCTGCTCGAGATCCACCAGTTCCACAGACAAAAGCTCGAGGTGGTATTGCGACTGCTCGAGAGCCACGTGCTGCGGCCCGAGGACATAATGAACATCCAAGAGGACATCAAGTATTATCTGGAAGAGAACCAGGATCCGGACTTTGTGAATGACGACACCATCTACGACGACTTGAACCTGGAAGTTGATGAGAATACGCTTCACGACGGCAGCTCTACGCAGAACGGCACGCACAAGGAGGAGGATTCCGTTCTTGCGGCCACGGCGCCGATCTCCGTGTCTGTGCCAGACACCACGCCCCAGAAGAAGAAGGAGAGCACGCCGACACCGTCCACTGTTCAGGCCTCGCCGGTGGCGACCGCCAAGCCACCGGCCCCTGCGAAGCCTGTTCAAACGCCGCCGGTGAGCGTGCCCAAGATGGCCACGCCGACGACGTCGCTGGCCAATCTGGCCGGCACTTTATCGTCTGTGAACACGCTGAGCACGCTCAAGCCTGCTCCCGTGCCCGCCAAGCCCGTGGGAGAGCTCAAATGGGCAGCTGCGGTGAGCCAGACCGCGAACGGGCGGCCTAAACCGGAGGAAAAGCCTGCCACGCCGGCCACGCCGCTCTCGACGCTGAACACCAACGCGCTGAACGCCGCCAGTGTGCTGGAGGCGCTGAAAAAACAACGACCTCAGGATGGAGCGTCGCACAGCAACTCTGAGTCCCGGACGGCATCCAGCACGGCGGGCGTGGGGTCTGCCGGGTGCGGCGACGTTGCCAACGACCCAAACTTCCGGTTTCTGCCTCCAGGCATCCAGAGCACGATCCTGTCGTTTGTGATGGCCAGAAATCGGCCAGAGTCCGAAAAGACGCCGACGCTGTCGAGCGTCGGCGCCATGCTTGCCGTTCCCCGTCGCTTCTCGCCCCTCAGCGAGGGAACGTATCCGCCGGGATTGGAGGCACAGCGGGTTTCGGCGATCTGGAACAGCGTGCGCGTGAGCAACAACATCGAGATCGACTCGCAGAACGTTGACACCGCCACGCTGTTCTATGCCTACTACTACGCCCTGTCGCAGAAAGAAAGAGACGTCGCCGCGTCGGTGCTGGCCTCCAGGCTCTGGAGAGTCAACAACGACAAGACGATGTGGTACCAGCGCCATTCGCAGGTGAAAGTGTCGGGCGACGGCTTTGAGATCTCCGACTTTAACGTTTTCGACGCAGAAAAATGGAGCTTCTACGAAAAGAAGAACCACAGGGTCGACTACTCCCAGTTTGGAAAATCCTAGGTGCGTATATATAATTGAATATTGAGGTTGTAACTACTCGCTAAATTCCTCTTCACTTTCTGCCGCGCTCGAAATCTTCACCTTCTTCTTCCGCTGGATGTTCTCCTCCTGCTCTCTGCGTCTTCTCTCCTTTTCCTTGCGACGGACAGCGTGGATCTGCTCCAGCTTGTTGATTTCCTTGACACTCTTCTTGATCCGCGAATGGTACAGCACCTTACCGTCGCAGACGCCTTCCTCGATCTTTACCAGCTCCAGCTTCATCCGCGGACCGATCTCGGTCAGTTTCACCGCCTTCTTACGCTTGCCCCCTTCTTCGGCAGCACCCTTGGTTTTCACTGCAACGTCCTCCTTCACCTCCACCACGGCGTCCTCCTCCACCTCTGAATCAGAGGTGAATCCGGCCTGGGCGTACGGGTCGAGAATGATGTCGGCCACGTCGTCGACTTTCGACAGATTTGGCAGTTTCTTGTTCGTTTTCTTGTGCACCTTGACCAGTTTTTTCACGTTCTTTGAGACATCCACCAGTTTCGTGTCGATAACGTAATGACGAAGGTCGACCAGCCCCGTCTCCTTATCCTTCTGTAACAGCAAAACTCTCTTAATGGTGCTGACCTTGGTGTTCTGTGGAGAGATTGCCGGGAACATGTTTTGGAACATGGTGACCATCAATTTTTCGTGCTGCTCTGCTTCTTTCGGACTAGTAAACCCGCTCATCACAAGCAACGGAGGGTTCAGAAACTCCGGGCCAGACTTGCTCACGCTCTTGGGCATCTTCTGATAGCGTGCGACGTCTTTGCAAAGCGAATATTCGTGGATTTTGAAGTTGATGGTGGGGCCCCGGGGCATTGCTGAAAAACGAAGCTGGGTGGACCCTGTTTCCTCGTTCTGGCTGAAAATCATCAATTGCGAGATTCCGAGCGGACCTGCCATCACAACAAAGTCCTTGAGCTTATTGCGGTTACGCTCGCGAAGATTGATCGCCGTGTGAGGAAGCATCATGATCCTGGTGTCTCTAACTAGTTGTGTAAGGGTGTGGTTGTGTAAAGCTGTCCCCAGATGGATCACCATCGAACGGGGGATCTTGGCCAGCTGATCCTCGCTCAGCTTTACATGGGTTCTCTTTTTCTGCTACATTGTTAGTAATTCTGGGTGGTTGTACGCACTCTTCTTTTCGCCATGATGAAAAGATCTGTCTAAATAAATTTTCAAAATATTTTTGAAATATTTGCAATTAAAGAAAAAAAAAAAAAAATCTATTTTATTTAATGTCTCCTACAAAGATATCTCGCTCTGGCAATGTAGCCCCTAAAAAGGCGGTGTCTGCCAAAATCGACATTGACTCGCTGAAGAAGAAGCTCACGGCTAACAAGACGCAGGAAAGAGTGGACACAACGCTACCAGAGGAACCGGAAGACAAACAAAACGAAAAGCAGTCTGAACAGGACGAGTTTTCCAAACAAGTGACATCGTTTAAAGAGCTCGACCTGCAGCCTGACATTCTGGACGCCATTGAAAAGCTCAATTTTTCCACACCAACTCCTATCCAAGCCCAATCGCTACCGCACAGTTTGCAAGGCCGCGACATTATTGGTATTGCGCAGACTGGATCCGGTAAAACTGCCGCCTTTGCCATTCCCATTCTACAGGCTTTGTGGGAAGCGCAGACCCCATATTTTGCCTGTGTATTGGCTCCAACCAGAGAGCTGGCGTATCAGATCCGTGAGACGTTCGATGCTCTGGGAGTGAACATGGGGCTCAGGTGTTCTACTATTGTCGGAGGTATGGACATGATGGAACAGGCCAAGGAACTGATGCGGAAGCCTCATGTGATTGTGGCCACTCCTGGACGTCTGATGGATCATCTGGAGAACACCAAGGGCTTTTCACTGAAGGCCTTGAAGTATCTTGTCATGGACGAGGCCGATAGACTGCTAGATATGGAATTTGGGCCTGTGCTGGACAAAATCCTCAACATAATCCCACGCGAGAGAAGAACATACCTGTTTTCTGCCACGCTGACATCAAAAGTCGAAAAGTTGCAACGTGCTTCGCTCATAGACCCCGTCAAAATCGCCGTCAATGACAAGTACTCGACGGTCGACACGCTGATTCAGACACTGATGGTGGTCCCCGACGGGTACAAAAACACCTACTTGATTTATCTTTTGAACGAGTACGTGGGTAAGTCGGTTATAGTCTTTGCGAGAACGTGCGCCCATGCGCAGAAGGTTGCTCTTTTGGCTAGAATCCTCGGGTTTTCTGCCATTCCGCTACACGGCCAGCTTACCCAGGCCCAGAGGTTGGGTGCTCTCAACAAGTTCAAGTCTGGAGATAAGCAGATTTTGGTGGCCACTGATGTTGCTGCCAGAGGACTGGATATCCCGTCTGTCGACCTTGTGGTGAACTATGACATCCCCACCGATTCCAAGGCCTACATACACCGTGTCGGAAGAACTGCTCGTGCTGGAAGATCCGGTAAATCTGTTTCCCTTGTGACGCAGTACGACTTGGAACTTATCCTCCGGATTGAAAAAGTTATCGACATGAAGCTTCCGAAGGAGGTGCCCAATAAAAACGAGATTCTGGCCTTGCACGATTCTGTCGACAGAGCCACCGCCCAGGCTGTGTCCAAGGTCAAGGAGTTCCACTCCAAGCGCAAATTTAAAAAGAAGGACTGATTTAGGATGCTAATTTATACGAATTAAAATTGTAGCCCTGATAATCAGGCTGTGAAAGATATTTTTTTGCTCCATCTTATGTCATTGCCTCCTTCTCTCGACGACCTGGTCAAAACACAGCGCACCAATGGCAAGACGCGGTTTCTGAGTAAGTCTCAACGGGAGAAGCGCAAGCAGCAGCAGGTAGTGAAGCCTCCCTCTGCTGTTGTGAAGCCGCAACTTCACAAGAAGAAGGCGCCAGATCCTAGTTTTGCAAACTCCTCGAGCAAAAGCGACGGAGACACCAACGACGCTGAGTTTCCTCCCGTTGTGGATCTGCCCAGGCGTCGTGATGACCTAATATTTGACGATGTTCATTGGTCAGAAAAAGAGCTTTCTCAAATGACCAACAGAGACTGGAGAATCATGCGGGAGGATTACAACATCAGCACGAAAGGCGGAAAGTTGGAGAATCCTTTGCGCAAGTGGGAAGAAAGCCAGATCTCGCCGCTGATACTTCAACAGCTAGAAACTCTGGGATACACAGAGCCAACGCCCATACAAAGGGCTGCTGTTCCAAACGGGCTGTGTGGCCGAGATCTGGTGGGTATTGCCGAGACTGGTTCGGGCAAAACGTTGGCGTTTTTGATTCCCAGTGTGAATTACATTCTGCAGTTGCCCCGTCTGGGAAGGTTTGAGGGCCCGTATGTGCTCATTCTGGTTCCCACGCGAGAATTGGCGTTGCAGATCGAGCGAGAGTTTTCCAAATTTGCGTCTCTCGGGTTTGACGTGATCTCGCTGATTGGAGGACACTCGTACGATGAGCATGCTGAAAAGCTGGAGCGAGGCGTGGAGGTGATAATAGCCACTCCCGGGCGGCTGGTCGACTGTCTGGAGCAGCAGCTGGTATCTTTAGAGCGGTGCTTTTTCTTGGTGCTTGACGAAGCTGACCGGATGATTGATATGGGTTTTGAAAAAGATCTCAAGAAAATCCTCGAAAGCTTGCCAGATGGGTCTGAGAACCCGCATTACTTGGGATCTGGAGAGCCCAAAAGAACCACCATGATGTTTACCGCCACCATGCCGCCGCAGATCGAGAAAATCAGCGCAAAGTACCTGAAAAGCCCAGGCACTGTTATGGTGGGCGAGGTCGGCGGTGCGGTCGACAGCGTCCGCCAAGAAGCCATCCAGGTTGAAGACTCGGATGAGAAACGGTTGCAAATGCTGCAGAAGGTGCTCTCTCGTGGCATCTACTCGCCTCCAATCATTATTTTTGTGAATTTCAGGAAAACATGCGAAATGGTGGCAGAATTTCTGGAGCAGCTGGGATTCAATGCTGTTACGATGCACGGCTCCAAAACGCAGGAACAGCGGGAATACGCCATCCAGCAGATTAAAGAGGGCAGGTCTGACATTCTGGTGGCTACAGACGTGGCGGGGCGAGGAATTGACATTCCGGACGTGTCGCTCGTGCTCAACTTCCAAATGGCGAAAAATATCGAGGATTACACACATAGAATCGGACGTACGGGGCGGGCTGGCAAAGAGGGTACGGCAATCACGTTCTGGAGCGCTGCGGACGCAGATGTGCTGTACGACCTCAAACAAATGATTGCCAAAAGCCCTGTCAGCAGGTGTCCGGAGGAGCTGAGAAGACACCCTGCTGCACAGAAAAGAATGGTGAAAAATATTGAAACCTGAGGGCTAGTCGCTATCGCTCTCGTAGCCGAGCTTCGTCGCCAGCGCCGGTTTCTTCTGTAGCAGTTTAATAGCATCTAATGACTTATTCGCAAAAATTGACGACGGCTGCGGAGCAGGGAGAGCCTTTGGAGCTTTCTCGATATCCTCTCGCGCCTCTTCTCCGGCTGCTGCTTCCTGCTCCGGCTCTTTTTCTTCCACGCGTCTCAGTTTGTTTTGCATCGTTACCAAGAGCTTTTTAGCGGTCTCCAACGCAGTCTGCTCTTCCTCCTCGCGGTTTCTTTTCCTGGCCACCGGGTCAGGGTCCTCGTTGGCCCACTTAACATTGAGCGCCTCCTCGTCATCGTCTTCCCGAAGAGACTGTCCATACATTGCCTCCTTGGCAAACTGAGCCTGGCTTTCCAGTCTATAAGTGACAAACGCTATGCCTTTGCTTCTCACCACCCTTGTGCGCTCAATTTCTCCATACTCTCCAAAATTCTTATTTACAAGCATCTCCACGTTTCCTTCCATCGATCTGAACTTCTCCACAAACAGCGTTTTGTTGACCTTGTTGAAAGACCCCACTCCGGTCATATCGTCTCGGTAGTCAGCAAATCGCTCTCGCCCAAAACAGTCTACCGTATGAGGGAAAAAGTCCATGTCTGTGGGCAGACGGTGTAGATAGTCGCAGTTTTTTCCATTCGTGCAGTATCCGCGGGCAAAATACAGACAGATAAACTTGTTGCGGTTCACTGATCCCGGCTCCACGTGTTTATCTGCCTTTGTATAGCCTGAATCTTTGGCCGGATGACATCTATGTCGAGCGTGCGCGACGGTTCTGCCGTTATACTCGCCGCCAGTCCATCTGCTGTACCACAGGTTAAATACCTGGCCCGTCTGCGGCGGCTTGGTGTCTGCAGTGACGGATTCGGGGTCCAATTGGAGTCTAGCGGGCCGACGAGCCATGAAAAAAAATAATAAAATAATTATTCTATTTTATTTTATTTTATTTTTATTTATTCATTCCATGCCCCAGGAATCCCCGTTCAATTCCAACACATTCGGGAACACGCTCTCGCTTCGTGTGGACGGGAATTTCCTGTCGACCATGTCTATTGCTCCAAGCGGGCGCGACGTTGTTTTGGCGGGAAGGAAAGGTCTTTTCGTCATCGACCTCGACGACCCTTTTGCTGCTCCTCGCTGGCTCCACCACCAGACGTCCTGGGAGGTTGCCGACGTGCAATGGTCGCCTCACAAGAGCAAACCATCGTGGGTGGTATCCACGTCTAACCAAAAGGCGATGGTCTGGAACCTGGCCAAACCGTCTCACAACGCTATAGAACATGTCCTCCATTCTCATACAAGAGCGATCACTGATATAAATTTCCACCCTAACCATCCCGAGTTGCTGGCCACGTGCTCTGTTGACACTATGGTGCTATCGTGGGACATGAGGAGCCCCCAAAAGCCAATAAACAGCTGGTCTGACTGGCGTGCTGCTGCTTCGCAGGTCAAATGGAACCACATGAACTCGAACGTTTTGGCATCTGCACACGATAACAATATCCTAATATGGGACATTCGGAAGGGGGCCATTCCGCTTGTGAAAATACAAGCTCACAATGCGCGAATCAACGGGATCGACTGGAGCAAAACCGAGGTCAACAAGATTATTTCCTGCTCCAATGATATGAGTGTCAAGTTCTGGGACCAAAGCAAGCCAGAGAAGGCCATATACACCATCCGAACAGACTTTCCGGTGAGCAGGGCGCGCCATGCGCCGATTGGAGATCACATTTGCGGCATCATGCCGTCGCGTGGTGGACAGAACTCCATATACATTGTGAAATATAAAGACGAAGTAGGAGAAAGCAAATTGAAGCCAAGCTATATTTTCAAGGGACACACCGAGCCGGTCAAGGATTTTCTGTGGAGAAGCAGACACTCGCCAAATGCCGAGGTGGACGACCGCGAGTTTCAGCTGGTGACATGGTCTGCAGACTGCGATCTTCGTCTGTGGCCTATCCAGGAGGACGTTTACGACAATTTTAACTACACAAGAAACCAGCCACTAGTTGATCCGTTGCCAGACTACAGCTACGAAACTTATCGTCGCGAGCCGCCAGTTACTTCAGAAAATAACCTGATCATCCGGCGACGGAGGAACACCAACCTCATTTCCAGCAGAAACAGCTTCACGTTGCGGAATGACCAATTCAACCACCTTAACTGGATTTCGGGTATCCGAATTGGCCAGTCGGCTATCCAGCAGATGGACGTCCAAGTTGGGGACAGCACGCAACCGGCCAATTTGGCGGAGGAGGTTGGAAACGTGGGCCACAAATTTCCCAAGGTGAGATTTGAAAGGATTAGTGTGTCCACTGGCAACTTGGTGATATCTTTGAATGGTCCGTGGAAGGACGAATTAATATTTATTCGCGTGGAGATCGATTTCCCCAAGGAGTACCCATCGCCCAAGGGAATTCCCAAGTTCTCAATTGAGGAGACACACGAGCTCACCGATGAGAACAGCAAGGAGATGCTGGCGCGCCTGGATGAGATTGCCAGCAAATATTGTTCGCTGCGGAAATTCTGTCTCGAGCCCTGCCTACGATTTTTACTTGGGGAAAAAGTCAATTTAGACATCGAGCAGGAGGAGGACTTTCTGACGCTAGATCCATTCTCTATTCCGTACGAAGATGCCAACGAGAGCGATAACAGTGGTGGAATTTCTTCCATGTCCGACAGAGACACGGGCAGTGACTCCGAGGACGAGACTGCTGCAATCGTGGACGTCAACAAGCCGACTTTTGACAGCACGCCGGTCCCAAAGGGCTGTGGGGCCATTTGGACGGCCAGTGGCCATCTCGTGTGTTTCTTCATCCCCAAAGAGGACAAAAAGGCTCCGCAACAAGTGTTCAAGTTTGGGCAGCAAGGATTCAGTCTAGCAAACGGGCTGAAAACCAAGAAAATTGAACACGGAATGGAGCTCCCCACCTCTGCCGATGCAGACTCCGAGGACGACGTTTCTAGTCTGAGCTCGGAGGCCAGCTTTTCCAACGACCTCGACATTCTTCAATACGACAGGCTGTACAAAACCAAGCTTCCACTGGAGAACGTGGCAAGTAACCCTGGCACTCACACTTCAAAGTCGAAACAAAGCCGCAACGTAGTGAAAATTCACGATTTCCGTCACTTGATACCTGCCAAAATGGAGCTGGCCTTTGAGTACAGAGTTTTGGGAGACACCCCTGAAAATCTGGCTAAGTGCAACGCGCTGGTTGCAGAAAAATACGGATACAAGAATTTGGCCGACTGCTGGAAAATTCTCTCCATTATCCTGGTCAAGGAGGTCCAATTTGAGGACAAGCTCGATCTCGCGACACACGCGGGTTTTGTAACCAAGGACGAGCCCACGGATAGCTACAAGTTTTACTGGGGAGCACACCCCTTTGGAGGCAGATGGCTTGCAAAAATGATCATGAGTTACTATGAGCGACTGAATGACGTCCAGATGCTGGCAATGCTGTCCTGTGTGTTGTATGAGCATTTCGAAAATAAGGATCAGCCAGGCGTCCCAATAAACACTCCCTACTCGCTGAACTCCGTCATTCCTGAAAAAAACATGGCCCTACACACCGCGAAGCAAGGACAGGTTGTCTCCTTTGATACCAGGAGCCCTATGGGCTCGTACCATCACATTCTGTCGCAGAATCGGCTTTCTTCGGTAAGCACGGCCTCGATATCCGAAAGCCTTGTTGGGTCTCCTGGAGAGTTACATGTCTCTAACCGACGTGGCATCCGTCCTCAAAGCATAGCTCTAGGCCACCACACACCAGGCGACTCGTACTCAATGCAGCTGGGCCGCTCTCCGGGCGCCATGTCGTCATCCTCGTTGTCCTCTGCTGGCAACGTCTTCAGCCAGGCTTTTCAGAAATCGCTCAACACGACGGCTCCTGCACCTCCTGCCGCACCGGCTCCAGTGCCGAAAGTAAACATTCAGATGATCAATACGGACTCGCTGGATCTCTATGAGGACGCCTATTCAATGTCTCTACTGGACAACCTAGACATTGAGCGGCTACAGATGTACAGAGCAGAGTACGCCAACCTGTTGTTCTGCTGGGGCCTTCCCGTTTCGAGAGCGAAAATTCTCAAATTCAACCACCGCAGCTCGGAGATGCCGTCAAGCTCAGAGCACCGTGGCGAAGTCGGCTGGCTCAAGCCAGTCGGGAAAAGCGTATGGGACAGTGTTCGCACGCAGCGGAAATGCCACTATTGCAACCTGCTGAGCCGCAAAAGGCTCGTTGTTTGCACGGTTTGCAACCATCTTCTGCACGCTTCGTGTGCGCTTCAGTGGTGGGAGCAGGAGAAGATGGAGGAGTGCTGCAGCGGGTGTGGTTGCAGGTGTCTGGAGCACCGACTTCGAAAAGTGCAAGTGTAAAGTAGTGTACCAACAAACGGCTCAAAATAAATTTACAATCCAAATAATTAAGTAGGCAACTGACCACTTAACAGCAGCAATCGAATCACAAGATAACCCTGTTTCTCTACAAACATGACAAGCCGGTCGCGTCACGATGTAAGGCGGCAGCTTTTTCGCGGTATCACCACGAGAATGTCGTCGCACAACCACGGCGGAATCAAAGATGAAGATAAGGAACAAGTAGCGACCCAGCCCCGGAGCCAGCCCCAGAGTACAGAGCCTGGTCGGCGCAGAGCGTTGAGGCGCAGCAGTGTCATTACGCCGACGCTGGCGACAAAATCCAACGTGATGACTCTGACGCCAAGCAACACATACTCCTCGACGAGTCTGGTTTCTGGCTCGACCGACATCAACAGCACCGACGTTAGCGACAAGGTCTCGCTGCGGCAGAAGAGCGAGGCAGACATGGATCAGTATGATTACAAAACGTTCAGCACAAAACATCCTCTTCGTCTGTCGAAGATACGCGCGTTTGAGCAGGCGGAGATGGCGCACAAAATGTATTTTGCTAAAGACGAAGAGTTGGAGCATAAGAAAACCGGCATGCTGGTGCAGGTGCCGGGGCTTTCGCCTCGCGAGTCGCGCGAGTTGAGCGCGGAGGCCGGACTCGAGCCGGATGACTCGCAGATGGAGGATTCATACGACTACGCTGTTTACGAGGACGACAGCGACGAGGACACGAGTCTGGACCGAGACGATCCATTTGTTTCTGCAGATAGACGACTGAAAATCATGAGGAACGCTCTGCGACCGGTAACAGAGGAGCAGCTTGTTGCCAAGAAGCTCAAACGGTCGCCGCTGAACGCTGTGTTCCAGACGAGCTCACAGTTCATGAAGGACCTGGACCTGCAGGAGCTGGAGCTGTGGGAACTGATGAACGAGGAGTTTGAGAAGGAGATGGAGACAGTCGAGGCCGATGCTAGAGAGGGAGACAAACGACAAAGCCAGCTTAATCTACTCGACACGTCGCTGGAATCGCTGTCGCACGCCGCATCCCCTGAGCTGTCGATGGTTGTGTTTGACAGTCTGCGCCGCAAGATCAAGCAAGAAATGAACCAGGATAATCTGGAGTTCAGTATAAGTACGAATTAATGGAAAGGTCGGTCCACGTCGATCGGCGCACGCTTCTCAGCCCCGGCCCAGCCACCTAATCTTAAATTTCTGCACAGCCTCGCGCAACACCCTAGTGGCAAACTAAGCAAGAACAATTAATAGCCATCGCTTGTATTAACCTGGTGGTTTTAGTGTGCTAAAATTGTCGTTATGAACGTTATCAAGCTGCAGGTATGTCTGGTTTTATGCAATAGACGAGCTAACTCTTCCTTAGAAAAAATTCCCTGTGTTGGAACAACAGGACCTCTTCAATATTATTGATGACTTCCGCAAAATTGACTTGGACGACAAGGGCTGGGTGGACAGAAAAGACGTGATTGAGGCTGTCTCCAACGACGGCAAGGGCTCGTACGACGATATCAGAGAAACTTTGAAGCAGGTCAATGTGGACGCTTCGGGACATGTGGAGTTGGAGGACTTTGTCGAGCTGCATGCGAAATTGAAGGCGAAAAAGCTCCAGCCGCCTCCATCTGGCTCCTCTGGCATCAGTGCCGACTCTGCTGTGTCCGGTAGCTCGTCAGCAGGCGGCTTTGTTCACAGAGGTACGGGTGCTTCGGCTAAGGTGATTGTTACCGGTAAATCGGGAACCACGCACACTATCAACGACGAGGAGCGAATTGAGTTTACCAGGCACATCAATGCTGTGTTAGCGGGAGATCCGCATGTTGGCGACAGATTGCCTTTCCCATTGGACACTTTCCAGATCTTTGATGAGTGCACGGACGGTCTGGTTCTTTCCAAGCTGATTAATGACTCTGTTCCGGATACTATTGATACTAGGGTGCTTAACATCCCCAAGAAAGGAAAGAAACTGAACAATTTCACCATGCTGGAAAACGCCAACATTGTGCTTAACTCCGCTAAGGCTATTGGCTGCGTGGTGGTTAACGTGCACTCCGAGGATATCATTGAGGGAAAAGAACACCTGATTTTAGGCCTTATTTGGCAGATCATCAGAAGAGGACTGCTAAGCAAAATCGATATTAAACTCCATCCTGAACTTTACAGATTGCTGGAAGACGACGAGACCTTGGAACAGTTCCTCAGACTGCCTCCAGAACAAATCTTGCTCAGATGGTTCAACTACCATCTTAAGGCAGCAAACTGGCATAGAAGAGTGTCAAACTTTACGAGTGACGTGAGCGATGGAGAAAACTACACCATTCTGTTAAACCAATTGCAGCCTGAGTTTTGCTCCAAGGCTCCTCTACAAACGTCTGACCTGTTGCAGAGAGCCGAGCAGGTGCTGGATAATGCGGATAAGATCGGATGCAGAAAATACCTGACTCCTACTGCCTTGGTGGCCGGTAACCCACGTCTGAACCTTGCCTTTGTGGCTCATCTTTTCAACACTCATCCTGGTCTGGACCCAATCGAGGAGAGCGAGAGGCCAGAAATTGAGGAGTTCGATGCAGAGGGTGAGAGAGAGGCCAGGGTGTTTACTCTGTGGCTCAACTCTTTGGAAGTTGATCCGCCAGTGGTTTCTTTGTTTGAAGACCTAAAAGACGGCACTATTTTGCTGCAGGCTTTCGATAAGGTGATGCCTGGTTCTGTTAGCTTGAGCCACATTAATAAGAGGCCAACCTCAGGAAAGGAGATGATGAGGTTCAAGGCGCTGGAGAACACTAATTATGCTGTTGAGGTCGGAAAGGCCAACAGGTTTTCGCTTGTCGGTATTGAAGGTTCTGACATTGTGGATGGCAACAAGATGCTCACACTGGGACTGGTGTGGCAATTGATGAGAAGAAACATCAACAATACGCTCCAGAAGCTTGCCTCCAACGGTAAAGAGCTTACCGATGCCGAGATCCTCAATTGGGCCAACACGCAGGTCACCAAGGGTGGTAAGAACTCGACGATTCGCTCTTTCAAAGATCCTTCGCTGGCCACGGGTGTTTTCCTTCTCGACGTGCTGAATGGCTTGAAGCCAGGCTACGTTGACTATTCGCTGGTTACTTCAGGTGCTACCGAGGAAGAGAGATACGCCAATGCCAGATTGGCCATTTCAATTGCCAGAAAGCTTGGTGCTTTGATCTGGTTGGTGCCAGAGGATATCAACGAGGTCAGATCAAGACTGATTTTGACATTTGTTGGGTCCCTAATGTCTTTGAAGGTGTGATGATGTGTATTCTAAAATAGAAATTAAAAAATGCGTAAATTAATTATTCAACTTTTATAAACCAAGTTAATCGTCTGCGTACACTTTGCGAGTATCTGCAATTTGGTCTTTTAATTTCTCGTCCCATTGTAATTTAAGGTCTTCAAAGTACTTTGCCACGTCTGCTTGGCCCGTTGCGTCGACCTCTGCCACCTTGAGGTACTCTTTACCGGTAATAGTGCATGCACTGCCGTACTTTTTCTCCTGCAGGTCCTGCTCGGGATTGGCTTTTAGACAGACGAAAATCGGGGCGTTAGCGCCTTTCCAGCCCGATATATTGTGCCATGGTGAGCCACAAAGCCTTGCCACGTAGAACATCAGCAGCATACCGTAGAATGTGAGCGGGTTGAGGTACTGGAAGAACGAGAACGAGGTGAATATGCCTGGGTGGGTCAAGTACTGGTTGATGCCGTACTTGGACTTGAGTTCTTTGTATGAGCCGAGATGGAGCAAGTCGACGAGCCGCTTTGAGCCCTCGTATGAGATGTCAGACCGAAGCAGCTGCAGATCGTCAAAGGACAAAAACGAAGGTTTCGACATTATGCTCGAGATCCACACGACCCGGGGATTTTCAGAGTGCGACAGTAATGGCTCGGCCAGATGCTGCACAAAGTAGTAGGGTCCAAAAACGTTTGCCTGGAACACGAGCCCCAGCCCGTCTGCAGACTTGACACCCACCTTCTGGATCTTGTACGTGGGGAAAGTCGAGGCCTGCACTGGGTTGGAGAGGACTTCTTTGGTGGCCTGGATCCAGTCTATGCCCGAGTACACGCCCTGGGCAGCATTGATGAAGAGGTAGTCGAGCTTGTTGTGGTTTTTCTTGAGCTCGTAGATCGCCGCGAGAATGGATACCATGTTGGAGAAGTCGACGAGGACATAGTCGAAGTCCAGAATGGCTGTACGACGCACATGTTTTTCGTTGTGCTCTTTAATCTTGTTTATCGCCTCAATGGCTTTCGGGAGTGTTCTGGACGTGACGATGATGGTCAGTCGGGTTTCCGAAGGAACCTCCGCCAGCAGACGGTACGCAATGTTGAGTCCCAAATTGCTGTTGGTGCCGGTGATCAGGGCCACAAGACTCATGGAGAAAATAAATATTGGACGAGTTACACAGCCCGACAAAACAATAAATAGGCCAGTTGCAAGACAAACAACGTGTCTCGGCAAAGATGCTCCTGCCAAAACGCTCCTGATGTTTTGCAACCAGCAGGTGGAGGCTGTCTGAAATCCTGCTCAAAGCTTGCCCCTGTGACCACATGTTGCTACACTCTAACCATCTGCCATGCACTAACAATAGAAATTTGTTTCAGTTTCAAGACCGCCCTTTATCGTGCGGCACAGCCCGCCATGCGACCGCTGATTAGCAAGTCTCAGCACTAATTGGGTCCTGATATGCAGAATATGAAACTCACGGCTTTTCTAGACCAATTGGTCCCCAGTGTCTCAGAATCAAGCTTATATATAGACGTCGATGCAGCAAGGTCTTTCCAACCATGCACGCCAAACAATTTGTTTTCAACCTGAGAGACTACGAGGTGAAAGACATTCTGGGCGAGGGAGCGTACGGAGTGGTCGCGCTGGGCGTCCACAGAAGATCGGGCACCACGGTTGCAGTCAAGAAGATTGAGCCGTTCGAAAGAGAGCTCTTTTGTCTTCGCACGCTGAGAGAAATCAAACTGCTCAAACACTTCAAACACAACAACATCATCAGCATCCTCGATATCCAGAAACCCCGCGACTTCGAATCCTTCAGAGAGGTGTACATCGTGCAGGAGTACATGGAGACGGACCTGCATCACGTGATCCGGTCGCAGACGCTGAGCGACGACCATGTGCAGTATCTGATGTACCAGGCTTTGAAGGGCGTCAAGTGTCTCCACTCTTGCGGTGTGATCCATAGAGACCTGAAACCGGCGAATTTGCTAGTAAACTCCAATTGCGACCTCAAGATCTGCGATTTTGGGCTCGCTCGCGTCGGCAGAGACAATTCCTCCTCGGTTTCAGAATCCAAGGACTCTTTTCTCACAGAGTACGTGGCCACACGGTGGTACCGAGCTCCAGAAATCATGCTCACGTCCTCTCAGTACTCCAAAGCGATCGATATCTGGTCGCTGGCATGTATTCTCGCGGAGATGCTGCTTAGAGAACCGTTTCTCCCGGGCAAGGACTATAGACACCAGCTACTTCTTATATTTGAGATTCTGGGCACGCCCACGGGAGCCGATTTCCAGTCTATCAAGTCCAAGCGTGCCAGAGAGTACATTCGTTCGCAGAGGTTTTTCAAGAAGATTCCTCTTCGAAAAATATTTCCCCATGCCAATCCGTCCGCAGTGGATCTAATGGACAGGATGTTGAAATTTGATCCCACCCAGAGACTCACAGTGGAGGAGGCGTTAGAGCATCCGTACTTTAGTGCGTACCGGGTTATCCAGGAGGAGACTACGGCAGTGCCAATTCCAAAGGACTTCTTCTTTTTCGACGACTGCAAGGAGCAGCTCGAGATGATTGATCTGAAAAGAATGCTGTATGCCGAAATTCTAGCTACCTAAATTTAGTGATAATGAAAAATTGGGGTCTCGCAAAGACTGGTTTTAGGTGTGGCAATATATTGGAACAGAATATTTAACGCAACAGTAGTATTATCTTGCAACTATTCTATGATCAATGCACGCAAGCAGAGAGTGCTCGCTATTGCTGCACTGTGCTTTCTGATTATTTTGTTTGTGTCCGTCACAAATGCCGGCGACAAGAAGCCGCAACTGCTTGCTGGAGAACGGTCCTATTCTCCCACCCCGGGCAACAATAAGCTGGCCCAGGCTGGAGGAAACGTGAATCAGCTTGTCAAGGACAAATCCGGGGTGATTGACGAGGCGAAAGTCAAGCAGGCAGAGGAGTTTTCGAGCGTCAAGCCTCCTGTGAAGGCTCCTAGTGGCGACTCGTCTCAGAAGAAGATCACAGCAGACACGTCGAAAAAAGCCGGATCGACAAAGGAACACTTGGCGATCAAAGATCACAAAGGTCAGGCAGACACGAAGGAACAGAAGTTGGCCGACTCAAAAGATGAAACCAAAGCCGACATCCAGCGTTCGAACGTAGACTCCAAGAAACTGGTCGATTCGGACGTCAAGAAGGTGACGGACCACGAGGAGAGCACGGAGTTTGACGCAGCCAGGGAGTTCAAGGAGATTCTCAGTCTTTCTCCTGTGGCTATCTTCTCCAAATCTTACTGTCCATACTCTAAGAAACTCAAGGATTTGTTGCAAACGAGCTACGACATCACTCCTCAGCCCACAGTTGTTGAGCTGGATCTCCACAAATTCGGCAAAGAGCTCCAGGACTATATTGCCTCGGTGTCAGGCAGAAGAACTGTGCCGAATCTGTTTGTTAACGGTGTCAGTCGCGGTGGCTCGGATGAAATGAGCGCTTTGCATGCAGACAACAAGCTTCTTGACGAGCTCACTGCGTGGGGAGGCCCAAAGGTCAAGGTGGAAAAGATCAATAGGCCTTCCAACTCGTGACGGCCTCGCTTACGTAACCATTTTTAAGATTTAATTATTTTCATCATGTACGCTTCACCCACTCTAGACAGCATTGACGGCGAGGTGGCCATTCGGAAGCCGGAGTACGTTTCTTGTGGAATTGGGAAGCCATCACATGGTGTACAAAAGCTTATCAAAAGTCTGGATCTCGCAAAACACCAGGAAGGCGGGTATTTCAAAGAGACAGACAGATCGCCGTTCTATATGGAAAGCCCTTACTATCCAGGACACAACAGGGGAAGTGAACATGAGCCTTTGAGGCTAGGGAAATCAAGCGAACCAGTTCTGCCTCATCCAGAAGATGCTCAAAAGAAAATTACTCCTCACAGAAATACCTCAACCTTAATACACTATTTATTGACTTGCGATGCCTATATGGGCAGGCTCCATAAAAACCATTCGCGAATAATTCACATTCTACAAAGAGGCCGTGGCCAATACGTTTTGGTGTACCCTGACGGGACGATAAAATCGTTTGTTGTTGGCTTTGATGTAGAAAAGGGAGAGGTGACTCAATGGGTAGTCCCTGGAGAGGTGTACAAGGCATCATTTTTGCTACCGTTGAACGGCGAGCCATCTGCTGACGACCATTTGCTGATCAGCGAGGTTGTGGTTCCAGGGTTTGAGTTTGACGATCATAGGTTCATGCAAAGCTACGATGAGCTGAAGGCGCTGGTTGGAGACCGTGCCGAGGAGCTTAAATGGCTACTGGAAGCCAACTGAGAATTGCAACCAGGTATAAGTTTTCGATTTTCTTTGTTACACGTGACCCGCACGTGACCCGCACGTAGCCCTCTTTGTAAAAAAATACCAAGCCGGTTTTTCACAATTAAAATTTTCAAAGTTTATTGGACTAGTTTAATAGATCAAGATGGCTACTGAATTGACCGTGCAGTCTGAGAAGGCTTTCCAGAAGGTAAGTGACAGAGATATATGATGCGACAATGCCAGCAATAAGGACGACCGAAAAAGTGCGGCGAAGTACGTCCATTTCCATCATACGAGACGTCAACAGTTGGAAACTCGTATTTCGCCAGACTCCTTCGGACTCTCAAGCGCAGCGCTGTCCTATCCAGTATTCTAACACCTCAGCAACCACACATTTTTACCAACCCAAAGGCCAAGGCCTCCAGAAGAACCAAGAGATGGTACAAGGACGTCGGTCTGGGATTCAAGACTCCTAAGTCTGCTATTGAGGGTACCTACATTGACAAGAAGTGTCCTTTCACCGGTACTGTCTCTATCAGAGGTAGAATTCTGACCGGTACTGTTGTGTCCACCAAAATGCACAGAACCATCATCATCAGAAGAGACTACTTGCACTACATCCCTAAATACAACAGATACGAGAAGAGACACAAGAATCTCGCTGCTCACGTTTCTCCAGCTTTCAGAGTTCAGGAGGGTGACATTGTGACTGTTGGACAGTGCAGACCACTTTCCAAGACCGTTAGATTCAACGTTGTTAAGGTTGCTTCTGCTAAGGGTAAGGTTAAGGCTTTCACCAAGTTCTAAGTTAGTTAGATGTATAATCATAAGGATGAGTATTGAACAATTTTCGCGGTAAGCCGGTGCAAGGGTGCGCCTGCAACTTTTTCTCGCTGTCTGTCGCACCTGATAAAATTTTTCTCCAAGTAGCAAACTCAACTTACCCTCTCACCTTTGTATCTTACCCTGTCTTGAAGGGTAACTCAGTATATTTGATAAGATAAGGCCAGAATTTTGATGCTGGATCAGCAACATCAGGAGGCACAGGAGCAGATTGGTGGTGCCCGCGCCCTGCTGGAGCTGGGCACAAAACAGAAAGAAGGCGGAGATCAAAACAACGACGTCGACCAGCATTCCAAGCACGACGATGAGGATGAACGGCTTGACCGATCAAGGAAGCGTAACTTCTCCAACGACGACGACATGTCGCAGCTGGAATTCCAGCAGTGGACCACGGGATTTTTGGCCGACGATCTGGAGGGCCAAGAGGGCGACAACGACACCGACGGATACCATTTTGGAAACCAGTCTGGGCTTGGAATCCCGTCGTTGAGCCAGAACAGCTCAAAACGACCAAAAAAGACCTCGCGAAAGGATACGAACGGGATTAGTGGTAGGAATGGCACGCCATCCGCGAGTAACGTTCATGCGGTTAGAATTAAAAATATTAATGTGGACCCAGAGTTGGCAAATCTCGACACCTCTTCGTTTGTACAGGATGCCATGATTGATGCCAGAACTCTGGCCAGTCTGGGATCTATTGACCACGAATATTTGAGGCATGCTGCCGAGGGTGCACATTCAGAGTCTGCTGAGGACGAGGTTCAGCATTTGGCAGTCCAAGCTGTTAATCAGGCCGTTGCCGCAGCGCAGGCCCAGGCCGCCGCTGTGATGGAAAAAAATGACGGTCAACCTAACGGAGAAGCTCACGATAGAAAACACCTACCGGCTCCGCCTTTGACACGGGACTCTCAACAAGATAGGCCTGGGTCTCGGGGAATGACTGCTGCGGGCCATCCATTTTCCGTGCCTAGCGCAGAGACGGCCGCTCTGGTTGCCGAGGCTGCTGAGAAGGCGCGGAGCTATGTTACCGTTCATTCGCAAGGACGTTCGTTTTCGAAGGAGGAGTCGAACGCAATCGACTTGTTCATTACCGAATACCAAAACATCAATAACATGACGAGAGAGGAGATTTGCAAACGAATCTGGTCAAATGAACGGAAAAAGGACGATTTCTGGGAATCGTTGCAGAAGGTGTTGCCCGAGAGAACGCGAGCATCGTTGTACAAGCACGTCCGCCGAACTTACCACATATTCAACATCAGAGGAAAATGGTCGCCGGAGGACGACGAGCGTCTCGCCCAGCTGGCTGCCAAGATGGAGGGCCAATGGAAGGAGATCGGAAAGGAGATGAACAGAATGCCAGAGGACTGCAGAGACAGATGGAGGAATTACGTCAAGTGCGGAAGTAATAGGCTCAGGCACAAGTGGTCTTTGGAGGAGGAAGATAAGCTACGGAGCGTGATTCATGGCATGTTGCGGGAACAGACGGCCAACTCTGAGTCAATGGGAGTTGAGCCAGTAATTAACTGGACCTTAGTCAGTGAGAGAATGGGCGGCACGCGCTCTAGAATTCAATGCAGATACAAGTGGAACAAGTTGGTGAAGCGCGAGGCTGGAAACCGTGCGCGAAGCGTGGACCTGGAGACCAGAAACTGGTTGCTTGCCCGGTTGAGAGAGATTTGGAACCGCGAGGGTACAGATTCCATTGATTGGGATACCTTGGCGTCTTTGCATCCAAGCAATGTTTGGTCGGGCGCAGACTTCAAAAAATGCTTTGAAAAAATGAAGTCCACCGTGGCCGGTTATAAGAAGAAACCTTTTATCGAGATTGTGGACACATTGCTTCAGGAAAACACAGAGAATTATTTCGACTCCGAGAACAAGAGCGAGGACAAGAAGAAGGAGACGGACAGGCCGGACTCCAAGAAACCCGAGGCGGAGGTGTCGCTTTCTGAGCTTCAAGATTTGGTGAAGCGGGAAGTAGAGGCTATTGAGTTTCACTAATGTATACTTCCATGTACCTATCTGATATATAAACTACAGCTGTTTTTCATGGGCTAAAATAAAAATTGGTACCCCTGTCTCTATTTTGCTCCGTCCGTTCGGCCCGTTTTTATTGTTTTTTTTTGTCAATACACTGATTTTTCAGATAAAATTAAGCTGCAGAATTTCTATCCGGACATTTTTTTTTTTGACGAAAATAAACCCTTTGGAGGTTACTGTTTCCCTTGATGCCAAAGCTAGACGATACAAAGAATAACAAACAGCGCAAGCGGAATAGGGTTCCTATTTCCTGCACAATATGTCGCCGCCGCAAGGTGAAGTGCGATAAGAAGAAGCCGGAATGCACCAATTGTATAAAAAATGGTGTCCAGCATTTGTGCAGGTACTTGGAGCCAAGCTGGGCAAAACCTTTGAATGAAAATGAGTTACATTTTCCTGGCACCACGGTATCGTCGCACACCCGGGAATCGTCGCAAGACTTCGTTGACAGGGATCAGGAGATGAAGCGATTGATCGCGAGAATTAGAGAGCTGGAAAACGAAAATACCGAGCTCAAGCAGAAAAAGACCAAGCCAGGCACCTCCAGACCCTTGCTACGCAACACTGATGATCTTGTTGATTTCATCCGCCACTCCAATATCCTATTTACAGCGAAAAAGGGGCCCACATATAACTTCCCAATAATCTATCAAATTAGTGTCTTTTCCTGGATGTTTGTCGTGAGAAACGATTCCTACCTTAATGACCTTTGGCTCAAGATACTGAAACTACGCAAACACTATGAATACTACTACAGCAGTAAAAACGCCATGGCCGATGCGTCGAAATCGCTGGAGACAGACTATACGAACTACGATTTTAAAATGAGCCACATTCGGCAGCAAAACAAAAACCACGAGGTCCCGAAGGAGAAGAGTAACGAGCACACAAGCAAGCTAAAGAAGTTTCTTGAAACAGCCATGGTGCTCAACAAGCCGCAGCCCGATGCCAAGTGCCCGATCACGGGAGAGTCCGGCGTTTGTCCTGCACAGGAGTCTCCTTCGGTAGAGAAGTCAACAACCAGAGTGAGAAAATGTCCGGTTCTTCATACCGAGGACTCTTCCGAAGGGGCCTTGAATTTCTCCAAAGATGACGACGAGGATGACGAAATGGAAGACCCTAAAGTGTGTCCTTTGATGATTGGCGATGCCAGGGCCTTGTTCAAAGAAAAGCTTTCGCGAATGTCCGTGTCTGCAATCAGAGAGCTTCCGCACTCAAAGTCTCCAAAAGTGACTTCCATTTCCGCCGATGTCGTGGACACCCCTACGGGCACGGCTGCTGCGTCGCCCAACGCAGCAGGAGACGAGCAGGCATTTTCAGAACCGCATGAGCCCCGCACCACGATCGACGGCTTACAGAGGCTAAACAAGAACAACGGCACGAAAAAAATCAAGACCATCTCGCCGTCTGCAATCAAAAACCTCAACTACAATAACACCAAACAGGTGATTGCGGTGATTGAAAAACATCTACCGGACCGCGAAGTTGTTTGGCTGTTAATTGACCGGTTTTTTGACAAGCTCTATATTCACCTTCCTTACGTTGACGAGGAGAGTTTCCGGGCCCGGATTGCGTCAATCATCGATGCCACCGATGCCTCGTCGGAACGAATCCGGCTGAGCTCCATTGGATCGCAGTATTGCGAAGAGTTTTTGAATGTGTGTCTATTGCTGATTATTCTTCGATTGAGTTGGTTATCTCTGCCATCCAGGATGTCTGACTCGCTCTCACTGGAGGAACAGGTGATGATGAGACCCGAGAACGTCATCACGATGGTGTTGGTCGATATGGTGAAGGAGATTTTCTCCAGTGCAAAAATCATGAGTAAGCCGTTTTTGATCATCTTCCAAGTTGGGCTGTTTTTGAAGCTGTACAATATTCTTTCACCAGAAGATGGATTCGACCTCGAGGACTCATACTCGAACTCAAACACAACGCTGCTCAACTCCAACGATCTAAGCGGAGACCTCACGAACGAAAATCCAAATATGAACGCTCCGAACTTTATGTACATGCTGATCCAGCTGGCCATTACTATTGGACTGAACAGAGACCCTCTCAACTTCAAGAACTTCTACCCGGCCACAGAGGACCCTGTTTCAAATGCCAGACTGTTCAGAAAGAGACATCTCTGGAGAAAACTCTGGTACGGTCTTTTGGGACTGAGCATTGAGAGCAACCTCAGCCTCGGAGACTATAAAAAAGGACTTCCGATTGAAATCGACATCGACCCGACTCTGGGTTCGGTCAACAAGACCTGGGATTGCCGGCTTCCTGGAGGAGTGGAGCAAGGTGTCTTGGAAAAGAGCTTTAACGGAGCACTGCTGAAAAAAGAGCAGCTGGTTGTCACAAACTTCAAGGACTCAATTTTAGTCTACCATCTTCTCTACAAGGGGATGAGTATTCTGTTTTCTGTGGACTCCACGCCGACCTCGAGAGACTTCGACCAGATCATGGCCAAGTTGCTGGACCTAATTTCTGACCGATCGCGAATCAAGCTGAACATGGCCTCGTTCCTCAACACCGAGGACGAAACCCCGCTGGATCGCTGCGTGAAGATCTACCGGTTCAAGTTGCACCTGGTGATAAAATCCATGCTTTTCGCTCTGAACTACCTGCTTTTCCTGAACCATGAACAAAAGTTTAATAGACTCATTTCCGAAAAGAACTTCACCATGAATAAGCTGGAGAAACAAAAAGAATACATGAACACATACTTTGAAAGCTGTCTGCTGCTTGCGGTCGACAACTACGACATTTTCAACCAGATCTACGAAAAAAGCGATACGCTCTACCCCAGCTGCGGCTCGCAGCTGATTTTGTATCCGTACCTGCTGATATTGAACCACCGCTCGCACGAATTCCTCATCTCTCTAATTCTTCGGTTGCAGCAGAACTCGCCGATCGTGATGGAGATTCTCAACCGCAACAACATAGACAAGGACGAGCTCTTGAGCCGTCTGTTCAACTACCTCCAGTCGTTCTTGGACAAGCTGGAAGATCTCACAAAGCTGTATTACTACGCCTGGAGACTGAAAAAGATGGTCAAGTTTTTCCACAACATCCTGGCAAACTCAAACAAGCTGTTCAACATTAACTTCAAGACCTTGGGCGAGAACGAGCAGAACAAGCAGGAGATTACGTTGCAGACACCAAAAGCGTCGCAGCCACTGCAGCTGCACCAGAACCCTCGCCCGATCAAGCGCGAGCCGACAAACGCATTTGAGATCGCGTTCGGTACCTCGAAGCTGCCGCCAGTTACGGACTTCACAGGGGCTAACGACCCATTGGCACAGCAGGCCTCGGAGCAGGTGGAGCCGAACGTCAATGCTGCTTCGATGCCGGACATGTTTGACGACGTGTTCTTCAGCGAATTGTCGGATATCAACGGCATGATGACGGGCGAGACGATTCCAAATACGATGCTGGATATGCCGCAAATGGTGTCGCCAGACCATCCGATGGCCAACGGAGTGCCGGGACCTGGCTTCCACAACTCTCTCAACGAGATCGACTTCACCAACGTCGATCTCACCTCCCAGTTCGAGAACTACCCGATGAACTACGAGAACGCGTACCAGAACGGACTGGGCAACCTCAACTTCCATTTCGGCTGAGCCAGCTGTATAATATACGTAGACGTTATGAACAGATTTATGATTTTAGATCGCTCGCTCGGAGTTAAGGTGTGGCCCGTGACAAAAAAAATTATTGTCCGGGAGGTACAAAGTCCGTAGAAGGTGTTGTTCCCGAGAATCTGTTTAGCCATATGAGTAGCACAGATAATACAACGGAAACGCGCGACGCGCGCCCCAAAGCGAAGCGCAATAGATTGCCGCTTTCGTGCACCATTTGTCGCAAGCGCAAAGTCAAGGTACGTATATGTTGTTGTCTTACTAATACCCAGTGTGACCGAGGACGACCACACTGTAAAGTGTGCGAGAAGTACAAAGTCGCGTATCTGTGCACTTATCAAGACTCCTCCTGGACGTCTGAGAAAAATGACAAGTCGCCTTATCCCCAGGTGGCGCCGACGCCCGACTCCGCAATATATGGCAACAAAAGCTCCATAGATCAGTCCCCAAGCGTCGTGTCGCCTTTCAACCAGATGGCGTCGCCATACGACATGCGTGAACCCAAAAGGCAACGAACATCGCCTGACAGGGCCTACATCGAGAGCCACCACCATTTCAACAGCTTTGCTTCCACGTCACCCTACATCGTTTCATCTGTCAACCACAATGGCTCTAATGAGCGTACCACCTCCCAGCCACCGCAGGGACTGCCCCAGGACTTCGACAAGCCTGTAATGAACGAGCTCCAGATGCTCAAGAAGAAGATTAGGGAGATTGAGGCGTCGATCGCCGTGGCAGACCTGTCCCAAGCAAGAATCCACAATCCTCCTCATCTTCCGCCGCTATCGTCGCAGGTACCGTCACAGGCGCCTACGCCGATTGCTGCGCCAGTGCCCTATAGAACGCAGTTGCCACCGCTCCAGTCTTGGAACAGCAACAAGACATACAATCTACCCCCTCTCAAGTCTTCGCCGCCTATGGCGCAGCAGGAAGAAAGCAACGCAAACTCGGTGGTGCCACCAGACTCAGGCATGGACCCGGCAGATGCCTTCAACTTCTACACCCACTATGTGCCCGTCCATCTTTTGCACGCGCGGACCAGCAACCACGGGCCGCTGATGTGGGTGACCATGATCAAAAAAGACCAATTTCTGCGTCCACTGTGGTACAAGATAGCGGAATATAGGAAGAAAAATAAGCTACCAGCGGTTTTGCAGGCTCAGTTGTCCGGAAACGTGGGACCTGAGGAAAAGGAGTTCAGACAGAAAATCTACGAGACCGAAGGAGTAGTCGATCTGCTTCCATACAAATCTGACAAAAAGGAGAAGGTCACGCATCTCACTGTTGAGCAGATGCGAGACAATATACGCAAAGACCTGGCGCTGAACCTCTACATGAACAAGGACCCCGACTCTCGCACGATATCGCAGATCTTGAAATCGCTTCCCAATAGGAAAGTGCTCTGGCTTCTGGTAGACAGGTTTTTCAAGTTTGTTTATCCTTTCCTCCCGATCGTGGACGAAAAAATGTTTGTTACCGACATCGAGGCGATCATTGGGCCGCGGGAGTACGAAGAAACAGAAATCAAGACGCTGAAGATCGACCGCAGACTGAATTTCGCTGTTATTGGCTCGCTTCTTATCATTTTGCGTATGGCCCACCTTTCTCTCCACTCAAATTTCGAAGAAGTTAAGGGATTTCCAGACCGATCCGAGCAGGAGAAGTACCTGCTGAAGCACCCGATTGATATGGGAATCATCAGTGTCGCTCAACTATGTCTCAACCAGTTTAAGCTGCTAAAGCGCTGTGCTCTTAGCGTTTTCCAGTGCGCGCTGTTGATGAAAGAATACCGCTTTATTGCTCCTGAGGATGGAGCCGATGGATTTGGAGACGGCGAAGGCCAAATATTTACCGGCATGCTGACTCAGATGGCGATTTCTATTGGTCTGAACCGAGACCCGGATCAGTTCTCCATGGTGTGCGAGTCCAAGAATCTCAACAACCTCTGGAGGAAGATCTGGTTCAGATTGAGGGATTCTGATGTGTACCACGCGTCTCAAATGGGAAACCCACTCATAATACGTGCTGATCAGTTTGATACTAAGCTGCCCGTATTTGACTCAGAGCAGTCGAACACCTCAGACTTGGCCCTCGAACAGGTGGTGATTGACTGTTTGAACGAGCGTTGCGATTTACAAAACTTGATTTCCGATCTCACGAGCAAAGTTCTCGACATTACTCAGAAATCGTCCATCGAGACGATCTTGCTCAAAATAGAGGCCATCGAAAGCTTCATCAAACACCGTTTCGGCTCTGTCAAAGATATTCTCACTCTTGATAACGGCAACCACTTGGAAAACGTCAGGAAAGTGTACCGAATCATAGGCTATTTGCAGGCGCGATCGCTGGTGCATCCGGTGTTGTACCATATTTTTCTGTTCTATAGCTGCAGAGCAAATTTGCGGGCATGTTCCTACCTGATGAGAGTCACGCTGCAGAAAGTGGTTGAGGTCAATTCGCTGTTCATGCAGCTTCTCAAACGCAATTTCACATTTTTCGGACTGGGCTTCGATCTCATACTTACTCCCATTTTAGAGTCTTCGATGCACAAAGCGCTACAGTTCCAGTTCACGCTATTTATTCGTGCGCGTCATCACAAACACCAGCTTCTTGCACGTTCGACTCAGCCCGACCGCCAGCTGATTGCCGCCATCACCAAGTTCACCGACGACACCATACTTCCAAATATCAAAATATACCTGCGTGGCCTGACCCTGATCTCAAAGAAATACTTCTACGCTTGGAGAATGAGCAAAGCACAAAACATCGTCCTCAAGCTGCTGGAGGACTCGGATAGCTTCGTCGATGACAAAGACTTATTCGGCAACGCAGCAGATATTTTCGATGGGTACACAGTGGCTGATTTTGAGCTGTTGGCGGAGATAGGCAACATGAAGCGATATGTCGTGCATCCTGCTACCAGAGATTACTCATTGAATCAGGACATTCCGGACGACGTGGCCAGCAGCAGCTCCGAGTTCCTCGATCACACGCCAGACAATCAAGAAATTGACAACTTTTGGCTGGAGCTCATTTTCCGGTTTAATTCTAATATGGCCTCGAAATTCGTTCCTACATCCGAGTCTATGCCCGAGACAGCATGGACTGGGTCGTTCGAGGGTCTGACACCTGGCGGGTCTCTCGAAGATACGTCGTCTTGGGGAGGATTTCCACAAGCAGAATGTGCCATCGAAACCGACCAACTTTTCAACGACGCTCCGATGTTCGACAATGTGGATTTCTTCAACACCGATTTGCTCCAAGAAAAATAAAAATAAAATCAAATATTCTTAAAAAATAAAATAAAATTTAAGGCCTTTATCGGCATGATCCTGAAAAATTTGAAATTTGTAGGTAGAGGACTGCGCTGGAACAGCAGTGGAGTGCAATCGGCACGTCCTAAGTCCAGGGCATCGCCCTTGACGGGACACTACGTTGGGTTTGGTCTTTTCGCGGTGACCATGACCGGCCTTGTTTACAACGATGACATGCGACAACGCACTGTGGAGACATTTCTAATCGCCGAGCGCGTGGGCGTTGTTGCGATAGCCACCGCAAGATGCTTTGCCATGTACTTGAAAACGCTCAATCGCGAATACGCCAACCGAGAGGACTACTATGAAGCACTCTCCAAAACCCATAAAAAGGCTGCGGAAACAACTCTGCAGGCCTTACGCAAAAACGGAGGAATCTACATCAAGCTTGGACAGCATGTTTCCGCTATGTCTTACTTGCTCCCGCCAGAGTGGACCAATACGATGATTCCCCTGCAGTCTGAGTGTCCAGAGTCGTCTCTAGAAGAACTAAAGGAGATGTTTGAACATGACATGGGTATCTCGTTGGACGAGTATTTCTTGGAATTTGAGCCCAAACCCATAGGTGTTGCCTCGCTGGCGCAAGTGCACATTGCAACATTGCGCGAAAACGGCCAGAAAGTGGCGGTCAAGCTCCAGCATCCGTCGTTGGAGAGATTTGTTCCTCTAGACGTAGAGCTCACGGCGATGGTTTTCAATGCAATGAAGAAGGTGTTTCCAGAATATCCCCTCACTTGGCTTTCTGACGAGCTGCGCCAGTCCATTTTTGTCGAGCTGGATTTCCGCAACGAGGCAGAGAATGCCAAGATCACCGCAGACTACTTCAAAGACTACAAGTCATTAACTGCTTTGCGCATCCCTAACGTCCACGCTGCCAGGCGCCGAATACTTATCATGGAATATGTCTCAGGTACTAGGCTGGATGACTTGGAGTATCTTGACAAGCACGGCATATCGCGCTCGGACGTGTCCAGCTGTCTATCGCACATCTTCAATAATATGATATTCCAGGCTGGCTTTGTGCATTGCGATCCGCACCACGGAAACCTCGCCATTCGTGCTCTTCCAAAGAAGAAAAATGGCCACAATTTTGAGATTATCCTTTATGATCATGGCTTGTACCGTAGAATTCCCTCTCAGATGAAAGTTGACTATGCGCGGTTCTGGCTTGCCATGATTGAGAAAAAACCAGACGAGATGCAAAAGTATGGAAAGAGGTTCTCAAAGATCGAGGACGAATCGCTGTTTCCCGTGCTGGCCGCAGCTTTGACAGGCCGCGACTTTGAACATGCTCTGAGCGGCAATATTGCAACACCTCGGAGCCAGGAAGAGATTGAGGTGATGAAAAAAGCCCTGACCGACGAAGGTGTTTTGCTCGACCTAATGGCCCTTCTGGCCTCAGTTCCGCGAATAGTGCTTCTTATTCTCAAAACCAACGACCTGACAAGACATTTGGACGAAGCATTGCAGAACCCGCTGGGCTTGGAACGTACTTTCTTCATAATGGCTACCTATTGTGCAAGAGCAGTTTACGCTGATGATACCGCAAGGCTCCGCAAAAAATGGTCCATTTTCTCCGTCCATAGGCTTGTCGGCTCTATCACTGCATTGTGGAACCTGTACAGCCGGATCTTCCTCCTGACATTTTACGACGTTGTATTCTCTCTTCGTGAGCTACTCTAATAATCTCAATGAGCACCCTCACACCGAATGTTGTGTAGTGTGAATAAAATAAAACATAGAAAAATCAATTTTTGTTTAGCATTTTAATGTCGAATCTGGCCAACCAGGCGATAAGCCAACAGAGAAGCCATTCGCGCGGAAATGGATCTCATGGCCGAGGGACCTCTTCTGCACAGGCAAAGATTCCATACAATTCGGGACGCAACGGCCACATAAACCGTGGTGCAGCAAGAAACAGGGGAGGACTCAAGAAGACAAGACAATTTCCGCGAGTAGACAAAACCTCCACCGGCACCTCAACAATGAATGATGCTGATCTGGGACCATTGATTGAAAACCCCGCACAATATGGCTACACAAAAATGGAGCACAGGACTCAGGGGATACCGAAATATTTGTTGAAAGAGCAAGTCTTGTTCAACTCTGACTCCTACGTGACAAATGAATGGGATGCAAAAAACCAGCAATTGATGCTACAGAAAGAAGCCGAGCACAATGGCGACTATCAGTCGCTATTCGAGGAATTTCAAGAGCTGCGAAAGGAAGAGAGGAAGAAGATGGAGCAAATGAATCTGGTTGACGTTGAAAATGCAAAGAAATCACTCAATGAAGCAATTGTATTCCGTGGGAGTTGCACAGATATGTGTCCAACATACGAGCGAGTTGAGCGTGCCTTCAAGAATCAAGTCTCCAAATGGGAGATAGACCCTGCTACGGGGAAGATATCACGAGACTACGCAGTGAAAACGTTTATGAGGCCTTCTGGGCAACCCCCATCATTACCTTCCGACGTTCGAACCCCTAGCGTATTGGTGAAAACTCTGGATTACCTGATTGAGAGGTTGCTGCCGAAACTGCCCGACTCACAGTCTTTTATATGGGATAGGACTCGCTCGATCCGACAAGATTTCACGCTTCAAAATAATTATTCGGGCCCCGAAGCCATCGACTGCCACGAAAAAATATGCCGAATTCACATACTATCTTCTCATGTCATGGCACAGGCAAACGATCCTGACTATCAGCAACAGCAGGAAATTGAGCAGTTCAACAACTCGCTTCAATCTCTGACGCATATGTATGACGATGTGAGGTCAAGGGGAGGAACTTGCCCCAATGAGCCAGAGTTCAGGGCATATGAGCTTATATCCAAGCTTAAGGACACTGAACTGGACAGAAATATTCAAAAGCTTCCAGCAATCATTCTCAATAGCGGAATAGTTCAGAAAGCATTGATGTTGAGAGGACTCATAATAAACGGTTTTGGCAATTTTCAAATGTTCGTTGAGTTTTTCCGTGTCGTTATGGATCCAAGCACGCCGTTATTGCTTTCGTGTCTGTGCGAGATCCACTTCAATCAAGTGAGACATATGGCAATGGTGACAATGGCCAAGGCATACCACTCCAAGTCAAAAAAAATGCCTGAGGCTTCGGTTTTAGCTGATTGGCTTGGATTCGACTCCGTCGACCAGTTGGTAACGAGCTGCAAATTTTACGACATTCCTGTTTTAAACGACGATAATATTCTTAGAGTGGAAGTCACGGCATTGAGACAGGCATACAAGTCTTACCAAAAGCCACCAAGCTGCTCCAAAATCAATTATAAAATGGAGAACATATCGTATCAGCAAATTGTCAAGTCGGGGATATCAAACACTGCGATAAAAGCTACCGCGGAGACCAGTTTTGCGCCCTCTCAAACATCACAGCCTCCAAAGCAAGTATTCCAATTCGTGCCATCCCAATCGGAGCCTACGAAATCAGCCCCTCCGCCTGAAATTGAAAAGATTGAGACTTTACCTAACACGCCAGCAAGTGCTCAAACAAAACCTGCTTTTTCCGTGCCAGCATCTTTTTCATTCGCACCATCACAGCCACAATCAGAGCAGAATCCTGTTACGATCGCACAAACGGAGCCTCCCAAACCGCCAAGTCGGCTAATCGATAGCCCAGTATTTGAGGCCGCTGCAAAAATGGTGATCGGTAATCTTCTCCATGACGTGGTTCGGAAGGAAACTGAAACAATTGTCAAGAACCTGGTTGAGAAGGAGAATCAACGGCGGATCCAGCAACATAATCAGATTGTCGATACGCTTAAAAGCGAGCTTTTTGTGGCATTCATGAGAGAGCAAATGTACATCACTGCCATAGACGTGAAAGCTAGGTTGTTTAGAGAAAGAAATCTGAAACGAAGAATACTACAGAAAATTAAACTAGCTGCGGACAGGCTTTTGGTGAAGCAAAGCGCTAAAAAAAGCAAACTTAACGAGATCCATTCGTTTGCCAACAAGGTTCGACCTGCATTTGTGCTTCCGGCACACGCGTCTTCTCGTCAATCATCGCTGAGTCCCTCTCCATTGAAGAAAAAGAACGGATTTGAAGAGGACAACGTGAACTGTCTTGTTGATCTTCAACCATATATCAATCAACATCTACGCATGCTGGTCATCGTTGATACATGGGATGATGCGGTTGCAAAATGGTTGTCCAATAAACTGTCTCTTAAAGAAACCGTTGAGACAGGGAAGCGTGTCAAGACAGCTAAACTGGAGACAACAGAGGGAACCCTTGCCATCAGCTCAATCCCTGACCGATTTCGTTCACGGGTTGTTTTTAAGAATGTCAACCTCTTGCTGATAAAAATTGAATACCCTATATCGCATGATCTCACAACATCGAGACAAGTTCTGGCCAAAGTGATTGAGTATTTGTCGAGATTCAACAGAGAGGAGCCTGTTACGTTGATGCTTGTTCTCATAAATTTTCCTCACGAAATTGAACTGATATCCAACCCACCCCCATGGCTCACTGTTAGAAGCATCAATCTAAACGCTAAAATGAGTCCATTAACGCTGCAAAATAAGTTTCATCAATTTCTCAAAGAGTCTGTCGAAAAATACCATCCATCTTCATCGTCACTGCAGGACGCCGAGACGACGCTAATGTCCAGGTACACAACCATTGAAAATACGCTTGTGGGTCTTCTCAGAGACGATCTGAGCAACCGTCACAAACTCGACTATATAAGGTCACTTGCAGGCAAACGTAAAGTGTCATATGATTCTGAGGTTTCATTGATGACGGAAGAAACTCCGCCATCGGGCAACTTTGAGTTTTGCAAGACTGACACTCCTTCATTAGACATTTCGAAGAAGAAGAAACAGAAGATCGATGCGTTGCTTGCTCTGTCAGAATCTGTGTTGAAACGCTAGTACCGTGTATTATATTGTATATTAATAGCATTGTTATAATCTATAGAAACAGTCTATCTGGGCGCGATTGGCTTGCAGGTTAGAGATGACAATATCGTTGATTTCGTTCGCATACTTTGTGTTCTTGCTGGAGAATCTATCGGAAACACTGATCAACTTGTCTAGATTAATTTGTTCCTTAATCCCAGATTGGTTAAGATGCTGAAATAGTTCCACGAGAAAGCGCAGGTCAACACTGATCTGAAGTAGACCGCTCGAGTTAAATTGCTGTATACTTTTGAGACTTTCAATCAATTTGAAAATGAAGTAGTTAATCAGATCAAGCTCAATTCTCAGGATGTAATTTTTGTTCGCCTTGTGGCCTAGCAGTTTTGACTTCACCAGAATTATCAGGTTAATTGGTTGCAAAATGAATTTTGAAACAAGAATTTGCCTGGCCGAGAATTGGAACCAATCAACGCTCTTCACTCCGCTAAAAATGGTTTCCTCTAACTCTTTTTTGTAACCGTTCATGTAGTCCTCATAAACTCTTTTCTCATATTTCTCGATCTTGCCGTAGACGTCAACACTGGATGTGCAGTACTTGGTGCCAAAATTAGTATCGAAAATTTTCAAGATTCTAGGCAGAAGACGCAATTTCAGCAGCGACAAGTTGCTGAGAATGGCAGGGTAGTAAAAGTCTTTGTCTTTCGTGCCATCCGCATTGACGATTATACATTCCAACTGGTTATCAGCAATAATATCAAGAGATGCGATAAATTGCTTTTCGACATTGGCCAACAGTTCTGACTCCCTTTCGTAGATCAAGCTGCGCAGCTTCGGGATGAACATCTGATAGAAGTTGATAACGTAGTCTGCGGTTTTCGTGCAACCTTCAAATGTTTTACTAATCGTCCAATCTTCGGTATGTTTCAGCCGCTTGGTATCTTTAATCAAAACACACAAGACACCGTTGACGAGATTGGAGTTGATTGTTCTCAATGTCGACACAAACCTGCTATATTCGAGAGAAGTCTTATTTTTCAACTTATCGATGGTCTTTTCGAGTTCTTGTTGGAGAACAATGCAGTTATTGAGGGTTGTCAGAACATATGAGTGAGGCGGGATAAATCCGTACGAATCCAAGGATGTGGGATCTTTGGGAGGATGCTGATTTGTTGCGGAAGGAGCTGTTTTGGTGCTTAGTTCTGCGCTGGTGGCATCAAAGATAAATCTGAGCTGTCTACACAGCTTTTCTGTGAGCACTTGTAGATACTCCTCGAATTTCTTTATCTGATAATCTTCGAACTTTAAATGCTGGCGAGAATGAGGGTTTTTGATATTTAAGTCGCGTTCAAGATCATCAGAAGTGAAAAAATCAATCATGGTGGCAAACTTATAGAATCGATTGGTAATGATCTCCTCAGTCAGCTCACTGACATAGGCTCCTAAGAAGCCCCACAAATTTGCAACTAAAGGGGGGTCCACAATTTCAACGTCAGATCCGTGCTCTGCAATCAGGTAATGCGCGTGTTTCAATGCAGCAATGGAGATCTCGTAGCTATTTTCACTATTGTAGGCCCGAGTGAGGTTTTCACGAGCCTTAAGGAAACGCGAAAGCTGAACCTTGGTGAGATCTCCATCAATGCTCTCTTGGATATAATTGTATTCAAGGTTCAGAAAGTATGGAATTGGGTTTTCACTGACTCCCAGTTCTAACAATTTCTTGATGATTGAAAGGAAGGAAGACTCAGATTGTGCACTTAACGAGCTAACATTCTCAATGTGTACGTTCCCCAGTTTTTCCCATAGTTGTTTCTTGTACTCTGAAATGGTGTCCTCCACCTCAGCCCATATTCTGTCTAAGACAGGTTTATTTTTCTCATCGTTCTTGGTTGAGCTGAGATATACTCTTTTTCCTGCCATGTACTCATTAAGAATGGAATCAAAATCCCCTTTCGCCACTAGTTTTGTTAGCTTTTTGGGAAGGTCCAAAAGCAAGCTGTTACTGGAGATCATCGACAAAAAGCTTTCGATCTCTGTCGCTCTCTCCATACCATCAAACACGGGGTTCAACATCATTGTTGATGAAGTGTTAGCTTTCGCTATGGACTCACTCAGAGCAGTCAAGTTTGCGGAAAGATTACTCATGGAGTATTCGCTATAAACCTCATCGAGCAGCTTTTTATTATCAATAGCTTTTTGGAAATTCTCTCCGATGAGTCGCTGCAACCTGGGTTTTTCAGCTTCGATACTTCTCTCTAAATATTCAACACTTTTCTGTAGCTCTCTGTAGGTTTTTTCTCTGTGTATAGTAGTCAAAAACAAGCGCGCATTGAACGATTTTGAGTCCACCAGAAACTTGAGCTTTTTAGGGTCCCTTGTATCATCAATCACATCTTTGTCAATAAGTTCATCCAGGATCGATTCGTGGAATCCCAATGGGTCCGTCAGATTAAAGGCTGAGCGCCGTTTCTCTGCTGCCGGCTCGTCAGGCTGATCTGTAAGCAACTTGTTGAGCTGTTCCTTGGGGATTCTTTTAGTGATCTGGTCCAAATTGTCATTTTCGTCCAGCACAATCGGATTTGAGGCAATCGATGCCGTTGAGTATTCGGAAGGCTCCAGGGTGCGAAGTTGGTAAAAGTTGAGAAGCGTCTTTTCGTCTACCTCTTCCATGTATTCGGTGTTCATGGGGAAGAAAATAAACAGAGAAATAAATTTCGTCGCGTCGATAAGTTTATGGCAAGATTTGGGCATCTACAAAGCACCGCCCTCAACAGGCCCCCATCTGTTCAACATCTAGGCAAGTTAGCCCAGGCGCTTGGGCAGTCCTGGGCCAGCTCAGCTGTCTCTCTTATTCTTCGTCCTCGGCTTTCCGCACGTGGTTAATTTCCCCATTCGGAAACCAAATATAAAATGCTCAGCTTTTTTGCTTCGTGGAGCAAAACTTGCTGACTTGCTTTCTACCATGGCTGCACAGAAATCAGCATCGCTCGATGCTCCCCTCGAAATGAACAAACCAAGCACCATCGAATCAATGCCGATTCTGCCTGACCTGGCTGAGCCGGTGACGAATTTGCAGATGGACTATTTATTCTACAAGAAATCACTGCTCACAAAGACAGTGTTCAAATCCAAAGCTGTTGCGTCTTTGCTTGTTGCTGCGTTTGCAGGATTATTTTACCGTAAATTTGGGCCTTACTTCACTCCATACAACTTTAGGAACGGAACCATCGAAGGGTTGTACAATATCTACCACTCTCCATTTTTCATCCAAGACGCGTTTTATCTTGTCTCCTCGACGTTTATGATCTTCTCTGCCACTCTTGTTGCCGCATGGCTTCATACAAACTTCTTGAAGTACGAGGCAGAGGAGGTGCCCAAGCACATGGAACAATATTTTGGGCTGGACCTGGAAGACTATGCCAAGAGTTCTGTCAAGTCTAAGCTCAGAAGAGTCCCAGCAGACATAAAGCAGAAAGTCAAATTCATGGAGAAACACTCGTTTGTGATACAATATCGCGACACGCCGGTTGCGTTTATAGTGCAGCAGAAGAAGTCTGATTCCAGCTTCAAAATTACTGGTCTTGGCGTGAGACGGGTCTACGTCAAGTCCAAGATCCTCGCAGACTTGCTTGACTGGGCCAAGAAACAACTTAGTCCCAAAGAATCGACTTCGATCACTGTCTACTCGTTTGAGACGTTTGACATTGACATTTTAAAAGAAAGCGGTTTCGAGCTGTTGAGAAAAGAGCCGTTAGACTCCTTTGTTCTGGGAACATTGTTTGGCATCACTCGCGACACATACGTCTACGAACGGAGTAGTTGAACTTGCGAATTTGAAATCACGCTGTATATTCTTTCGTTATCTATGATACATTAATGGCCGGCTTGCGCGGCTGTACTTTCCTGTAGGTGGAAAACATCATGGAGCTCGTCGTCTTCGAACTCGTTATCAGTCTCTATCTCGCGAAGAAGACCCGTCTTTACGTCATAAATAAACCCTAATATCTCAAGGCCGTTGTGTTTCGATGCAGTCACAAAGCTAGGATGTTTGCGGATTTCGCTAATGGAATTGGCAATGTTGAGCTCGCTGAGCTTGGTACATTTATCAAACGGGTCCTCGATGCTCTTCAGAGTGGCCAGGTTTTTAGCGCGGATTTGCCTGACAGGCGCCAGCCAGTTGTCCAGCACTCCACCAATTTTTTTGGACGACAGAGCAGCCCAGACTCCGCCACAGTCGGTGTGGCCACAGACAATGATCCGTTTCACCTTGAGAACGTCGATGGCAAACTGAAGCGCAGACATCGATGAGAAATCCTGGTAAGAAATCAGATTGGCGATGTTGCGCAGGGTGAACACCTCGCCGGGAACACAGCCCAACGTGGTGCATTCGTTCACCCTGGAATCAGAGCATCCAACCCACAGAGTGTGTGGAGACTGGCCCTTGCCGGACTTCTCCAGCACAGCAGGCATCGAGTCCTGAAGGCGTTTCATGGCAGAGCGGTTAGCTTGCAAAATGTCATTCACAGTGCTCTCTCTGTCAAGTTGGAAAGGCGACTCCAAACTGACAGAAACAGAAGACTGGGAACTTGGAGACGCCGACATGCTGATTGACGACGTCTTGTCAAGCTCAATCTCGGACTCTGTGTCGCCGGTCTGCTTGTGAGGGTGGTGGTGGTGCCGTGGTTGGACACCCTCCTGCTCGTGCTCGTATCTGATAACGTTGTTGATGCCCATTCTGGTGGAAAAAGTGTGAAGTCTTCTTATGAGGAGAGCAGATCTGAGCATCTAAACCTCGCGGACGGGCCGATCAAGTATATATACCGTGGAACTCCAACGTTTTCTCGCCGGATGCTATTGTTTCGTCAAGAGCCGCAATGCGAAATCAATTATGACATCAACAAGTACAATGGTTATCAATGCACGAGAGAACATTTTTCAGACGCACACCGAGTGATGTAAATTAAAAAGTTTTTTTTTAGCTGATCAGGCTGTGCACTTATACCCAGGCTTGTTGAGTCATCTGTTGAGCTATGAAAGCCGCACTTCGCCGGACGATCAAAGAGCGACTCGCCAAGCTAGGCCAGTCGGAGCTTTTGGCGCAGTCGCAGCGGCTTCTCGCGAAGCTCACGGCGTTGCCCCAGTATCAGAACGCCCAGACAATAGCGCTGTACATGTCGATGGACAACTCCGAAATTAAGACAGATCTGCTGGTCAGAGATGCCCTTGACCGCGGAAAGCGTGTTTACTTGCCCCGTATCACACACTTATCCAAGTTCCAAGACTACCAGCGACACGAAAAACAGAAATCCTGCTTGCATTTTCTAGAAGTAGAACTAAACGATCTCGAGCAAATGAAGCCGCAGGGAAAATACCAATTGCGAGAGCCAGCGTTCAAGTTTGCGCGCGGAAAGGTGGTGAACGACCTCCTGCTTAGCAACACTCGGCTAGATCTCATGGTCATGCCGGGACTCGCATTTACGCCGAACTGCGACCGGCTCGGACACGGCGTGGGCTTCTATGACGACTTCATCAAAAGATATCACGAAAAATACAGCGAGAAACCGTATCTGCTGGGAATTGGGCTCGCAGAACAGCTAGAGCAGACGCTTCCCCTAGAGGCCCATGACGAAAAACTCGATTGTGTGATTCTTGGAGACGGCCAGTGCTTCCCCTAGAATAGGCCAAAAAACCACTTGGTGCGCGCTGGAACAAATTTCGCGCTCGCCTTGACCAGTGTTCTTTTACCATTCCCAGCCAGCATGAGGCCCTTTACCTCGACTTCTCCGTTCTCGACAAGACCGACCTTGGATTTGATGACCACGAAGCTGTCGACGAGCGTCGGGAATTTATAGTTTAGAGTAAGGTTTTTCGTGTGGACCTTTGCTGGGTCTGTCAGCCCATTTTGTAGCATGCAGTGTTTCTTCAATGTTTCGTCGATCACCAGCGAGATAATACCACCATGGACCAGAAAAGGATATCCACAAAGTTTTTTTCCCAAATGGATAACACTGACAGACTCCCCGGACTCCTGGTTGTGGAACGTGATTGGTGCAATCGCAATGGATCCAGGCGTGTTCAGTCTCTGATGGATGCCGTCCTTGACGGTGTCTAACTGGTTCCACGCGCGTGTGGCCACATATTTCGGGTCTTTGGACAGCTCGGCAACGACTGGCACCTGTTTCAACTTCTTCTCCAACTCCTGCTGATATTTCTCTGTCTCTTGTGGTGTGGTTGGCAATGGGGTAGTGATGAACTGGTCCACTATCTCCTGGGCAGAATACTTGTAAGATAGGCCCAAACCAGCGGCGAAAGCAATTGCATACAACGGAACGTACGAGAGTCTGGGCCGTGCAGCTGTCTGGGAGTACGATCTGATAATCTGCTTGCCAATTGGCACGACTATTCTTGCGCTAAACATGATGGGGAAGAAGGGGACAATATGAAAATAACACTGGACGATCGACGCAAACTTAAACTGGAAAATTTTACAAGGCAATCTACTATGTCGTTCCTAGGATTCGGAGGAGGGGCTCCCCAGATCTCTTCAGAGCAGAAAATCCAGGCCGCTGAGGCCGAGCTAGACATGGTCACCACCATGTTCAACCAGCTCGTCGACTCGTGTCATAAGAAGTGTTTTGACAGAAACTACGCCGAAGGAGATTTGACCAAGAACGAGAGCCTGTGCATCGACAGATGTGTTTCCAAGTACTTCGATGCCAACGTCAAGGTGGGCGAGAGCATGCAGTCACTGGGCAAGAGCGGAACTCTCAACAGGAAATAAATAAATCGTGTGTATATACAGATTACCTATTATATCGTCAATCTAGCTAATGCAAACGGCACTAGAGTCCTAATGCTTTGAACAGTCTCAGGCGACATCCTTCAAGAGTGTTGAGTTTGGGACGCACGTCCAGATAAAATGCCGGGTCTCCTTCATTTGCTGGCGGAGTGCTGTAGAAATCGATCACATAGTCCACTCTTTTCCCGCACCGGTCGATGATCCAGTCGTGTCTGTCGAACGGCAGGTCTGCGCCAAAAATCAGGTTGCGGATCCGAGCACGAGGAGTAATCTTCTTCGAGTCCCCTTTGAAAGACGTCAGCTGGACTCCGCCGCACTTCTCGCCTCCCTGGCCGCGTTCCCACATCAGGATATACGCCCACGCCCGCTCGTTCACCATGTTATGGATCGGAACGATGGTTTTCATGTCTCCCGCGTCTGGGTTCCAATCTTTGCGTCTCATGGCGTTGAAGAACTGTTTCTGCGACGGATATATCCAGTTCGACTGTGCGCCTGTCCTTGGGATGGATGAAACCTCGCGCTCTTCAGGGAGGTCCACGTCCACGACGATCGGCTTTGGCGAGTCCACGTCGTCTGATGAGCACGTTCTATCTTGCTCCACGGCCTCCGGAGCAAACGTCGTTTTTCCCGCGGTAAGCCACGTTTTGCGCGCTTCGTGGTCGACGGGACATGTTTCGGAGACGTGGCTTGTGGTTTGTGGATGTCCAGGCGGTTTTGTGCTCTGAGAAGGGGCGATCGGTGCTGAGACAGATGGCGCCCACAGCAGCCGCGAGATGAACGACTGCGGCGCCGCTGGTTCCTGAGGCGGGGTATTTCTCGCCCGCTCTATCTGTTTGGCCTTAGCAAGCCACTTTTCGCGAGCACCGTGGTCCACAGGGCACTTTGGCTGGTCCTGGCTCATGGCTGATAATTATACGAAATTTTATTCGAGAAAAAATGGTGTCAGGAGTGTGGATACAGGTGAAATTCATACATTCAGTCTCTACATAAACAAGTTCCAGAATCCACGTTTCTCCAGAGCAACCTCATCAGAGGCGGTCGAGACGTAGTCCGAGGCGTTAGCATACGTGCTGCTGCTCAACCGGTAGTATGGGACATACGAGGAGCGTGCCGACGAGGTGGTGGTGTTGGAGTAAACGGCGGGAGCAGAGTAGCTCGAGCTCGAGGACGTCAGGGAGGCGCTCGAAGTAATGTAGTCAGTGACGTAGGTAGTCACGTAGGACGTCGAGACGGCCGTTTCAAAGCACGACTCGGTGGTCAGCACCGTCAGGGTGGAGCCGGCAGAGTTGGTGATAGGGATGGTGGCAGTGACGGACAGGGTCAAAGTGGACGTCAAGTACACGGTGCTCGTCAGAGTCGAGTCCGAGGAAACACTTGGCGATGCGCCGCAGCCGGTGGTGACCGTTTCCGTGACAGTGACGGTAGTAGGAGTAACGGTGGCAGCCGGTGCAGCCGGTGCAGAGGTTTTCGACGTGGAGGCAGATGAGCTGCTGGAGGCGGTCTCGACCACGGTGGTTGCCTGGGCGGCGACCGACGAAGGAGAGGCCTCGGGGCTGGAGGTAGACGAGCCGCTTTCTGTGACGGTCACGAAAACTGTGGAAGTTCTGGTCGAGGTGGTGGTGATTTCCTTACCGTTGGACTCGTAAGTGGAGGTCACAACGTCTTCGGTTGGCTTGGATGAAACGCTGACCGGAGCGGAAGCAGAGGATGTGACAGCAGCAGCGCTCGAGCTGGAGCTGGAGCTGGAGCATGGCACGGTGACAGTGATGGTGACACCCTCGCTGACGGTAGTGTAAGTGGTGTACTCGGTTGGTGCAGCGTAGCTAGAGCTGCTAGCCACTCTGATAGCATTGTAGGAGGAAGTGGTGGCCACAGACGAGGAGGCGCTGCTGGACGTGCCTGCCAGGCAAAGAGTGCAAGGTTCCACGATGGTCACTGTCGAGCCAGCTGAAACAGTGGTGTAGGTGGTCAGAGGGGTGGAAGAGTTGTCGTATCTCTTGCCGAGGTTGAAAAACCCAGCAACAGGAAGGGCCTCGGCTTGGGTAGCGGAAAGAGCCAAACAGGTGTAAAGGAGTGACAAGAAATTCATTCTGGAAGCACTGCGATTTCGTGTTCAACGGATGTTTGAAGGAGTGACTGGTTGAGGAAATCGAGAGCACTGAAGCTTGAAAATTGTCAATTGGTCAGTATCGCTGTGTATTTGTGGTAAACATTTCAATAACAGCCACTGCCTCTATTTTATAACAGGGTGATTTTGGAATGTAAGCGTGCTACGAAGGAGTAAATTTGCAACCGCGACTGCTATGCATGGATATAATAAAAAATGACAATTGAAATTTTTTAGATCAATGTTGAGAAACGCGTGTCGCCCGAAAATCTTGCCCTATTCGCGTCAGCTTATAAGGATAAACAATGCATCCTCGACCTAAAACAAGGTTTTGAGAATGCTTCGACACCGTGTCTACAACCTTAACGCTCTATACATGCTACAGATCAGGATCTGGTTTGAGGCCAAGGTGCAGTCCGGTGAGAAACTGCATCTCGCCAATTTGTTCTGGAAAATACTCCTGCTTGACACGTCCGTCCTTGTAATCCGGATTGTACTTGTAACCTTTTGAGTATCCAACCTCTTTCATAAGCTTAGTCGGCGCATTGCGCAGATGTAGCGGAATGGACGCTGAAGCAAACTCCGGCTCAGAGTCGAGCTTAGCGTTCAGCTCGTTCCAGCCTCGGTATATTTCCACCGATTTTGGTGCTCGTGCCAGTTTCACCGCGCAATGTACCAGTGCCATATCTGCTTCGGGAAGTCCAAGAAATTGCACTGCCTGGTACGTCGCTATGGCAAACGGCAGGCACGAGTCGTCAAGCACACCGACGTCCTCACTTGCTATTCGTATCATCCTCCGGGCTATATAAAGCGGATTCTCGCCTCCCTTAAGCATGCGTCCCAGATAATACATAGCAGCGTCTGCATTGGATCCTCTAATGGATTTATGGAACGCGGATATGGTATCATAGTGAGCGTCGCCTACGCGGTCGTAGACCATGTGCGTACGCTTTAGAACTTCCCTCAATTGGTCAGCGTTGACCTCTATCACATGCTTTCCTGGCTCCAAACTGTAATTCGTTATGAAATGAGAGTCTGCAAGCTCCAACAGGTTCAAGGCACTGCGCGAGTCTCCGTCTGCTATGTTGCAGATATAGCCGATTGCCTCTTTGTTGAATCGCAAAACAGGAACATTATGGACCAGCTTGCGCGTCTTGTTGATCACCAAAAGCGCTTTGGATACGATTTTGTGGAGTTCGTCAGAAGTGAGCCTGTTGAGGACGAAAACTCTGCAACGCGACAAAAGAGCGCTGTTCAGCTGAAAGCTTGGGTTTTCTGTCGTTGCGCCCACTAGCGTGATCGTTCCTTTCTCAACGTGGGGCAGGAAAATGTCTTGTTGTGCCTTGTTGAACCGATGGATTTCGTCAATAAATACTATGGTGTGTCTTTTCGTCAGCTTGTACTCGTTGCGCGCCTCTTCGAAAACACGTTTGCAGTCGCTGATCCCGTTGGACGTCGCGCTGAGCTCGATAAATCGCGATTTGGTGGCGTGTGATATTATTCGTGCCAGTGTCGTTTTGCCCGTGCCGGGATATCCCCATAGTATCAGCGATGGAACGCGATCGTTCTGGATAAACCCTCGCAAAATGCCTCCTTCGCCGACCAAATGTTCCTGACCAATGTAATCTTCGAGGCTGGACGGCCGAAGACGCTCTGCTAATGGCAATTTGGCCTGCGCCTTCAGAAGACGTAGCTCGTCAGCAGGATCGGTTTTTCGCACCTTTGGCTCCGGCTCAACGATATCTATTGATGTGTTTCCTTCTTGGTCAGATGACATCGACTGACTGTCTGAGAGAGTCCGTTTTTGGTTGTTTTCATACTTGTAGGAAGACTTCTTGGTGGTTTTGGTACCTGTCAGCAGCGAGGAGACCGATTTGGCAGGCTGTGCAGGCTGTGAAGTCGGCTCAGGGACAGTCTCTGTAGCCGAAGTGGGAGCGGAGTGCGGCAGGGCATTGTCACACTGTTCTGTGCACGTATCTAGATGTTTGTTGATGAGCGCAATGTCGACTTTTTTTAGACAGACGGGGCAGTTTATCATGCGCATACGCGAAATAGGTAAAAAAATTATATGATCTGCTGAATAAAAATCTATTGCAATTACAAATCGAGCTACATCAGTCATAATTCATCCTTATCGTGTTTCGCGCTTTTGGACTTCCCTGCCCTGCTTTTTTTAAAGTCCCTATAGCTTTTGTAAAGACCCTTTTTCAGGCCCTTCAAGAAAGTCCCCCGTTCGCTGGTCTCGCCGTCCTCTGCCTCCGCAAAACTGCCCAGGAACTTCGCTATGGCTGTTCTTGCGGTGGGGCCTTCATACTTATGGAACGATCCATCGCGGTCGATCACCACGATCTGCGGTAAACTCTCGACTTCAATGTGTTTCTGGACCTCGGATTTGATCTCGTCAGTCACTGTCAGATAGCCGAAATCCAGTGATCCGAGGAAATCAATTGCCAATGCCTTGAACATGGGCGAGATCGAGGTCTTGCTGGTCAACAGCAGCACCCGTGGCTTGTCCTTGACCGCCACAAAGCTGGCGATGTCCCGTGCATTGACTCTCTTCACATAGTTCTTCACACGGCCTTTCACAAACTCCGTGAGCTTGCTGGCAGTCCGCTCACCACGATAAATCTCAGAGCTGTGGCCGTTTTTCTTGGTAATTTTACCGGTCCATTTTGGGGGTCTGAACACTAAGATCGTTGGAAAACCCTCAATTCTATACTCATTGCACAGCTTTTTGTTTTCGGGAAGATCACAGTTGACTGCTGCATACTGTGCCACGTCGGAGCTGGCTTGAGCTGCCTTGATGTAGTGGCTTTTGAACTGCTGGCAATATCCGCACCAAGGAGCGTAGAACTCGACAACGGATGTGTGGTTGGTCTTGTAGATCACGTCGTCAAACGATTTGGGTGTTAGCTCGTAAATGTTTTTAGAATTGTCATAAAAAGCGTAGGCCAGCGACACCAAAAAGAAAACCACCAGCATGGATTATGTTTCCAACTACACGAATTAATTTGGTGGAAAAATTTACAAACTATTCGTCAAAATGATCACTAAGTTCTTCTCCAAGATTGTGGTTAAATTCAATCCGTTTGGGCCGGAGGCCAAATGTGCGCGCTCTTTCATTGGCCTCATCTCGCCTCAGCTCCGTCAAACATGCCAAGTCGACCTGGAAGTGCTTCCCAGAGCAAGCACTAAACCTCCGCTTCTTAAAGTGACGTTCAAAGATAACACCTCGATCGAGGGCAATCCGGCCGAGCAGACGTTGGAGGATATTAGCCAGATCCTCGATAGGCACTCTAGACAACTACAATTCAAAGAAGACGCAAACAGGTAGAGCTAATGATGGCATATTGTGCAGTGCAAGGTACGGCACGGTGATTTTTTTTCACCTTAAATAATTTTCAGTTTGTACATACTATATGATAAGATCATCCATATTAAGAATAGGGAGACGTTGCTTTAGTTCGGAAGCCGTTGTGATAACGACTCCTATTTTTTATGTCAACGCCAAGCCCCATATTGGACACTACTACTCAATGACTCTCGCGGACGTTTACAACAGATGGCTCAAATTGAGTGGTGAATCAACTTTTTTCACGACGGGCACCGACGAGCACGGCCTCAAGGTCCAGACAGCAGCCGCCGTCGCTGGGATGGATCCGAAAACCTTTTGTGACGGACTTTCCCAAAAATTCAGAGAGCTCGCTTCTGTAGGAAATATACACTACGATAGATTCATAAGAACCACAGATCCCGATCATTTGGAGGCCGTGCAATTTTTCTGGAGAACCCTGGAGGAGAAAGGACATATATACAAGGGCAAACATTGCGGATGGTATTCTGTTTCCGACGAGTGCTTTTATGCAGAGACGGAGATCGAGGAGGTGGACGGAAAGATGGTCGCCAAGGAGACAGGCGCAACTGTTGTGCACGAGACAGAGGAAAACTACTTTTTCCGTTTGAGTGAGCACCAGCAGCGACTCGTTCAGTTCCTGGAAGACAACCCGTCTTTTGTGCAACCTCCCGTCTACTACCATGCGCTGCTTCGTGATCTTAAGTCACGTGACCTTGAGGACCTGAGCGTCTCGCGTCCTAGTTCCCGCGTGAGTTGGGGGGTCAGCGTGCCCAATGACCCGTCTCAGAAGATGTACGTTTGGTTTGATGCTCTGGTCAACTATTTGACCTGCATTGGGTATCCTTCTCAGATACCTCAGCAACCATCGTTTGTGCATCTGGTTGGAAAAGAGATCGTCAAGTTCCACTGTATCCACTGGCCAAGCTTTCTGATGGCCTGCGAGCTTCCGCTCCCGCGTGGTGTTTTTGTCCACGGCCATTGGCTGATGGATGGGCGCAAGATGAGCAAAAGCCGGGGCAATGTTGCCGATCCGTTGGAGATTTCCGAAAAGTACGACACTGATGCACTGCGTCTCTTTATGATGCGCTATTCTGTGCTGGACTCCGACTGCGATTATTCTGAGAGAAAGCTGAATGCCACGAGAAACGAGTTCATTGACAAGTTCTGCAACCTGCTGACGCGGTCACTGTCCAAGAAATTCAGCATTTCTCGGGCCCTAGCGAAGGTCGAGACTCGCGGACTTGCGAGTCTGCTTGACGACGCTGGGGAGGAATTGTCGTCTGATCTGCGGTCTCTTTTTGAGCAGGTGGACGAGCTGCCGGCTACTATCGATCCGCATTTGAGAAAAATGGAACTGCACAAGGCAGTCCTTGCCATCTGGCAATTACTGCCTCGCATTAATGGACTCTTTGACCAATACGAGCCGTGGAGACTGAAAGGGCCTGACAACGAGCTCCTGCAGGACCTTGTGATTTTCAGTGCGCTTGATTCGCTGCGCTGTCTGTTGATCCTGTTGCAACCTGTTGTTCCTGACTACACCAAGATGCTGCTTGATAAATTACAGGTCGAGCCTTCGAAGAGAACTTTAGACATGGCAGGCATTGCAAGAGACACCAGCTATGCCAAGTCTGCTACTTTTTCAAAAGGAGAGAAGGTCCCGTTGCAAAAAATCAAATTAGACTAAACGGCTATCTTTATGGCCTCGCATTGGAGGCTGTCCAGATCCAGCACTGCCATCTGGCCTGTCTCGCAGAAATCCGGCACCGCGACGATCCGCACGTGTATTGGGGCGTCTCTGGCGCAGTGCAGTGTCATCTCGGCGGTCTCGAACTTCGGCTGGTTGCCAACAAAGTATACATGGGGAGTTTCGTCCAAGGTGAACGGGTCGTCGACGTCGTACGGGTAGCATGTGAGCGTGTCTGGCGCTGTAGGGACGACGTTCTGCCAGTGCATTGTTGCTTCCAGAAGCTTTAGTCTGGACTCGTTGACGATTTCGTTCCTGACCGGCGAGTCCATGCCGCTGCCCTCTCCGTTGAGGTCCACCTGTATGTTAGGAATAAAATACTTGAACATATCGTTGATGTTTTCTCCCGACGTGCCAAGCATTCGCACGCCGTCAATTTCCAGCCACGTAGGATTAGTTGAGCGCGCAAAATTGGCATACGAGCCGGCTTTTGCGAAAAACGACGGGTGCAGAGGCTGTTTCGGAAGACTCACCTCGCAGGGGTCGGAGTCGCCCGGCATGATGGTCACGGGGACGGAGTGCAGCAGCTCGCAGATGTAGGCGTCCAGCTGCTTGATTGCGTCCGCGTCGTAGTTGGACTTGTTGAGCTCTCTGTATTTATCTTTCTCCAGAACCACCTGATCGGCCGACTCGACGCATCTGATCGAGTTTCCCGCCACAATGACTTGTGTGATCGATCTTAGAAATTCTACCGTCTCGGGAGACGAGTCCAACTCTCCCATGAGGTACTCCTTGAGCACTTCGAGCGGACCCAGACTGCTCTGGTTGTTAATATGAAGCCCAGAAAGAAGCAGCACTTTATTGCCCTCAGGGCGCATGGGACGCGGCACTTGGGGCCCAGGCTCCGGGTACACCACGTCCACCACGACGAAAATGCCAGCCTCAATTTCCATGCCCAGAACACCAATCACTGCCCCGGTGACGAGCAGTATTTTATCGAGGATCTCGCCGTCCAGAACCATCCGTCCAGACTCGTCTTCTAGCATCACCTGGTCGTTCTGCGGATCTGAGTACGCGGAGGCTCGGAGCTGGTCCAGTTTGCTGAGCTCCGCAGACTCTTGCACGTCGTTTGCCCCATACATGTTGTGGCTCACCTCCTCGAGGATGTTTGGCTTGTACTTCATGTCCATGAAGACGGTTCCGATGGTGTAGCAGGGCGTCATGTTCTTGATATCAAGTATTTTGTTCACATACACCACGCTGGTGTTGTTGATTGTCTCCCGTTTCCACTTGGCATTGGCGCGCTTGAGACAACGCGACTTGAGCTTTTTCACGCGCTGACTATAGATCTTGTTGAACTGGTTGGCGTACGTACGTGTACCAGGAGGAAGCCTGTATGCGTCGGATCTGTTGAACTGGTCAGGGACCGCGGATTCGTGGCGAAGAATGCGGTCAGAGGTCATGGTATTCATACGCGTAGTACGGTGCAAGGATGAAAAATTATATATATCACGTTTGATGGCTGCCGGAGCAGAGTAAAATTGGAGTATCTTGGAGGGCATCATAGCCACATCGAATTATCAAATACGATGGCTGTAGACTCTGGCTCTGATCTAGTAACCGCCGCACCGCGCCAGCAGGCTGGTCGTATATCGATTGGGTCCTCGCTTGTGGTGGTGTACAGATGCACGGCAAACCCAACTAGGGCTGGGTGCGAGGAGGACCAATGAACTTCATAACAAAAAACACAGGGAGTTAATTCCGTAAATCGCACAATGGAGAGACTCGACCTAGCCACTTACAGCAAGGAGATCAAGCAGAATTACGACAAACTCATCTCCGGTGAGCTGTCCTATGTCATTTACACCACCCAGCAAGACTCATCTCTCAAGCCTACTGTCCAAGGCGACGGAGACATCAATGAGTTTGTGACCGAGTTTGAAGAAGGAGCAGTCCAATTCGGTTACATTCGTGTCAATCCGTACGGTTCTGACGTGCAAAAGATTTTGCTTCTTGGCTGGTGTCCAGATTCTGCTCCTTTGAAAAGCAAGGTCTCGTTTTCAAATAACGTGGCCGAAGTCGGCAGGATCTTGCATTACCACGTTCAGGTGACTGCTAGAGATCCTGACGACCTGGACGTGGACGACCTGCTGAAGACTGTGAGTAATGCTTCCGGTGCCAGGTATTCCATCCAATCGCTGCAACAGTCTTCTGCTCCTAAAACCACCAAGCCTGCCCCAAAGCCTGTTCCTAAGCCTGCCAAGACAGAACAGCCAGCACCCGCCAAGCCTGCTATAGGCACTCCTCTAAGACCGGCTTCCACTCCTGTTTCAGCCAAGCCTGCTGAACAAGACGATGAATGGGGTGGAGAAGAAGAAATCCAGGAGAGAGACTTTAGCAAAAAGCCGTTGGAGACTCTTCCTTCAGCATACAAGCCAACAAAGGTCGACATTGAGACGCTGAGAAAGGGTCCATCACAAACGACCAGCTCGCAACCGGCCACTGTTTCAGTGAGTCTGGGAGACGGTCGTCTGTCTTCTCTACCTAAACCAAAAGTGACAAACTCTGTTGCTTCCAAATTCCAGGAGGTTGTCCAGCCATCTTTTGGCTCGAAACCTTCCTTCGGTGCTCCTCCAAAGAGGGACGAGCATGTCTCCTCTGGCCTGAACCGCAATTTCGGGGCCACTAACGGCAAGACCCCAGCTCAGCTCTGGGCTGAAAAGAAAGGACAGTTCAAGGACGTCGAGACTGATTCCAAACCTGTGAATGCTGTGTCTGAAGAAGAGATCAACGTGCATGTCAACGATATCAGGGCCAACCTGGAGGCCCTGAATACTGAAGATGAGCCTAAGCCAGCATTTCCTCCTCCTCCAGTGAGATCCTCGTTCCCACCTCCTCCAGTCAGGACTGTTGCGAAAGAGGAAGAAGAGAATCAAACTGAGCCAGAACAGGAAAATAAGTCCGCGCCTTCTCCTCCTACCACACCACGTCCTGCTGCTGCTGCATCGGCAGCTCCAACGGCAGTCGCGGAGTACGATTACGAGGCAGCTGAAGACAACGAGATTGGATTCGCCGAGGGTGAGGTTATTGTCGACATCAAGTTTGTTGACGAGGACTGGTGGCTCGGAACCAATGCTGCTGGCCAAACCGGTCTCTTCCCTGCCACATACGTTGTCCTGAACGAGAAAAAGGACGAAGAACCAGCTGCTGAACAGGTCCCAGAACCAGAACCAGAACCAGAACCAGAACCAGAAACTTCTAAAGGGTTGACTGCCGTCGCAGAGTACGACTATGACGCTACGGAGGACAACGAAATCAGTTTCAAAGAGCAGGATATCATTACAGAAATCGAGCAGGTCGACGAAGACTGGTGGCTGGGATCCTGTAATGGCGAAAGAGGACTGTTCCCTGCCAACTACGTTACGCTACAATAGCGCAAAAAAGGATATTAGCAAGTTGTGTAAATAACATCTAGACTAGGTATTTCACTCTGACTTTTGCTTGAAGAGTATTCCCCAGAGATACAGTGCCGGAGCGCCGGCTGCTGTTCTCTTGAGCCCACGCCGTGCAACAATGCCCTCGTGAGCGTTGAGAGATCTCACGTAGACGGGTATTTTGATCCAGTCGAGCTCATTCAAATTTGCACACATCAAGGTGCGCTTATCATCGTATGGCAGCGGTTCGAGCTTGTCTGTCAAGGGAAGTTCTGCCAACGGGCCAACATCCATCTTTTTTATCAAGGATTCGACACATTGGGCAGCCTTTTCGGCGTCAAACTCAACCTGCTTCGGGTTTGTATCTATAAGTGATTCGGGTCCTGCAACCGAGTCTGTCGATGACTCCTCCTTATCGCCCTGATCCTCAGCAGACAGCTCCTGGAGTGTGTTTTCGACAATCTCCTGTGTTGCCTCGGCCAGTGGGTCCTCATGCTCTCTTTTTTGGCTATGGTGCCGCGCTTTGTTGCCCTCCAATCGCTCCTGTAAAGTCCTCCAGGCACCTCCGTGGTCGAACTCCTGGAGAAGCGACTTCCTTATCGCACTTTTCACAGTTCCAAATACACTCGCCACAAAGATCACCGGCAGAACAAACGGCAGGAGCATCATCATAACTCCAATGGCAACATTGCGGGTTCGTTGAAGATGGTCAACTTCTGCACTCTTCTTCAATTCTGGGTGGTAGATCGTTCCCTTCAGATCTATAACTCGAACCGGGTACTCTCTGCCTAGCACCCTTGCCGAAGGCAACCCATCCACATATTTGATCTCCAGGTTTTCCCAAAATTCAAACGGATTGTAGTTGGAGATGTACGAGGTAGCAAAGCTGACAAGTCTGTCGTTGCGTACATTGGCAAGCAGTATCCTGACCTTGAATAGGGACAAACCTTTGAAGTACTTGCTTTTTTTGTCTGCCAACTGTGGAAGCAGATCAGACTTGTAAATGAACAAGTCTCTTCCCGACTGTCCCACGAGTCTGCTACCAAGAAAATTCATCGCCTTGTCGAGAATCCGAGATGTCCTGAAGAATTTTACTCCAAGATGCGGCGATGCAAACGTGCTGAACACTGTAGGCTCGATGCGGTCGAAAAAGCCAACCTCATACAGTTCTCCAATACAGTACCTCGCAATCAGCCCCCCTAAACTGTATCCCACCACGCTGATCTTTTTGACTTCCACATCCTCATCGCTCTTCAAATTTTCAATCGCATCAAATATATCCTTGATCACTCGGTCTCCATTAACCTTGATACCGTCGTAGGTTTTGAAGGACCCGAAAGACGAGGGCTTTAAATAGTGGATTCGGTCTTCGCTAGATTGCAAACACTCCTGGAGAACCTGTTCCACCATGTCCATATGGCTGGAAACCCCCCACATACTGAATTGTCAGCATTGGCGCTTCTTCCGAGCCTACTTACCCGTGGATCAGAACGATTAGGTGGCCCACTTTTGCCATCTTTAGTAGAGGAAATAAATATCGAACCGCTGCAAAAGTTCCGACGCGTCGATTTTTTTTTTTCCCATCGTTGACAATGTTTAGTGCTCCCGGCAAGGCCTTTGTGGCCGGAGGCTATTTGGTTCTGGATCCGCAATACAAAGCATTCGTGATTGCTCTGTCTTCCAGAATGTATGCCCATGCCCATGTGGACAAAGAAGCCGGGGAATACACCGAGGTGTGTGTCAAATCCCCCCAATTCGCAGAGGGAGAATGGTGCTACAAGATAGATCTTTCCCGACCTGATCTCACTCAGGAGACACATGGCCGCCACAATCCCTTTGTGAAGTCCACGATAGACATTTTGTTCTTGTATTTGACTCCAAAACAGAATAAGCGTATCACCATCACCATCTTCTCTGACCCAGAATACCACTCGCAGAAAGACTCCATCCCGAAAACCTCTAAAACAGGCCTCAAAACCTTCTACTACCACTCACAGCCAATATACAAGGTGGCAAAAACCGGACTGGGCTCGAGTGCGGGTCTGGTTGTGTGCTTGACAACGGCTCTGCTCTCGTGTTTCAGCGATAACTTTGACGTGAAAAACGAAATCACGCTTACCAGGATCCATAATCTTGCTCAGGTTGCTCATTGTCATGCCCAGGGGAAAATTGGTTCAGGGTTTGATGTGGCAGCTGCAACGTTTGGCTCGATTGTGTATCGTAGATTCGATCCACAGCTGGTGAACAGAGTCCTAGAGTCTTGCAGAAATGAGGACTTGGTGCAATTGGTCGATAACACAGACTGGAAGATACAACACACAAAGTGCTGTTTGCCTCCAGGAATCAAACTGCTCATGGGGGACATTGTGGGCGGGTCCGAAACCCCTAAGCTGGTCTCCAAGGTTCTGGAGTGGAGGAAAAAAGAGCCTGAAAGATCGCTGGAAGTGTGGACGCAGCTGAATTCGTACAACATGCGTCTCGTTGAGTCGTTGGAAAAGCTACAAGACTTCAGCAAAAGCCAGCCAGAAACGTACAAATTGTCGCTGCGAAGTCTAGTGGAAGGCAACAAAAGCGGCTTCAGCGACGTTGTCTCCAGTATCCAAGGAATTCGCCAGTACATGAAAATCATGACGCTGGAGAGTGGTGCCGAAATTGAGCCCTACCAGCAGACTGAACTGCTAGACTACTGCATGTCGCTAAACGGTGTTTTGGGCGGAGTGGTGCCTGGTGCTGGTGGCTACGACGCAGTGTGCCTGCTAGTGGCACAAGGAGCCATCCCAGAAGTGGTTGAACGCACAAAACACCTTTCTGTGACGTGGCTGAACCTGCATGAGCAAGAAACAGGCATCTGTGAAGAAGACGTCTCGAGCTTTATCGATTTTTTATAGATAAAGAAATGTAATTGGCACACCTCGCACCTGCCACATATTTGTGCGGGCAAGGGTCCCTCACCGCGAAGCCTCATCACGTAATTAAAGCAAATATAGTAACTGAAAATAACAAGACACTAGAATAGAGGGTTTGTGTACCTTTGGTAATGTTGTCAACTGATTCAGTAGTGAGCATTCCGGATTCTTCTATTCCCAATAGGAGTCCTGAGCACTACGAGCTCAGCAGGTATCTTCCCCCTTATCGGTCGTTGCTGAACCCCAACCGAACATTTGACTACCGAAGCCATAAGTATGTGGAAGGGTCTGTGGAGTTTAAATTCAGCAGTCTGTTTGCTAGAAAGAAGAAGCCGGAATCGAATATCAAGATGAAGTACCGGTCGTTGCTTACGCCACTATCGAACACAAGAAAGCGTATCATGGATGCGGCTTCTGATACACTGTCAGTGAAATCACTGAGATCTTCGCTCTCGGTTGCCAGTTTGAGGAAGCCTACCAATTTGAGTGCACATCATTTGATGGATCTCCCGGATGAGATTCTGACGTTGGTGATCTCGTATCTTAGAGATGACCAGAAATCGCTGGTATATCTCCTCTATGTGAACAAAAGGTTGAACGGGAGTGTCAAGCCTGTACTTTACGAGAATCCATACGTCTCATCCACATACAGGCTGGCTCAGCTGGTTCACACCATCAACAATAGCAAGGAATTGGCCCTCATGATAAAGACTATCGATTTGTCGACAATAAATCCTGGCTTAGAGTTGGAGGAAAATGCGTTCCGGTTTTATGACATTTTTGCACAAGATGGTGACGATGCAATGCCTTTTGCTTCTAACCACAAAGACATACTTGCTGGCTGGAGAGACTGGAGATACAGAAACCACCCTTTATATGGGCAGCAGCGCACCCTTACTGGACAGACTTATCGGTCATCACGGAGCTCTAGACCTGAAATGAAAGATCGCAAACTGTCGGCTTCTTCAAACTCTACCACGGGTTCGCTATTCTCCAAGAACGAGGATTGCGAAACAGATTCGTCGCGCACATTGTCCGCTTCTCCAATAAGAACTAAGAGGAAAAAACATACTTTCAGAAACTCCTTGAAGCAGGTATTCAAGAGTGCTTCCTCGGGTACAGTCACAACCTTTGAGATTTCAGACTGGTACAGCGATCTCAAACTGACAAAATCTACCACTTCCAAGTTCCCTCCTAGAGTTAGTGACCTCGACTACCTGACGCAGCCTGATTCGCTGGTTGGCGAGAAAACTCAACCATACTCGACTCCCCATCCACTTCAAAACAGATTTTTGAGCCAGTACTGCTATTCCAAAGATATTCCGATTGGATACTTATTGCACATTTTCCAGGAATGTGAGAATCTCGTTGACGTGGACCTCACTGGTGTCTCTTGTAGCAACGATTTTGAGATGAAAGATTACGAATACTTCAATTGGCAGACGTCCAAGGGTAAAATAAAGCCGGTCCCTGTAATCGGCTACCGTTCTCTGTTGCTAGACACAGAGGAAGACCAGCGCAAGAGAGCAGAAGAAAATGCCATGTTATCTAGATTCAAGTCAGAAAAGCCAATTTACTGGTCGGACACTCAGCGCGAGATAGACTGGGAGAATACAGATTGTGTGAAGCTTGAATCTGACGATATCTGGAAACAGCTGAATAAGTTGAGAAATCTGCGCACTATCAAACTTTGCTCTATTTGTTGGCTTGAGAAGTCTGTAATTCAGAGAATGGTGGCTGATTCGCAATCCGCAGCCCGCTTAGAGTACATCGATTGTACTGATTCGGGAATGAGAAAATCGCTAGACTGGGCTAAACGAAGGACCGTTAAACAGTGGAAACGTTACTTCCGTTCCGAGGATGTGCCACGCGCACCCCAGATAGCTACCCGAAGCTACAATTTTGAAAATATTGGTCGCGAGTATTACTGATGTATATATATAATTGGCGCATTTTACGCTGCTAGAATTTATTATGCTGCAATATTAATTAATGTCTTGGACTAACCCTTAGATTCGAGGATATCGATACTGTCCATACTCCACTTCATTTATTATATAGAAATAACCAATATTCTAGACTATAGTGGTGACTGCGGTCTTGCATTTGTGGTTCGCGCACGATCTCCTCTTCTCGTCAACATGTGACGACTAAAAATTGGGATATCGGAACCAGCAAACATGCCGCAAACGCAAATCTTATGATATACTGCCCGAATGCACCACACATTTTATGCCATTTGTCAGTTCTACGACAGGAGTCATTTGCCACTGAAGCTTTGTAGACGATTTGGCAATTAACAGAATCGGTTTTTTTTAGGGCATTGTAATGCTGAGTGTGCGCAGTTTGGGTAGTTAAACTTGTAGCTTAATTCCGCCACATGTAAATCTTTGGCGTTGTTCTCTTCTCTCTTTTTTTTTCCGTCGTTGGTGCTACCAATTCCGTTTTTGCTACCAAACAACAAAAAAAAAATTATTTCGCTTCGTGCTACCGTCTGCTACCAAGCGAACGAACCCGCTAAAACACTTAGGGACCTAAAGTGAAAAGAGAGGCCGGAGAAGCCAGCTTTGTCACTTGAGCCTTCAATAACGACCATTTTGCGCTTCTTTCCGAACAGTTTTACAGCACTATATTACCCGGAACCCTGCTACCATTCAAAGCCATTTTCGAGTGTATCGCATACTCAACATCCTGAAAATGGACAGAAGGCTCCCATTTCCAAACTACAACGACTACCAGAGACCATTTGTGTCTGCTGGTGAGCCCAATACTGGCCAACCGCTCCCGTCGTTGTCCACCTTGGGATCTTTGCCCACCGTGTCAACAGCGCACACGGTGTCTACAACAGGGATTCCTGAGGAATCGCGATCGCCGAAACAAATCCCATTGGCACAGACACATCAAGAACACCTCATGTCCATAAACAAACACGTGATGAAAACCTTATTACAATCAAAATCCGGGGACGGGTTACCTCCACAAACGCCTCCCGAAAAACCAAATCTTGGACGGAACCGCCAGGACGGGCCACTCGAAATCCCACGATTCATCCCCTTCCCAGGATATCCCATCATACCCCCGGGATACGTACCGGTGATGATGTCTCCACAAGGTTTTTTGGTACCGATGCAATTTTCGCAGACCCCTGTCAAAGACGACGAAAAAAACACCGAAAATTATACGGCTCCAGAGTATCACAGTCCTCGCCCCGCGAAGGTGAGTAGGATTGCGCAGCTGATCAACTCGCCGACTTCCGAACCGCAACAGCTCTATGGTGTTGGAAATGCCGGTCCGATGGCTTTTCCTGCCAACCCAGCGTTGAACCCCAGAGACAAATTGGCTGCTTTCCAGCTGTGTTTGCTTTCGCAGGAATATTTTTCAGCATCGGGGCCGCAGCTTTCGGAGAAGGAACGGGAGCTGATTGAAGGGCTCAAGGTTTATGAGGCCGAAGTCACAGGCCAAGACGTTGAAAAACTGCGCCAAGAATACACGAACCAGCTGAACCTCATATCCAACACGAAAACTATCGAAAAACCATTTTCTAAACGCAGCCATCGCGTAAACAAGATACTACTGGGACTAGAACGTGACATGGCGGAAAAACGCGATTACGAAATCCTTCGTTTACAATTGTACAAGGATTACCGGAGAAAACAGATTATTGACGAATATGTTGGCCAAACAATGGAGATATACAGCGCCTTATGCCTCGACTACACCACGCGGCTCAGCAAGCTTAAAAAGTTCTTGCTACAACAGAAACAGCTGCTGGAACGAGAGGACGCCGAGTTTTTCAATGTTGCTACCGCAGACTCAGAGCGGCTCTGGCGAAGTACACTAGCCGCGTCAGCGGAAGAACCTCAGGAGCCTGCTCCGCCGTCTAAAAAGAAGCAGAAAGTGGAACTGGAGCAACAAAAGCTGTCGGATAACGACAGCTACTCGTCGTCGGCCTCTGTTTCTGGACTGCGTTCGTCGTCGAGAATCAGCAAGCAGTCGAAAGAGGATGCAAGACACAAGAAACGACCACATCCAGTCAGCAAAGAGCCTGTTCTGGATCCGATGACACCAGTATCGACAGATGAGCAGTTCCAGATGGTCACCAATCCAAACTCCAGAACGTACCACACACATGTGATTGGTAGCTCGGACTCCTCTATCGCCGACCAGAGCGACTTGAAGCAATTGGCCGAGCACTTCACCACGGAGCCTACGCTGGCTGCCGTCATTAGACGCAAAGAGGAAGAGGCGAAGGGCAAAAAGAAGAATAAGGTGCTACGAGACCTGATTATGGCACATGAGTCTCAGCAGGCGAAAAACCGAGGAAATGGAAGCCAACGGCCCTCGACGGCAGAATTGCTGAGTGTGCACGACAGTGACACGGACATGTGGAACATAAACTACTCTCTCGCACTGGTGCGAGAATACAAGCTACCGCTGGGACTGACGCAGGAGGAGATTGACGACGATCTAGCTCAACTGGGTATTTGATGTTGATGGTGTATGGAATAGAAGGGAAAAACACAGCTGGTTACCCTACCATGCATTGGACCAGTATTTACTCCGGGATGGACTTGGAATCCGCCCGGCCGATGCCCGGTAGAGTGCGTAAAACCTGGTACGTATTTCGCTGAAAATTAAGGAAAAAAATTTTCTTGGTGTACCAAGACGAATAGGTCCCAAATTGAAAAAAAAATGTATTGCTTGAATACTTTTGATTCAACTTAGTTAAAAACTTATCAAGATGGCTGAAGAAGAAGTAAGTAGCTAGCCATGCGACAGCCGCCTTTCCGTACTCTAACCGTCTAGCACACCTTCGAGACCGCTGACGCCGGTTCCTCTTTGACCTACCCAATGCAATGTTCTGCATTGAGAAAGAACGGTTTCGTTGTCATCAAGGGCAGACCATGTAAGATTGTTGACATGTCCACCTCCAAGACTGGTAAGCACGGTCACGCTAAGGTTCACTTGGTTGCCCTTGACATCTTCACCCAGAAGAAGTTGGAGGATCTGTCTCCATCTACCCACAACATGGAGGTTCCATTCGTCACCAGAACTGAGTACCAACTGTTGGACATCGACGATGGCTACTTGAACTTGATGACCAACGATGGTGAGACCAAGGATGACGTCAAGGCCCCAGAGGGTGAGTTGGGTGACAAGCTGCAAGCTGACTTCGACGAGGGCAAGGACTTGTTGGTTACCGTCATCTCCGCCATGGGTGAGGAGGCCTGCGTCTCCTACAAGGAGGCTCCAAAGGGCAACTAAATGCGCAGCTTCAATTGCAGCATATATAATATAAAGGATGTTTATTTAATCTTAAATAAACAGACATATTCGTTCACCTACTCCAAATTATCGAGGTAGTGCAGCCTGTCCAGCACAACCTGTTTGCTCGTTTCTTGAAATTCTCCACTTAAAAACATCTCGTCCAGCACCTGGTATACCTTGTAGAAGTTGAAGATGATGTCTAGCTCGCACACGTTATTGAAGTAGCTATCCAGCACTTCCACCATCAAATGGACCATTTCCAGATAGCTCAGCTCATTGTCCTGCACGTCAACTGCCATCACGAAAAATAAACCATTATATCGTCTGTACACAAGCTTTTGATTTTCGAAATTCACGAAATTTGATTGTTTCTGATGATCTCGCGAAGAAATCAGCCTATGCACCTTTAGTATAGTCTGTTTTTTCTGCTTATCGGGAACACTGGTGTACCATTTGGAAATGCGCAGCTTTCCCTGTCGATTGAGCGCGATCAAGAAATGTATGCTCATGGGACGTGTAGCTATTATCTTAGATTTTAAGTTATCTAATTCCACGCCGATCGTCCCCAGTGTTTCCTCCCAAAAATTTTTTTTGCGTCGCTCATGTCAAAAACTCAGTCCCGGTGGCAGTCGGATTCTTTGTCATACAGATTTTATTTTGTTTCTTTTAAATCTACACATATCGGCCATCAAGTCGGGTCTGCTACCGGTATAGTCAGATACCCGCTTTTCTGAACTGAATAAAAGATCAGAAGGTACGATCACTTGCATTTTGTGTCTAAGGGGTGCTGAATCAACGTCCGTCGAGTTGCCGTTTTTCTGAAGGGCCAACTAGAAAGTCTTATCGAATTTTTTTTCACAGGTTACCCTGTCCCTTATTTTTTTTTTTTTTTTTTTTGCAGAACAAAGCGTGTCGCAACTACGCGCCTATACAGCACGAACAGATTCCAACCCTCGTTCGATAAGGTAGGCTAGATAATCCATCCTGTGAATTCATGATCTCGTCTGAGGAGAATATACCAGCACAGCAAAAGAGTCAACTAGCTCCATTTGTGGATAGAATACTAGCTAGTCCCCTGAATTTTCAGCCTGCAAAGCACCCAGATAAAGTCGCAATGAGACCATCCACATATATTGCTTTCAAAAGTTCCAAACTCCGCAAAAAGGAGAATTTGGGATTCAAGCCTATAGACGATCTCTCCACTTCAAAGCCATCAAAGGAGGACACGGTGCCAAGACCGAAATCGATGGCTGAAGCGGTAGCTCTTTACACTGGTAAAAGATATCTTTCTAAGAAACAAAGAAAAGAACTCGAGCAGAAACCACTCAAGAAACAAAAGGTGCAGCAGAACGACAGCAAAGAGCCGGTGCTTTCCGACAGCGAATACACCAATGCGGCCGGAGAAGAAGAAGAAAAAGATGATGATGATGAAGAAAGCAGCGACGAGAATTTTCAGACGGCCGACGAAAAAGATGATGAGGATGAAGGCTCCGTTGGTTTTTCAGATGTGTCAGATGAGGACTCTGAAGACATGGAGCAGCTGAAAAGAGACTTGAAAGAAGATGCTCAGAAGGGACTTGACGAGGAAGATGAGGAACTGGATAGTGATGCTTTACGTCAGATCAAAGCTGAAATAAACACTAAAGACGAGGACTTCAAGATTTCGTCAAAGAGCAAAGAGACACCGCCGACTTCTCCCGAGGATCCGGCGGATTTAATCAAAGGGGAACTTGTGCATTCGAAGTACGACGACTCGGAATTTTATGATTTCGACGAAAACTACAATGATAGGGGGTCAAATGGTTCGACAAGGATATATAAGTCTTGGAGAGAGTTTAGAAACAAGCCAGGCCCCCTGGGACTGTTGAACCATGGCGTGACCTGCTACATGAATTCCGCAGTGCAAGCCATGTGTCATATTCCTGCTGTTCTGCATTATCTTGTCGATGTTCACAACCACAAGTACAAGGACTCGATTAGTCCAACTTCTGTCACGCAAATTTTGGCCGACACTGTTGCCAAAATGTACAAGCTGGATAATAAGGGCGAAAAGAAAGTGCGCACAATCAATCCTAAACGTCTCATTAAACGGCTGGGGGACATCAATTGCATGATGTCGGAGTGGCAGCAAGAAGACTCCCACGAGTATTTCATGTCGCTTATGTCTCGCTTACAAGAAGACTCGACTCCAAAAGGTGTCAAACTCAACCAAAGCATAATCTATGACATTTTTGGAGGGCTCCTTAGCCAATCGGTCACCTGCAAAAACTGTGGCCATATATCCACTACTGCTCAGGAGTTTTATGACTTATCTCTCGGGCTGGACAACGTGAAAAAGAGAAACAGTAGTTTGCTGGATCCTCAACAGCTGTTTGAACTCAAGAACAAGATAGAAGCCGCCAAATCCAGTGAGCCCGACGCGAAAAACAAGCTTTCCGATTTTCTGAAACAGAAAATCTTGCTCGCTCAAGAAGAAAGAAGGAGCCGTTCTCAAACGCCCGAAGCTTCAGAGTCACAAAATTCAAGTTCTCAATCGATGGAAACCAACGACGGCGAAAAGTCGAACCAGTTTCCTGAACCGCCCCACTCACCGCCAACCTATAAGTACTCCTTGGAGAACTCTATCAGGGACTTTTTCTCTCCTGAACTCTTGAAGACCGACAAAAAGGACAAGTCGGGATACACATGCGAGAATTGTAAGAAGACCACCAATGCGATCAAAATTTCCACCATTGAACGTGCTCCGGAGACGCTGACAGTCCATCTCAAGCGATTCCGTTTCAATGGTTCCTCGTCAATGAAAGTCAAAGCCAACGTGACGTATCCTGAAACCTTGGACTTATCAGAATATACAACATCAATGAATTCTCCGACAAAATACAAATTGAGCTCGGTAATAGTTCATCAGGGACGCTCTGTGTCTTCTGGGCACTATATAGCCCATTGCAGACAACCAGATGGATCTTGGGCTACATATGACGACGAGTTCATCAATAAGATCAAAGCCAGGGATGCGTTGAGCGATGAGAGTGCGTATGTTCTCTTTTACTCCAGACTCACTCACAAGTCGATTGGAGACAGAAAGAGAAGGTCTCCTGCTAAGAACGAAAAATCCAAAAAGAGATTCAAGAGCGGGAATTCTAGATGAGTGATTTCGCATATGTATATTACGAGATCGAGTCGTGTTCGACCTCTTCATGATCGCTATGTACAAATAGTTCCAACATTCACGGAACAATGTGGACACCAATGGATTTTGCTGTTTCCACAACGCTCTTGCAAATATATTGTAGAGGCACGTCTTTCAGCTGCTCGTCTTTTTGCTTGATTTTGGCAATTTCGTAAACGTGTTTGAGACTCAGCTTGATAGGGGACTTTTTAAGTCCTGGTTGCCCTTTCTCTATTCCAGCAGCTTGCATAAGCATCCACGCAGTAGTTGGAGTTTTGATGTCGAACGTGAAAGACCGGTCCGGCCTGACAGTAACTTTCACAGGGATCGGTATTCCTGGTTGGAAATGGGCCGTTCTTGCGTTGAACTCTTTGCAAAAATCTATAGCCTTGACACCCTTGGAACCAAGAGCTGGACCGACTGGTGGAGTTGGTGCGGCCTGGCCAGCCCCCACTATAAGTTTGATCAACGAGTTTTTGCTGGACATGAAAAATAAGTAAAAATATTTACAGTCTCGACATTTTCTGATGGCTTAATTTTTTCTAAAAAAAAGGTCGATAATAGTTTATAAAAGATTGTAGAATACACTAGTCATTTCTTGCCTTTCTTCTTCCTCTCGAGCATGGCGATATGAGCTATACTTTGGTCTACTTGGGTGTGTTCGTGGTCCGCAGATGGAACCAGCTTATGCTCGCACTCGTCGTTGACCAAGGTGCACATTTGGACTGATTGCAACCATGGGTCGTTGAAACATTCGTCTATCGTTATACGGCAAGCAGGCGCCAGCGACACCATTCGTCCAATCATTGGACGACATTCTGGGGCAAGCGCATTCAGCAAACGTTGTTCTCCCATTAGGTTGGATGTATGCTTCAGAGGATCTTCACTATCATGTGTCTCATTAGAGTTGGAGGCAGATGGAGGAGGAGTAGGCATCTCCCCCTGATGGATAACGGTGTTCAGTTCTTCTTGGTGTTTTCCCTTTTCTTTGGAATACTCTTGTTTATTCTCTAGATCTTCATAGCTCGGAGGATCTGGCATTCGTCTCAGCAGATTGCCGAAAGTGACACCTGGCTCTCTGGATGCAAATAGTTTGAAGCTAGGGTCAGAAAGCTTGGGAACTTTCCACGGAAACTTTTTCAAAGTCATGCAGCAGTAGATGATAGCTGCTGACCATATATCGACGGGGCGGGGGTCGTATTTGTTGAAGACACAAACTTCAGGGGCAAGATATGGGTCGGAACCAACGATTCCCTGGGCCTCGATCAGCGTGCTTGAAAATGGGTACTGGAAAACCACAGCAGAGCCGAAATCGATAAGCTTCACAATTCCTTCTTTCGACACCACACAGTTATCCAGCTTGAGATCTCTGTGAGCCAAACCAATGGAATGAATATACCGGATACCATTCAAGATCTGTTTGAAGCAACAATTGATCTCCTCAGGGCTCATTTTATTTGACATCACAAGGGCAAACAAGTCGTAGTCGCAGTATTCCATGACCTGAACGATTCTATCGTTCTCATAAGAAATTTCAATAGTCTCGATAATATTTGGATGCTTCAAGGTGGACCCAATGCAGTACTCGCTGGTGATTTTTTTAATGTAGTCTCTTCTCGATTCGTGTTGGTACTTGGCTCTGAATTCTTTCACTGCAAAGACTTTAGAATCGGAAACTCGTTTGACCAGTCTCACCTGTCCACCTGCTCCGGCGCCCAAATTCTCTCCAAATTTACTGTACCGCTTACTAAAAGGAATCTGCGGCGTGGTGTTTCCACCAACAGATAACGGGGTCTGTGCAATATTGAAGTAAGATCCTCCAGGGCTCGATAAGCTTGGAGACGAAGGCACCCGTTTGCTGAAATCCAAAGGTGACGTACTGTATTCTTGCGACGGAGACGACGGCACGGTGTCTGACCCAGCAAATGAAGGACCGTTAAAGGTGACACTGGACGAAGGAGTGGTGGTTTGGATTTGGGGAATGGACGAAATGGAACCCTGACGCTGGACACTCAGGCCAGCACTCAAGTTCGAAGTCCTAGGCACGCCAGATTGGCCGTTGCCCAATGAAACAGACTTTCGGAAAAACCTGCGCAAGTCGGCCATCGAGGAATGACGAGATCCGGGCGCCGTTCCGTTGGTGACGCTTTCCGCACTTGATTGAGATGAGGGTGACTGTCCGGTTTGATCCTGTTGCGGAGACGACGAAAACTGGTCCAGCGTTGCCGTGCTTCTTCTGGATTTAGAGAAGAAGTTAACGAGTGATGTATTTGATCTGGAACTGCTCAAAGTCCCGTTTGCAGCTGCTGCGGCGGCGCGCGCCTCCTGGACCTGTTGAACTTTTTGCTTAGAAATGATGAATCTTGGCTCAAGCTGTTTCGGCGACGATATTGCCGGCGACGAAATCTGTGTAGCCGAAATTAGCTGTCCATTCGATAAATTTACAGCGGGAGAGCCAAGAAACGTGGACGAGCTATGAACAGAAGTGGAAAGTGAAGGGTGTCCACCAGGAGCCGAGTAAGGGATTGTGTTGGACAGCGAGCCGGGTAGTCCACTGTTGGACTGTAGGCTGGCAGGTCTCAGAGCGTATGGCTGTTGTGGAGTTGACGCTATTGGCTTTGGCGAAACCTGTACCTGTGAGACCGGCTCTATGTAATCTTCCCTATATGAGGTTTCTGGGGATACTCCTTCCAAAGTTATAGTGGTTGTTATGGTTTTCTGGAAATCGCTGTCTGTAGGTTGAACCTCTGTGCTGTTTATCCTGACTGTCTGAGAAGAAGGAGGCTGAGCCCGCTGCTCATTCATGAGTTTGGTGAGCGACGAAACGCCAGGTTTCCGGTCGTTGGAGGCCATCGTCGAACTAATTTGATTTAATTTATAAATGACTTCAAGCTTTTTTTTTTACTTCGCACCTGGACAAGTTGCTGATAAGATACGCCGCTGAGCGACTTGCAATACATTTTATTCAAATCAGCCAATCAGGTAAATTAAATTATTACAAAGTGTTTAGTAGTGCTGACGCTTATTCCTTTCATGGGCTCGGGAATCATACCGTCTTTTACGACCGGATGCTCGATCATGCTCATGTTCTGGCGTAGGTTGTCTCCCGCTATTGTTCGGTTGTCTGTGTGTCGAAAATTCTCGAGGTCGATAGTCGCGACTGCCTTTGTAGCCACGTCCAGGAGGGTTCGATGGAGGAGGAAGAGGCGGAGGTGGTAATGGAGACGCTGACGACGACGACGGTGAAGAGCTGGCAGTAGTCGACGCTTGTCGCTGCATAAGAAGCCGCTTCTCTTCTTCCAAACGAGCCCGGAGCGCTGACGAACTTGTGCTTGACGGACCGGTAGGCGTGCTAGTTTTGTTAGTGGTGCTTTGAGGTTCCAGTGGAACGGCGGGGGTAGGCGACCTCGAAGATGGTTTACTCTTCGGTTCGGTATCTTTTGGTGGCTCCGAAGCTGTTTCGTTTGGTTTTTCTTCGGCCGGCTTCTTTTCCTCCAGCTGCTCTTTTTCGGTCTCTATACCTTCCATTTTGTCCTCTGTGCCACCATTCTTGGTTGAAGCATCTGTGTCCGCAACCATTTCTTGTGTCTGTTCTTGTTTTTCATGCTTCACTTTTTTCTCCAGGCCCACTAGTCCATACGGTCTTGCAGTTGGCGTTGCTTTTTCACGTTCCTTGCGTTCGGCCTCTCTTTTCTCTCTCTCCTGATTTTCTAGCTCGGCCTTGCGGGCGCGCTCCGCGGCCAGCCGTTCTTCTCTCTTTTTCATCAGCTTCTCTTTTTCCTCGGGATCCATTTCATAGAACTCCCAGGTTTGAACACAGGAGGCCTTTTTGGACGAGATCAGAACAAATAGCGCATTAGAAGCCAACTTGATGTCCTCCCTGGAGTCTGAAGAATATATGGCGGCCAGTTTGCGAGTAAGGACCTCCGAATGATCTGCAACAACAGGAAATTCTCCGAGAAGGTTCTTCAAAAAGATGATCGCATTGTTCCGCGTAGTATACTGCTCGGAATCCAAGGCTGCAAGAATTCGTTTCTCCAGCGATTTATGCCAATTGAAAAGTGTCTTCCTAAACTCTTCAAATTGCAAATGGTCTCCACCGGGCACTTTCAAACCCGCAAGCAAAGGATCCGAGGCTCCTTCCTTTCCCAACGCCTTGCTATCATACAGTTTGGCGTCCTGCCTCCATGTGTTGAGTTCTTTCAAGACATGTAGATAAAAAATGCCCAGGTTCTCTATTTCTAAGGTGGTGCTGGTGAACAGCGTAGGCTGGAGGAAGTTGCACGTGAAAAGCTCGTTCAGAACATAAACCAACGAAAACCCAGAAGTGTTTAACGAATGAGCAAGGAACAAAAACTCTGCACAGTACACTGCATCGAAGGGAGAGTGAACCATCCTTGGCAAAAAGCAGTGCTCCAAGATTTGTTTGGTACTTTTGGAGACCGTTTCCTCGTCTGAGACATCTTCAAACCATTGGTCTTTCTTATTCCTGATACGAGAAATGGTGGCCTGGTAGTTGTTTTCGTGTTTTCTTGCATCGTGTCTCACACGGGTCGAGATTTGATGCAGTTGACCAAGTTCATGTTCAAGTCTTTGCAATTCTTTCTTTGGAATATCTTTATCCTTGCGAGACAGAGCCAGCTTTTTGTTCAGCATGCTTATTTTCGATTTGATGCTTGCTAACTCCTCTCCATAAGAGATTTTTTCATAGCAGATATCGTAGAGCGATAATAGCCAGAAGTCGGCGTAAAAGCTGGCGCTCACGGCGTCCCAGTCAAGTGGCAACACGGCACATAAAGTAGCTTCGAGCTCATCGATGTAGTCCGGATTTGCTTTCAGCTGTCTGCTCAGATGCCGTCTCCAGATCTGAAAAGCCCAAACAGGACGAACGCGAAACTGTTTGATAAGAGTGTCCAAGGATATCATTTTCTCCTTAAAAATACTTGTCGAGAGATTCTCGTCGACCATTGTCGTGAAGGTGTGAATTAAGGAGTTGAGCTCGTCACAACGACGGTTTAAGATCTTAAGCGGTGCTTGTGGCGAGTAGACCGTTTTATCTGGGAGATTGGCAAGAAGAATGAACAGCTCCGCTAGAATGTCTAAACTTACCAGAGTATCCAATAATTTCCGCGAGCTTGCAAACGAATCTGCTCTCTTGTCTTGGATCACCATGTAAACAAGCTTTTGAAGACTTGTTTCCGCGTTGAGCAGGAATATTTGCCTGGAAGTTAAATTGTTGATGTGCTGAATACCACTCATAGATCCGACAATCTCATTGACCAGAATGATCAGATCTGTTGATCCATTGTTGAGACTTTTGGTGATAAGAGTCAGGATCGGTCCGAGTTGGAACTGTTCAGGTCTAGATGTGGCCAATTTACCGACAAAGGACGATAAGTTTTGAATCCATTGCATGTAATTTAGTCCGTCTTCTTGCATCGCCTGCCTGTTTGAATTGAGCTTGTTGCAAAGCTGAAAAGTGAGGGAATCCCAGACAAAAGCACCGAAATATTTTGATGCTTCCACAATTAAATCACTCAAGCTGCTATAACTTTCAATATGATTAACAAATGTCGAAGTTACTGCCAACGGGTTACCAAAGGCCGTCCTGGTCAATTGCCGCATTAGGGCTTCTCCATTTGCTGTGGAGAGTCTTTTGAGGATATCCTTTGTTTTCTTTTCTGCAATATCAAAATTCTGCTTGATTTCCAGATCGTTCTTGGCAATCACATTCTGATACTCGCCGTATAGATTGTAACGGGTTTCCAGCGGGTAGAAGTCAAGCAATATTGAAAAGGCTTCATTCACAACGGAAGCATTATTGGCGAATGAAAGTGACGGGAAGATGAACTTGCGGTAAAGCTGCAATATCTGGTCACGATCTGCTCCGTTCTGTAGCCGATATCGCAAAAGTCGGACTAGCTTCGTGAATAAAACCGGATCCCTGGCCACCTTCACGCCGTTGAAACAGAGGAACTGATGGCAAAATTTGACAAGATCCTCAAAAGACTCCACCAGTCTCAAGGAAGTGTCCAGGCTTGGCTTTCCTATTCCTGTGATACCAATTGTGTTATAGTATGGGGTTATAATTTCGTTCGCGAGGTCATTCACTAGTTTGCAAACTTCTTCATCTATCAGAGGCAAAAACGGGTGTTGGACCAAAATGAACAGCGCTTCGTCGTACATTTTCAACTGCAGGATGTATTTCAGGAATTTGATCTTGGCAATGTATTGCGACTTCTCCTTGACTGTGACCTTTCTTTCAATAGGAACAGGGGGCTCTTCAGCCCTGCTTGTCTTCGACGACTCACCCATGTCATCATCATCATCGTCCAAAACCAGTGGAGCTGCCAGGGCAAGAGCAGAAGCAGTAGCTTTGAAAGCATTCTCCTTCAGTTCTTCGTTATACTGAGCGTATAGATTATCAATTTCTGTATTTTTTATTGGCTTGAGAGCAAAATTGGCATCAGACTCGAAATCCAAAGGTTGTAAAGAATTGTAGATTGAATGGAATTCAAGAATGCCTTCCTTTATCAAAAAAGTAATCAGTTTCAGTTCCAACGGAACCTTCTCTTTTGTATCCGCATTCAACAGAAATGATACCACCACCAACTGCAACGTCTTCGACTGCTGGGACGTGAATATGCTGTTCTTTATGACTTGCAAGACCAGTTCTTCGTTTTCGTCAAGGTAAAACGCAAATATACTCAGCATCAGCAGAAACGATCTAGTGATATCTAGTCTAAAATGGCCGATCAGGCGCTCAATGATGCGGCTGAAATAGGTGATCTTGCAAAGCGCATCTTCCTGATAAAACATGCCGATGAGTTCAACAGCCAGTTTTGAGTAACCTTCGCTTGACTCGTGAAGCGAGGAGTACGTGACTACGCCATAGTCATTCACTCTGGCATCACTGAAGTAGCATTTATTGAAATCGGGGAACAGTCCATTTTTAAGAATTGAAAAGTCTAGATACTGTCTTTTGAACTGGTTGTCGATCTTGACAGCTTGAATGAATGCGTTGAGATGAGGTTTGGGATTGCTAGCCTGGAAGATCAGCAAGAATTGCACCGATAGCTCCTGTCGCTCTTTCACGTTTGGGATTGTGGAAATGATTGTATTCACAAGATTTGTCAGGTTGTTGATGGGGATTCTTGAGCTGAAGTCGTTCAGACAAGTAACAATCTCGTAGAATACTTCGCTCGGCGAAATATCCTTTTGAACGATTCGCGACGTCAGGCTCTCAACAGTCTGTTTCCAATTGGAGACCGCTTGCTCGTCAAGAAATTTCCACGTGTATTGGTACGCAGAAGCATTCTCGACTTTGGGAGTTTCCTCAGTCATGATGATTGACGATTGAAAAAAAAAATAATTCAAAATAATCTCATTTTAAAGATATGGTACGTGTTTAGATCGTGACTTCTAACTTGTAGGCGGATAAGATAAGGGAGAAGCAGCTTTATGAAGCGCTCAAAAGCAAACATATCGGACTGGGAAATGAGGATACAACGAGAACTGAGTATATCAGCAACATCAAAAGAGATACCTACGCAAGCCTGGTGGCCCATCCGGCAATGCTGGAGTTCTTATCGACCACTTACAACAAACCTAGACAAATTGTACACACAGAGATGATAGAGAAAATGATCCGGCCTATGGAGACAAACAAGTAGATCAGCTCAGCAATGGAGCTTGTTCTTCCCTGTTAACGGTGCTCAAACCAGATCCGAACATGATCACCACCGAAACCACAAAATTGACGGCTGCAATAATGAAGGCAAACAGCCATTGTAAAGCAACCATTTTGGTAAAAAGCTGGCCAAATCCAAGGCCTAACATCAGCAAGCTGGTACTCAGACCAATGGACCAGTCCTGGTAGAAAACCAAGATTGCCAGAGGAACGACTAGGAACTCCCAAACTAACACGTTTGCCAAAATACGTGCCAGGAGTGACTTGTTGTGCGAATGGAATAAACAAGCTCCATTCCAAAATATGGCATACATGGTCCAAGACAGGGGCAGAGCAGTGACTGGGAAGTGGACAGTGAGCCAATCGCTGACGTTCTTGATGGCAACAGTGCGATGTGTGAAGTAGAGGGCCAACAGGTTCAGCAAATTGATGATAAGAACCAATTCAGCCAAGGCAAACTTCTCCTTGTGGAAGAAGTAGCACCAAAGGAAATGTAGCGCGTTGTTAATGGCGAAGTGAGGGCCCACTATTTCACTAATCGCAGCTTTGTTCTCTGCTGCAACAGTCTTGTCGAAGAAGACTTTGATAATAAAAAACACCTGGAGCAACATTGTCACCAACCAATAGATGTCAGTGACAACAAAAAATCCAGTGAATGGAGTTTTGTAGTGCTTTCCAAAGTGGCTGAACAGGAACAAGAACAATGTTCCGTAACCTGACAGCAAGAACGATGCCACAATCAGCGCCTTTTGGGTAAAAACCTTCGATTCGGTAGTCATGATGAAGAAACTTAATGAGACTTGATTTTTAGTTTGCTACTTCCTCTATGCGGCCCCGGTTTACGGTGTAAAATATTATTTTTCAGAAATATACCTGCAGATCAGCAGCAATGCATAGTGGAGAATACAACGCAGGTGACTCCATCGCCGGCAGGAAGCAGCATTTCGAAAATTGTAACTCTCTCGTTATGTCAATTTTGCTCAGCTTTTATTGTAGAACAAGGAGCAAGCCCTACTGACTCGGTGTCGTCACCTAACGTGGCACGTACCGCACTCTGATGGAAAAGACAATCTCGCGCTCCAATTTAATGACGACGATAGAGTGTTTGATGAAACGATCAGAATTGGCCAAATTATAGCCAACTATTGATACCCGGTTCGCAAATTCGCATAATATTAGACTTACACAGTTATAATGATCCGGCTATGTCCTATGCAACTATAATTTTCAGCTTTCAGGTCTCTGTAATTACAAGTCACTCATTCCTCCTGGGGTTTCTCAGATTGCTTAGGAACCTCGACCGGACCGTTTTTCTCCGTCCAGTCAGAAAAGGAGCCAACGTAGTTCAGTCTTTTGCCGTAACCAAAAGTGCTAGCAAGTTCCTCGGCCATGCTCGATCTCACACCCGCCAGACAGTAGAAAAGCAGGGTCTTGGATGGATCCGGCTTTGGAAATCCAAAAGTCTGCTCAAACTCGTCTGGAGAAAGGCCTAGCGCACCGGGACTCGAATTGACTGGAATATTAACGGCACCAGGAATGTGGCCCTTGGCGTACTCTTCTGGCTCTCTGACATCAACAATAACGTTGTCAGGATCTTTCTTCTCGACTAATTCCTTGACCTTCGAAAAGTCAACCACTGGAGCTTGCGACTCCTCCTCCAAAACACTATATTTGCGAATCGAAAATCGTGAGGCCGAAAAAGCCACAGGGGTTCTGTTCACCTGAGATCTATAAATACCAGTGGAACGCAGAGACACAAGTGATCTGGTCAAAGGACGGGACTTGGCAAATAAAGCCAAAGGGCGCAATTGTCTCAACATTGTTATTTAATCTTATCAACAAGCGTTCTTATTTGCCGTTATTTTTTTTTAGAGTCCAAGTACTAGCCACACATGTATTAGCCACAATTTTACATACCTCTACGGAAGTTCTGAGCCATCTGTCTCATGGCCGGGTTGTTCATCATCTGCCTCATTTCTGGAGTGTTCATCATCTTCATCATTTCTTGAGGATTTGGCATTCCGCCCCCACCCATCAGCTGGCTCATGTCGGGCATACCTCCGCCTAGTCCTCCCATCATCTTATTAATATTTTGCATGAGAGATGGATTCGACTGCATCTGTTGCATCGCTCTTTGCATGTTCTGCGGATTGAACATTCCACCACGGCCGCCTGCCATTGGGTTGGCTCCACCTTGCTGCATACTTTTGGTTGTCTGTGCCATTCTGGCAAACATCTTCTGCTGCATCAACACTGCCTCGACCTCGGTCACAGACGTTCCGGATCCACGCGCAACTCGCACAATTCTGCTTGGCTGGTCCACAAATATATCTCCGTCGCTATCAAGTTCTTGTTTTGTCATTGAGTCCATCACGTAGACCATTCTTTTGAATCTTTTGGAAGTTTCTTCCTCGCCAACCTGATTCATCATCTCGCCAATGCCCCCAGGTAGCATTTGAGCAATCTTCGACAATGGACCCATCTTGAGAATATTGTTCATTTGCGTTTGGAGATCTCTCAGCGTGAACTTACCTTCCTGGAAGTTTTTGATCGTGTCTTTCTGGTCCAGATTCAACGACTGGACGTGTTCCATAAGACCCTGTATGTCACCGATGCCCAGCAACTTGGACACAAACTGTCTAGGAGTGAAACTTTCTAGATCATTAATGTGCTCTCCGGTACCGATAAATGCAATCGGAGTATGCGTAGCAGCCACTGCAGAAATGGCTCCTCCGCCCTTGGCATGTCCATCCATTTTGGTGAGAATTATGGCTCCGAAATTAGAGGATTCTTTAAAGGCACGCGATTGAGACTCTGCAGCCTGACCGATCGAGGCGTCCAAAACCATAATCGTCTGATTTGGCTGCACTGCCTCTCCAATTTGGATCATTTCCGCAAACAGCTCTGACTCCTGACGATGACGTCCGGACGTATCCACAATGATGATCTCGAATTTCTCTTTTTTGAACTTTTCAACACCGTCAGAAGCAACTTTCACAGGGTCTGCCTCCGTGTAGGAACCATAGTATGGGATTTTTGCCTTTGTCGCATTCTGTTTGAGTTGGTCAAAAGCACCAGCTCTGAAGGTATCTGCACACACCATTCCCACCTTAAAACCTCTTCTTTGGTAGTACACGGCGAGTTTCGTACATGTGGTTGTCTTACCCGCACCTTGAAGACCAACAAACATAATCACGTTTGTCTTCTTTTTCTTTGGTTTGTAAAGCTCCGTCTCCTTGCAGTCAACCAGATCACATAGCTCATCAAAAACAGCCTTCTGTATCAGTTTCTTCTTGTTGACACCTGGCTTCTCCTCCTGCTCAATGGTCGATTTGAGCTTTTTTCGAAGATTGAGCACCAGTTTGACGTTCACGTCTGCCTCAATCAGCGCGTTAGAAATTTCCTTCAGAAGACCGTCGACCGCCGTTTGATCAACAACGCTGGCCTTCGTCACCTCCGACACCGCACTGTTGATCCGCTTTCCTAAATCTGCGAGAACCATTATGACAAGAGGTTCGACAATATTTTCAACTTTTTAATTTGACGTCGCACATCTATACACCCGTAAGAATTTGGTTGCAGGATCGAGGCTGGCATACTTACAGCTGCATTCAAAACACGGCCGTTCCGCACTCCAGCATAGCATCCAAAGCTGGCACGGATTAGCACACGCAGATTGGCACCCTTTGTTCTCCAGCTCTCAAGCGACACCTTAAAGACACCCTTGCACAGATTTTGCATAACTTAGACTTTAAATCTCCAAACAAGGCCATGAATGTCTTCAATGCGATCCATTCGTCGACCTCAAATTTAATCTCGAGGACAGGAAATACCGGATCCAATGGCACACAGCCGCCACAGCTCTTGTACTTCTACATAATCGACCCGTCTTTGGGTGACCCCAGCAAGGAAGATGATCAACAACTGATCAACCAGATTCTCGTATATCTCAACTTTGAGGATCGGGACGTCCTTGAGACCGAGAAAGCTAAACGAATTGGGTTTATACAAGGGCTTGGAGCGTTTGCAGGCCGTTTCAATGGTTCTGGCAACGATTCTTTAAATTACATTGACACAGATAAATCTAGAGTGGTTACGGGGATCTTTGAGGAGAAATACCATTTCTTCTGTGGCTTTCGATTCGCAAAAGCTGGACAGTCATATGTGCGACGAGGCATTGCAACGCCAACGTATCTATTGAATGAGTTCCAGTATGGCTACAATCTCTACCGAATAAACTATGGACCCATAGATCGCAACGCAAAAACACGACTACAAGACTGGTGGCGGATCTGGCTGACGCAGAAATTCGAGTATCCGTCAGGCTTTGGTCTGACGGACCGAGGAGTGTTGAATCTGTTTTCTGGATATCGACGTTCGTCCGTCGAGCTGCCGCCTGGGTTCAAAGATAACCTCAAAAATGCATTAAAGCAGTTTAGTCTTAAAAACAGCTCTTTGGTCGACTTGTTGATCATGAACACCAACTGGACACCAACAAAGAATTTTGGCGTGGTATACTTGAACGAGGAATCACCGATACCCAGAGAGTGGCTGATAAACTTGGTGAACCATTTCGAGAGACTCGATCTTACTATAGGCCTCTCTACGTATTCGCTAAGGCTCAGCAACATTCCGTCGCTGAAAACCTACTATGCTGCTATTCAGGCTTCATCTGGAGGAAACCCAACGCTGCTTGATAGATCCATATTACAGCCTGCTATTTATATCCACGAACAGTTGACAACACATGTGTTCAATCCTTTCACATCTGCAATCAATACTGTTGCTTCCGTTCCCCAGCTTGTGTCATCCATTGGCTTGTTCGGGCTAGGCTCGTCCTCTAACGAGGAGCCTGAGGTTATGGATGAAACTGTCGTAGAGGCTCCACAGTCGCAAGAGTCGCTGGCCACGGAGCTGACAGGAAAATACCTCTTAGGCGAGACAAGCGATGGGAGGATCACCAAAACAGTGCATCTGGGAGACTTCATTGTGGAGATGGTTGTGTACGAAATCAACGGAATATTGTTCACCTTGCTGTTTAAAGAGATCGGTCAAGAGATGGACTTTTTCGCTTCTCTTCAATCACAGCTAGATGAGATCTACTCCTCCTATTTCAGTGATGTGGTCGCTACACAATTGAGGTCCATGGAAAAAGACTTGAAAGAGAAATCGGAATTCTTCTATCTAATATACAATCCGCTGACCAAAGAGATCAAGACTTCGCTGCCAAATATCCCCGACTCCGATGACATCAAAGAAATCAAAACCTCGGTGCTACCATCGGAAGGGGTGAACAGGACGCAGATCATCAATCTTTCATTAAGCCTGATGACTCACATGCTAGAGAACCGCGGGTTAATGGGTCTCGAGCCGGTCGAGAAGCTTGTCAAAATCAACAGAAATTGGTGGTGTTTGCATAAGATGGTCGATGGTAAAAGTGTGATCGCTCTTAAGAAATTTTCTCCGAGCGAGTTCAATTTGGAAGCAGACAGTTTGGTTGCCTCTTTTGGCGCGGAATTCAGCAAATGGTTCAATGAGTCTCTACGAAGCGGGTTCATCTAGAACAATGGTGATTAGTGCTCGTCCCCGTACAACACCTTATTGACCTCACTCAGCGGCAAGTCCCAGATTCCGCTGGTGGAAGAAAATAGATAGCGGTCGAGGTCTTTTTTCTGGTAATGCGGCAGTTCTGTGATAACAACCCCGTCAGGATCTGCAATTGTCCGGGGATCATCCAATGAGGGAGTTTTCACTTCTATGTTGTATAATGCAAGGGCCACATATGTGTACATCATGGATACCAAAACATATGCTGGAATGACGAGAGCCCACCACCTTGATGGGTAGTAATATATGCCAACGTTATTGAGGATCGAATCTGGAATCATGGACCAACTCAGCCATATGAACAAGAAGATAAAGCTAATGACGTATGCCGCGAATCCTTTATATTCTGCTTGGGAAGTGATGTTCGTGGAGACAGTCACGTCGGACTCTCTGGCCAATGCGTCGGAGATAAACGCCAAATTTTCCGAGGTAGAATTGGCAGTGGCGTTCATCAAGCTCGAGGTTGAGTGGTTGGTGCTTAAATTGTACAAGGATGGAATTAGCGACGTGATTGACGAAGTAGATAAAGATATCATTCTGTTTGCTGCGAACGGAGACGAGCTCGTGTGCCTTGGAGGCGGCGGCACCAGCAGTGTCTGAGAGGTCTGGCTGAACTGCGGCTGAGGTGAAACGACCTCGCGCGAGCGTCCATTTTCCTGTTCCAGCTGTATAACTGGCATCGCTGGAGTATGGAATTAAACAAAATTAAATCTGCCAATTCAACTCCGTGTTGGTCTGGTTTTTTTTTTTTTGAAGCAAATTGAATATAAAGCTAATAAAAACAAGAGTGACTAGGGCCATATACAGTCATCTGCTTGCCAACAAACTACACTAGACTTACTTACTAATCCGAAGGCACAGCACCACTAAAAGAAATACCTTTCACCTTTATATTTTCGATCGAACACAGATATAAAGATAACACCATGGGTAAGTGCATATTAAGGTTCGCGATCGAAACAATACTAACACTAGGGCAATGGCTCATTGCCTTACTTTAGGACCTAAGAAAATGTCTTTGGGCGAATTCTACGCCGATGAAAGTCTAGGAGGATCCTGGGCCGATGATGACATAGATATCAATTCGATCGCCGTATCACTCCACAAACCAGAGCCGTCCAATTATTTCAATCGCAGCGACCAAGGCTCCTTCGGTCGCGGCAATGGCTATGTTTCTAATTCATCGGGTATGGGTGGAGACCATATGTTCAATGGCCGTGGAGGGAGGAACGATGCGATGCTTCGCAACTTAAAACCTCCGTTTATTGCAAAACTTACCAATCTTCCCGATAGAGCTACTGGTAGGCTTGTATCAGATTTATTTGGATCCAGATTCACTCAATTTGAAAAATGTAAGGTGCTAAAGGACCCGCACCCTCCCGCCCCACGATTTAATATCTCTTCATCTGGCAAAGTGGAACGCAAATGTGCGTATGTGCAGTTGCCCAGTGTACGTGAGTTACAAAAAGTGCTCAAGTGGAACGATGTTTTCATTGACAGACTCAGAATCAATGTGGATGTGGCCGATTTCCAGGACTTTGTGGATGTGCAAAAATACAATAAAGAAATTGGCTACGACGACGAGGAAGAGGAGAAGAAACAGGCGCATACCGAAAATGTTGCAGTCGAGAAACGCAAGATAGCCACGCGTCCAGTGAATGGCCAAGATGTGGCTCCCGTTGGATCACCCTCCCCAGTGTCGTCAGCAGGCCAATCGAAACCCAAGCCTAATCCTTTTGGAAATGCAAAACCTGTTGACACAGCCAGTAAGCTTCTGGCACTTGAAAACCAAGAGAAGACACTTGCTGCAGTCAAGCCTGTCTCACAGCCAAAATCAAATCCATTTGGTGCTGCCAAGCCCGTTGACGTTCTTTCGAAGCAATTAGAAATCGAGAAGAAATTACAGGATCTAGCCATTAATAGCACGACGTTCAAGACTATAGCGGGTGCTGAGAAGGAGCAAGAGAAAGAGAGATCTTTGTCTCCTAAAAAGAAGCATCAGCCAAGATCGCAAGAAAGCGGGACTGCTAAAATAACAACCGGCAAAGGCTCCAGACCGGACAGCAGGGCCCGTGAAAAGAGACAGTCACGGAAGGAAGAGAGAAAAGAACGGGTTTCAAAGGAAATCGCAGTTGCTGAGAGAGAGGACAGGAAAGCACTAGAGTCGCCCTCGACACAGCAGGACCAGGAGTCCAAGAATGACAGAATTGTACCAGCAGATGACCAGAATCATAGCGAAAGTGGATTGCAATCGCCTCCTGAGGCCGAAAAAGCAGACAAACCCGAAAAGGAAGATGCTGTGAAAAGTAGACCAAGGTCCAGAAAAGAGCCCAAGCCAAAGGATACTAAAAGAAAACAAGACGCAGAAAAGTCTGCAGAGACTGTGAATGAGCAGAGAGAATCATCGAAAGACAGCTCAGAGAGCACCTCTTCGGAATCAAAAGAGAAATCCGATGCACCTCGCGAAAGAAGGCCAAAAGATGCTTCCCATAGGAGCCCCCGTAACACGCGGTACGCGCGCGATGGCGAGCCGCCAATCCGTGGTAGAGGAAGAAGCAGAGGCCGTGGAGGCCGTGTCGTGAATTTCCGGCCAAAAGAGGGAATTTCGCCAGCAGAAAATTGGGAAAGAGGAGACAAGCTTAAAGAGCAGAGCACCGACGAGACCGCCGATTCTAAGGAAAAACCAGTGAACCAGACGGCAAATGAAATCAAAAAGCCTGTTGGAGATGACTCTCAACCGGAGAGCGAGAAGCTATCCAGACCATTCCGCAGAGGACGTCTTGGTGGCCGAGGACGCGGACGTTTTGCAACGCACCAGTACACCAGTTTAAAATATGTCAAGCCCGGACTTGCACGCAACGGGGAGCCGTTGAAACATAACGAGAAGGAGACCTAGGGTGCTCTTTGTACGGTATATAAAAAAACGCAAACTGCCGCAATGATCGGTATCGAGTGTTTTACAATGTAAAATCTGCGCATTGCACTCAACAACTAGACATTGTGAAAAATGCCTGTCAACCGCCAGCACGGCGCTCCCATCCGGGGAATAAATTCCCCGGTGATTTCTGATGGCCGCGCCCAGCGCTTTCGCGCCCTGGAATCTCTCTAGAGAATTTTTCTCAGCGGCGGAGTGTATCACCGAATTTCCCACTCGCGAAAAATGCCTTGCGGCCCGTATGAAAGCGAGTACGCGCAGATTGCGACGGTGTGCGTTTCCACTGCGCCAGAGGCACAATGTAGGGATGTTTTTTTTACACTGTGGTTGGAGTAGGCATTATTGTTGCGAGACTAAATGACACACCAGTTTCTCCAGTTGGGGCACAGACTTCATCACTGCACAGTTTGTCAAAGTATCCGAAACTTTTCGGGTGCAATTTTCGAACTTTTCCGTAGCAGCTAGACGCAGTAGAGCCGCCGGCAGCAAGCTGAATATCGTTTTGGTGTAATTTTTCCGCAGGCCGAAAACATACAATCCATGAGTTGCCAGCTGAACGGCGGCCATGGAGACACAGGGGTTCGTCCATATGTCTGTGGAGGTAGTTTTTACCAACGAAACAAGCAGATATTTGTACTTCCCGCCATTATGCTCTGTTGCTACCAAAATGTTAGCAGATGCGTTGACTCCCAACTGCGCGGTCTTGCTGGTGATTATCTCGTTTACTAGAACCCTCTGTTCGGGATAAGCCACTAGGATGGCTATTTCGCTTTCAGGGTACCCCAGAATGACCATGTAGATGAACAACAGCGCGCAGTATTCCGCTTCCTCTATGTTCTGGTAGCCGTTGCCAGCGGGCGACTCGCTGGTATTCACGGTCACAAACTGGCAGGCATCCTTGATTCCAGGATTGCCAATCTCCAAAGGAGATTCTAAGGCTGTTCCAGGCGCAAATTGTGCAAGCTCTTGGCGAATATTGCGCTGAGCTGTAAGATAACCGGAAAATGGTAGGATGGTGAGAAGAGACTGGGTTCTGGAAACCAGTGGGTTTCCAGCGACCGTTAGTGACTTCAGTGAGATCGTGTTTGCTGCCAGTATAGAGCAAAACTCGTAAGCACTAAAAAGCGAGGCGTCAAGAATAAAAAGATGGTCGTACTTCAGCTGTGTGTTTTCACGAATTTCATCAAATGCTAGAAAAGTGATCTTTTGTGCAAAGTAGCGAGCGTTGGGAAATTGATGTATATTATGGGCGACTTCTAGTTGGTGGAAAAGATCCAGAATGGAATTGTAGTGCTCAAGAGGATTCTCAGCCTCTCCAAAGGGATAAACTGTTTCAGGGTCCCGCGAAAAAATGGTCCAGCTGGGTTCCACCACATTTTTGAAAAAGGCATATGCCGACTGAAAATCATAGATGTCCTCCGGGTCGGTATTGAGAGAGGCCACAAACTTCCTCACGTTTGCCAGTGCTTCATCATATTCGACACAATGATCCACAACGACGTCTAGCGCATCGAAGCTCTTTCTGCTTTTTGCTACCACAAGGACTCTTCCATTGGCAGATTTTATCAGATCACTAACCTTTTTTGATTTTCCTGAACACACAGGTCCGGCAATTAATCTAATGCTGGAACCATTTGGTGTTTCGGTCGCCTTGTCTCCATGCCGTGAAAAAAATTGATCCATCCATCTCGGAAACTGGACTTTCAAATTACGAGCCTCGCTGCCAGCCCTAATTGCATATTTGACATTCGCAAGATCCGCTCTATATTGTGCATCCACAACGGCTGTAAACTTGGAAAGTCCATCTTTGCACAGTTCCTCCCGTTCCACCTTGAAAGGAATGGTTTTATCACTGTAGAATACCCCGTGTTGCGTGGCCCAACTCTTAGGTCTCTGCTGTTCTTTGGTGCTCAGTATAACTTCGCACTTTAGGCTGTCGTTCACAAGCCCCCCAATTACTTCTTGCACGGTGATTTTCTCGATCAGAACACAATACTTGCTGCTCCTCCCCTGCCTCACCCTTTCAAGAACTTTATGAACGGCCTGCTGCAGCTGACGTTCTGTCTGAGCTTCGTGCTGTAGCCGAGCGCGCTCCAGAAATTCCACAGCAGAAGAGAAACCTATATCTGCAATGCTTCTCACCGGCTCCAGCTGCGCAATTTCAAGCCAGACCGAAAACTCTTTATTTGAAGACCGTAGCTCTAGTTCATTATACAGTCTTTCCACCGTTTTTTGCGAAACAACGCCGACAAAAGTCTCAAAGCTGCGTCTGAGATCCAACAATTCGCGATACATGTACACCTCGCGACTTAAACACAGACGTTTAAATGCGCGATCGCTAACTTCAGCATCTTTGTAGATGTACGAGAAAAGCAGGTGGAAGTAACCGTCTGACTTGAATTGAGCCAAAAATCCCATTTGTCTCAAATATTGTCTATTTGGTTTGTGGTTAGTGATGCGCACCACGAAATTGACGTCGTCGAGAGCCAGAGTCTGCTTTCGAGTGATTGTTTCCACCGCGCTCGGCAGATATTGAAAGACTGCTCCAACCTGCCCATAATCGTAAATGACACAGAGCAAAGCGCTAAGTCTCTCAAAATTGATGTCGATAGCCTTTTGAACAAGTACGGGGACTTTCTTCTTCAGACTAGTATCGACCAGTTCTCCTTCAGCCAGAACAAGTCTGCATAATAACAGTGTATGATCAACGGAGCTTTTTGGTCCAAACTGATCGACAATCCAAGACAATTCGCCATTTACCAGCAACAATGCAAGCTCGTTTGGCTCGCAAACAGAAAGCTGACGCACCTTTTCGGTGTCTGATTTGGTTCGCTTCATAAGCTTCTAACAGAGTGGTGTCTGGGTTTCTAAATTTTTCAAGTAAAAATTTTTATACATCATGAACAGAGGAAGAGGAGGATTCAGAGGTGGTCGTGGCGGCAGATCCGGGCCGCCAGTGCCTCAGGGCCCACCAGATAAGGTTTTCGAGATGGGCGAATTCGTTCATGCGTGCGAGGGCGATATAGTTTGCAAGAGTATCAACGAGAAAATCCCATATTTCAACGCTCCAATATTCCTTGAGAATAAAACTCAGGTCGGCAAGGTGGACGAGATTCTGGGACCTCTCAACGAGGTGTTTTTCACCGTGAAACCGAGCGAGGGTGTTCAGGCCACCTCTTTTAAAGAAGGAGACAAATTTTACATTGCTGGTGATAAACTGCTACCGCTAGAGAGATTCCTGCCGAAACCTAAGGCTGTTGGTCCAAAACCACCAAAGAAGAAGAGTTCCCGTGGAGGTGCTTTCGCAGGCCGCGGGGGCGCTCGCGGAGGTTCTTTCAGAGGAGGCCGAGGCGGCGCAAGGGGCTCCTCCAGAGGTGGCTTCTCTAGAGGCGGAAGTCGTGGAGGAAGGGGATCGTTCAGAGGCAGGGGAAGAGGATTTTGAGCGAAACTACGTAATCTGAAGCATTGTACGTTATTTGATTGAAGGGTAAAAATTGGTATTAGGTGAAGTCTTCCTCCAGTTGTTCAGGCGCCTCCACAACGCTGGTCTTTATCTTATTGAGTATTCTAATTTTGAAGGCATCCAGTCTGGAGAACTTGTCAAACTCTTTGGCACTATTCGCAATATCGTCAGGACTTCCGTTACGCACTGCCTCCACCAACTTGGAAGCAAACTCATATTCTCTCGTGGTCTCAAACGTAGGGTCCCATTGTGTGAATCTTTGAAGAAGAGCATTCCCGCTCGCGTAGTCGTTGTTGTCTGCAAGTCTGCACAAAATGGCTTTCAGGAAGTACTCTTTCAAAGACCATTTGGCCAAATTGTTGTTCAGAGACTCTTTAGCCACTCTCTCATAAACAACTGCTGCTTTCGCATATTCCTGAACAGTGCTGTCGCAATAAAGATCAGCAGCCTTCAGAGCAAACTTGTTGCCCAATGCCGAGGCCGAGTCTCCTTTATACCATTCGCTGGCGTCCTCATAGCTCTGGATTGCCTTTGGAATATCGTTCAGTTCGTTCTCATAGAGTTCGCCCAGGTCAGCTTTGAAATTGGCACTACGTCTAAATTGCCCCTTGCGCACAAACATTTCGATCGCCTGCTCAAGGCATCTAGCCGCTTCAATAGGAACTTCGGTCTTGTAACATTTGAAGGCTTCGACCAGCGTGTTGGCCGCCTCATCTGGCGACTCCGCCAGCTTCTGGCTCTCAGCAGCCTTCTCAAAGGTCTGTCCTGCTTGGGTATTTCTTTTTTGTAACTTATAAAGGTTTGCAGCTTGGACATACAGGTCGCCAGCCTCTTCATATCTGGATTGCTGGGATGATCCAAAGAAAGAAGCAAGCCCTCCAACCTTCTTGCACTTCTTTTCGGCCTGGGTGTTAGATAAGAATGCCCGGTTTAAGTACTTACCTCTGCAATCAATTGTTCTGGACTAGACATTTAAATGTTAATAACAGAAACAATTTAACAGCTTAACAAATATATATCTGATCGTCTCCGGTCCTTTTATGGATACTCCATACAAAATCGGAGCTGTCATGGCATTTGTCGGGAACGTTAATACTTCGGTAAATTTGCCACGGCCACTACTTACAGTTTGAGGTGTCCGGTTCGATCCTCGCGGTCGGCATTTCACGGCTTCGAGAAGTCGAGCTCGTGGATGCCAGCAATGAACAGTGTTTCCACTGAAGGGTAGAAATACAGCACAGTTCACTGTCCGTGAGGAGGCGAACGGGGTAGCATCTTGCTGGTTTCCGTCAGGATGGGGTAGTCGTTGTGGTGAATTAGTTGATTGTGACCGACAACTTGTTTTTATTTTTCATACCCCTAGCCCTCCCAGGTTGCGTCTACGGTCTGTGACACGGCATTTGTGCCATCTACTTTATTGATGGGTTACAAGAATCCTACTAAATTACACCCTCTCAATGACAATTGCACTGGCTCCTCCACCTCCGTTGCAAATACCAGCAGCACCGTACTTGCCGTTCTCTTGCTGAAGGACAGAGCACAGAGTAGTGACAACTCTGGCACCGGAACATCCAAGCGGATGGCCAATGGCAACAGCACCTCCGTAGACATTAACCTTGGCCGGGTCTAAGTTGAGAAGCATGGTGTTGGCAAGACCAACAACAGAGAAAGCTTCATTGAACTCAAAAAAGTCAATGTCGTCCATCTTCAGGCCAGCGTGCTTGACGGCCTTAGGAACAGCCAGAGCTGGTGCAGTTGTAAAGTCCACCGGAGCATGAGCAGCATCTCCCCATCCAACGATTCGGGCAATAGGCTTGACACCGAGCTCTGCGACCTTCTTGGCACTCATCAGGACAACGGCTGCTGCACCATCGTTGATTGGCGACGCATTCGGAGCAGTAACGGTACCTTCCTGTTTGAAAACAGTTCTCGCAGATCTCAATTTGGCCTCGTTCAACTTTCCAGTCTCTTCGTCAATCTCAACAACGGTGTCAGGCTTGCCTCTAGTGCCCTTGATGGTGATAGGTGCGATCTCTGACTTGAACTTTCCCTCGGCATGAGCCTTCTGGGCCTTCTTGTACGAGGCAATGGCAAATTCGTCTTGCTCCTCTCTGGAGATGTTGTGGTCCGAGGCACACTTTTCTGCGGCCACACCCATAGCTTTCCCATCGTACGCGTCGTTTAGACCGTCGCGTGAAATTCCGTCCACAATGGTGCCATCTCCAAACCTAAGACCACCACGAGCATTAGGGAGGTAGTATGGGGTGTTAGACATCGATTCTGCCCCGCCGGCAACGACAATGTCGCCGCTACCAGTTAGGATGTGTTGGGCACCGAAAATGATAGCCTTCATTCCAGAGGCACAAACTTTATTGATAGTAGTTGCCGGAGTGTCCTCGCCGAGGCCTGCCTTCAAAGCGACCTGTCTGGCAGGTGCCTGGCCCACATTAGCTTGCAGAACGTTACCAAAGAAGATCTCCTCCACATCGGTTGGCTTGATCTGAGGCACTTTTTCAACAGCAGCCTTGACAGCGTGGGCACCCAAGTCGACATAGGACAAGGACGACAGAGCTCCCTGGAAAGATCCAATTGGAGTACGGGCAGCGGCAACTATGTAAACGTATTCTTTGGACATATTAGTTGGTGGGAAACAAAATTGAGTTAGAAAAATGTACCCATCACAAGCTAAACGAAAGAACGAGCACAGCCTAAAAACAAAAAAAAAAAAAATATTAGTTACTATGTATTTCAGATCTAGCCCTGGATCTCGATGTTGGTCACAGAAAAGCGTTCATTCTGCTCTTTTTGATATTTTTCCAACTGATCCAGAGTCCAGACACTGACTCCCTGTTCCTGGTCCTTCTGCTCTATTGGCTGAGCCAGTGTCCGCAGGAACTTTTTGGCACTGGCGATAGCCATATCTGTGGAGAGATTTATATCTGCATCAGAGAGCGCTTGGGCAATCCATTTTGGAAGCTGCGACTTCTTTTTCGCAAATCTTCTGTCCGCCAACACCATTACACCGTAGTCATCTTTTCCTCGAAGAACTCGTCCGAGACATTGCGCGGCGTGCCGCATAGCGTCGAAAGAGAGAAAGTCGTTCTCCCTGATTTGGTAGTGGTCTCTGAGGAACTCCAATCTAGCTTTCAAAATCCTGCTTTCTGTGTACTGGAACGGAATACCGACCATGAGCACCGTGCGGCCATAATGGTGGTCAAAATCAATTCCTTCCGACACTTTTCCACGTGCAACAGAAAGAAGCACTGCGCCTCTCCCATTGGAGCAAGCCTTTCGATATGTTTCGAGTGCCAGTGACGTTTCCTGCGCATCTGGCGTCTCCACAAGAATGAGCTTGTACTTCCAGACCTCGTCCAAAATTCCCATGGTCTGCCATTGCGAGATAATGCTCTCCATATAGAGATATGACGGGAAAAACACCACCATTCCATCCGGGGTGATTTTGGAGAACTCGATCAGCAATGTGCCGTAGTTCCGCACGACACTGGGGTCGTTACGAATTTCAAAGCGCGATGAAATGGCCACCTGATCGGAACCTTTAGTGACGACCATTGGCAAGAACGACCTTCTGTCCAGAGTCATGGTGTACGACTCCTGGACAACAGTCTCGAAATTCAACATTCTTGGATACATATCCAGCGGAGAGATGGTACCAGAGGTGATGATAACAGAGGAGAAGCGCTCGAATACCGGCTTCATCGCGATGGACGCGTCAAGGCACGCAAATCGCAAAATCGGGTTTGGAACAGTAGCATTTTCCGTCTCGTAGGGCTCGAGAATCAGCACAAACCCGGTGTCGTAGGTGGAAACAAGAGTACCAAAGGTGGCGATGTCTTTCAAAGCCATAAATTCCTCGATCTCAACAACTTCAAGCGTCCTCACAAGTAAAGATAGCCGTTCGGAGCAGAATCTCAATGGTTTGCGGTCGATGAAGGTCAACTGCTTCAGGTGCTGCAGAAATGAAACAGGCGTTTCGCTGATAACATGGAGAACCTTCATCCGAGTCTTGAGATATTCGATGAACCGTTTCAGGAAAGATATAAAGTGCTCAGCACGCCGGATACTTCCAGGAACGGCCTCCGTCAACACGTCGTCGGGCAAAACCGGGTTCACCATGAACGCATCCTCGTCGGTGTGGTATATTTCGGATTCCCGCAGCCCTTCGACGAGCTTCTCGTATTCGTCCTGGAGTCGCTTGCTGTCAGTTTTCTTCACCTCCTCGACTTTTTTTGCCAATGCATTGGCACCCTTGCTTGCGCGGCGCAAAACGTCTTCCGTCAGATCCAGCGACAGAGACTCAATGCACACGTTGTCGATATTGTGTGCCTCGTCAAAAATGACAATACTGTCTCGCGTAAGCTCCTTGGACACTCTCTCTGCAATCTTGGGGTCCAATAAATAATGGTACGAATAAATAATGATGTTACAAAATGGCATCATCCGTCTGATGGTGAAGTACGGACATGTTCCCTCCATTTTGCAGTATTTCATGAGCTGCTCGAACGAGTACACGCCCGGTGGGACAAGGTTGGCAGGGTCTTTTTCGTACAGTTTCTCGTGGAATGAGCAAAGTTGGTCTGTGCTTGCCTGGCCTTGCTCTATGCGTGCTTTCAATTGTCCGTTGGTCATTCGCCGACACATCTCATCCACAACCACGCCTTTTCGTTCTCTGGAAGCCACAGGGTGCAGACAGAGGTTTTTACGACTCGTCAATCCCAGTCCTCTGAAATCTTCAACAAAGCCTAGTTCCTTTGATCTATATTTCATCAGTTTGTGCAACTCTATCAACGCCTTTTCGATCTCCGACATGGTACGCGAGCAATACACAATTTTGCGGTGTTCGGGATAGTGCATTTGGTATGCCACAGTCAGCGAGAGCAGAGAAATGGTTTTGCCCGTACCAGAGGGCATCTCTAGTATACAGTTGCCTCCAACGTCGAGGGTGCGTTTAATGTCACACATATAAGCATACTGTTCGGGATAGATCTTGGGATAGGGAAAGAGGACGGGAAGGTCGTCGATAAAGAACCTGGCGTTAGTTGCAGCTGTGTGAGTACTTACTTCATGGAGATATTTTATTTTATTTTATTTAATCAGATTTGAAAATCAGAAAAAATCGAGAAATATCATTGTTAGGTAATCAAGAAATATACCTCTACCCATTCTCCACAAGGCGAGACCAAAATACTTTACTTCTGACTCCGCAATGCTGTTTCATCGTATTGGCTCAGACAAGCTTTAGCAAGGGTGTGACAACAGTGCGGGTGTGGTGCAGAGGCAATCTCTCAGCACCGCTTGCATCACCAGAATTAATTCGCATACAATAATTATTTATTTATGTTTGATCCCAAGGTGCATGTGAGATACTTTCTGCGGTGTCTAGGAATTTTGCCTTCAATCTACGAAGGTGAAGACTCCAACAAGCTCGCGCTGATCTATTTCTGTGTGTGTGGACTGGACCTGCTCGGTGCGCTTGACCAGCTGTCCGGGAAGGCCGCGACGATCGAGTGGGTGTACAAACACTGGGTCGCGATCGACGACTACGGTGGGTTCCGCGGGTCTGACATATACAGGGACACCGGGCCGTACGATGTGCCGAATCTTGCGGCCACTGGGTTTGCATTGCAAATTCTGGTGACGCTGGGCGACGATCTTTCTCAGGTCGATAAAAACAAGGTTCGCCGGTTTGTGGAACGGTGCCAGCGGCCCAACGGCTCGTTCAGCCCGGTGGTGGGGTTTGGCGAGGAGGACCTGCGCTACTGCATGCTTGCGATGACGATCAGCCGGCTGCTAAACGGCTCGGCGGTGGACAGCAGCCGACTTCTACAGTATGTGCGGTCGACGCTCGCCTTTGACGGGGGACTGTCTATGAGCGCAGGCGGCGAGTCACACGCGGGACTGACGTACTGCGGGCTGGCTGCGCTCAAGCTGGCGGGCAAACTGGATGTGTGCGAGTGGCAGCCGACGCTGGATTTCCTGGTGCATCGGCAAATCCACTACGGCGAGTTCAATAAGGGCGAGCTGGAAAACGAGTATGCGGACGAGGACGACAACGGCGCGTTCAACGGCCGTGTGAACAAGTACGGCGACACATGCTATGCGTTCTGGTGTCTCGCGTCGCTGGAACTGCTGGACAAAACCGAGCTGGTGGACGGCGAGGCCGTTAAACGGTTCCTGCTGGAGCAGACGCTGTCGCCAACAATGGGCGGGTTCTGCAAAACGAACGCGCCGGACGAGCTGCCAGACCCGCTGCACTCGTTTCTGGGCATTGCAGCTCTTGGAATCATAGGCACTCCCGGTATTGCTCCGGTAGACGTGACAGTGGTGTTACGGAAGGATAGAGTGGTGGTCTAGAATATATACAGATTAGCGGTCGGGCCCGAACTTGATGATCTCCTCGTAGATGGCCCACGCAATTGCCGCACTGAAGGCCTTCCTGCTGATCCGGAGCGAGATGCCGTCGAACAGATGCGTCCAATGGCTGGCTACCAAAACGCGGCATGTTTGCCAGAACGTCGGGCACGTGTGCGGATTCAGCTGCATGTTGGTCTTGATGGTGTCGAATGGCGATGTGAGCGCGGTGGCCATGCACGCAGCCACGAGAGCAGAGCAGGAGTTGATGGCTGTCGACATCGAGGTGGTGTAGAGGTGTGTGCGAGAGGCGTCTGTGTCGGATACCAACAGCGGGGCCCAGCTCTTGCATTTCTGGTAGAAGAGCACGTACAGCCCAGCATAGGGGCAGTCACGCAGACACGTTGCACCGTAGCCGCGGAAAAAGCCTGCCAGGCCCTCGTTTTGCAGGATCTGTTTCATGGCGTCGGATAGAGAAGCGTATTGGTACAGACTAGACTCGAAGCGTACTTTCAGGATGGTGATCGGCATTGTGAGCAGGCCGACAAGGCCGCGGGTGACTGCGCCGGCGGCCAAGTCGAGCGAGGACGAGAGTTTGGGCAATTTCGACGACGAGGGCAGGGTATCTGTTTGGGGCTGCAATTTGACGAGGCTAGTTCGCACAGCATTAAGGGAGGTGAGATACAGGGCGGAGCCGATGGAGGTTCGCAACGCGCTGGGCAGCGTCCCGCGCCAGAGCTCTAGCGGCGAGCGGATCTGGACAAGGACCTTTTTGAAGGACGTTTTGTCCTGCTGGATCCGCGTCTTTAGCAGGTCCAGCGGCTGCAAACACACGGCCGATGTGAGACCGCCTGTGAACCCGGCAATGAGGTGTGTATAATTGGAGGGGGATTTTTCCATCAGACGATGGAGAATAAATAATTATTTAAATATTTATGTGCGTGCGGGATGGTAAAACGAGTAATCACCAAGTATTTATTTTAACGTCACTACATAGTCCCATTGGGTTCAGAAATCGCCGCCAAAGTCTCCGCCGCCGAAATCGCCTCCGCCTCCGAAATCGCCGTAGCCACCGCCATTTTCGTAGATCACAGTGTCTGGGGTCATCATCTCGCCCAGAAGCAGGCCACCAAGCGCACCTGCTCCCAGGCCCCCGAGCATTCCCATGCCGCCCATCCCGCCAAAACGGTTTCTGGACGGCTGACTATAGTTAGCAGGGTACTGCTGGGGATATGGAGCGGGCTGTGCGTATGGCTGAGCGTAGGGCTGTGCGTATGGCTGAGCGTAGGGCTGTGGTGGATATTGCGGATACGGTTGAGAGGCGCCAACGTTTGCGGTCTGGGGCTTTGCGGTGGACGGCAGGTTGATTCTAGACCCACGGCCTGCACCGCTTGGTCCCTGTGCGGCCGGCTTGTCAACAACTTCTGAGTATGGAGGAGGGGCCTCCTCGTGAGGCTCGCCGAAACTAGTGCCCTTGGGAGCGTCCCATTGCGATTTGCCCGTTGACTCGTCGACATAGAACCATTCTGGTGTTAGTGTGTCTGTGAGCAGTTACTTACCATTGTATTTGTCGTCCCAAACGGCGACCCAGCCTTTGGGAACAACCGGCTTGTTATTTTTGTTGCCCATGGTGAAACGATGGAAGAAGCGAGAATTTATAATTTGGAGATTTTATAGGCGTGGCGCAAGGGCGTGACTAGGGGATCATTTTAGTATTAGTGTTATCGTCTTAGATAATCAATCATATAATATTATAGGTATCTATCATATCAGATAAAATAAACAAGTGCCATGAGCCCGAAGAGAAGCGGACTGGTAGCAGACCGGGCGGCTCCACCTTCGAAGGTGGCCACCTGGCTGGCAGTGGCGGAAGAAGAGCCCGAAGCACTGCTCGAGACCGTTCTGGTATAGAGGGTAGAATGGCTGGCAGAATGAGAAGATTCATTGCCGGAAGCAGCAGACGAAGTCGTCTGCGCAGAAGACGAGCCGGCGCCGGCAGTGCCGGAGCCGGAAGCGACGCCAGATTCGGCGCTGGAGGCGATGTTTGAGCCGGAGCCCGTTGCAGTGTTCGCTCCCTGGCTCCTGCCGCTTTCTGGTGTAGAGGTGTTTGTGGCGGCCAGTGGCTGAGAAGCGGTAGCCGGGGAGGACTCTGCGGACGCGGTTTCAGGAGTCGAGTTGCCGCCGCTGCCGGAGGTGGCCGGGCCAGCTCCCGCCGCGAGAGACGAAGCGCGTGCAGGCTCGGTGGCAGAGCCGGTAGACTGCCCAGAAGTTTGAGAGGCTTCTGTTGCAGCCGTTCCCGACGTTTCAGAGACCATTGGGCCACTTGGGGCGCCTGTGAAGGATTCGGTGGAAGCGTTGGTGGACGAGCTTGCCGGGCTGGTTTCTGCGGAAGTGGCCGTAGCGGTGGAGGTGTCGGTTCTGCCTGCGGAAGATGGCGTGCTAGAAGAGTCCGTGGAGGCTCCTGTAGACGAGGAGACAGGTAGTGCTGCAGATGAACTAGAGACTCCTGTCGACTGTGTGTCTGTGGAGGTGTCCGAATTGGATGCACCAGCGGTGGCTGAAGTAGCCTGCGAGCTGGAGTCTATTCCAGAGGCTTGGGAAGATGTGGCGCCGGAACTGGACGATGGAGCAGAAGTCTGGGAGTTGGAGGAGGAAAGAGGCGATCCAGTTGCTTCTGTCGAAGCAGCTGATCCAGCAGATTTGGTTGTTCCCGTTGATTCAGCTGCAACAGACGAGCTAGAGCTCACGGAAACGGCTGAACTGGTTCCGCTAGTCTCTGGTTCACCACTTATGGTGGAGGAGGATGTAGCCGAGCTTGGTGATGGCGACACTTCGTAGCCAGAAGAGACGGTGACTGAGGTGACGTCGGAAGAGCCAGAGAAGCTCGAACTGAGGCTGGAGACGACAGACGACAGGCCGGTGCTAGAGGCGCTGGTGGCTTCGCTCGTTGAAGAGCCTGAGCTGTCAGTTGGTGAGACTTGGCTGGACGCGTCTGTGTGGCTAGAGACAACAGAAGACTGAGCAGCAACGTTGCTAGAAGCTCCGGAGAAACTAGACGTTGTGAGGCTAGAGTCGCCGTTGGAAGAGCCGCTTTCGCTAGCTCCGGCGCTGGAAGCACTACCAGTAGGAGCAGAGCTGATATCGGGTGTTGAGGATCTAGTCACCGTGACAGTTGAGAAGCCGGTTGTGGCGCTGCTGGATGCACTGGAAGCTGAGGTGTAGTCAGAGAGGGAGCTCTGTGTGGAGCTGGACCCTGTAGTTATTTCTCCGCTAGACGATTCGGCAGAAGCCTGGTTAGAGGATGAGGCTGACGGTAAGGTCGACGTTGCGCTGCCGGATGAGGATATGGTGCTCGAGTCATCACTGGAGGTTGGGTTTGCTGAGCTGGAGCCGTAGCCTGATGTTGGTTGAGCTGAGCTAGAGTCATAACCTGAGGTTGGATAAACAGAGCTAGAGCCATAACCTGAGGTTGGATAAACAGAGCTTGAAGCGACACCTGAAGAGTGGTCAGCAGAACTTGAGCCATAACCTGAGGTAGAGTGAGCAGAGCTAGAGACAGAACTTGAGGCTGGGTTAGCAGAACTTGAACCATAACTTGAGGACTGGCTAGCGGAGCTAGAGACATAACTCGAGGCCGGCTTAACAGAAGACTGGCCAGCGGAGCTTGAGACATAACTCGAGGTTGGATTTGCTGAGCTAGAGCCATAACTCGAGGCTGGGTTGGCAGAACTTGAACCATAATTTGAGGACTGGCCAGCGGAGCTAGACACATAACTCGAAGAGTGGTCAGCAGAGCTTGGTCCATAACTGGAGGCCGGGTTGGCAGAGCTAGAGACATAACTTGAGCTGGGATGAGCTGAGCCAGATTCATAACTCGAGGCTGGCTTAACGGAGCTAGAGCCATAACTGGAAGCCGGCTTGGCAGAGCTTGATCCATAACTCGAGGCCGGGTTGGCGGAGCTAGAGACATAACTCGAGGCCGGCTTAACAGAAGACTGTCCAGCGGAGCTAGAGGCATAACTTGAGGCCGGGTTGGCAGAGCTGGAAGCGTAACTTGATGACTGACTAGCGGAGCTAGAGACATAACTCGAGGCTGGGTTGGCAGAGCTAGATCCATAGCTTGAAGAGTGGCCAGAGGAGCTAGAGACATAACTCGAGGCTGGCTTAACAGAACTTGATCCATAACTGGAGGTAGGGTTAGCAGAACTGGAGCCATAACTGGAGGCCGGCTTTGCAGAGCTAGAGCCGTAGCCTGAAGACTGGTTAGCAGAGCTGGAAACGTAACTCGAGGCTGGCTTAGCAGAACTTGGACCATAACTCGACGACTGGCCAGTGAAGCTTGAGCCGTAACTGGAGGTTGGATAAACAGAGCTGGATGCGTAACCCGAAGACTGGCCGGCGGTGCTAGATCCATAGCTCGAAGACTGGCCAGCGGAGCTAGAGACATAACTTGAGCCCGGCTTTGCTGAGCTAGATCCATAGCTTGAAGACTGGCCAGCGGAGCTAGAGACATAACTTGAGCCTGGATGAGCTGAGCTAGATCCATAACTGGATGTTGGATAAACAGAGCTGGATGCGTAACCTGAAGAGTGGTTAGCAGAGCTAGAGCCATAACTTGAGGTTGGTTTGGAAGAACTTGATCCATAACTCGAGGCCGGGTTAGCTGAGCTGGATCCATAACTCGAAGGCTGGTTAGCAGAGCTGGATGCGTATCTTGAGGACTGACCAGCGGAGCTAGAGCCATAACCTGATGAATGAGCAGAGCCAGATCCAGAACTGGAGGTTGGATAAACAGAGCCCGAGCCATAACTCGAAGACTGGCCAGCGGTGCTAGATCCGTAACTCGAGGCTGGCTTAACGGAGCTAGAGCCATAACTCGAGGCCGGGTTAGCTGAGCTAGATCCATAGCTCGAAGACTGGCCAGTGAAGCTTGAGCCATAACTCGAGGCTGGCTTAACAGAACTTGAACCATAACCTGATGTTGGATGAGCGGAGCCAGAGCCGTAGCCTGAAGACTGCCCAGCAGAACTTGAACCATAACCTGATGTTGGTTTGGCAGAGCTAGATCCATAGCTTGAAGAGTGGCCAGAGGAGCTAGATCCATAACTTGAGGCCGGCTTTGCTGAGCTAGAGCCGTAACCTGATGTTTGATGAGCTGAGCTAGAGACATAACTCGAAGGCTGGTTAGCAGAACTTGAACCATAACCTGATGTTGGTTTGGCAGAGCTAGATCCATAGCTTGAGGTTGGGTTTGCTGAGCTAGAGCCGTATCTTGAGGACTGACCAGCGGAGCTAGAGCCATAACCTGATGAATGAGCTGAGCTAGAGCCATAACTCGAGGCCGGCTTGGTAGAGCTTGATCCATAACCTGAGGTAGAGTGAGCTGAACCAGATCCATAACTCGAAGACTGGTTAGCAGAACTTGAACCATAACTCGAGGCTGGCTTAACAGAACTTGGACCATAACTTGAGGACTGGCCATCGGAACTAGAACCATAACTGGATGTTGGATAAACAGAGCTGGAAGCGTAACCTGAAGACTGGCCAGCGGAGCTAGAGACATAACTGGAGGCCGGCTTTGCAGAGCTAGAAACATAACTGGAGGTTGGATAAACAGAGCTGGATCCATAGCTCGAAGAGTGGCCAGCAGAACTTGAACCATAACTCGAATTTGGGTTAGCTGAGCTAGATCCATAACTCGAGGCTGGCTTTGCAGAGCTAGAGCCATAATTGGAAGTTGGATGAGCAGAGCTGGAAGCATAACCTGAGGTAGAGTGAGCTGAACCAGATCCATAACTCGAAGACTGGTTAGCAGAACTTGAACCGTAACTCGAGCTTGGATGAGCTGAGCCAGATCCATAGCTTGAAGACTGGTTAGCAGAGCTAGATCCATAGCTTGAATAGTGGACAGCGGAGCTAGAGATATAACTTGAGGCCGGCTTTGCTGAGCTAGGGCCGTAGCCTGATGTTGGATGAGCTGAGCTAGAGCCATAACCTGAGGTTGGATAAACAGAGCTAGAAGCGTCACCTGAAGACTGGTCAGCAGAACTTGAACCATAACTCGAGGCCGGCTTGGTAGAGCTAGATCCATAACTCGAAGAGTGGTCAGCGGAGCTAGAGCCGTAACTTGAGGTTGGTTTGGCAGAGCTTGATCCATAACTTGAAGACTGGTTAGCAGAGCTAGATCCATAACTCGAGGCCGGCTTGGTAGAGCTAGATCCATAACTCGAGGCTGGCTTTGCAGAGCTAGAGCCGTAACTTGAGGTTGGTTTGGCAGAGCTTGATCCATAACCTGGGGTAGAGTGAGCTGAGTTAGATCCATAACTCGAGGCTGGGTTACCAGAACTTGAACCGTAACTTGAGCTTGGATGAGCTGAGCCAGATCCATGACTTGAGGACTGGCTAGCAGAGCTGGATGCGTAACCTGAAGAGTGGTTAGCAGAGCTAGAGCCATAACTTGAGGTTGGTTTGACAGAACTTGATCCATAACTCGAGGCCGGGTTAGCTGAGCTGGATCCATAACTCGAAGGCTGGTTAGCAGAGCTGGATGCGTATCTTGAGGACTGACCAGCGGAGCTAGAGACATAATTTGAGGCCGGGTTAGCTGAGCTAGAGCTGTAACTTGAGGCCGGCTTTGCAGAGCTAGAGCCGTAACTTGAGGTTGGTTTGGCAGAGCTTGAACCATAACTCGAGGTTGGGTTTGCTGAGCTAGAGCCATAACTCGAGGCTGGGTTGGCAGAGCTAGAGACATAACTTGAGCCCGGCTTTGCTGAGCTAGATCCATAGCTTGAAGACTGGCCAGCGGAGCTAGAGACATAACTTGAGCCTGGATGAGCTGAGCTAGATCCATAACTGGATGTTGGATAAACAGAGCCAGATCCATAGCTTGAAGACTGGCCAGCAGAGCTGGAAGCATAACTTGAGGACTGACCAGCGGAGCTAGAGACATGACTCGAGGCCGGCTTAGCAGAACTTGGACCATAACTCGACGACTGGCCAGTGAAGCTTGAGCCGTAACTGGAGGTTGGATAAACAGAGCTGGATGCGTAACCCGAAGACTGGCCGGCGGTGCTAGATCCATAGCTCGAAGACTGGCCAGCGGAGCTAGAGAGATAACTCGAGGCCGGCTTTACAGAGCTCGAAGCGTAACTGGAGGCCGGGTTGGCAGAGCTAGAGCCATAACTCGAAGACTGGCCAGCAGAGCTGGAAGCATAACTTGAGGACTGACCAGCGGAGCTAAGGCCGTAACTTGAGGACTGGCCAGCGGAGCTAGAGCCATAACCTGATGAATGAGCAGAGCCAGATCCAGAACTTGAGGCTGGCTTTGCAGAGCTAGAGCCGTAACTTGAGGCTGGTTTGGCAGAGCTTGATCCATAACCTGGGGTAGAGTGAGCTGAGCTAGATCCATAACTCGAGGCCGGGTTAGCTGAGCTAGATCCATAACTCGAGATTGGCTTTGCAGAGCTAGATCCATAGCTTGAAGAGTGGCCAGCGGAGCTAAAGCTGTAACTTGAGGCCGGCTTTGCTGAGCTAGAGCCGTAACCTGATGTTTGAGGAGCTGAGCTAGAGACATAATTCGAAGAGTGTCCAGCAGAACTTGAACCATAACTCGAAGTTGGATGAGCGGAGCCAGAGCCGTAGCCTGAAGACTGGTTAGCAGAACTTGAACCATAACTCGAGCTTGGATGAGCTGAGCCAGATCCATAACTTGAGGTTGGGTTTGCTGAGCTAGAGCCGTATCTTGAGGATTGACCAGCGGAGCTAGAGCCATAACCTGATGAATGAGCTGAGCTAGTGCCATAACTTGAGGCCGGGTTGGCAGAGCTAGAGCCGTAACCTGATGTTGGATGAGTTGAACCAGAACCGTAGCCTGAAGACTGGTTAGCAGAGCTAGATCCATAACTAGAGGTTGGGTTTGCTGAACTAGATCCATATCTTGAGGACTGATTAGCAGAGCTGGAAGCATAACTTGAGGACTGGGCAGCGGAGCTAGAGATATAACTCGAGGCCGGCTTATCAGAACTTGAACCATAACTCGAAGAGTGGTCAGCAGAACTTGAACCATAACTCGAGGCTGGCTTACCAGAACTTGGACCCATAACTCGAGGCCGGCTTTACAGAGCTGGAAGCGTAACTGGAGGTTGGTTTGGCAGAACTGGAACCATTACTCGACGACTGACCAGCAGAGCTAGAGCCATAACTGGAAGCGGGGTTGGCAGAGCTTGATCCATAACTCGAGGCAGAGTTAGCAGAGCTAGAGCCGTAACCTGATGTTGGATAAACAGAACTTGAACCATAACTCGAGGTTGGGTTTGCTGAGCCAGATCCATAGCTTGAAGACTGGCCAGCAGAGCTGGAAGCATAACTTGAGGACTGACCAGCGGAGCTAGAGACATGACTCGAGGCCGGCTTAGCAGAACTTGAACCATAACTCGACGACTGGCCAGTGAAGCTTGAGCTGTAACTTGAGGTTGGATAAACAGAGCTAGAAGCGTAGCCTGAAGACTGGCCAGCGGAACTTGAACCATAACTGGAGGCAGGATTAGCAGAGCTTGAGCCGTAACCTGACGTTGGATGAGTAGAACCAGAGCCGTAGCCTGAAGACTGGTTAGCAGAGCTGGAAGCGTAACCTGAAGACTGGCCAGCGGTGCTTGAGACATAACTTGAGGCCGGGTTGGCAGAACTTGAACCATAACTGGAGGTTGGATAAACAGAGCTAGAGCCGTAACTCGAGGACTGACCAGCGGAGCTAGAGATATAACTCGAGGCCGGCTTCGCAGAGCTGGAAGCGTAACTCGAGGACTGACCAACGGAGCTAGAGATATAACTCGAGGCCGGCTTAGCAGAACTTGAACCATAACTTGAGGCTGGGTTAGCAGAGCTAGATCCATAACTCGAAGACTGGCCAGCAGAACTTGAACCATAACTTGAGGCCGGGTTCGCAGAGCTAAATCCATAGCTTGAAGACTGGCCAGCGGAACTAGAGACATAACTCGATGCCGGTTTCGCAGAGCTGGAAGCGTAACTCGAGGCTGGCTTAGCAGAACTTGGACCATAACTCGAAGAGTGGTCAGCAGAACTTGAACCATAACTTGAGGCCGGGTTCGCAGAGCTAGATCCATAGCTTGAAGACTGGCCAGCAGAGCTAGAAACATAACTGGAGGCCGGCTTTGCAGAGCTGGATCCATAACTGGAGCCTGGGTTGGTGGAGCTGGAGACGTAACTCGAGGCTGGGTTGGTGGAGCTAGATCCAGAGCTTGAGGCTGGGTTGGTGGAGCTGGAGCTATAACTCGATGACTGGTCAGCAGAACTAGAAGTATAACTTGAAACCTGATCAGTTGAGCCAGAACCATAACTGGAAGTTAGACTAGCCGACCCAGAACCATAACTTGAGGTTGGGTTAGCAGAGCCATCTGAGACAGAGTCAGAAGTAGTGGCTTGACTAGATCCAGAATTAGTCGACTGGCTAGCGGGGCTCGTGCCATAACTTGGCGCAGAACTAGAAGCGCTAGAACGGGATGATTGGTACGATGCTGAACCTTCATCTGAAGTGGAGCTAGCAAAGAGACTAGTTTCCTGGCTGGAAATATCGCTAGTAACATAACTAGTTGCCTGGCTGGAAATATCGCTAGTAGCATAACTGGTTACCTCGCTGGAGATTTGGCTGGCAGAGCCGGAACTATAACTTGAGGTAGAGATAACGGAGCTTAACGTATCACTTGAAACTTCGTAGGATGTCCATCCAGAAGTTTCTTGGCCAGAGAATTGACTAGAAAGATCACTAGTTGCTTCGCTCCAAGTCTGGCTAGAAGATTGGCTAGCAGAGAGAGAACTATAATCGGAAACGGCATTGGATGCAGAGCTCTCGTTGGAAGAAGAGGAGCCCGAAGGAGTGGAAGCCGATGGTAAGTCGCTGGTAGAGAGGTCTGTTGTGTAGCTGGCACTGTCCTCGTCTGAGGACAAGCTAATAGAGGAAGGATTCACTTCGTGGCCAGAGGAATGAGTGATTGTCACAAGCGTCGAACTGGCAGACACAGTGTTGTCAGAATCGGACGAGGACAGCGACGTCGAGCTGCAAGTAGTGGACGGAGCAGTTGACGAAACAGGCGACGAAACAGGCGACGAAATAGTGGAATCAGAGGAAACACTGGAAACAGTGGACCAAACAGTGGACGTGCTCGAAGTGCTGGATTGAGTAGTGTGGGAGCTGCTAGTGGTGTGAGTCTGGGGCTCACAGTATGAGTATAAAAAATTCACCGATTTACAGTGGTAATGTGGGTTGCAACATTCTGTTGGCCCGAAGTAAAGAAAGCCTCCACATTTACTTCCATCACGAGCGCACTTCCAATTCCAATCATTAGCTGATGCCGACATTGCAAAAAGCAAAGTCGAAAACACAAGATGGAAAAGCATGGGGTATCTATGGATTTGCGAAGTTCGAATGGATCTGCAGAGGTAGAGGAAATGGGGTCTTTTTATTTACTTGCCAGTACACATGATTCTATGCGGCTTGTCCGGTACTGGTGGAAAGGAAAAGGTTTGGTGACTCGTCGAGCTTGGAAGACAGACAAAATGATGGCACCCAGAGATGCGTCTGTATTATGCATAGAACAACTTCTCTCCACATGCATGTTTAAGCATTGTCACGTTGCATTTCTGTCCCAGTTTTGCAAACGTTAGCGAATTGAAACCCTTTTTGAGCAAATGAGTTGCGTTCAGCACCAATATAGAAACATTCCAGATCTCCATGGACTCATCTCAATGCCTCGGCAAGCTTGGAAGCTCACACCCCGGGATTTACGGATAAGCACTCGGCATGCGCTTGTGCCGAAATCACTAGACATGAAAAATGACCGTCACATTCAGGATGGTGTCCGTACAACTCTCTCGAGTCCTTCACCTCTTTTCACCATTCTCCGACCCTACTGGTCAACCTACAATTACGTCACATGGAAAAACGCCTCGTCCTTTCACAAACCGAGCGACGTTTTTTTCAAAATACACAAAACGTTCAAGAACACAGCCTCAATAATCTTCGATTCACAATAGACTGGCTAAAAATTTTCAAAATGTTGGTGGTGCCGAGCCCGGACGCCTATTGCCTTAAACGTGCTACTAAGAAAGGGAATACGAGAAAGTCGGGTGATTCGCATCAAGTTCGAGACGCCGATGGGATCCACATATGTCTATCCAGGCACCCAGGGCAAGACACCGACCGTTGTGTGCGGGTCTCCAGTGGGCCATGCAGAGAATTTTGTTGAAATCAGATTTAGAGTTTTGCAGCAGCAGAGAATGTTGGATATTTAGTAGCGCGGCTGAAATCGGTGGCAAGAAGCGTGATTTTGTTCTCTCGCTTCTGTTGCATAAACGTGCATATTTCTCCGTGCATGGGCTGCATGCTGCAGACATGTATAGAACCCGGTCAGATTTAACCGCTCATGCATCCTGCATTCTGGTTTTTTTCAACTGCCAGTAGGCAAGCACCAATCAGCTGAAACTCCTGCAATTTTCAATTACCCGTACTATGTACAATGTCTAGAAACGCCACGATTCGTGTATTCCCGGCACAATCACCCTCTAGAACCAAGCGACACCTTGGTCCAGTCCACGCCCGGATCAGCGCCAATTATTGTATTGCTCAGCCGCGTTGGAAAGTACTTGCGTCCCACAACAGCAACCCTCTGCAAGTCGCAATCCAGCAAACTCTCTCTGCGTGCTTGCTTCATGTCGTCATCCACGTCGTAGTTGAAATGCGTGGCACCCTCGCTGCGGACGCTCACTGGAGCGTCGATGTTCTGAAAAATACTCAATTTCGCCTGTCCCAGATCCTCTCGCGTGATTTGCTCATTCTCAATCATGTCCACTATTTTTCCCATGCTCTGCGCAAACATTTCGATCGACCTTGCAGGATTGGGGTCGCGGAAACTGTAGTATGCAAAAATGCCGTTCAGGGCGTCGTATGTCGCGCCTCCACCGTAAGCCCCTCCCTTTTCGCGGACCTCGCTGTGCAAGTGTTTGAACGTGCTTAGCTGCGCAAGTATTTGCAGTGCCGCACCGTCCTCACAAGTGTACGACGACCCCGACGCCACCGCGGCTGCAAAGCTAACCTGAGCAGCAATCTCAACTACTCTGTCCTGCACTGCTTGCTGCATCTCCATCTCGTAGGGGCTGACTGAGTGCCGTAATTGGAACTGCTCGCCGTATCGGGCAGCCAGCTCTTCCTGTGCGGACACATTTGCTCTATCGGTAGTGACCGCCAATTTGAAGTTCGAGCCGCCCAGCAAAATGCTCTGTATCCGTTTCAGCACTATAGACACTTCCTCCAGCCGGTTCTGCTCGTCCAGCACCCGCAACTCGTTCAAAAACGACACCTGCTCTATTCCGCCCAACAGCTGCTGCAGCTTGGCAGACTTCGAGAGCTGTGCCGCAGAGTACCCCCGCGCGTAGCTGTGGCCGCTGCTGACGATCGCGCTGATGTTGTCACTGGTCAGAGTCTTCACCAGCACGCTCAGCTTGTCGTGGTTGTCGAAATCGGTCTCTGCAAGCAGCTGGTAAGACAAATCGAGCAGCCGCTCAAAGTTGCCGTTCAGAGCCACGCCGTTCAGTCCAAACTTCAGATACGCAGTGTTCATATTGTCGGGCGAGCTGTGCGAAAACACCGTCGGCGAGATCCCGCCCGTGTACAGCTTGATCTCGTCCTCCAGCTGCGCCATCGACTTGTCTTTTGTGCCCAGGTTCGTCAGACAGTCCGTGAACAGGGGCAGGTACTTCACCAGCTCCAGCGGCAGCTCCGAGGCCGAAATCGTCTTGAGCGACCGGAAATACGTCAGTCCGTTCGTCTTGGACGACACTCTCGTCTGTAGCTCGGTGGCTCCCGTGCTTTTCAGCTTCAGCCGCACGCTGTCGCCGTCCCTGCTGATGTCGGCCGTCGATAGGGTCGGCAAGCACGAGAGGTCCTCCTGCTTGTTCTGGTTCTCCAGTAGCTTCAGCCCCCGCTGGTAGAGCACCTCCCTGTCGCTCTCGTCCAGCGTGGCGATTTTCTTCTCCAGCCGCCGCTGCTCCTCGTCGGAAATCTGCTTTTCCAGCCCTGCGTCCGGAAACATTGTGTAGTGGAAATAGGGAGCGTCCAGAATGTACTTGTCGAGTCGCTCTGTAAACATGACGTCACCTTGCTTGGCGTACTCCTGTCTAAACCTGCCGATCACGTTGTCCCACTTGAGCATCTCGAGCGGATCCACCCTATTGACCCACCCCGGCACCAGCGAGCTCAACACGTTCAGCCCGAACGACGCGCTCTCGACCTTGCGGCCAAGCTCCAGCTGGTGTATCATGGCGTCAACTTTGTCCCCTGCAAATCCGGCCGTCTTGGCCCGCTGCACAGCGTCTCTCACCGTCTCCGGCAGCTTGGCAGCCGTCTCCTCGCTCATCCCCTGCAACCCAATGCTCAGCATGTTCACGTCTGTCATCGAGTCCATGCCCGAGTTGATACTGAAGTCGGTGCCCAGCCCGGTCTCGACAAGCTCCTGGTACAGCGGCGACGAATGGCCGTCAATCAGCAGGTTCGCCACGAGCCGCATCACAAACGTCTCGTACACGTCGTCCGGCCGGCCACAGTACCACGTCAACGAGCCTTTGTACTGTCTTTCCAGCGGCAGAAGCGGGTCCACGGGGCCAGCGACGCTCAACGAGGTGTTGCTACGCAGCTCAATGGGCTGCTTCACGTCCTGGCGCCGCTGCCGCCGGCCAAACCGGGCGTACTTCTCGTTGATTCGTGCCAGATGTCTCTCCAGCGGCAGGCTGCCGTACGTGAACGTGGCCGCGTTGGACGGGTGGTAGTACCTGGCATGGAAGTCCACCAGGTCCTCGTACACTAGGTTTGGTATCTTGGCAGGGTCGCCGCCCGAGTTGTGGAGCGAGGGATATATGGCCTCCTGAAACTTGATCCAGAACCAGTACCCAGAGTCCGACATCTGGCCCTTCATCTCGTTGTACACCACGCCTTTGAAACACAGCGGGCTGGCCCGGTCCAAGGTGTCCTCGTGCTCCAGCCGCCAGCCCTCCTGGTAGAAATCGTCCTCCGACAGCAGCGGATTCAGCGTCGCGTCCAGGTACACGTCCATCAAATTATAGAAATCCGTCGGGTTGGTGGTCGCAAACGGGTAGAAAGTGTAGTCGTGGCCCGTCATGGCGTTCATGAAGTTGGCCAGCGACCTGTTGAGCATCTTGAAGAACGGGTCGCGCACAGGGTACTTTTCGGAGCCGCACAGCGTGGTGTGCTCCAGAATGTGGGGGAGTCCCGTGCTGTCGGGCGGGTTTGTCTTGAAAACCATGCTGAAGACGTTGTTTTTGTCCTGGCGGTCGATGTGCAGGTGGCTGGCGCCAGTGCGCTCGTGGACGAGATCCACCGCAGTGAGGCTGAACTCCGGCACGTCCAGCGCGCGCCGCACCACAAAGCCGTGGACACGGTCGCCCAGAGGATATTTTCCGCGTGCTACAGTGGCAAATCGACGCAGCGACATGAAAAAAAAAAAATAAATAAAAATAAAATATTAAACACTTGCTTGTTCTCCCTGTGTTCATGCTCCTTCCGTTTTTGCTGCTTGCCGCCGCGTGCGTGGCCGAAAAGGTCGAATTGACGTCGTCCGCAGCAGAATACTGCACAGGAATGTACTCGAAGCAGGACTGGGGCGGGCCGGTCGACCCGTTCATCAAGGTCGACGTTAAGAGGTTCGGCTCGGACGACGCCTCCCACGACCCGCTCTCGCTCATCGTGTTCGAGTATAGAGACCTCGACTACATCGGCGTGTACGACAACGTCACAGGACAAACCCATTACGTGTGCACGCCGGAACTGGTGCAGGAGGCGCAGTGTTCCGGCGACCAGATCGACCAGTTTCTCGTGCTCTCCAACACGTCCGGCTCGAATCTGATCAGCACTGCGCGGCTCACAGAGCTCGGTACAAATGGCTACAGCTACCACGTCGTCAACACAGGCTATTACTGCGTCGCGGTGTACGACCCGCAGCATTCTGGCTCGGGTTCGTTCAGCGTGATAGTCAACTTCCACAACGCTTACGGCAATTTGCCCGCGTCGGAGATCCCGAAACTGCCGCTGTACGGGCTTCTGGCCGTCGTGTACGCGGTCTGTTTGAGCGTGTACCTGTTCCAGGTGTTCAAACACCGGTCGGAGCTGCTGTTGCTGCAGAAGTACCTGGCCGGCTTCTTTGTGTTTCTCACCGTCGAAAACATCCTTGTGTGGTCGCTGTACGACGTGGAAAACAACAACAAGAAATTCCCGATCCCGGACGGCATCAAGTTCTACATCTCGTTCGTGTCAATGCTGAACGCGTTCCGGATCTCGTTCTCGCTGTTCCTGCTGCTGATCATCTCCCTCGGCTACGGCGTCGTGTATCCGAAGCTGCAGCGCAGCGTGATGAATAAGTGCAAGCTGCTGGCGGCGGCGCACTTCGTCGTCAGCACCGTCTACGTCTGGTTCTCGTACTACTCGAGCCAGGTCCAGCCGTCCAGCACCACCACCAACACGTCCAAGGCGTCGAGCACGATCGAGTCGAACTCGTGGCTCGTGATCGCGGTCACGTTGCCGCTGGCCGTCCTGCTGGTCGTCTTCTACTTCCTCATCCTCTCGTCCCTGCAAAAGACTGTCAAGCTGCTTGCCGAGAAAAAACAGATCGTCAAGCTCAAAATGTACAGGAACCTGTTCAAGCTGATTTTCTTTTCGATGCTGCTCATGCTCTTTGCGCTCATCATCAACGTCGTTCTCGTCTTCAACGACTCGCTCACAGAGTCGATCGAGCGACTGTGGAAGTTCAGCGACGTTCTCACAGACTTCTGGCCCGCCTGTATCTATTTCATTGTGTTTATCGGGCTGGCCATCATCTGGCGGCCAACAGACTCGTCGTATTTGCTTGCTGCGTCTTCGCAGATTCCAACCACCGACAACGGCGAAATCGACCCCGAGGAGCCACAGGAAATCTACAACAACCTGGATCAGTTCGGCAACGAGTTTGAGTTTGACGACTTGCGCAGTCTGGAGAGCGACAATCCGTTCGACGACCGCGCAGCTCCCGAGCACAGCACGGAAAACCCGTTCCGTGACCCGGAACACAAGTCGGATGGCGACCGCTTCAAGATAGACGACGAGGACGAGCACGAGGTGCCGACGGAGGACAAAAGTAAATAGGCGAATAGAGATGAACGGAGTATGAGTGCGCAGTTCGTGTCGTTGCGTCTCCGACAGCTGCCGCAAACAGAGGGCCTGTATATGACAAGCTACTAAAGAAAACAAGAGCAAGTCCGCGTAAATGGTTTAGTGGTAAAATTCGTCGTTGCCATCGACGAGCCCCCGGTTCGATTCCGGGTTTACGCATTCTTTTTTTTTGATAAAAAATAGGTAATATTTTTTTATTGCCCATGTCCAAAGTATCACTCCAGGAACGCTACAACAAGTTCAGCAAGGCAGCCAAGTACAACCTGAACTCGGAAGAGCTGTTCTGCGTGTGTCGGCGCGTGGACGATGGCGAGCTGATGGTGGCCTGCGATGGCTGCGACGAGTGGTTTCATTTTTCGTGCATGAAGCTCGATCCCAAATACAAGGACCTGGTGAGCAATTTCTACTGCATTTTTTGCGACGAGCTGCTGCACAAGGGCTCCACGCTGTGGAAGAAGAAGTGTCGGCTGGATGGCTGCTATAAGCCTGTCCGCGTCGATGCAGACTCGCAGAAAGCGTCGAAATATTGCAGCGACGAGCACGGCGTCGAATTCATGCGCACCGAGCTGCTGAAGAGGTTCAGCGAGTCCAGCAAGGAGTGTCGGCTGCGCGTGCCGGAGATTGCGAGCGTGGTATGCGGGGTGGCGGACTTAGACGAGTTCCGCGTGCTAGGAGACAGCATGCCTGCTTACGAGGGCATGGACGTTGATATGCCGGAGGAGCTGGCACAGCGTGTGGTGCAGCTGGACGCGGAGCTTGCGGAGCTGCGGCGTGCCGAGGCGCTGTACACATCGAAGGAAAAGTACCTGCTGAAGCTGCGGGAGAAGATTCGCCTGGTGAACGAGGTGCTGGCCGAGACGGAGCCAGAGCCGGCGAAAAAAGGCAAAAAGCCCAAGATCGACGTGTGCGGCTACGACGCGACGCTGGTGCTGAACGACGAGCAGTGGCGCGCGTACGAGGCGAGCGAGGAGTGCCAAAAAACGCTGCGGCTGGCGTGCTGGGCCGATCTGGATGCGACGCCAGAACAGGCGCGGGAGGCGTACCACGCGCAGCAGCAGTTTGCCGGGCTGTGCATGGCGGACCGCAAGAAGTGTGTGCGGCACCTGACGTGGTACAGCATCCAGTACGACACGGTGATGTTGAGATTGAACGAGGTGCTATATAGGGTGGCGCAGCTCGAGCGCGCGAAAGAGGCCGTGGCGCAGGAGTGGCGCAGCCAGCTTCTCGAGCGATAACACTATGTACTCCGAATCTACTCCTCCTCCTCGCGCTGGTCGACGTGGCGCGGCCGCCACACCTCCACCAGGCCGTCCTCTGCGCAGCTGGCTACGACGTTGTCCAGCACGGGGTGCCAGTCGGCCTCGCAGATGCGGCCTGTGTGGCCCCCGTGCATGAACACCAGACACGGGTCTGTATAGTCGCCCTTTTTACGCTCGTGCTCCTTGACGTCGAATTCGCCCTCGCGGATCTGGCACAGGTCCCACACCAGCACGCGGCGGTCGCTCGACGACGACAGAAGCAGGTTTTCGCGGAACTTGAGGTCCACCACAGAGCCTGTGTGGCCGTACAGTTTGCGCGTCGGCTGCTCCATCAGACGCAAATCCCAGCAGTTTACCAGGTTGTCGGACGACCCGGTCACCAGTAACGTGCCCAGGTCCGGGTGGAACGCCACCGCGTTGAGCGGGCCGTCGTGCGCGTTGGCCACGGCCACCACGGGCTGCGGCGCGCGCAGGTCGTGGATCTGCAGTGACAGGTCGTCGCTCGCCGAGGCAACCACGCTGTTGTGCTGCTTGTTCCACGCCACGTCGTTCACAATGCCTTTGTGCGTGCGGAACACCCGCACCGGCACGTCTGTGTCCATGCTCCAGAGAGCGACCGTGTGGTCCTCAGAGCTCGAGAGCAGCTGGTTCTGCGCAAAGTTCGGGTTCCACTCCAGCCCAAAGCCCTCCTTGGTGTGGTGTTTGAGGGTTTTGGCATGGCCCCCGTTCTCCAGGTCGTAGATCAGCACGTCGCCGCTGTTGGTCTGGGTGGCCACGAGCCCGGTCTCCTGGTTCACACGCAGCTTGTTGATCTCGCCAGGATGTGGCCACTCGCGCTGAAGGGAGATCTGGTTGCCTTGAAAGAGATTTTTGTCCGCAGAGTCGTCTGTGCTGGGCAGCTGCACAGAGTACTGTCGCAGATAGTTCTGCGAGCCGTCCGAGGTGTGCGTGCCGACCAAAAAGCTCGCACGCACCGCGTGCTCCTGGTTCTCGGTGCGCCGCAGCCACTCCACGGTCAAACTCGGCCACGGCAGCGCGTACGAGTAGATAACGTCGTACAGCAGCGGCGACGTTTTCTTCCAGATTTTGTACTCCTCGTTGACGATTTTTTCAGCCACCTGGTACTTTTCCTTGACGGACACGGCAGGGGCGCCTGCGGCCGCCGCAGGCTCTGTGTCGGGTGTCTGCTTGTGTTGAGGCTCTGAGTGAACAGACGTCATGGAAATAGTTTTATAATTTAAAAATGCTGGTTTTAGACGGGGTGCGTGTGCGACTCAATTTGGCGTGGTTGAATTTTCGGCTCTGTCTGAGACAGCATAGTCGGGGTGCCAGCGGCCAGAGCTGCCGGCCAGGGCCCAAACGACGCGGGGCTCATTTGAATGTGCCAAAGTGACGCCCAGAAAATTTGCCAGAAAAGATGTCATGAGCTGGTCTTTGCCGTCGCTGCTCCCCTGGAGATGACAGCCAGACCCGCTCTCCCGACACTTGTCTCTTTTCCACGCCAGTCTCGGCCAGATCGGGGCTCTTTGACTGACACTGGGTTATCGGACTATGCTTGCGCGTGCGATAGATCGCGCAAAAGTCGGACGCGTTTGTTTCCTGGTTGCAGGGGGGTTGAGAAGGAGAGAAAAAAAGTGCACGGGACTAGCCCTGGGTGCGCTATAAGCGGGTCTAGTTTGGGATGTGCCCCTTGCCAGTAGCGTTTGAAGGCCATATACCAAAGAAGATAGCGTTCTAGAGCATTTTCTGCTGCTCGGACAGTGAAATACTCTGCCTCCTCCCCTAACAGGATTTGTTTACAGACGCGTCTGGGAAAAAACTATATAAGGTGCATAAATCCAGTAAGCAAGTTTCATTAAAAAAAAAACCTTTTGTCTTATAAAATGTCTGTGCAAGAAACGCCTTCCAAGACCACAGCCAACGCTCTATCGACCCTCGACCTGTCGTCTGCCGACAAGAAGGACTTGACCGCCACGCTGACCGCTGCCGCCAAGGCCAAAGCGGCAGCTAATGGCGTCGAGGAGACCCCCCAAGAGAACTCGTCCGACAAGGCCAAGGAACACAAGGACTTCTTGGCTAAACACAAGGTGCACCGTCACAAGCTGATGCAGATGGAGAAGGACGAGCCTCTGCTGGTTGAAAATAAAAGAAGGTTTGTCTTGTTCCCTATCAAGTACCACGAGATTTGGCAGATGTACAAGAAGGCAGAGGCCTCGTTCTGGACCGCAGAGGAAATCGATCTGTCCAAGGACCTGCACGACTGGAACAACAGACTCAACGACAACGAGAGATACTTTGTTTCGAGAGTGTTGGCCTTCTTTGCTGCTTCGGACGGCATTGTCAACGAGAACTTGGTCGAGAACTTCTCTGCCGAGGTGCAAGTTCCTGAGGCCAAGTGTTTCTACGGGTTCCAGATCATGATGGAGAACATCCACTCGGAAACGTACTCGCTTCTGATCGACACCTACGTCAAGGACCCTAAGGAAGCTGAGTTCCTTTTCAACGCCATTGAGACCATCCCATGTATCAAGGAGAAGGCCGAATGGGCCATGAGATGGATCAACGACGAGGAAGCCCTGTTTGCCGAGAGACTCGTTGCGTTTGCTGCCGTGGAGGGTATTTTCTTCTCTGGCTCGTTTGCCTCGATCTTCTGGCTCAAGAAGAGAGGACTGATGCCTGGTCTGACCTTCTCGAACGAGTTGATCTGCAGAGACGAGGGTCTGCATACCGACTTTGCCTGTCTGCTCTTCTCGCACCTCAACAACACCCCAAACAGCGACATCGTGCTCAAGATCATCACCGAGGCCGTCGAGATCGAAAAGAGATACTTCACCGACGCCCTGCCTGTCAACCTGCTGGGTATGAACTGCAACCTGATGTGCCAGTACGTGGAGTTTGTTGCTGACCGGCTGCTTTTATCTCTGGGCTGCAAGAAGCACTACAACGCCACAAACCCGTTCGACTTCATGGAGAACATCTCTCTTGCAGGCAAGACCAACTTCTTCGAGAAGAGAGTCTCCGATTACCAGAAGGCGGGCGTCATGGCCAAGAACACCCAGGAAAAGGCCGACACCGAGACCGGCTTCACCTTCGACGAGGATTTCTAATGAGGATCACGCAACGTCCATTAATGTATACTAGAATGTCTTTTAAGCATATTGATGAATCGAATTTTTGTGCAAGGATGTAGAACAAAATATTTTTGCGTGGAAAATATTTCTCCCTCTGTTTATGAACACACACAAAAGTGGTGGCCATCCTTCCAGTTCGATGATAAAGCGCACTTACAAGGACGCAATAAATGCGCTAAACTCTTTACAATCGAACGCTGCCACCATAGAGGCGGCCCGCCGTGCCGCCGGCGCCAAGAACTCTCGTTTGATTCCCGAGATGCTGGAGTGGACAAGACGTATAGGGTACAAGCCACAGGACCTGGACAGGCTCAACGTGATCCATGTGACGGGGACCAAGGGCAAGGGTTCGACGTGTGCGTTTGCAACAAGCATCTTGTTGCAGTACCGCTCGCCGGTGCAGGTCCCGGGTGCCAAGATCACCAAGATAGGCCTGTACACGTCCCCCCATCTTAAGAGCGTGCGGGAGCGGCTGATGATCAACGGCAAGCCGATCTCGGAGGCGCTGTTTGCCAAGTACTTTTTCGACGTGTGGGACCGTCTCAGCGCGTCTGAGTCCGACCCTGAGCAGTTCCCCGAGATGGGTCCCGGTGTCAAGCCTGCATATTTCCGGTTTCTGACGCTCTTGTCGTTCCACGCGTTTTTGAGCGAGAAGGTCGACACCGCTTTGTACGAGGTGGGTGTTGGGGGCGAGTACGACTCCACCAACATCTTTGTGCACCCCACCGCATGCGGCATCACGTCGCTCGGGCTCGACCACACCGCTGTTCTGGGGGACACTTTGGAGAAGATTGCGTGGAACAAGGCGGGCATTTTCAAGCAAGGCGCGGCGTGTTTCACCGTGGAGCAGCCCGAGCCCGCGCTGCGTGTGATCCGCGAGCGCGCTGACGAGAAAAAAGCCGCCAGCCTCGAGGTGGTGCACACTAGACCCGACCTGGCAGAGATCCGGCTCGGCATCAACGGGGATTTCCAGCGCCAGAACGCGTCTCTGGCCGTGTCTTTATGTAGAGCTCACCTGGAGCGGCTGGGATTCGAGCTGGGCGACTTTGAGGTGCTGCCCGAGGAGTTTGTCACGGGACTCGAGCAGGCGTCGTGGCCCGGACGGTGCCAGATCCTTCGCGACAGCAAACGAGACGACATCACCTGGTACGTGGACGGCGCACACACGGCCGAGAGCATTGCTAGCGGCACCGCGTGGTTTGCGCAGTGCGCGCGCGATTCGCACCGCAAGGTGCTGCTGTTCAACCAGCAGACCAGAAACGTGGAGAGTCTGCTGCGGAAACTGCACGAGCAGATGGACGCGGCGGGCAAGCGGTTCGACAACGCCATCTTCTGCACAAACGTGACGTACGCCGACGGCAGGTACAGCGACGACCTTGTTTCGATGAATGTGGCGCAGGACAAGGTGGACTCAATGCGGGTGCAGAAGCAGATGGCCTCGATATGGGACGGGCTGAGCAAGGACTCGCGCAAACACCTGTTCCACGACATCGAGACGAGCCTGAACTTCATCCGGACACTGGAGGGCCCGCTGGACGTGTTTGTGTGCGGATCGCTGCATCTGGTGGGCGGCTTCTTGCTGGTACTGGAGGGCCGAACATGAATAAATATTCTATATTAGTTTGCACAGCCGTGGAAAAATAAAATAGAATGCTTAATCGCAGCGTCATCGACGAAAGAGCGATATACACCAAGCGGGCCGAGGATTATGCGGAGCTGGTGCGCCGGTTTGGCGACCCGGGGCTGCGCGAGGTGGGCAATTACCGCCTGGGCGACGAGATCGGCTCCGGCGCCTTCGGCAAGGTGTACATCGCGCACCACAAGCTGCTGGGGTCCAAGGTTGTTGTGAAGAAGGGCGACCGTGTGACGCCGTCGGGCTGCAACGACAACCTCATGCGCGAGTACTACTACCTGAAGGAGTTTGGTGCGCACCCTAACGTGACCAAGCTGTACGAGCTGATTTTGACCGAGACCAGTGCGTTCATGGTGCTGGAGTTCTGTCCCGAGGGCGACCTGTTTGAGTATCTGAGCCGGCACAAGCGCTTGCCCCTGGAGGAGAGCCTGCGGATGTTTGTCCAGCTGGCATCGGCCGTCCACTACATGCACCGTAGCGGCTGTTGCCACCGGGACCTAAAGCTGGAGAACGTGCTGCTGGACAAAAAACACAACGTGAAGCTGTCGGACTTTGGGTTTGCGCGCGAGTTTCCGATGGCGCAGCACGGCCCGCGCGGGCTGCTCAACGACATTTGCGGAACGAGCGCGTACATGGCTCCGGAGCTACTGAGAAAGACGCCGTACGTGGGCACGAAAACAGACATCTGGGCGCTCGGCGTGATTCTGTACACGCTGGTGGCGGGCGAGATGCCGTTTGACGACTCGCTTGACGAGGACGCGCTTGTGGTGGCCGTTTGCGAGCGCGAGCCGACGTACAACCCCGAGCTGTTTGGGCCGGAGCTGCTGCCGCTTGCGCGCAAGATGCTGGCCAAGGACCCGGATCGCCGCGCGTCGTCGCTCGACGAGGTGTTGCGCGCGCCGGTGCTGCATGCGTACGGCGGGCTTGCGCAGCTTGAGCTCATCAGCCGGCTGTTGTACCGGACAGCGCCCGCGCTCGAGCTCTCGCACAAGGACAAGTTCCTGCTCAAGGAGCTCACCACCGTGGGGATCGACAAGGACACGCTCAAACACACCATATACCACGAGACGATGGACCAGGTGTATGGGTTTTGGCAGCTGGCGCGCGAGAAGAACCGCAAGGGTCGCACGAAACGGATCCGGCACCGCAGCAGGAGCATGCTGCGCATTCCCACGTCGAAATCGTTCATGGAGTCGCGGTTGAGCTCGACACCGGAGCAGGTCGCGCAACCAGTGCAGCAGTTGCCCGAACCACAGCGGTCGGCGGCCCCGAGCGCGCAGTCGTCCGACCAGAGCAGTCTGCGCAAGGGCGGCGGGTTCTCGCTGAAACGGCTGCTGGGCAGAATGCGGCCCAGCAGGGAGCACGAGCTCCAGCCAGTGTTGCCGCCGTCCGCACGGGCGGACGACTCCGCGCGCCAGGAACTGTCTGCGGTGTCGCCGACACAGCCCGTGTCGGCCAACGTGGTGGTGATCGAGCCGCCCAGGTCGCCGCGCGTGAAGAACGGCGGCACGAGTGCCGACAACACGCCGCGCGCAGTGCGCCCGCAGTCGCTTGTTTCGTCGTACTCGATGCAGACGACCGTCTCAGAAACGTCGAACGGCTCGGGCTACAACACGGGCTACTCCACAGACACAAACTTAAACGGCACGGGTACCACGCTTGGCAGCCACACGGGGCCGTTGGCGCACTCGTCCACGTCCGGCGGACGCCCGCAGTACGCGCGCGGGCTGAGCGACTGGTCGCTGAACTCGAAAAACGTCGCGTCGCAGCCGACGTCGCCCACGTCGTCGTTCACGACCGTGTCGCGCTCCAACTCGCTGGAGTCGGCGTCGCGGTCGGTGCGCGGACGTTCGCGCAGACGCAAGAGCTCGGGCATCTTTGGCACATCGGGCAACAGCAACGGGTTCCTGTCCAAACGGGGCAAGTCGCCGCTGCAGTCGAAAATAAACACGAAATGGAGCTTTGGCGCAATCCAGAAGTCCGCCAAAGAGAACCGGTTTGGCAAGAGCTCCAAACAGCAGCAGATAATTGAGGAAGAAGCCGAGGACGACGAATCGGAGGATGAGCTGCTAAACGAGACAGAATACGCAGACGGCGAGCTGGAGGAGATGGGAGATTCAGAGTTTGAGCAAGGTGAGGTGCAGGACGTTGCCGAACAGCTTTCGAATTACAAGCTAGACCAGCCGGCAGATAGATGTTAATAAAGGTGCGCAAAATACACAACATAAAAAAAATTATGCGTAAACCCGGAATCGAACCGGGGGCTCGTCGATGGCAACGACGAATTTTACCACTAAACCATTTACGCGGCTGATACAGTGATGCCGCCCCCCACATCACACATCCAGCCGTGATGATCTGCGTACGTCATCTGCGAGTGATGCATATCCCATCACATGCATGCAAGTACCACAAATGCATACACCCGTGAGTAATCGCTGCCAGCATGCACCAAGCGAGATCCAGCTGCCGCAGAAAAGGTCACCCACTTCCTTGTCCAGGAGGTCGCAGAATTGGTTATGCATCCAACAATAAAATTGGGTTTTTTGATGTTCATCGAAACATACCCAAAAGAGGCAATGTCAAATCGGAACTTGCCTCTCCTTCCGAGGTATTACCGTTCCGGGTGGAACAAAAAAAACTGCATGGAGATCTCCCGTTGATCATGTGGCTTTTTCTATCTGCTAGAAGCACAGTAGCGGCAACACAAACCAGTCCCAACCCGCCTCAAATGCTTTCTGCCTTGCTTGTATCGGAAATTGTATTCCGTACCCTGCAACCCTACGACTATCGCAGATCCTCGCTTATTTTTGAAAAAGGTCGGATTTAACTACAAATCCGTCGATCGTAGCGCATACTCTATTCCTCACCTACAATGCATTCATCAACAGGCCCTTGAGCTCTTTTTTGAAACTGTCCAACTCGTCGCTCTTGATTGGCGTTGACGTCGACAGCGACCCATCGTTTTGGCGGGCTTCAAAGGTCTCGTTCGTATCCCTGGGCTCTCCAGCACAAAGCTTTTCCAGCGTCTTCTTTAGATCTTCCTTGCTCTGTACGCCAGGAATCTGCTCTGTCGGGGACAGCTCCGCAATGCCGTGCTCAGTGTGCACCACGTCCTTCGTCTCTGCCTGGTCCTCAAACACGGTGATCAAATTGAAATTGAGCCCGCTGCTATGTCTTTTTTTCGGCGGTGGGAACTCTCTGTTGGCCAGCTGCGGCGACGAAACCGGCGTTGCGCGCACAGAACCATCTGCGTCTCTGAGACCGTCGATTATGGAATTGTACAGGTCGACAAGCTCGTTTATCGAGCCGCCAATCTGTGTCAGATTCTCCACAGAATCTGTTTCATTGAGCTCCATAGCACTAAGCTTGTTGGTTATTGCGTCCAGCTTGCTGATGAGGTCTTCGTACTGGGACCGTTTCTTGGGCGAAGAAACTTCCTGTGCTACCAGGGGCCCCACATTCGTCGCTGCTACCTCCTGCTGCAAACTCTGCTGCAGGGCAATCAGCTGCTGCAGAACCTGGCTCATAAGCACCAGTTTCGTTGGCAAGGTCAGATGGCGGCTGGCCAGCTGCACGTTGAACTTGCGAGCACACAGCTGAGTGAATTGTGCCGTTTCCTCGGTCCGCTCAACAGGAGCATTTTCAGCGATTGCAAGCAGCACGCACAAAAATACTTTGCGCAAAGACTTGAAACATTGCAACGTCCGCGACGGGCTGGACGCCAATTGGAGCGGTGGCGGTGCCGCTTTTGGCTGCGGGAACGTTGGACTGTGCGGGAGTGGCGAGTCTCCCGAAAAAGAACGCAGTCGCAGAGGCTTGAGGGGCACAGGATCAGACCCATCTGCTAGTCCTCCAGAGTTGAGCACGCCCACAAACCGCAGATCCTGGCTTCCCAGGTCCAGCTGGTAAACGTCCAGGTATCTGTGGAGGTACTCAAGATCGGCAAAAGGAAGTAGTGCCGCTATTTTCTGATTGGTGATTGCCAGAAGCGTGTTCAGTACACCCTGGAGCAGAATTGGCAAGGCCGCACGGCGACTTTGCGAAGTCCCGCCCAGGAGCACATTGAGATTGTCATTCGCCATATTTGTGAATGTTCGTACGTGAGAAGAAAGCGTTCTATCCAGCTGGTTATTGATCTGCAAAAACGTGTCCAGCTTATTTGTAACCAGTTGCAAATATATGCGAATGGCAATTTTCTTGGTGTTGATGTCGAGAATCAAAAACGCTGTTGCCAGCAGCGTCGCGAGCTTCAGGCACGAAGGGATTATGCGACCTGCATTTTTTTTAGCGAAACGCAGTAACCTCAGCGCCAAGTAGAATGCCCAGTGCGAGTGAACGAGCCGGTGCGATGGGACGTCGCAGACCCTAATCCGAACCTTAGTCTGCGATAAAGAAGAGCTCGCTAGCATGTCAGTGCTCCTCATCAAGTTCGAAGCAATGATATCAAACTTGAATTTATCAAGCGCCTGGAGCACCTGATTTTTCAGCTCAGAACAGTCTTTAGAATAGTCCTCAATCAATTGAACATAACTCGATGAAAGTGGATGTTTGGTAGTAGTCGGGCTAGTCCTTGAAGAAATCAGAGTTGAACCATTTGAGTGCGAAACAGACAAGACTCTTGTCTGGTTTGTGGTGCTGGAGCTATGATCTGGATGGGTATACATATGCTGACTGATGGACGACGAGGCCTCGGAAAGCGTTTCCTCAAAACCCCAATCGGAGAGAACGTCTAGGGACGGCCAAAACTTTGAATCTCGGCCGGCCATGGTTATTCGGGCGTCCATAGCGGTGCCTTGATGCGATCTCGTGAGGATAGAAAATGATAAAATAAAAAAAACAAAACACCCTTTTCCGGTAGACGCGTCTATGCGGCTAATTTTCGGGCGGACCGAAATGCGCTGCATATTCTAGCCGCAATAGGCTACGGGCACGACATGATGTGCGGAGCTCCCAATTCGCGTTGGACATGGAGCATGTGTGTTCAGTAATCTCTTTCCTGATGAAGGTAAATGTGTGTATAGCGTGCGGTATTAATTACAAAACTGCCTCCTTAGCTTAGTGGTAGAGCGTTGCACTTGTAATGCAAAGGTCGCTAGTTCAATTCTGGCAGGAGGCATGTATTTTTGGTGGGTCAATTTTTTTTTTTTTTTTAAATATCAATATTAGTTTATATCTTATTCTCACTCAATGCAACGCGACGAGCTCGCTAGAGCGCGTGCAGCAATACTCAATCAGCTCTCCAGCCAGGATGCGATGATGGTACACGCTCTTAACCACCAGTTCGCTCATATATACGGCACGAAAGCAAAGAACGCCGCCACAACCACCAAACAATACGAACACGAGCTCATGAAGCAGCTGTGCGGCAAAAAACGAACATGACCGCGTGCAATACTATCTATTACTCGTTCTATAATACAAATCATTTGCGCTTGACCTTCTTCTCCTTGCGTTTCTGCTTAGACACATATCCGGACCGCGAAGGAGCAGGCGGGCCTGTTGGTTTCTTCGGTAGCATGCCGGATTTCTTGGGCTGAGGCGTTCTGTTATCTTTGTACTTGCCGCCGAACTTGCTGTTTTTGTCGTTCTTTTCATTCTTGTTGTTCTTGTCGCTCCAGTCATATGTTTTCTGACGCTTGTCTCTGTGTCCTTTGTCTCTATATTCTTCAAATAGCGGCCGCCGCTTTCTAGATTGGGACGAATGGTACTGTCTTCGGAGCTCGCGGGGCAGGTTTTCACCGGTGAACGCAGACCCGTTGATGTTTGGCGTCTTGGAAACCCGCGGCCGCGGACACTCGTCGCCGTAGTGCCCGCGTTCCGCACAATTGTAGCAGTATATGTAGTCTGCTGGATATTTGAATCTGTGATTTTTGTCGTACGCTATGGTGATATAGCTTCGCCAAATGTTTGGACAGCGGTCTGCAGAGTGCGATTTCGAGTTGCAGTCAGTGCAGAAGTTGAATTTTCGTTTCTGCTTGCACTGGTTACGGAAATGGCCGCGCTCGCCGCAATTAGTGCACACCATCGAGTTGGGACACTGTGTTTCGTAGTGATCGTCGACTTTGCCGCACGCGTGACACACCACAACCTTGCAGTTGGCACGAATGTGGCCACGGCGGTGGCAGTTTGAGCACACGGGCTGCGACAGCTCTGGATCTGTGACTCCGAAGTATCGTCCCTCGCCCCTGAGCTCTACCAGCTCGTCGTTGTTGTTATTAACCTCTCCATAGTCCAGCGACACCACAGGCGGTACGCTTGGAGTCCCACTGGACGGTCTAAGTGTCAGCAGGTACCAGGGGTATGTACTTACATCTCGTCCAAGTCTTCTGGATCAGACATGGATATAAAACTAAATTTTCAATAACGAAAATTCTTACCCGGCCAGTTTGTTGAAAAATAGCTCTATCAAAATATAATTTACTCTCAATTATTCACCATGTCTGAAATCGAAAAGAAAGTTGAAGCGCTTTCTGTCAAGGACAAGAAGCCCAAGAAGGCCGCAAAGAAGTCTGGAGATGATGCCGCCAAAAGACCGCTTGAGCTGGATCCAAAGCCGGACTTTATTGAGCACAGAATCAGGATTTTCGAAAGAATCAAGGCTAGACAAGACGCAGAACTTGCAGCAAAAGAGAGACTGCCAATCAAGGTCACTCTGAAAGATGGGACGGTCAAAGAGGCTACTTCTTGGGAAACCACGCCGTTTGACATTGCCAAAGAGATCGGCAAGTCGTTCTGCGAAAGACAAGTGATTTCTAAGGTCAACGGCGAACTGTGGGACCTGGAGAGACCGTTCGAGGCCGACTCTAAGCTTGAGTTTTTTGACTTTGACTCACCAGAGGGAAAACAGGTTTTCTGGCATTCGTCCGCACATATTTTGGGAGAAGGCTGCGAAAATCACTACGGTGCTCATTTGTGTTTTGGTCCTCCTACCGAAGACGGATTTTTCTACGACATGGCCATTGACGAGGGAGATTACAAAGTATCGCAGAACGATTTCTCCGATATCGAGACTCTGTGTTCCAGAGCCATCAAGGAGAAACAGCCCTTTGAGAGACTTGTCATGACCAAAGACGAGCTCTTGGAAATGTTCAGCTACAACAAGTACAAGGTCGCTCTTATCAAGAGCAAGATCCCAGACGGTACCTCGTCCACGGTTTACAGATGCGGTCCATTGATCGACTTGTGCAGAGGCCCCCACGTTCCTCATACTGGAAGAGTGAAGGCGTTTAAAGTCCTCAAGAACTCCTCGTCTTACTTCTTGGGAGACTCGAACAACGACTCTTTGCAGAGAGTGTACGGTGTCTCTTTCCCTGACAAGGCCTTAATGAAAGAACATCTCAAGTTCCTGGAGGAAGCTGCTGCCAGAGACCATAGAAAGATCGGAAGGGAGCAAGATCTGTTCTTTTTCCACGAAATGTCGCCAGGTTCATGTTTCTGGCTGCCTCACGGTGCCAGAATTTACAACGGCTTGTGCGACCTTCTGAGAACCCAGTACAGAAAGAGAGGCTACGAGGAAGTGATTACTCCAAACATGTACAATTCCAAACTCTGGGAGACTTCTGGTCACTGGGCCAACTACAAGGAAAACATGTTTACTTTCGAGGTCGAAAAGGATACCTTTGGTCTGAAGCCAATGAACTGTCCCGGTCACTGTCTGATGTTCAAATCCAGAGAGAGATCGTACAGAGAGTTGCCGTGGAGAGTTGCTGATTTCGGTGTGATCCACAGGAACGAATTTTCCGGTGCTCTATCCGGCCTGACCAGGGTCAGAAGATTTCAGCAAGACGATGCGCACATTTTCTGTACCCAGGACCAGATCGAGGATGAGATCTCGGGTGTTTTTGACTTCTTGCAGCACATCTACGGTATATTCGGTTTCGAATTCAAGATGGAGTTGTCCACGAGACCAGAGAAGTACGTGGGGGATATCGAGACCTGGAATAACGCAGAAGCAAAGCTGGAGAGCGCCTTGAACAAGTGGGGCGGCAAATGGGAGCTGAACCCTGGGGATGGTGCGTTCTACGGTCCAAAGATCGACATCATGATTTCGGATGCCTTGAGAAGATGGCACCAGTGTGCCACTATCCAGCTCGACTTCCAGCTGCCAAACAGATTTGAGCTGGAATTTAGAGGCAAGGATGACTCTGCTGAGGTCCAGCGCCCGGTAATGATCCACAGAGCCATCTTGGGATCCATTGAGAGAATGACGGCTATCTTGACTGAGCATTTTGCTGGTAAGTGGCCTTTCTGGCTGTCTCCTAGACAGATTCTGGTTGTCCCTGTTGGTGTCAGGTACTTCGACTATGCCCAGGAGGTGCAAAAGCTGCTACAGACTGAAGGATTCTATGCAGACGTCGATCTTTCTGGCAACACTCTGCAGAAAAAGGTGAGAACTGGCCAGTTGCAAAAATACAATTTCATCTTCATCGTTGGTGAGCAGGAGCAGAACGAGAAAGCCGTCAACATCAGGAACAGAGACATCCAGGAGTTACAGAGCAAGAACGACATGGTCAAGCTCAACGATGTGCTTCCTAAGTTGCATGCTCTTAGAGACGAAAAGAGAAATGATAATGCTTTATAAGTATATATTTCCAACATCCTTGCACCCATCCAATTCGGTAAATGTGGGGATCAAATAAATATGAACTTAATAATTTAATGGCTTCGCGTCGTCTAGCCCGTCCTTCTACAATACAGCTAAAATCTCGGCTGACCGCAATCAATGGTAGCTCATCCTCTCAATCGCCATCTGTTATGGACTCGCTGATTCGCACGGTAGATGCAAAGTCCAAAGACCTTGAGCTCCCAGCAACCAACTTCCTTGTTCACGAGCGGCTGTTGTATCCCAAGGGAGCAGCAATGGACAGCATGCTCAAGCTCGTCTCGCGAATTGCACCCGGAATTCCAATTGCAAAAGCTCAGTTGATGGATATTTGGCAGGAGGAAGTGTCAAAAGCTGTTATGTTCCCCTCTCTCACGGAGCATGTTGCGCAGCGCAAATTCGGGGAGATTATCAAGACTATGTTCTGGCCATATTTTAGAGCATCGCCAGATGTCATGAACCAACTGCTGAGCACGAGGTTCCACACCGATCTTGCGGATGCCATGTTGACCAATCGCCATCTGGACGAAAACAATTTAAATGTTTTGGCCCAGATAAAGGAGCAGAATGTGGAGCACGAATTCCATGTGTTGAGAGACAGCGAGATGCTGCTGTTTCCAAATGTAACGGATAGACATAAAAAATCCTTAGCCAGGTTGTCACGGTCCTGTTTCCTTACCGTCCATGAAGCAGACCAAGAGACTAGCGAGAACCAACTTTTAAAAAGCTCAAATTCTAATTTTTTGTTGGTTGCAGGTGACACCAAAACAGCCATGGAATATTACAGGCTCCTGGGCGCGCTGAAAAACAGATCGTCCGACATCAAAGGATCAGTTGTCTTGGTGATTCCCGGCTCGCTTTACTCGTGTTCTGATGATTTCTGGACTCTTGGGTCGCTGGAGGATATATATTCAACAATGAAAAAAAATGCGTAAACCCGGAATCGAACCGGGGGCTCGTCGATGGCAACGACGAATTTTACCACTAAACCATTTACGCTTCGTTTTATCTAAAGGTGTTCTGTTCCCAAATAGAGTGAATTTGGAGCTTGCGAAGTGGATGGTCATTGGTGACCACGTTACCATGAGCAACATATATGCTGTATTGTTGTATTCTGCAAACTATTCGTAGTGTACTAGAAACAAAGACATTCTTGCGAGAAGTGCAGTGATCTAGCAAAAGCGAATATTGAACCTATTTGAGTTAACCGTTAATATTAAATCAGGAATACATACCTACAGGTGTATTGCTGAACACATAACAATTGGTTGCGTGGTCTAGTTGGTTATGGCATCTGCTTAACACGCAGAGGGTCCCCAGTTCGATCCTGGGCGCGATCATTTTTTTTGTCTTCTGTGTGGTTTTTTACGGCCCCGATTTTTTTTTACTCGAAAATTCCACGGACAGTATTTAAAAGGAAAGATTTTGGAGAAACTTCAATTCTTAACCAAATTTTCACTAATGCTAAGATTTGCACGTCCTCAAATCAAGAAGAACCTTGCTTCTCTGGCTCGTACATATGCTCACAAGGAGCTCAAATTCGGTGTGGAAGGCAGAGCTGCCCTCTTGAAGGGTGTTGAAACCCTTGCTGACGCTGTTGCCGTCACCTTGGGCCCTAAAGGTCGTAATGTTCTGATCGAGCAGCCATTTGGTGCTCCAAAGATCACCAAGGATGGTGTGACTGTGGCCAAGAGCGTCAATCTTGAAGACAAGTTTGAGAACTTAGGTGCTAAGCTGTTGCAAGACGTTGCCTCCAAAACCAATGAGAGCGCCGGTGACGGTACGACCTCTGCCACAATTCTTGGAAGAGCCATTTTCTCTGAGTCTGTCAAGAACGTGGCTGCCGGATGCAACCCTATGGACCTCAGAAGAGGTTCCCAGGCCGCTGTTGAGGCCGTGATCGACTTCCTGCAGAAGAATAAGAAGGAGATCACAACCTCTGCCGAGATCGCCCAGGTGGCCACTATCTCTGCCAATGGCGACACCCACATCGGTAAGCTTCTAGCATCTGCCATGGAGAAAGTTGGCAAGGAGGGCGTTATCACAATTAAGGAAGGTAAGACCTTGGAGGACGAATTGGAAGTCACCGAGGGTATGAGATTTGACAGGGGCTACATCTCTCCTTACTTTATCACTGAGGCCAAGAGTGGAAAGGTTGAGTTTGAAAACCCTCTGTTGTTGCTGTCTGAGAAGAAATTGTCTTCAATTCAGGATATTCTTCCAAGCTTGGAGATCTCCAACAAGCTGAGAAGACCATTGCTCATTATTGCGGAGGATGTTGACGGGGAGGCCTTGGCTGCCTGCATCCTGAACAAATTGAGAGGCCAGGTCCAGGTTGCTTGTGTTAAGGCTCCAGGCTTCGGAGACAACAGAAAGAACATTTTGGGCGACATTGCCATTTTGTCCGGAGGTACTGTCTTCACTGAGGAGTTGGACATCAAGCCGGAGAATGCCACTCCAGAACTCTTGGGCCAGTGTGGATCTGTCACAGTTACCAAGGAGGACACTGTCATTTTGAATGGTGCAGGAGAAAAGGACAACATCTTGCAAAGATGTGAGCAGATCAAGGGCGCTATTGAGGACGCTTCGACCTCTGAGTACGAGAAAGAGAAGCTTCACGAGAGACTTGCTAAGCTCTCAGGCGGTGTGGCAGTTGTGAGAGTGGGTGGCTCTTCCGAGGTCGAAGTTGGAGAGAAGAAAGACAGATACGACGATGCTCTCTGTGCTACCCGTGCAGCTGTTCAGGAAGGTATCTTGCCAGGTGGAGGTACTGCTCTTTTGAAGGCTTCCAAAATTTTGGACCAGATCGAGGTCGCAAACTTTGACCAGAAGTTGGGTGTGCAAATCATTAAGGCTGCCATCACCAAGCCAGCCAAGAGAATCGTTGACAACGCTGGCGAAGAGGGCTCTGTCATCATTGGCAAGATTTTGGATACCTATGGCGACAAGTTCAACCACGGTTACGACAGCTCTAAGGGTGAATTTGTGGACATGATTCAGGCTGGTATCATTGACCCATTCAAGGTCGTCAAGAGCGGTCTGGTCGACGCCGCTGGTGTTGCCTCTCTGCTGGCTACCACTGAATGCGCTATCGTCGATGCTCCAGAACCAAAAGGTCCACCAGCTGCTCCAGCCGGCGGAATGGGCGGTATGCCGGGAATGGGCTTCTAATGTAAATAGGATGTAAATAGAAGCTGAGATTTGTTATGATATCATGCCTATTTTTTCATATCCGGGGATGATGGCATCTAGTGAAAAACTGTGATTTTGTGAAGGCTTGAACTCCGCGCACTCCGCAATGTCGTCCAGCGTGCCGTCCCGACCGTACGCCTTCATCATTTTAGAGTAAAGCACATTGAGCTTTGGAGGATTGATAAGTGCTGCAATAGAGTTGTCGAAACCGTAGTAATGTATTATAGCGAAAAACCTAGCAACGAGATCGGTATCTGCTTCCGCGACGGCTTCCAAAGTGTCCTGTAACACTTTCTCATTTTCTGTAGTTTGCGGCAGTGCTAAAAGGTAGTCCCTGGGAGCGAAACGCTCCAGGCATTGGTCGATCGCAACTGATCGGTTCAAATTCAGTGAAAGCCCATACTCATCCACTATGATGACATTGCATGGAATAGCCAAAGTAACTGGAATAATAAGGAGAAAAGCAAGCATCTCAACTCACAAAAGTCAAACCTTAGCAGTCAGCTCCCGACACAAGCCCAAATTTTGTATCAGTGCCTGAGTTGCAGTTTGAAATAATATAAACTTCACGACTCTTTCTGGTGCCTTAAATTTAGCCTCGCGACGAATATATATTTATTTCTTATCTTTTATTTTTCATGCTCAACAGGACATTCGCTGCATTTTGGCTTTTCGGACTGGTCAATAATGTCCTCTACGTCGTCATTCTTTCGGCAGCAGTGGATCTCGTTGGACCATTGACTCCGAAGGCCATTGTGCTCATGGCTGATGTGCTTCCTTCATTCTTGCTAAAGCTGGCCTCGCCCTTTTTCATTCACACAATCCCCTACCATATTCGCATTTGCATCCTTGTGCTTCTAAGTTTTGTGGGAATGCTGATGGTCTCGCTGTTTGAAAATGTTGCAGTTGTACTCTTTGGTATCATTCTTGCATCCATGTCCTCCGGCCTGGGCGAAACCACATTTCTTCAACTGACTCATTACTATACGCAATCATCCCTAACCGCATGGTCTTCTGGAACAGGCGGAGCGGGGCTTGCAGGGGCCTTTGTTTACATGTTCTTGACTACATGGATCGGAATTAGTGTCAGAAATGCGCTTTTGACGTTCTCAATTGTTCCGTTCACATTCATTATCTGCTATTTCCGACTGCTTCCTTCCCCAAGCTTGAAGTTCTCTGAGCGAGTGGAGCAGCCAATTCTCCTAGTGGAGTCAAATTATCAAAGCACCATTAGAAGAATCAAACCTCTGGTGGTGCCATACATGCTCCCTCTGTTCACGGTGTACGTGGCAGAGTACGTTATCAATCAGGGTGTCAGTCCAACACTACTTTTCCCAATTGACGAAATGCCATTCCACAACTATAGAGACGCGTACGTCACATACGGAACACTATACCAGCTCGGAGTTTTTGTTTCGAGGTCATCAGGGCAGTTTGTGCGGATCCATAACCTCGCAATGCCTGCATTGCTCCAGACGACCAATCTGGTGATTTGCGTGTTGCAATCCATGTATGTCATTTTCCCGAACATCTATTGGCTGTTCTTTCTTATCTTGTACGAGGGACTCCTGGGAGGGTCTGCGTATGTGAACACATTCATGCTGGTAACAGAAACAGTACCTATGACCGAGAGAGAATTCGCAATGGGATGTGTGGGGATCAGTGACAGCGCGGGAATTGTCGTTGCTGCGTCCTTGGCCATGATGCTAGAGCCCCATCTGTGTGCATTCCAGGTCGCAACGGGTCGAGACTATTGTCAACGTTGATCGCTAAATTAGCATGCTTTTCATGGACGGCTGCGTATTCAAATTGTTGCATTTTTCTCTCACCTGCTGCATAAGATTTTCCACAATTTTCTGGTTTGTGTCGTTGGTGTCTGCCCGGTTGAGGACTGAGAGACAGTGTAGCAGCTTTTCATTGTTTTGCTGTTCTCGACCAGCATTTTGTCCTCGAAGGTTTTCGTGCGAAGTGCGCGACAGTGACGCTGAGGAGCTGGTAGCAAATGACATCGTCCGGTCTTTTCTGCGCTCTTTTTCCGCGTCTGCCTGTCTCATACTCTCATAAAGTGGAATGACGACGTTGTCGCGGAAGCTGACCAAAACAATGTTTTCCACACTTGGCTTGCCTCTCCAGCCACCACCCAAAATCTCCTCGAACGAGTCGTCCTCAAGCGGTAAAAATACTCCTTGTAGGTAAAAATGCATGTCTTGGAAAAAGTAATTCCAAAGCAACGCACAGGCGTCGCGGAAACTTGGCTCGCTCGTGACAAGAGACAGTGCAGATCCTCTTGTGGGTGAAGTTTTCCGGTCGCGGGGCTTGAGAATAAACTCCTTAGTCGTGTCGTCTTGGTATAACTGTGAAAGAAAGGTGTTCATTCCGTGTTTGAGAAACTCTTGTATTTCTTGAACGATGCTGGAGCTTTTCACGGGAGACATGGTTCCATAAGAGCTGGAAGGAGACCTTCCAGATGAAGTAAAAGTAGGCGTCGGAGCTCCCAGAGGAGTGTAAGGGGTAGTGGTAGCTGCCCCGTCAAATACACTGGAGAAGTTGTTGGGAGAAAATACAGGCGAGTAAGCGATCTTGTCGGACGGGATCTGGTTGGACCGCAGTCTAAGATGAAGGTATACTAGCTTGTTGATCTCCTCTATCGGGATTTTAAGTCGCTCACAGTAGAATATAGGCGACACTAAGGACGAAACTAGCGACCATGCTTCGTCTGCTATGGCATCCGTGTCTCCCGACAATGACGAGTTATTGACACTCAATTTCTCAAGCTCTGTGATGGTGTTCTGTAGCTCTTGCACCGTCATCGAGCTGTTTACCAGGGACGGGTGAAACGAGTATAGCATCTCCCCGCCATGCAGGGCTGAGACTCTGGAGTTTGAGCTCGAAGAGGACTTGGTTGTGTCTTTGCGCGAGCGTAGAATACCATGATAGTGCTTATGTTTGCTTTGCTGGTCGTTCAACGTGCTAAAACTGGCTATTCGTTCAACTTCCTTGGAAGTCCTAGCCAGCGGAGACTTCAGCTCTTTGGACGGCATGATCGTTGTCTGGATCGATAGATTGTCCGGCCTTTTGAGCTTTGCAGAAAACGTGCTACTGTTGCCGCTGTTTTTGTCGTTCGTAAGTGTTGCCGTTGAGGTGACCGAGTCATTGGAACTCGACTGATAATTCGCATGAGAGTCGGAGGGTGAACGTTTCATCTTCTCTGCCGTCTTGCTGAAAAGTCGTGTCAGCTTTGTCTCCATGGTACCGAGCCGCGAGATGGTGGTCGAGGACGACATTGTTCGATGCAGAGAAGAGTGCGAGGCGGTATCCTGTTGCGGATCCTGGCTGTTGCGGACATTGTTAAATTCTACATTGGAGACTGCATTTTGCTGAAGGAAGGATGTTGCTGAATCATTACCCAATGTGTAACTGAATGTGCTGTTGCTGCGCTGTTTGGGATCTCCATCGAACCGAGTGGACCCAGAACTATTATTTCGTCTATGGGACATAATCAATAATCAAATTCAAGAGATTTATTTTTCTTATTCCTTCCCTGATGGATCCTATCGCAATCCACGAAAATTACATTCACCGAGATTCCATCTCGAGTGGTGAATCTGGCCAACTGAACCGGCCAGAGGTTACAAGGCTGGCCGCACAGAAATCGCAGGTCTCGCTCGTATCCAATTCCTTGGTTTTGGCGCGTCCTCCAGAAAGCACTAGTGGTGTCACGTTCGTCTGTTCCCAGCCAGACAACGCCAGTATAGCGGCCAGCATGGAGGCTAGCATCAGTGGGACCATATTCAGTGACAGCGAGACTGCGTTTAATAGTCTTCCAGAGAGCCAGCCAACAATTGACCTGGGTTTCAGGCCGCAAAAGGCAGACATGAACGACAACGAAAATGCCTTCTTCGTGCAAAACAAGCATTTTTTCATTCTATCGGTCGCTGGTAAGCCAATCTACTCGATGCACGGATCCGATGAGATTCTCACGGTACACGCAGGCATAATTCAGACTATAGTTTCGTATTTCGAGTTTAACCCGGACGGCGAGACGGAACAGCTGCGCACGTTCACATCTGGCGGCGAGCAAAAAACACGCTTCTGTTTCCTGAACAAAGCGCCAATCATTCTGATGGCCATTTCGTCTCTTGATGAAACTGAGCTACAGATGAACCAGCAGCTGGATTTTCTCTACAACTTTCTTCTCACGATCCTGAGCAAGCCTCACATAGACAAAGTATTCCGAAAGAGAGAGAATTTTGACCTCCGAAAACTGCTAGGAAAAGCCGATATAGCCTGTTTGGACTCGATATGCAACGATTTGGCGAATTTCAACAACCCAGGGCTTATCATTGGTGGTTTAGAATGCCTCAGAATGCGCAAATCCGTGAGAAGACGAATCGAAAATGTGTTGCTTGCCGAGAGGTCAGAAAACCTGTTGTATGCACTGCTGGTGGCTCCTGGCGGAAGACTGATCACTGTGTTACGTCCACGTCGACATACTTTACATACATCGGATCTACAATTGCTATTTTCCATGATTTTCAACACGAACACGTTCAGATCGACACCTGAGGAAAACGAAATTCAACAGCTTGCATCTAATGAAGAGTTCTGGGTTCCAGTGTGCTTCCCAAAATTCAACCCTAACGGATTTCTCTACTCATTTATTCAATTTGTGGATCTGAAAGACGAGAAATTAATGTACCTACATGATTTGAACATGAGTGCGCTGCAACAGGACGGGAATCCGGACTCTAGCAAAATTACTGTCATACTAGTGAGCGCATACAAGGACAGTTTTTTCGAGATGAGAAAGATCGCGACCTCCATTATCAAGTCTCTGAAGCTCAATAGAACAATATACAGAAACCTTTTCAAAGCAGTCGTTGGCACTCAAGGAGCTAACGGGGAAACGGGGGCAGGCTCAGGAAAGGTGGACCCAGTGGAGATACCAGCGCCTTTAGTTCAGCATTTTGTGTTTAAAAGCAAAAAACATACGCAGTTTGTGTTTTCTAGACTAGCACATCTGCGGGAGCCTGACGAAAATATGAGGGGACAATTGATGATGCTCTATGCGCAATTACACTCGCGCTTTTCTGGTGCTTCTCGAATCACAGGCTCGCAGCAGGATTCGGATTTTTTGGATGAGAGCCATTTTATCAATCTGGTTAGATGGAAACATCACAACGATAACTTAGTCGGTTTCTTGATTACCACCACCAATTATGAGCTTTACTTACTCACAAACGGAGGCATTATGGACAAAAAAGTGCTTTTACGCTCATGCAAAAATATAATCAAGTGGTGCCAAAAAAATCAAGATCGTCTGTTCATCTCCGGAGGTGCAGTGTTTTAATGAGTGATTATTCCAGAAGTGTGACAGTATTTATATGATTCGGTCAACCCTTTGAAGTGAGAATATGCACTCAATACCACAAGAACGTGGAAAATCTGGTGGGAGTTTCCCCACAAATCGAAAGCGCCTGGAAAATGTCTCTCTGGTGTCCGCATAGCATATATAATAGCACCTGAAATATATCCCACGCCTTCTAATAAAACGAATCCCAACCCCGCGCGGTTCCAAACCTCCCCAAAACCATACATCCATAAACCATAACCGATTGGGACCACGCTGGAAACCCCGAATATGATAAACATGGTAGCTCGGAAAGTTCTCCATTCTGGTTCTCTAAAGCGTGGATTGAGAGTGAGCACCAAGCAAATCGTTCCTTGAATACCAACGAACAGGAGACACAACCAATATGCTGTCCGGTCGTCGTAAAGAGAGTAGTGAATAATGCCAACCATAGATGTTACAATCAGACTAATTATCCCCACATAATCCAATGAGGAGCCCCATTTCATGATTCTGTGCGAATGACATTTGGTAGCATGGAAAGCAGCAGACAGTGTAAGGCATGAGACAAAGCCAAAAAAGAACAAATAAAACATAAAGTTATCTATCTTTGAGGTTGTTTCGTAAACCGGCACATCCATAATCCATGTGGGCACTGAGCTGATCAACCTGTTGCGTGCTACCAACCACGGAGACGCAAGCAATAGCGCAAATGGAAGGAGAAATCCAGGTATCAGATGCGTGAAGATATTGACTGTCTCGTTGTGTAGGAAGAAAAGGGAATCAAAACAACCTTTAAAGCTGTTGGTTTCCCGCACATAGCCAGATCTGATATAATGGTTGTCCTGTTGCCATAGAGGGATCTCATCAAAAAAGTATTTTCCCTGCTTTCTGGGTATGGCAACCAATGGCGTATTCTCTGAAGAAATTGTCGCAGTTTGCGTGTTGGTAGAGCGTCGTTTATGTGCCATCGTCCCGGACACTAAGTTTTTAGTAAATGATAAAGCCGATTTGAATTGTTGGGTGTGTAAAGATGTCCTTTGTATGACTACCCGATGAAGCAAATAAATATATATTTTTCATGTGTCGGTCGTGGTTGTGCCAAGTTTTGTCAAAAAATCGAAGAAATTAGTTATCAATAGAAGTGATTCTCAACTGCGAGCATCATGAGTACTTTGAAATGGGGGAGACGGTATTTGGCTACAAACATAGGTACTCCACTTAAGAACATTCAGACTGGAGTGATTTTATCGAGAGTTCCGCAAGTCACACCCGAGGTGACTGATTTTGAGCAAAAATTTTACAAATATCAAGATGAGCTCGAAAGAAGACTCATGTGGACTTTTCCAAAATGGTTCTATTTCAAAAGGGGTACTGTCGCCGAGCGAGAGTTTTCCCGAGCTCAGAAATATCCCTTGCCAGCAAGGGATGGTGTATGGTTCCCAAAAGGAAAACCGGAAATTAGACACGGAAGAGACAGAAGATTCAAAGAAAACATCGTGCTACCCAAGGCTGAGGTGGATGAAAATGAGAGCGAATCGTCTGCAACACAGATAGAAAATTTGGATGATGCTAGCAGGCCCATCAAACCGTTGCCTAGAGTCACGGAAGCTGACAAAAATAACGACCAGCATTCTCTGGAAAGAAAACTCTCAAGGACGTTGTACCTACTTGTCAGACAAAACAACATGTGGAAGTTTCCTGCTTTCGCAGTTCCAGACGACTCCAAACCACTACACATGGTTGCAGAAGAAGGTTTAAAAAACTTGGGAGGAGAAAAGCTCAACATTTGGATTGTCTCCCATACCCCAACAGCATTATTGAAGTTTTCGAATGGCAAGCTTGTTCATGATTTACCTCAAGATGGTATTCGAGAATACTTAATCAAATCTCACATTATTGCGGGACAGTTCCAACTAAACAAAATTGACGGTTGTGAAGAATATAAATGGCTTACGAGAGAGGAAATTGAGCAACTGGTAGACCCTGCTTACTTCGAGAAAATTGACTGTCTTCTCTCCAAAGTTTGATGATCTCCCTGTACATAAAATATAGCAGGAGTGGGGTGTAGATAATATAGTATATTTTTATTACAAAATAAAGTTGATCAGAATCTGAAGTCAAGAAATAGAAGTTTGATCTTCTAAATGGCTTCCAACGGCGAAAAAAAAGACCCACATCCGGCGCCAGGAGTCTTGGGATCTTCAGATGTTGCATTTCACCTTTCTGAAGACCGTGTGGTCAAATTGATTGCAGTGGGACTAAAAGAAGCATCTACTGATTCTCCAAGTTTTAGGGCTTCTGTCAACTACATGAATTCCGAAATTACATCCTATCACCTTTTGATCAAAAAAACGATCGATTATCTCAAACGATTCGTAGCTGCATGTACTGCCTTGCAAGGCGTGAGTTCCGAATTTCAAACGATATTCCCTTCGATAAGTCAAAATAGCCTTGTTAACAGAGACATTGCGAAAACATGCATTGAGCGAACCTCACAAGATGTGAATGAGGTATTGGGTTTTATCAATGGCGCCCTTGCTTTCAAGAAGGAACCCATACAGAATTTACTGAATCTTGATGGAGATTTTGCTGCGTATTTTGAACTACGCCATGCTTTCGAGGGTATCCAAGCTAAATATGACTCATATCTCGATAAGTTTGTTGCTCAGCCTAAAACTCTGGATCCTACAACTGCCAGAGAAGACGCCCAACAACTCTTTGAGCTTCGAAAGCAATACATCCATATATCGCTAAGCATATGGATTTCCATCACTAAACTAAAACACAAGGTCAGTTCTGTACTTGTCGACGTCTGTGACACTATGAGGAATTCTTCAGAGCAGTCAAGAAATCTGGCTGAATTCCTAGGATTGGAAGAGTCCTCCAAAAAGGTAGAGCGAGCTAAGTACTTCATGGACTTGCAGGCGCGCTCACATAAAAGCTTATTGAAGGATCTGCTCTCTGCTCGGAGGACCTCAGAGGAAAGTGTGATAAATATTTGCACTCCCTCGAATGATCTTGATTCTTATATGCCGGCGACCATCAACATGGCGCACCTCACAGATACGGATATGGAGCAATACGAGAAACACGGTTGGGTGTTTCTTAAAAGCAAAAAAATTAATTCAAAAGAAATCGTTTGGATCAAAAGATGGCTTTTCATCAAAGGTGATTTGTTTGGGTTTCTCTCGATAAGTACATCTGGTACCTACGTTGAAGAATCTGACAAAATTGGCATTTTATTGGCTAATGTTCGCTACAAGCCTGAAGAAGACCGCAAATTTTGTTTTGAAATTAAGACTCTACAGACAGAGGTCACAATCCAAGTTGAAACTTTGGGCGAGCTAAAAAGCTGGCTTTCTGTTTTCCACACCGTGAAAATGTCGGCTCTGCAGCGCAACAGTACGGTATCCATGTCAAGATACGAGCCAATGTTGGACCTATTCGCGCTTGAGCCCGTAGTTGAAAAAGATCTCGAGCTCGTCAACTTACCAAGTACAAAGCCAGAAAATGCGCAAAGGTTGTTGAATAAGACTCTTCCTAGCTTGAAAGTGGACGTCGACATTAGCGCTCCGTTGGTCACGGAGCTAACCAATCTTGCTTGTTTGTCTCATTTATATCTAACCTCGCCAAAAGTTCCTTCTGCCTTTACTGCAAATGTTTGGGGGTTTGTCAACTGGGGATTATATTATGCCATTAAGAATCGCAACGATACCCTTGAAATAGCCACCAAGATGCACTCAAGCACGCTGAATTCCATTAACTTGCGGTATCCTGCATCTTATCCAATTGAGTTGAGGCAACTGGATCTTCAACTGCGATCTCTTTTTGAATCTTATATTAATACAAACGAATTTGTTTTGGTGGCATTCAGAGCATTTTGGTCGGCTAACTCGAAACAGGAGCTGTTTTGTCATCTTTATGTCACTGAAAGCCATATATACGTTTACACCACAAACTGCGGATTGGTCTCAATTTCTCTCTTCAAATTGACAAACTTTCTTTATGTTGATTCGGTCCAGAAGGCGAGCTATGACTTGCTGCGACTCTATACTGTTAGTGGAGTGTCCACCAAAATGAAGCTCTGCCTGGAGCCCGGAGACTTGGTCAAAGACCAAGTCAATTATCTAATATCCTTGAAGAAATCATCAGTGAGCAAACCTCTCGAAATGATAATAGATGAACTGACCAAGATAAAACAAGTTCATTCAAAATCTAAGCCCAAGGGCCTTTCCTCAGACCCTCTAACAATTCCGCAAAATTCAGAAGGGGAAAAGTCTATCGTCACGATTGCTTCATCTGCAGATATGGACACGAACATGAAACTTAACTACAATGAGGATATGCATCTCATATGGATACAGAAGTATGACTTACCTGCAAAAGCTCTGTTCCATGTCTTGGTGGGCGATCAGTCATTTTTGTTGCAATCTATGCTTCCCTTTGCCCAACTTTCTGTAGACACAGGAACACAGCATACTGTCTGGAGATGTGACTCGCAACAGAAGCTCACACGGATTATTTGGAGTCCAACAATGGAATTACTGTCGGCTGAGCAGCGAATCGAATCCATGTTGAACAACAAATATTATAATTTCACGCAAAGCACTCCATACTTGTATCTTCCTTTTGGAAGCGCTGGACGCCTCATCATTAGATTCATTATCTTCAACACAGATTCGCGCTCCTCAAAATTACTGGTTTATTATAAGGTAATGAGAAACAGAAATATCCTAGAGATATTTAGCTCGTTTTTTTTCAGACAGGTGATCTTGTTCCAAATCGATGATCTTCATAAGCATCTCTTGGCGGCCATACAGAGCTTGGCTAACGAAAACCGCAAAATTGCATCTGCGATAAAACTTTACGGGCCCATTACGAAGTTTGATGCCGATGAGTTGACCGAGGAGGAAGTCAGGTTCGACAAAGACATCAAGCACATTAAAATGGAATTCTTGCTTAATCTGGTTTTACAAAAGCTCAACTTGGAATTCGATAAGCTCCTTCATGTGGCTGCAAAACTACTCATGAATTTACTTTTCTCGACATATAAGAATTTTCAGCTCCATTGGCTTCTAATCTTATCTTTAGGCATCTCGCTTATCTTCAATGTTTATTTCGCGGGTAAAAGTACCCATGCGTACTGGGTTGAACATAACACCGAAAAATATGTGAATTCGCTGGTTCAGAAACCAACACTGATGAAAAGAGTGATTTCAATCGATGATATACAAGATTTCGCACACAACACGAGCGTACAGCTGTCCTATAATGCTTCTGAGTCTCAGTGCTTTCTGGAGTTTCGGAAGCAGGCCGCCGTTGGCGAAATCTCTCTACCCACTGAAAGCAAGGTACAATCTCGTCTGGTGGAGTTTGGCTTGCAAAGAAATGAACTTCTAACTGAACTGGGGATAGTGAATGCTGCAGAACGAGCCTACCTTGTGTCTGAATGGAGACGCTGGGTTTTTGCTGAGCACCGGAATTGCGAGATTGCTCGTACTAGATACCCTCAAAAATACGACGAGCAGCTGTCACGGTATTGCGAATCGGCAAAAGCCGAAATGGATTACATATCGCACGTGCTGTTATGAATGTAAATAAAGAAGATCTTCAGAAACCTTTTTTTGCCAGATTGTCCGCGATATCCAAGTAAAGCGCTACCGGATTGAAGGTCCCTGTTCCGATTGCGATTTTGAAACGTTTCGAGATGTTCATCCAGTTTATCAAATCCAAATGATCCACATTCTCTAGACTACCCAAATCTTCTCCCCATCTAGCACTCCTGATGCTCACCAGTCCATCGTTTGGACCTTCTTTTGGATACACCATTTTCCATGTAGGATAGAAAAAGTTAAATATTCTTGGTGTGAAAGATGCACCATAGCTGAAGTATTTGACATTTGGGTCGTCTGTAATATGTCTATTAAGGCGAGCACAACTTTCGAGAGTAAGCTCTTTCAGGGATGGAAAGAAGCTGTCAATAATGCTGGTCGGAATGAGTTGAATTATGCGATCGGCAGCGTAGCTACCTCTATGGGGAGTCGACACCGTTGTCAATGACACCACCTCAAAATTCTCCTGTTCATAAGCAGAAATAAGGTAGCGACAATCAAGACCTCCCATGGAATGGGCAATCAGGTTGACTTTGACAGGCTGTTCTGCATTTGGAAAACGTTTGGATATTTTTTGTTTTATGAATTCGTTTAATATTTTAGATCTTGTTTCAATGGTAGCGAATGGGGGTACTTTGGCCACCAAAACCTGACACCCACGCACCAGTAACTCCTTGCGAATTCCATGCCAGTATTCGAACAACTCAATTCTTGTGTCCGCCTCTTGTGCCATTTTCTTTGCAGATGCTTCTTTAATCTTAGCTTTGTGAAAAAGCTTGACAGCAGGTAAGCTCACGAGACTGTCAAAGCCTGAAAACCCATGGCAAAGAACGACTGGATATTTCGGGACCTGATAGTCATCTCGTATAGTGTTGAACTTGTACAGTTGTGAAGTTGTTTGACTTAGATTTTCTTTCGTTCTTTTGATTTCCGGCTGATGAGACCCATATCGATAGAACGCCAGTGAAAAGCGGGAAGACTGTGGAATAGGCCAGTTGTTAATTTTCATCTTCTATATTTCAAATGCGGACCATGTTCAGGGCAGCTGGGTTATTTATCGCTGTTAGTTCTCAATAAAAACTCTTCGGACTTAAATTTGAAAATTAACTTGCTAGATTACCGGGCAGTGAAATAACAACTGTTATCCTATCCTTTAAGCATTCTTCATGACCATAATGCTTCTCCTTGGTTTCATACTCCTACTACCTTTCGTTCAGGCAACGATACAACTGGATGACAGCGTATCACACTACGATATTATGATAGCATCAAATTCAACGAGACCATTGGTTGCGAGTTCAAGTGTCAAGTTCAAACACTTTGATCAACTTTACTATTGCCATTTTGTGGGGAATGCTGATCAAAAAGACCTTTCTTTGAGCGAAAGTAGTTACCAGTCAGATCTTGAGAGTACTGTGGCCACTTTATGGTCGTTGGGAGACACCTATGCAAAAGAGAATAAGATGAAATGTCTTTATCAATCATCCAGTGATTATTGGAAGTACAGCTTTTGTCTCGATGGCAATATCACACAATTTAGAGGGTTTAAGAAACTTTTTGGAGTATCCACTGATACATCTTTAATAGACCCAGACAAGCCCTTCTTCACCTTGGGAAGCTTCGAGAACGCAAATAAAAAAGATTATACTAATTTCAATTTAGTTTCAAACTATGATGGTCCGATCTATCTTGAGCAAACCATTGGCGGAGGAGATATTTGTGATAAGACAGGCAAACAAAGGATCTCTACCATTCGATATCGCTGCGATGAGGCTCACCCAGGAGCTAAATTACTATCGGTGAGAGAAATCAAAACCTGCCGCTACGAAGTTCAGGTTTATCTTCCTGAAATCTGTAGTTCTCCCTTGTTCAAAAGTCGGCCTTCGAAAAAAGAGCAAGTGTTCTGTGAAGCTGAGGATACTGCTGTATCTTCAAAACCAAAAATTTTGGACATCAAGTCTGTCAACCTCATTCCTCTTGGATATGGCGTTTATCTGGGACTAGACGAAACAAATCCGGAGCGACCTAATGTTCTAATAACCAACAAACGAGTTCCTAATATTAATAGCTCCGAGATTATTCATGAATTACTTGGCGATGCAGCAAAGGCGTTTGCAAATCTAATTTCAAAGTCCTTGATATTTCATCCTGACCAAACCGAGCCAGGACGACATGTATCTGGCAAAGACTCTTTTACTTATACCACGTCAATATTTGGCGTAGGGGGAGTACATCTATTCGATATGATGATACTACAGGACGAACGTGGCAAGATTGTCGCTCAGTTAATTTCTGATGGCACACCACCCAAAAACTTTATCGAATTCAATGGTGTTGAAGTATGATCAAGCAAATTATACCCTAAGATAAATGACTTCTGGAAGTAAATTCAGCGGCGCCTTTTCATTGGTCTGTTGTAAGTTGCCATTTGCACGGCCTGCGAGTTGTGAGCATCGCTCATCATTGATGATGGTAACGAACCGTTGTAATTGTGTTGCAGCACTGGTATTTTAGAACTTGGTTCAATTTCTAAACTCCGTGGTTGAACATTTTTGTGCTTTATTATTCCCGTTATCATGCGCCTTAGCTGGTTAAATCTAATAGTCTCGATCTTACTCGGCTTGAATATCTCCCTTTTACCAGCTGCGCCGCCTCTAAAACGTTCACGTCTTAGCTGGTTCAATTCTAATAAGAGCTTGGTGATCGTTTTTTGGGCACAATTATCATTGACAGCTTGCTGCTCGTCTTCATCAATTACATTTCCAGCATTCCATTGGATGATTTTTTCTAAATCTATTGGTCCCGAATCCAGTTCAATATCTTCCTCGCTAGCTTCGTCTATACCATTTTGAGTCTGATCGTGCTCTACCTGGTCAGCCGGAATGCTAGCATCCACGATTGCTGGTTCTGCCTTTATGGTTTCTTGCTCCATTGCAACCTGCAACTTTCCTGCTCCATTTGTAGCGCATGTAATTGCTGGTGACTTCCCAGCATCAACTTCGTTTTCTTCATTTTGCTCCTTCTCAAGTTGTTTTTTGATCTCCAATACTCTTTTGAGGCCATAGTGCTGCAGCCATATAAGACCTTTCCACTCATTGGAAATGATAGACCGACTTTCGTCATACATTGGTGCAAAAGAGAAAGCATCATCGTTAAATCCATGCTTGATCCATTGAGAGACAGGAATATTGTACCAATTTGGATGGAAACTTTGTGAGAGGATCTCCGTTGGCAGAGCTTGCTGGTTGATCGGAGTCTGACATAACTGCGATAAATTTTCTGATTTTGAACCTAAGAGACTTGGAACAACTGTCAAGGTTTCAACGGGTACGTCATCATCCAAATTCGGCTTTCTGTCGTCCAACTCAGAGATGCGCTTGTTCAACGAGGAGAAGAAAGGAACGCCATTAGCCGCCGTTAACAAAAGTGCATCACCCGACTTGTTGAAATAGGAAGTGGTTATTAGCTCGAAGTCGCGGACGATGGCTTTTCTCAGACTCGTTCTTATATCATCTTCATTTTCTATCTCCTGTTTATTTGCCTTCTGCTTAATCTCATTACGAAAAGATCTTCTAGTTTCTCTCTCTTGTAGAACCACTGTACTATCAAGTCGTAGGCTTTCCTTTAACAAAAGCTCCACGGCAATATGATAAAAACGATCAATTTGCACATGATCAGCTTCTGAGTTTTTGCTCGAATAAGCAATCAATGATGCAATCTTTATGTCATGGTAAATTTGATAGATGGACTCGTACTCAGCAGAATCGAATTTGTCTTCAATGCTGACATCCTTAGTAAAGTCGTTTCCAGTCAAATCCAAAAAGTTAAGGAAATTACTTGTTATTTGCTTCGGATCGTTTTCGAAAAACTTATCATTTTTTGGTAATTGAATGGAGAGGACTTCGTGAGTATCTATCTCTTTTAAAACTTTTACGAGATCTGTGAAGAAAAGGTTGAACCTTAGTCTGTCGTCTTTCCTCATCTTCACCACAAGAGCTTCTCCAGTTGCTGACAACAATCAATTTGTATTCACACCTTGATCCTATGGGTTGGTGTCTTACTTAATGATACTTCAAAAGATAATTTCCCGGTAGTGTGGTGAAACCTGTGTGATTGATGTCCCTTTTGAATATCACTTTAGACAGTTGTACAAACTTTCTTTTACGTTACCTAATTGTGTAAATAAATTTTCGACGTTATTAGGGAGTATTATTAGTACCTACACTACCTTCACACAGCCGAAAATATTGGTAATAGATTATGACCCTTATCGTTTGATGACCCAGTTTCCCCTAACTTTGCTTTGGCGAACCTTAATTGCCGGGAGGTCCCAACCTACTCCACCGGTTCCTATATTGGCACCCATTCTAGGTACAACATAACACTCTCTCTCTGTTTGACTGATCTCTTTCGGAGCATATGGGTGGCCTAATGGCTTAGAGTATGTTATCAAACCTGAACTGGCGGCCACGTTTGCCAGTGCGCGACCTCCGATATCTGTAAGCGGTCGCATTCTTAATTTGCTTGTTGCAGATGCATTGTTAGTGGTAAGTGACTGATAAACTAGGTAAGATGGTGGCAGTTCACCACACTTGGATAGAACGGAATTTGGATGAATATAAACAAAGCGGTCCGAATTAGATTCACTTGTAGGCATCAAAGTAAGGTATTGAATTGCCGTAATTGGTGCATTGTTAGGTATTTTGACATTTTTATCCACGATGTCTGCGCGCACGGCAACGTGGTCGATAAAACCTGCTGTTATCATCTGTTTGATTGCTTCCACTTGTACCTTCGTAGGTGGACTGAGCATTAATTCTTCATCTTTGACCAGAGAGGAAGCAGCTATAGAGTCTTTGCTGAGATTCACTTTAGCGATGTAAGTCAGCTGCTTTCTCAGCTTCACTATTTCATCCATGATTTTGGGTCTCAGAAAGTTGTCTTCAAAAAACTTCTCACGATCAGCCCTGGGAATATGATCTTGTGCACAAATCGCTGACAGCATTTGCAATCCGTCGCTGAATTTATCTAGTTTGGTGAACAATTGGCGTGATTTGTTAAACTTCGCCAACTGCTGTTTCCTCCACTCATTCTCGTCGTCATCTTCTCCCCTTGGAATAATTTCTGACTCGCTGATAAACGGGTCACCGACTGATAAGCCAGACACCACAGCAATGATATATGGCAAACAGCCTTGTTGGTTCGCCACAAGGAGCATTTTAGCAAACCGGGGGCTTAGCGGGAAATGGCTCATTTTTTGACCAAGCTTGGTTATTATCATGCGATCGTCCAGTGCACCTAAATGCTGAAGCAGTTTTTCGGCTTTTCTAAGAGAGTCTCTAGTAGGCGGTGTGACAAAAGGGAAATTGGTGATATTATCTATTCCCATGCTTTTCATCGTCAAAACAACGCTCTCCACCGGCATTCTAAGAATTTCAGGTTTGGAGAATTGTGCGAATTCGCTCTCATAGATTGCTGAGGAGAACAGTCTGTAACAGTGGCCCGGTCCTGTTCTTCCGGCTCTTCCAGCACGTTGATCGGCACTGGCCTTGGATATCCAGTTGATTTCATATGATTGAACTCCTGTTGCTTCGTTGAAAGTTCTCTCCTTCGACCTTCCGCAATCAACCACATATCTAATGTCCGGAATTGTTAGCGATGTTTCTGCGATATTGGTAGCGACAACGCACAGCCGTGCGCCTTTTGGGGGATGCTCAAAAATCTTCATCTGTTCTTTTGTAGGAAGTAAGGAATAGAGGGGTAGTACATACAGTGGGTCTTCTGTCGTTTGTCCTTCCTCTAGAGTCTCCTCGAAACCTTCTTCTTCTCCCTCCTCCTCATCATCTTCATTGGAAGATTCCTCACTGAAGTCGTCGATCATGTCATTGACAGAAAAGTCTACCTCTTCAGCTTCCATATCAGCATTTCTGGAATCAACCTTGACTTCTGCAACATCGTCATAGTTGTTCCCTCTTTTAAAAGGGAATCGCTTTCTCAGCCGCCTGACCATTTCATTGATTTCTCCTTTTCCTGTCAAAAAAACCAATATTCCACCAGGTGGAAGCTTCGAGTGAATCTTGCAAGTTTTTCTGAAGGCCTCTTCGTTATAGTTAAATGCTGTTCTTCTGTTGAAATGAATAGAGACAGGATACTGTCGAGCTTGAACGTTTATGATCGGCGGTGGTGAACTAAATAGGCTCTTATTCTCGCTGAAGTCTGACACTCTTAGGGTTGCAGACATAATAATCAGTTTTAGTGGCCTGTATTTGGCTGGATCTTTGCAGCTCCAGTCTCTCCGAAGTTTCATAACCCTGCTCAACATTCCTATGAGGATGTCAGTGTTGATGTTTCTTTCATGAGCTTCATCGATGATTAATGCCGAGTACTTTGTTAAAAGAAAATCTGACATCATTTCTCTCAAAAGAACACCATCAGTCATGAATTTGATAGATGTCTCTTCATCCACCGAGGCGTCAAACCTTATTTGATGACCAACTCTTTTTTTATAGTTGCCAAGTTCCCGCCCAACTCTTTCAGCCATAGCAACCGCAGCAACTCTTCTTGGTTGGGTGATTCCAATCATACCCGGAGTATCAGAATCTGGACTTCCATAACCAGACTCAAAAAGGAACTGTGGAACCTGAGTGGTCTTACCGGATCCTGTCTCACCACATATAATTACGCAATCATTGTGATGTATTGCTTCCAAGATTCTATGCTCCTCCTCAAAAACGGGCAGCTGCATTCTCGATTTCTGTACACTGTCATCTCTTTGAACATCTAAAGTGACTATTTTTCTCTGTAGTCCCTCATTAATCGGAATGTAATCTCTGTCCAAATCATCATCTAGATCTTCTTGTCGAGCTAAGGGCGTGTAGGCTTTTTGTGGTGCTAAGGGTGTAACGAATTCTGGTATACCTTCCATTTTCTTGACCTGGGCTTCGGCCCATTCTTTAAAACTCTGTGCACGTTTGCTGTGTACCTTATGGTTCTTCCCTATCTCTTCTTCTTCTTCTTCTTCTTCTTCTTCTTCTTCTTCTTCTTCTTCTTCTTCTTCTTCTTCTTCTTCTTCTTCTTCTTCTTCTTCTTCTTCTCCGTCTTCTCCTTCCCTTGCTTGCTTCTCTACATTTTCTGAGTTTTCTCCGGTCTCCTCGACATCATGACCGGACACATCATCATCATCATCATCATCATCATCATTATCATCATCATCACTGGCAAAATCCAGTTTGTCCTCGTCAGCCTTTTTCTTCGACCTTTCGAGCTCAAGCCTGACCCTCCAGCTATAATTTTTTGTTCTTTTCTTCTTGGTTGCCTTTTTATGGCTTGCAAATTCAAATCCAGATGCCAAATTCGTTGAAATCAAGATTTTATTTTTGATCTCGGTTTGAGTGTCCGTATGTTTTACTTGTTCCTCTTCATGGTCCCATTCTTTCGCCATTCTCTGCTCGAAAAGAATTTCCTGTGAATCCTTGTCTCCATTTCCCTTACTCTCTTTCTCCAGTGCTTCCAAGAAGAGTTCTCGTTTGGTTTGGTGAGTCCCTGTTCCTATAAGTTTTGCAGATTTGAGAACGCTAGAATCTATCCTAGTCTGGCTGAGCTTCTGAAGAAGGATTTCCCTCTCCTCTCTTTTCATCTGGTGCTCAATATACTTGTCAAGCCGTTTCTTTTTTTGCTTTGAAAGCTTCTCTTTATGCTGTTCTAATAAGCTTTCTTTCAGTTTTCTTTTTCTCTTGACCTTCTCGCGCTCTAGAATTGCAATGGCTTGCGGATCCTCGCTCTCCTCTTCTATCGCTTGTTCATTATTATCATCGGTTGAAGACAGTGCTTGACCATTGTACTTTCGCCCCATAATGTCCTCCTTGATCGCTCAACTCAAAAAAAATTATTAGGACTAAAAATTAAAAAATGAAGAAAAAAAATTAAGCCGCTTATGTAACTTAGAAATAGTTATTAATATGACGAACTCGAACAATCTGCCCGATTACGGATCGCTTAACTATAGAAATGTTGAAAGAATCGCACTAGGAAGCTTTGAATTTGATACTTGGTTTGGTAATTCCGTAATTTTCTTTCAATCGGAGCCACAAGTTCTGGGCTATGAAGTTCTCAAAAAGAAGATCAAGCTCACGTCCTCTATCAAAAAGGTCAATCAGCTCACTAAGGATTGTATACCTTGGATTGAGAAACTCTTTTTTTGCCCCTATTGCTTCAAGTACACAGCTAATCCAAACAATTCGTCACGGCATTTGTCTTACTGTTCGTATAGGAGAAACTTACCAGGTCAATTGATGTATCTTGACGACGTTTGTGCGATAAGAAGAGTGAATGGCAAACAACATAAGCTTTTTTGTCAATGCATGGCGATTTTGTCAAAGTTCTTTCTCGACAACAAATCCATCTTTTTTAACGTTGACCTTTTTGATTTCTACGTGATCTATCAAACGCTGAATGGTGTATCCACTCCTATGGGTTTTTTTTCCCGCGAGCTAGTATCCTGGGAACAGAACAACCTATCGTGCATTTTTGTAATTCCTTGCTATCAGAAACAAAGGTTGGGCTCCAAATTGATCGAGTTTTCCTATCATCTTTCGAACCATGAGCAAATCATCAGCGGGCCCGAGAGACCATTATCACCTTTTGGAAAGCTAACATACCTCAGCTACTGGTGTCGGTCACTCTCAAGAGAATTGTTGTACGGCAAGTTGTCTACTTTTGATCATGTGACCTTGGAGTTGATGAGTTTTAAAACGGGCTTCAGATCTGAAGATATCCTTCTCACTCTGGATTATATGCAAGCATTGTATGAAATCGGGGAGAAATTCATTTACACGGACTACTACAGCAACCCTAGTCGCAAGAGCCAAAACTTTGTTTATTTGGAAGACGACGGCTACAAACTGTTTATCGATAAGGCAAAAATAAGGAACTGGGTAGTAAATCACAACGTCTCAGCAGAACCAAACCTCGATCCACAGTACTTACTGTTGGACTAAGGTACTCTCATTCAGCAAACAGGATTTTGATTTCCTCGACTTTCTTTTTTCGTCTCTCTTCATCGTTCATAGATAATGCCTCTCCGAGCTGATTCTTGCGCTCTTGAATCTTGAGTATTCTTTCCTCAATACTTCCTTCCATAATGAATCTGACGACTTTCACGCTTTTACTTTGTCCAACTCTATGAATACGATCTATAGCTTGGAATTCGGTGGCATTATTCCAATGAGGGTCAAGCAAAAAAGCTTTGGATGCAATGGTGAGATTCAAGCCTACTCCTCCCGCTTTCAAGCTGATCAAAAGAATGGTTATTCTCCCATCTGTTGTTTTTGTGTTGAATTCATTTAGTACTCTCTGTCTTTGATCTACGTTCAATCTCCCGTCAAACTTGAAGATTCTAAAATTGCACGTATATTTCTTCAGCTCTCTTTCAACAAGATCCAAAAAACTTGTGAATTGGGAAAATACAATTACATGGTCACCAGGATTGTCTTCGTAAATCTGTTGAAGGTGTGAGAGAAGAGCATTAATTTTCGATGATTTCCCATAAGGGTTGAATGGACGAATGTAGTAGTCTCTTTCATGCATATGTTCCATCTGTGTCAAGTAAGGTTCGTTATTATCTGTCTTTGAAAAGGAACAACCTTTGAACTCACGTTTGAAGGTTCTTAATAAACGATTCTTATGAATCGAATGTCTGCAAACGGGACAAAGAACTTCTTTGGAGATTGCTGGAACCTCGGGAAGTTGGGATACAATCAAGTTGTTGCTTGCGTTGATAGATGAGTGAAGCCGCGACTGAAAATTGAAATGCTCCATAAGACAGCCAAGACAAAAACAATGTTTGCATTCAGTAATCACGCATGTTTCAATCTCAATAGGACCTGTACAAATAGTGCATTCCACATCATCAAAGTCTGGAAAGGACTGGTAGATTTCGTTCTTCATGGCAAGCTGTTTCTCCAACGATAATTTGCTCTTTTCTTCTTCTTTTTCAAGATCTTGCAAAATTCGACAACTCTCCTCTGTAGCCTGATCTACCATCAAATTCAAGCTATCTTTCAGGTCTTCATCTTCGTTCGAAATATCTGTGAAGGGTAATCTAATCAGGTCCAGATGACAACATACCTGTCTTAGACGCAAAAGATGAGTTAAAATCGATGAATAGTTTTTCAGAACAAGTCCTGCCTTCATATTTTCGGTGAGCACGTTGATTGCTTTCGCTTTCAAATGACTGTAAAGGATCTCCTCTTTTTCATTGAATTTCAGTCGTTCGATAATGATCTCCCTCGACGGAAGAGAAACCAGCAGGTTTCCATCTTTGTCCTTTTGATCTTTTGTTCTTCGAAGAATTATCGGATCTAAAATCGACTTCAATAGGGCGAACGCATCATTCAAGTCTCTTCCCTGATCAAAAGGTTCAGTGATAAAGCGTCTCCATATGTAATACTTCGCCCACGGTTGGAGGTCCAAAAAAACTAAAGGTGAGTATAAATCATCCAGTCTGTTGACAATTGGGGTACCTGTCAGAACCCATTTTCTACTTGACGAGAGGGAATGTATGGCCTTCGTTGTCTTGGCTGATTTATTCCTTATGTTGTGACCTTCGTCGATAATGATACGAAAAAAGGTGACAGAAAATAAACCTATCTTGTTTCCTGTCTTTGTGATTCTCGCTGCCTCACTTTGAACCGTCCCATATGTGGTCAATATCACCGTGGGTGCCGTGGGGTTTTCGCATAGTAATAAACTCAGATCACCTAAAGTTTCAGCACCATAGTAAATGTAACACTTTCTGTGAGTGTTGCCATTGGCTTTTGCAAATTCGCTTTCCCACTGCGATAATAGCGCCATGGGAACAACAATAAGCGTGGTCTTATGAGCATATCTATCTCTCCGGCATGGTCGAATGTATGATTTATCTTCGTGGCAGCTGAGAATAAGCGCAAGAGTTGTTATGGTCTTCCCTAATCCCATTTCATCAGCTAGGATGCCACCATACGTATGATTCTGTATCATAGGGCAATAATGGGAACATGAACCAGTGTAAAGATTTACGTAAAAGGATTCTTCCGATTGTTCACAAATACCGTCATTTGATGCTGATGACCACGTAGGCCATTTGCATTCTTTCCATAAGGGGTTTTTAGTGCCACTTATTTCTGTCATAACTTTTTTGAAATCTTCTTTTTCCTCGTCTGTAACTTGTGGATTGTTGAGTCCAACCAAGTCATATTCTTGCTCACGAAAGAGCATCCAGCTCAATCCGTATCTCTGATAAGGACGTAATTCCAGTAAAAAGTCATTGGGTACTGAATCCGGCAGAATTTTATCCTCAACGTTTGATTCAGTAGATTGATACAAAGATTTTAGTTGATTCATGGTTAACACTCCATCATTCTCCTCTAAACGCTGGTCCCGTGATTTTTTATTGTTATCCTCCTCTGAATCTTCAAGACTTATCACCTCTCTTGCTTCCTCATTTTGATTACTGTCTGAAAATAAATGCAACTTCTTGAACAAGCTGACTAATGCAGGGCCTTCATCCATGACACAGTGGGAGTTCGTTGACTTGGTATGTTGGACAGATTTTAAACTGTTTTCGAGATCTTTATCATCCAAGGGCCTAGTTCCAAATAGTTGATCAGTAACAAAGCAGTCAAGCGTTATGTAAAATGAATCTCCTGTCCTAAGCTTCTGATTTGATATAGGGCTCAACGACGCACTAAACTCTATACCATGTCTTTCCAGCAATGGTGCTATTATTTTTGCATGTCTCTCCAAGAATCTTCCAATTTCACGTTTGTTCCCTGACATATCAACTCTACTAACATGAACAAAGTTATCTTTTGATTGACTTTTTGATAACAGCACTTTTTCATTAGGGTCAAGCAAGCCAGCCACGTATCTTGTACACCAACATTCAACATCAAAAGTACCCACATATCTCCTCCAGTTGACTAACTGCCTTCGCCGCTTCTTAGAATGGAGATCATATTCTAGAGCTTTCTCTGATATATGATCGACTTTATAGATAGAATTATCGTTTGAGTGCGTGGAAGAAAGGAGCTCTTTCTTTCTTGAGTAGTCTCCATGTTGGTATTTCTGGGGATCATCTAAAAAAGCATTTATTGCAAGTGGCAGTGCTTCTGGCTTATTATGGAATTCATGAAACAGGCTCTTAACAGTCTGCGATGTTATATCTGAGAACATGGTTTTTAATTCAGACTGAAACCAATCAAAAAAATCATCTTCGGTACTCCCCTTTTTTTGTGGTTCTGACTTGTGTTCTAGTTGCCTACTGGCAGAACTGTGGTCAAAAAACGGTCTCTTAGCTGGCATCACTCATTTGCCTAGTCAAATTTAGTAAATTCTAATTATTCGAGTCTTCTGATGACATCTATACACCATTGAAAAAATATCAAGATTATTTTTTGTGAATGGATCAAAAAATAAAAGGTAGAAATATGATACCCTTGAAGAGAGTGATTGTAAGTTGACCATAGTATCCCACATCCAATCCGTTGCCCTACTCTCATATGCCATCAAAACAACTGGACATTAATCTAGCTAAATAAAGATGGGAGTCATCCTCTGAATAAAGTTAAAGTCGTAAGGTTGAACTCATTTGCTCCAAACTGTGAGGATATGGACTGAATATTCAACAATTGGGAGGCATTCCCGACTTTGAAATTTTGTCTGCTAACCTATAAATTTAATGTCACAATGTTTGACATTTCCATCTTACCAACATGCATTGACGACTCGAGACGAGGCAAATCGACGTGACGTGGAAAGTAGGATGAAATGATTCACCTTAAGTAGTTGACCACATTTTCTCTCATTTCCTAACATTTCAATTTGGACTCACTTTGGAGAAGTTTGGGTGACCTGAAGCCGTAACTTCCGGTGATGTGTGTAATTGTCACCAAAATCTGCCTAAATTCTTGAAGTAATTATGCTCCAAGCCAAATCGAATACTCAGGTTGTGTCATCAAGGAACAGCGACTATTTTTGGGAATCTATTTAATTATTTGTCCATCTGAAGGTTCGTCCTATCTAATGTGTATCTCTCTCGTGTACAAAAAGAACGCAACTGTGAAGAGTACGGCGCAATATGCGATTAATATAACTAGGGCAATGGTATCGCTCGTGTCAATGGTGTTGAATGTGAGATTTATAAGGCCTGTAAGCACGTTTGCCAGTATGAATATTGTCAGACCGTTGTAATTGACCGCACGTAGGCACATGGGGACGCAGTTTATATTACGGTTATCATTGACAACTGTTATTCTGGTTTCGCTGTGTGTCAGTTCGTATCGGGGCTCTCCCCATACAAGGTTCTCAACAAGCTTATAGCCAAATAAGAATGTATAATTGTAAGCACAAACCCAAATGACATATAAGGCGTTTGCCATTCTTCGAGAGACTCCATAAATGTAGCATGTATCGAGTACGTAATACAGGGCATGGAAAAGAGTTGCTAGAATGAACAAGCTCCTGGTTGGTGATACTGAGAACGAATAGATCTTTCTATTATTCAAGCATTGGTCTTTGGACCCACTGACTGTCAGCGAATTTTTGCGGGTAGGGAAAAGGGGGAAAATGATATATCCAAGAGATATTCCATTCAGGTATATTGCAAGATATCCTGCTAAAGAAAACAGTCCCTCTTTGTTCATACCAATTAATCCCTCTCGTTGCGAATTGAGAATGTATTCCAGTAACCCAAATTTTGTCAAAACAACCTCGTATAATAACACTATTGAAAATCCTGTCACTATTGGCGAAAGTAGATTGATAATTGGAGCAAAGACATTTGCAATTAGTGGAATAAGACACAGAGTGAAAAAGAAGTTCCAGTGTTTTCCATACTCAGTGATGTGCTCTTGGTAGTCAAAAAATTTAACGCTCGACAACCTTATAGCACCCAAAATAAGTAATGGTATGCTATTTTTTATCGACGTGATCAAATTCTTAAAGTAGCTGTACTTTGAATCAAATCTTTGTCTAATATTCTGTCTGGCGCTCACGAGGCCCATCGAAAATACGAAGGACCCGACCCCAAGATCCATCAGGCTGGTGCCCCATGTTTCCACTTTGGCAAATCTCCTCGGAAAAACGGGGAAGTCGACTGCAAGAATACAAATACACGTAATTATCATCATTTGTGCACGATAGACAGTCACGTAAGTAATAAATGGTGTGAATTGTTTGGATGATAAGGTGTCTAGGTTGATTTTAGTTGTTTTTCCACTCGGCTCTTTCGTCCTTCTGAACACTATCAATAATAGCGGTATTACTGAAGCCGCAATCAGTGTGGTAACATTGTCACAGTAACATGTAACAGAAAGCAAAAGCAACACCCAGTTGATCAAAAAGTCTAGAACAATAGCCTGAACATCGTTTGAATCATTGAAGACAGATGTTTTTTTTTTAAAATGGACCACACTAAATACGACACAATTGATACAGACGTCACACCATATATGTCAATGGTTGAACCACCTTTGAGTCCTGTTACAAACTCTTCTTTTCTTTCCTTTAAAGACGCAGACATAATCTTCCAGATGATAGCCGATTGCCGACTGGTTGTAACCTTATTTTTTTAATTCAGGGCTGAACTAGCTTAATTTTCATAACGCATGGATTTTTTAAAAAGCGACAATTCAACTTAATGAATGAGGAAGTACGTCATTTGAACATCAAACTAACACTAGTTACTTTTAAAGACTGCGCTTAAGATGACAAGCTCCAAGCTTCAGTTCAAGATTGGGAAAATGAAGTCAATTAACAAAGCCATTCTTTTTCAACTATCCAAGGATTTAAGAGCACTTAGCAAAACTGGTGGAGCTCAATTTGATCGAGAATTGATGCTAACGAAGGTGAAGATTGCCAAAGTTGTAAATGATGACAAAATGATTGACTTGTTGGAAATATTGGTAGTTGATTGTGAAGTACTTCATTCGAAACTACGTCAACTTCTCTGCAAGTCCGATGATGAAAGTATTGTTAAACTTGTGCGCGAGCTGATATATGTGAGCTCATACGTCAATATAAAGGAATACAAGAAACTTGTGTCTTTGTTGGCTCACAAGTATGGAAAGGAATTCTACGAATATGCGCTAAATCATCCCGATAACCCAGACATAATCCATAAATGCAACGACACCAACGTGGATTCCCTAGTGGAAAAGTACCTGCAAGAAATATGTGATTGCTATCAGATAGACTTGAGGAACGAAAAGCAGGGTTCCAGCACGTCGGATGACAAAAAAGCTGACTCAACAACCGAAAATCAAGATGATTTGGATGATCTGAGAAGACGATTTAACTCGCTGAGAAAGTAGCCCTTGTTTGGCCAATCAACTTGTGGTTGTAATCGTTATACACATATATTAAATACAAAATCGCTGATGAGTCAAAAGCAGTCGAAAGAAATGAAAGGGAAATCTTAAATCACAAAATCATTCAATTGAAAGAGGGAGTCATTGATTATCATCTCGCAGTGGTTTCCGTAAAATAGTGCGCTCTTGTTTAACGGTCCCTTTTTGTTTTTTCGTCTGAAATCTGCTTGACAGCTCAGATTATCGACCAAAGCTAAATTAATTTTATCGTGGCTATAGCGGTATTCAAAATTCCTTTTGCGAGACAAACTGCCCGACTGATCAATTATAGTATTTGACGAAGACAAAGTCATACGTTCAACATCTGTATCGCTGGTTGTACTGCTGTCATCACCCAAATTTAGAAATTCGTCAAATGAAACGTCTGAGGATTCACAGGGTTCCAGTACTTGAGTGCTTTCTTTCCTTTCAGGCAGCCACATTGCAATTTGGTTCTCGTTCAAGAGCGAGCGAAAGGTAGATGTCTCAGATATGAGTTGACAATTGCTTTGCTTCGCTGAATTTTCTGTTACACGAAGCGTTTTCGAGATATTCTTTTCTTTGTGCTTAACATCTGATTCACATTCGAATGGTTTCAGGACGCTTTGTTCGTGAACGCTCAAGATTTCGGCTTCCGCATCGTGATCGTTCAGCTGCCTGATTAGCCGATCAACCTGCTCTAAGCCAGTGGTTAAAGACTCTAGCTTCGAACTCCAAGAATCATAATTGCCTCCAAGAGTCGTTAATTCGTGAAGTTGTGGTAGCTTAGCATCCATCAAATCTTCATCCTCTGATGATGGGAAACTTAGCAAATCATCGTCAGACCCTGTTTCATCATTCTCCTTTGTGTCTTCAAGCTCCTTCTCTCTAAGCATATCAAGCTCTACCAATCTTTTTTGACGCTGTAACTTCATTTCACTATGAAGATCAATGGTGGGATGTGAGGGATGAGAATAGAATGGTTGTTGGTTGATAATGTTAGAAAAATTAAACCGCAGGTCACGCTTAGAAATTAACTTGTCATTCTCAGTATCATATGCAGGGGAGAACTCATCGGCCTCCTCCTCCTCCATTGTCCTATAACTAATGCTCTTTACCAACTCTTTTGCCGTATTCGTTCTCGCAATCTTCCTCTTTTTTCTCAGCTCCTTATCAGTCTCCTGAACTCTTTTGGCTTGCTTTTTCATATTTGATGCTTTCTTACTTTTCTGTGCGCCTGACATTGCGATGAGTCCTTTGTTTCTCACCTGAACCAGTGCTTACTTATAGAAGAACAATCAATGATAAGGTTCGGAGTATTTGCCACTAGCAAACACTAAAAGAATAATCGTTGATTTTAAACGGACCTTCTTCTAATTAATAACTCCCATAGAAACATGGGATAGAAAAATATGCGTCCCTTTGAATAGAAGTATATTGTTTAGTAATAATAGCAATGCAAGGCGAAAAAATTTTTTGAGCTCTAAGAAAAAAAAGAAAAGCTACCAAAACACTATTGGGTAGGTTACTACTTGAGGTTTGGCTAAGTCATCACAAAAACGCTGTTAATACGTTTCCATAGCCTATAGGAGGTTTCTCCAAATACATATTCGCGTTGCATATGACTATACAGGAGCTATCCTTCTTGAAGGATCGAGCTTCTCAAATATAAAATGTATCATGACATGAAGCGTTAAATAGCGTTAAGTTTTTTTTTGTTTGTTTTTTTTTTTTTGAGGCAATCAGAACGTACAAAATTGAAATCATTTGGAAATGAATCTGACTGTTTCCATATTTTGTCTTGAAGTTGACGCTTCTCTCCCACCTTGGTCAGTTCCCTGTTGCATTTGAGGAGTCATCCAAGTTTGGCTCGGGGACTATCGTCAAGTGGTCATTTTCTGTGTCAACTTTAACAACACAATTGTTTTTGATTTCTCCCTTCAGCATCATGATGGACATAGGATTCAGCAAGGCTCTCTTAATGAGCCTATTCAGTGGCCTGGCACCATACTGTGGTTCATAGCCATTGGTAGTTAACCAGTCTTTGGCGCTATCAGTCAACTGGAGCTCAATCCTTCTTTCTGATAGCCTGTCCTGTAAATCGCCGATTCTCAAGTCGACAATGTTTCTCAATGCATCCTTGGACAGCTTGTTGAAAATTACCACTTCATCGATTCTATTGATAAACTCCGGCGAGTAGTATGACCTCATCAGTTCGAGAATTTGATCTTTGTCTGGCTTATCGGAAAGCATAATATCTTGTCCGATATTTGAAGTCATAACGATTAGGGTATTGCGGAAATCGACTTTATTTCCCTGTGAATCTGTCAATTTGCCTTCGTCCAAGACTTGTAATAAAAGTTTTGACACATCAGGGTGGGCCTTTTCAAACTCATCAAAAAGAATTACTGAGTAGGGTTTTCTTCTGATTCTCTCTGTTAGCTCTCCACCTTCTTCATACCCCACGTATGAAGGTGGGGCACCAATAAGCCTCATGATGGAATGTTTCTCTTGGAACTCCGACATGTCAAACCTGATGATTGCATTCTCATCATCAAACAGGAAATCTGCAACCGCTTTTGTAAGTTCTGTTTTTCCAGTACCAGTTGGTCCTAAAAACATGAAAGACGCAATAGGCCTTTTCTCGTTGGTAAGACCTGCTCGCTGTAATCGTATTGCGTTTGAAATCGAAGCAATTGCCTCATCTTGTCCTATCACTCTTCCTCTTAGTGCGGCCTCCATATACAAAAGTTTATCCTTTTCACCTCTCATCATGTTTTGAACCGGAATTCCAGTGGCCTTCGAAACAACCCTTGCTATGTCATCGGAAGTAACAGACTCGTGAAGTAGACTTGCACCATCTCCGTCCTCATCAGCCTCAGCAGCGGTCTCTTGATTTTTGATTGACTCATTCAACTTTGCTTCTAATTCTGGGATGGTTGCATATTGAAGCTTCGAAGCTTGAGCAAAGTTACCTTCCCGTCTCTCTTTTTCCAAGTCGCGCTTGGCGATTTCCAATTCTTGCTTTAGTTGTTTAATTCTATCAAGCTCTTGTTTTTGTTTTTCCCAGATTTCTGTAAGTCGTTTGAGCTCGGCCTGCTTGTATTCTAATTGCTCTTGCAGCTTCTCTCTTCTCTCTTTGCTCAGGGTGTCTGATTCCTTCTGAAGAGATTCCAATTCAATTTGAATAGTCATGATAGATCTATCTAATTCTTGAATTGAGTCCGGTTTTGATTCGTGCTGCAGGCGAAGAGCCGAGCAAGCCTCGTCAACCAAATCAATAGCTTTGTCAGGCAAAAATCGATCGGTAATATACCGATTACTATACACGGCTGCTGTGACGAGGGCACCATCAGTTATCCGAACACCATGATGCACTTCATACTTTTCTTTCAAACCTCTCAAAATGCTTATTGCGTCCTCAACAGTTGGCTCGTTCACCAAAATTGGCTGAAATCGTCTAGCAAGTGCAACATCCTTTTCAATGTATTTTTTGTATTCATCAATAGTTGTAGCACCACAACACTGTAGTTGGCCTCTAGCAAGGGCAGGCTTGAGCAAATTCGAAGCATCAATTGATCCTTCTGATTTTCCCAAACCAAGAAGGATATGAAGCTCGTCGATGAATAGAATGTAATGTTCGTCCAGTTCTTTCAAAAACTGCTTCAGTCTTTCTTCAAATTCACCTCTGTATTTGGCACCACTGATCAGCGAGCCTAAATCCAGAGATATGACCTCCTTATCCTTCATACTTTCTGGAACCTCACCCTTCACGATTCGCTGTGCCAAGCCTTCCATTATTGCAGTTTTTCCAGTACCAGCATTTCCTATCAATACCGGATTGTTTTTTGTTCTTCTTGACAGAATTTGAATCGTTCTACGTATCTCCTCATCTCTTCCAATCACAGGATCAAGTTTGCCGTTCCTGGCTAATTCGGTCAAATTGGTTGCAAATTTCTTCAACGCTGGTTCATCTGCTTGCTCTGGATTCATCTTCATTTGAAGATGTAACATGGCACCTCCAGAAAAATGCCTACAATGGTAGATTTGGCCAAATCTTGTCGATGGCATATTTGATAACGTGAGACCGTTCAACTGTGACATTCTGAAAGATGGCCTAGTAGAGGCTAATAGTGCGGCCTCATTCAAGTGCGCGTTATATGTACTAGTCCCACCAATACATTGAAGACTTTTGGGCACTTTTTTGATCCCTGACAAGCTTCTGCGCAACATTATTTACTTCCGTAAGTAAAGAAGATAATAAGAGTTGAGAGGTCCTATTTTTATAGGCAGCTAAATCAGCCGGGTGCTAGAATTTTCTAGGGAACCCCGGATTCAATTTCGTCGCGTCGAAAAATCTTATCTTGTTACATACGCTCTTGATTGTGCATGCAATTTTGCTCTACTTGTGCAATTTTTCGGATAGAGTTCAACTGGTTCGAAGTGCCCTACACGTTATTGTAGCTGCTTCCCAAGCCTTTTTCAATACGAGTATTCTAAATTATCTAGTTGATTGCTAAAGGAAAGCAGACTGTAAAGCTGACAATGCTGTCATACATATGAGAAAATCATTCGGTGTTTTTTGGACCCTTATCGACTTCTGAAATGTACTAGCTATTCGGTATAAATTTATGGTATGTTTGTTACTTCGCCATTCCAAGCTAGAATTACTTGAATCACTCCATATTCACAGTTGCAAAACAACTGCCTGGCTTTCCGGAATTTAGTTCATTGTTTGCAATACAAACTCGCCCCAGCCTGCTCGCATACCTTGCGATATATTAATTGGTTGCCACCATCTTCCCGGTAACTTTACAAAGGTGGAAGCGAGCCCACGATAATGTTACTGTTTTGCCCCTTTGTTTCGGATCTTGCCAAGCTCACTTTAAGCTGCTCCTCCCCTAAGTCACTAGTGCTTGTTGCCTCGTTTAAACTCTGATGCTCTGGAGCTGCTCCCAAAACTGGAGACTCGGATCCAGATGTAAAGTTTCCGTCCTTCTTGGGGGCAGTCAAGGTTTGACTTTTATTAACGGAAGGTTTTGGAGCAATTGTTATTAAGGATGAATTAGATTCGGGTTTTTTCACGCTTGAAGGATTTACTTTTTTCCTTTTGTTGCTTGAAGCATTTGTTGAGGTAGTCGGCTTCCTCTTCACCGTGGTTGATTTATTATCATCAGAAATGGGACCATAATAAACGTAAAACCCATCCTTGTTGCTTTTTGTCTGTTCTTCAAATAAAAGCTCCTCATCATCGATGAAAGGATCGAGGAGATCATATTTTCCGATCCTCTTATTGCTCTCCATTTTCCTTCTATGAATTTCTTTCAAAATCATTTCTTCCTTTTCTTCGTCGGTCATTCCGGCTTTGAATTTCATTCCCAGCTTCCTTATAGTGTCAGCTTCCTCATCCATCTCTGCGGTATCTTCGTCGTTCTGTTCTTGATTTTCATCTTCTGCAATATCTTCATCAATTTCCATATTCTCGAAAGTTATCCGCCCGTTGGGGTGCATGGCTTCAAATCCATATTTGTCTTCACAGAGTCTCATTACATTGAAAATTGCTTGCGACTCGCCAGGTTGCTTCCCAGGTGGGACAAGGGGAATATGTAATGCAATTATTGGCTCTTTCGCATTCCCATCGAGCCGATTGATTTGGCTCTCGTTGAGTTCCAAGACAGAAGGTGCGGGTAAAGAGGTCATTGATTTTTGTAAAAGTTTTCTGTCATCATTCTTTGAAGGAGTTTTAGACTGAACAGTGAGATTGACGGCTGCTTTCGGGGACTCGAGTTTTGGCGTACCCACTTTTTTTTTTAATTGTTTGTCGGCAGCCTTTCCGGCATCTCCCACTTTCGATCTTGTTGATTTAGTTTTAGTGCTTTTCGTTGCATCCTTTAGGTCAAAATCCTGATCTTTTGGCGAAACAGATTTCTTCGCGGCCTCCAAATCCCTCAGATCATTGCTGCTATTTGATATATACTCTTCCGGACAGCCTAATGTACTATTATCAAGATGTCCTTCTGTTATTGATTTCGATGACTGGGTGTGAGATGCTGAACGGTTACTAGAAGTGGTGTATTCGTCGGCATTGATCATAGAACTCAAAGACATTCGATTCACTGGTTTTGCTTGCCCCGATAGAGCTTCTTCTGTTGGCATTTCGGGCTGAACTATATTTGATGAGGGTTTGTTACTCGAATGTAATAGAATCTTGAAATCCTTGTTGGAATCAAGGGAGTCAGTGAAGTCTGCAGAGGCCCTCTTATCAGTCTCTAAAGTCTCGCCATTCATTCGCTCCTGTCGCATTCTACTGGCTTGATGTAATACTGAGTCTCCTGATTCTACTCCTTGGGGATTATCACTTGATAAGGGCAAGTTCCACTTTGAGTTACCGAGAGACTCCATCCCTCCAGAATAACGATTAAGTCCTGAGAAAGAAATCTAAGAAAAATATCTTTCGTACATCTGCTTAGCTAATTAAAAGGCTCGAGAGTAATCAGACAGGTGAAATGCAACATATGAAATCAACTTTTGAAAGAATTTGTCATAAAACTTTCTAGTTTACTCTATGTCAAAACACCTCGCTTCCTTAACTGTAGCTATTTGGCCGACTTGAAAAGTAATTAATCAGCGGAATATTTTCACAGTAGCGTTTTTGCGCTAGTACTAATTCAGCTCTGCGTGGGTTGCAGCATACCAAGTTCCTTTAGTTTGGTAACGAATCCCCCTTAGTTATGAATAGCCGTGATCACAGTGAAGCCTAAGGTAATCAAGGGCATTGCCACTTTTGGCAAAGCATTCATAATTTCGATTGTCAAGGGAACAACAACGAATATGCAACACTACAAGATGACCGCAGTTAAAATATCGCAGCTTATTTCATCTTTTGTGGTCGAAGGCGTGAAGGAGAGTTGGATTTTTTGCACCGCTTGACTCAAAATGAAGTTAGCGATGGCATCTTGGAAACCTTACTAACAAGTTTCTCTATTTTTCGTCAAAGCTACATGACTTTCAAAGAAATAATACACTTACTCACATAATTGTAAAAGGAATGAGGATACCCCTTGGCTGAGGATACGTGTAGTCAAGTCATTCTAGGACTAACTTGTGTTCAGTGTGACCCAAAACTCGCAAAAAGCGGCAAAAAGAACAAGTGCAGTCATTCTCTGCATTATAAATAAAATATGTGATCATCGACTTTAATGCTATGATTTAAGGTATTGTCACTTGATATAGTAGCTTGAGAACAGCCCACAAATATAGTGCGTCTTTTTTTCTATCCGCACGATTTATTAAACCTTGGAGAATATCTTAGTGCTATCAAGAAAGACCGTGAGCTCCAAGTTTTATCGCTATGCTTTATCAAGCTGAGGCCGTTCAACGCTTCCGAGTTTTTTCAGCGTCAAGAAGACGTCAGTCCCATAACCTTCAACAGAACGCATGTCGAGTTCGCCGTTCCAGTAGTCGGTATAAACCTTGCACATAGGCATTGAAATTCCTAGCGTGAATTCCAGTGGCCGCCTCACCAAGGATATAAGCACAGACTTTTGTTTGTGATCACCACTGGATTCCATCTTTCCAATATTTTGAATCATTTCACTCAAATCGCCGTAGTCGGTAGCACTTTCAGATACAACAGGTGAAGAAAAGTTGAAATTGAGGCCAGGCATTTTGTGAAAGTTTGCAAGATATTCCTCTGCTAAAATAGGAGATTTCCCAAAAGACCATACTTTTTTCAGCTTATTTGACGACATTCCGCCACCTTGATCGGAGAACTTGAACGTCATGTTTTTCTTTGTCTGGGTTATCTCCACGACTATAGGAGGTGGCTTCAGTTTTTTTACCTCATCTCGACTCAGGTTTCCATGGCGATGTATGAAATTTTGAATTGTTGATTTCAATGAGTTCCGGAGAATCTCCGCATATATATAGTTCAGGTGATTTGTCAAGAACTGGAACTTGACGTCCTCACCATATATTATTAATTCCGGCATTTGGAGTTCGGGGTAAAGACTTTGCAAATAGCTTGATACAATATCCTTGCACGTCATCAGTTGTTGACGTGCGGAAAGGTATTGAAATGCAGCACCTATATAATTAGGTGGTCTCTGCAAAGTGTCCCCATCTTGGTTTTGGAAAGATTCAGACAAGGTTGTATGTTGCTCGATGATAACTCTTCTGCTTATTCTAGATCTGAGCATAGAAGACATGAAATCATCTAGTTGCTCTTGTCGCATTTTCTCCAAGATCGACACTTCTAGAGCACCCATCATGAGATGTGGCAGCACAAGCAAATGATCATCCAAAACTTTTCTCAGAAAATCACAAAATTTGTCGTTCTCATCAAGCGTTTCAATTCTTCCCATCTTTCTGAAGGCGTTAAAGCAATGGTAGTAGCTCTGATAGACCAAGTTTATATGGTGATTGTTTATTACGCTGTAATCGAGACTTTGCAGCTCTCGAATTTTTAGGCTCAGCCTAACAGGCAGCTCTGTTCGGACAAAATTAGCACTGCTTATCAACTTCTCTTTCGTAAGTTTTTTACCGAAGTTTGCCAGATGTCTTAACGTTACAGGATGGGCATCTCTTTCGGACCAACCAAGAAGTATAGAGTTTTGATAAAAGTGTTGTTCATTTAATAAGGATGACGCATGGGATTGGAATGGAGAAAGCGATGCAACTTTCGTTGCCGCTTCCCCAAATTTGATGCTTTTGGACATCTTATCTCTTTTACTTTCACAGTATGCACTACTGAGTTCAAAACCAAATTGACCAGGTTAATATGATATGCGCCGTAGCAGTTGAGAATTCATCGACATTAGTATAGAAGTTTTTTTTGGATTTGATCAGAGTCCAAAACGATATTGGTGCACTGCCAAACCTTTTTGATAAGTAGGTCAATTAAAAAAACTCTTTTTTTCGTTGGCATCTTAAAATATGGCAGAGAAATTTTACTCTTGGCGGCTTTTTCGTAAGCCGCGCTCTTATCATTATTGTTTATTTATGGCGACTTTTAGTTATTGGAATTCAGTAAAATGTACCTATGCCTTATAGCCCTCACATTTGCGTCATCTGCTGTTTCATCACTTACCCCCAAGAGTAATGAGGTCAAGTTGAAAAGCTCACTTGGAAACATTCAAGGCTCACTGATGCACGATATATTTGGCTCATTGGTGCACGACAGCAATAACATTGCAGAAGGGAATGGAGCTTATCTTAGAGAACAACTGCTTCAGCAGAATGAACACTCGCCTATATCTTTCCCGTTCAAACTAAATCAATTTCAGTATCCGGATATTGATGATCTTACAGATTTCAAACAGCCAGGACCACTTTTTTCAGGTATTGTAACCTTTGCCCATCTCCCGGAAGATGAATGCTTCTTTGCGAGGGAGCCAATGGATATTGCAATTGTTGGAGCTCCATTTGATTTGGGAGTTTCATATAACAGTGGAGCTAGATTCGGACCAAATGGTGCTCGTCAAGGATCACGAAGGCTGCGAGGAGGAATCAGTCCAATAAGAGGCAATTCTCGGTCTTCAAAACTCAGAGGTATCGACCCTTATAATTCAGGACTTAAGTTAATAGACTGCGGAGATGTTCCAATGACTCCGTTCGACTCCAGGATAGCTTTGAATCAGCTTTATCGCGGTCAACATGCCATCCATAAACATCCAAGCTTCAATTCCACGCAGTTTAATAACACACGTATTGTGACCTTGGGTGGCGATCACACAGTCACTTTAATGAATTTAAGGTCGGCATATGAAACTTTTGGAGATCCAGGAGGGCTAGCTGTAATCCATTTCGACGCTCATATAGATACATGGGATCCAAAAGTTTTAGGAGGAGGTATTTCAGATTATGCCAGTTTGAACCACGGTACGTTTCTACACTTTGCTGCTGAAGCTGGCTACGTAGCCAAAAATCACAGCGTACACGTCGGAATCAGAGCCCCATTCATTTCTGGGACAGATGAAAAGCATGATGCTGTGGACTGTGGCTTCAAAACATTCACTTCCAAGGACGTTGATTTGTACACCGCAAAGGGGATCGCTGAAAAAATTAAAACCATTGTCGGACAGCGTAAAGTCTATCTGACTTTTGACCTTGATACATTTGACGTTGGCTACATCAACTCGGGTACCTTGGAAGCTGGAGGACTCAGCTCAAGAGAAATCTTAACGATTTTAGATGGTTTGGAGGGAATCAAGCTAGTAGGTTGTGACGTCGTGGAGGTCAGCACTGCACCTAATACTGTGAATAGTGCTAGCACAGAGCTGTTAGCTGCTCAGGTGGTAGATTCGATGTTGGGGCTGATGACTGTGTTCGACCAGCCTGAGTAGCAGTTCCAAGTTCTCCGGGGTCTTGAGGTAGTTAGCGAGGATTTGATATTTAGATGTCCACTGTCTAAGGAAAACATTGCGTCATTGAGTCATCAATCGAGTGAGCAAACTTCGTAAGCCTAAAAACGTGTTCTTGATTTCCGTGCAACATAAAATTCTGTTGTGGAGGATGTTTCCGTACAGGGCTCGTAACCAAATTTACTAAATAAGCAAACCTGAAAGCAGCCTCAGTTTTAAACGATAAATTGCAAGGTAGTAATTGAATCGTCACCTGCACTATAGATTGCAAGGATTTTGTGAAGTAGCTCGGGAATCTTCAATATGGTAGGTATAGAATGGTACAAAGCTGAAATGGTCGGGCTTCACGTTGTTAAATTTCTGAAGCTTAGCCCCTGGATTCTAGTTCACTGTCGTTTACTAACCTACTAAACAGGCTGGTGCTTTAGAGAATGCGCGTAGAACTATCCAAAAACTATCTTTGGATTCTGATGAGTCACTTTATGGTCAGATATATTCTGTTTCCGGTCCCGTGGTTGTTGCTGAGAATATGATTGGGTGTGCCATGTACGAACTCGTCAAAGTCGGTCACGACAATCTTGTCGGTGAAGTCATTCGAATTGATGGTGACAAGGCTACTATTCAGGTTTATGAAGAAACTGCAGGAGTCACTGTTGGAGACCCTGTTTTGAGAACGGGAAAGCCTCTTTCGGTTGAACTTGGCCCTGGATTGATGGAGACTATCTATGATGGCATTCAAAGACCTTTGAAGGCTATTAAAGACGTTTCACAGTCCATCTATATCCCGAGGGGTATTGATGCACCTGCTCTGTCGCGTACTGCAGAATATGAATTTTGCCCAGGATCTTTGAAAGTTGGAGATCACATTACAGGCGGCGACATTTTTGGCTCTACGTTTGAAAACTCCCTTGTGTCGGATCATAAGATCCTGCTACCACCAAGGGCCCGAGGTACAATTGTTTCTATAGCGGAGCCTGGCTCTTACCATGTGAATGATCCTGTCCTTGAGGTCGAGTATGATGGGGTTAAACATGAATACTCTATGATGCATACGTGGCCAGTGAGAGTCCCTAGGCCTGTTGCACAAAAGCTTTCTGCAGATTATCCTTTGCTTACTGGTCAACGAGTTCTCGACTCTTTGTTCCCTTGTGTTCAAGGCGGAACGACTTGTATTCCTGGTGCGTTCGGCTGTGGTAAAACTGTTATTTCACAATCACTTTCGAAATACTCGAATTCGGATATCATTATTTACGTTGGCTGTGGAGAAAGAGGCAACGAAATGGCAGAAGTTCTAATGGAGTTCCCAGAATTATTCACTGAACAGAATGGTCAAAAAGAGCCAATCATGAAACGTACCACTCTAGTCGCCAATACTTCTAACATGCCTGTTGCAGCAAGGGAAGCGTCTATTTACACAGGTATCACACTGGCTGAGTATTTCAGAGATCAGGGAAAAAATGTTTCCATGATAGCAGACTCTTCCTCCAGATGGGCAGAGGCTTTGAGAGAAATTTCTGGTAGATTAGGAGAAATGCCAGCTGATCAAGGTTTCCCAGCTTATTTAGGAGCTAAACTTGCCTCATTTTATGAAAGAGCAGGCAAGTCTGTTGCTCTGGGCTCTCCAGATAGGTTGGGTTCGGTCTCTATTGTTGCTGCTGTGTCTCCTGCGGGTGGTGACTTCTCAGATCCGGTTACCACTTCTACCCTTGGTATTACCCAAGTTTTCTGGGGTTTGGATAAGAAATTGGCGCAAAGAAAGCATTTTCCTTCTATCAACACGTCGATTTCGTATTCCAAATATACGAATGTTCTGAATAAGTATTACGATGCCAACTATCCCGAATTTGCAAATTTGAGAGACAAAATCAAAGAAATCATTTCCAATGCTGAGGAACTAGAGCAAGTTGTTCAACTCGTCGGTAAATCCGCTCTGTCGGATTCCGACAAGATTATTTTGGATGTTGCCAACCTCATCAAAGAGGACTTTTTGCAGCAAAACGGCTACTCTACATATGATGCGTTCTGCCCAATTTGGAAGACTTACGATATGATGAAAGCCTTTGTCGCTTATTATGATGAGGCCCAAAAAGCGGTTGCAAATGGCGCTCAGTGGTCCAAGCTTTCCGAGGCCACAGGAGATGTTAGGCATGCCGTGTCATCTGCTAAGTTTTTTGAACCTAGCAAAGGAGAAGCTGCTATTTCCAAGGAGTTCGATACACTTCTGAGCAGGATTTCCGAACGTTTTCAAGAGGCTGCTGAGTAGAACTTGTATACACTGTTCCGATTTCACATAAATAGTAGTAAAATTCCGGCTGATCAGTGCTTTCGATATTTTTTCTCGTTTCTAGCATAGACACGAAATCCGCTAATAAATGCTTTTTTTTCCTCCGTTATTAGTTGACATAGCTAACGTCTCTCGGACAGCAGGTACGGTGACTCTTTGGACTATTTTCGGCAAGCTTGATCATGAACTTTCTCGCTAAAACTATCAATTCTACCATCGGTTCATTGACAGGTAGCTCGATACCATATGATTTAGGAGAGAGAGTAGTGAATGGTGTTTGCAGTGATTCTCCCGAGCCAAACTCTGTGTGGAATGTTTATGAAGCAACTTCTCGCAAAGAGCCTCGTGTGCGGGTAACTGTATTTGAGTTTGATCTCAAGAACCCTCGAGCGTCTAAGTATGTGCTGTTTGCAAGAAATGCATTCATGAAGCTTAAATCTTTGAGTCTTTTACCAGGAATTCTAAACATCGTTGATTTTATTGAAAACGAATCATTTCTCTACATAATAAGTGAAAGGGTGAAACCACTGGGGAGTGTACTGAAAATGGGATCCTCTGATTATATGTCACAATATGAGCTTTTGCTATTTGGAATATATCAAGTTACGGAAGCTTTGAAATATCTTAACAAGGAAGGTTCATCTATTCATGGCTCGCTTAGCAAAAACTCCATATTTGTGAATGAAGCAGGCGAATGGAAACTTGGTGGTTTCGAGCTCGTCGTGAATATCCAAGATCTTGATACGGAGATTTTGAGCCGAGCATTTGATTTGCCTACTTATCTGTCGACCATACATCCACCCGAATTAAATGAACAGAGGCTGAATTACATCTCAAGCGCCAGCCCGGCTCAGATCTTAAAGCTTGATGCTTATCTTCTGGGTGTTTTCATCTATGGCATTTTTAATCCTGAGGTGCGTAGTCTCGATCCTGCCAAACTGAACAAACCAAGCAAACTTCCAAGATCTCTTGCATCGCACGTCAAAAAGCTCCTTCATATATCGCCATCCATAAGATACTCTGTGGAAGCATTCCTAAATGCTGGAATGCAATCATGCTTCAACTTACCGCTGATCGGTGTCTCGAAACATATTTCAGAGCTTAGGTTGAAATCCACCGTTGAAAAATTAGAGATATTCAACTCCCTAGATGAACTCGAACAACTTCCTGATGGCTTTTTTGAATATAAGATTTTGCCAGAGCTCATCACCACCTTTCAATCTTTGTCGACCAACCAAGATAGTCAGCAGTCTGCTCTCTTACTATTGATTTTAAAGCGTGTGGATCAACTCGATAAAGAAGCATTCCAGCACCAGATTAAACCTCTCGTATTGCGAGCATTTGAACTTCCAGATAGGGCAATCCGGATTACACTACTGAGTTCGTTACCAACGATCATTGATCACTTTGCACCTTACGAAATTCAAGATAAAATCTTTCCAAATTTGGTTCAAGGCTTCAACGATACTAATTCGTCGATACGAGAAGCCACATTAAAGTCGGTACTTTCAATTGCAGATAAAATATCAGCCCGACAGCTCAACAATGATGTACTAAAGTACATGGCAAAACTTCAAAATGATTCAACGCCTGAAATCAGAACTAATACGATAATCTGTCTATCCAAAATTGCAACATATATGACTCCTTCTTCAAGAGCTGCAGTACTCGCTACTGCTTATTCCAAAGCATTGAAGGATCCGTTTGTACCCTCTCGGGTAAGTTCATTGCTTGCTTTTGAAAACTCTATTGAGTACTTTACTCCAGAGGTGTGTTGCTCAAAAGTTCTGTCAGCTATTGCCCCTGCTTTATTGGACAAGTCGTCGAAGGTGAGAACAGAGGCACAGAGAGTGTTCGACTTGTACTTTTCGAAAATCAATGAGGCTGCTAATCATCTACCATTAGACAGTGAGGAGACCGTAAATTTGGAAAGCGAGAATTCGGAAAATATACTTTCTCGATTAAATCCGCTTTCCCTTTCAAGTATGAAATTGAAGAATACCCAATCATTATTATCAGGCTTAGGATCTAATACACATTCAGGATCCACAGTGAGCTTGACAATGAAACAGGAGAACTTTAGCTCAGAGTCTCTGAATGCTGATCGGTCACTGAGAAACTTATCGAATGCAAATGTAGAGGACAGTTGGAATGAAGTGGGCAATGATTGGGATTCTACTTCTGATTATCAAAGCAAATCCTTACTTCCACATCTCGAGGCGAGCCAAAAACCCCAAGAAAGTGAACAGCTCAAGGCAACTCGCCAGATCATCAAAGGAATTCCACAAGCACCCAAAAGGTCACTGAAATTACAACCCAAATCCAAACTGAAGCTAGATTTGCTTGACGATGATGTTGACGGTTGGGAAAATGAGTGGTGATTTGCAGCTTTCAAGGACGAGGTTGATTTTGACACTCGTGTGTACTATCAAATCTTAAAAACGTTTTCTCGCGCAGCCGAAAAAAAAAACGCTCCTTATCAGGGGCTCGAACCCTGGACATTTCGGTCGACTTCCGAATGAATCCTTAAAAGCCGAACGCTCTACCAACTGAGCTAATAAGGATGGAACTGCTTATATAAGATATTTGACAATCACATAGAGTTATTCCTAACACAACAAATTTGGTAATAATTGAAGAAACAGTTCAAGCACAAGTAACGTATACTCCAAGCAGAAGGAAAGCTTCGCGAAGCAAA